AACCCTAACCCTAACCCTAACCCTAACCCTAACCCTACACCGAGCACGACTGGAATCCCGCCACATACGAATTTGCAGCTGAAAGCGACGTTCCCCTCATCGGTTATGTTACGAGCAAAGCGTTGGCCGAGAGGTTCTGCTGGCAGTATCAAAAGGACAATCATCTCGAAGGCAAGATGAATATTGGTGCGCTTTGCCCACCCATGATTCTAGGTGTGTGCGCGCGCCCCCCACGACGCCGTGCTGACGGTACGCGCGCGCCCAACACTGACCGCCGTCATGCGCGTCAGGACCCTTCTTCCACAACACCGACTCCTCCAAGCTGGGCGAGTCGCTGTTCCAGATGCGCAAAGTGATCACGGCAGCCGACGACAAGGCGGACGTTCCACCTCAAGCCTTTCCAGTCTTTGTCGATGTGCGCGACGTAGCCCTCGCGCACGTTCGATGTGTCGAGCGCAACGTCAATTCGCGTTACCTCATCGCCAAGGGAACTTTCAGCAACCAATTTGTTGTTGATCAGGTGCACGAGCACTTTCCTAGCGAGGCGATCAAGTACAAGCTACCGCGCGGCAAGAAGGGCGAGTATGCGGATGAAGACGCAAAAATCTGCATCCTAGAACACGACAAGAGCCAGCGCGAGCTAGGCGTGGATTACACGCACACGCGCAAGGAAACCTTTTACGAGACGATTCGAGACATTTTCGAGCATCTATAGGGAACTCATTCAAGCTGGCATTTGATCGCACGGAAGCAATCCTCGAATGCCTCCTGTGTCGAATGCTTCTTGCAGCGATCCAGTTCACCGCTGCAAAGAGCACCGCTCCTCTTTGCCATCCGGTGAATTACAGAGTCAAATGGGCGAACCCCTCGATCCGCTCTGCCCCTTTGAACGTCGCACGCACGCTGAGAAATGCAGCCACACTCATGACTCGGCAACGATCGACGCACGCCGAGAAATTCAAAGCGACGTACGTGCAGTCCAACGAGTCTGACAAATTGTCACGTGTACACCTCTTGACCGAACTCGATCAGATCGTTTTATGACCGCGCGTGAATCTCGAATCACGAGTCCTTGAGTCACCCATCGTGCATCAAACTCAACCTTGATGACGCAAGACTCGTGACTCCTGACTCTGACTCAAGACACGCAGACTCGACTCTGACTCAAGACTCACGACTCGACAAAGACGTCTCATCAGTCCTCTCGCTCCGTGTCACGTGTTTGGTGAAGCGCCGGTCCGTGCGTGCATGCACCGCCACGCATGACGGCGTGCTGCTTGCGTACGAATACGTGATGTCCTAACAAGCTACCGCACCATGCAGCATGCTGCCGAGCCGCAGAGAACATCATAGCGCATCAGTCACGAGTAGTCGGACGACATCGAGGGCGGCACGAGCGCAGCGCGACTGTGGGGGGCGCTTGGCGCGCGTGCATCCGCGTTTTCACGGGTGTACAGCGAGCGCATTCATCATCCCCAAACCACTCGCTCATCCATCACCTCGAACCATCATCACCTCTGCGATATACGCGCGCGGCCACTCATCCATCCATCCATCCATCCATCCATCCATCCATCCATCCATCCATCCATCCATCCATCCATCCATCCATCCATCCATCCATCCATCCATCCATCATCACAGGACTCGCGCTTCACTCACGACTCCTGCGTTCATCATGACCCGCACTCGCACTCGACCCATGTCCACCTCTGCGGTGCTGCTTCTAGCCATCGTGCTGGTGCTAGCCCTCTCACTCATCCCTCAAGCTCGCGCTTTCGGGGCGGGCAACATTCCCAGCTATGCATACATGGAGGGCAAAGCTTTCCGTGAGTTGCGCGCAAGGAAGGGCAAGGCTGGTGCGATGCGAGTCGTGCTGCGACTGACACCACTGTGCTCGCCTCGCTCACAGGCCATGGAGACATCGAAGATATTCTCGCCGAGCTCGCCAAAAAGGTGAGCGGGGCCGCATTCCACACCGTTGCGCTTTGCTTTGGCTGACCAAACGCCGTCGCGCCGCGCACCGCGCACCGCGCACTCACGCAGGCCGGACACGGCTTCATGGGCATCGGAGGAGGCTCCAAGTTTGGGGGCCTGGACATCAAGGTGCGCTCTCGCTCGCTGCCGGTGGGGAGAGCGCGCTCCCGCTCCCGCTTACACTCGCGTGACTCCCCTCATTGACCGCCCCTTTCAGCGCGTCTACTTTGGCAATTGGCTGAGGGACTACTCGCAGGCCATGGATGTGGCAGCCATGAAGAAGCTGCCCGTCCAACAGATCCTCAACATCGTCATGGTCCTCGGTGAGTCCCAGCGTTCGCAGCAAGAGTGTCCAACGCCACGCCGCGCCTGACCGACTCCCGCGTCGGTCCTCGCTGCGACAGGCTTCTTGGCGCACGGCTATGCGACAGGAGCATTCGAGTTGACTGCAGAGCGCCTCGGCGTGTATTTGCCAGTCGAGCACATGTGAGTAGTGCGGCACGACCACTCGCTTCGACAATGCTCACCTCGACGCGCACCTCGATATAGCGACAACCCCAAGGGCTACAACGAAAATCAAGATGCCCGCCAGCACGATCCTCGACTGCGAGGTCCCATCGACCCCCGCGAGCTGGAAGTTGATCCTCGCTCTGGCATGAAGAACTACATCGCCAATGAGAATCAAGGTTGGGACACGAGCTCCGCCTTGGTTCGACGCACGCTAGTCAAGTGCATCGAGCTCGGTCGGAGGGCTAGAGGCGGAAACACCGACGAGCTGTACGAAGCATACCGCCTGCTCGGTACTGCTCTCCACACGCTCGAGGATTTCTCTGCGCATTCAAAGTGAGCAGATGCGCTCTCAAAGAACCCATGCTTCGTCGCTGGCTAACGCGACTCGCTCTCTCTACGCGCCGCGCCCAGCTTCTGCGAGCTGGCTTTGCAGCGTCTGGGACATCGCAACGTGTTTGTGCACGTCGGACACAATGTCGTGGTGCGCGCACCCGACGGCAGTCAGTGTCCTCCGCTAGTCACTGGAACGTTTGGTGGAGCAGATTTCCTCCACTCGCTACTCGGTGAAGCGCAAGATCACATGTCTGAAGCTTCCATCTCGGATCTGTCCAAAGCGGTTGATGGAGCCAAGCAAAAGTCTCGCGGCGGCGGAGGCGGCAGTCCGATGCAGCAGCTCTTTGGCTTGCTCAGCGGCATCCCAGGCGGCGATTCGACCAACACCAGCCGCGACGCTGAGGAGCTCAGTCGCGGACCCAGCAAAGACCCCGCCAACATGGATCCAAAAGAGCTCTACCAGAACCTCGTGAGTGATGTCGGCGCACTCGTACTGCTTCGCTCAGCGCTCATGCTTCGCGCCGCACGTTCCAGTTCCGCATCTTGGCCTTCCGCGACCGCGTCATGATGTCGATCGAGCAGACCATCGAAAAGATTCCTGGCTTGAGCTCGCTCGTAGAAAAAATTTCAGACTCGTTGAGCGTCTTTGTCTTGACGCTGCTGGAGCCCTATGTGAGTTCTTGGCATGTGACCGGAGTTCTTCGCATGTGCCTCGCAGCTATGCTCCCGCTGACACTCCGCACACGGCAGGTCAAGCCCCTAATGACTAGCGCCATGTCTGGATTGCACGCCACCAGCTCCGCCGTCGTCTCGGGAGAAGACCAGACGGAAGTGTTTGACAATCCCAATGCCAGTGATCCTACGCACTCTCAATTGTCAAAGGATCACTTTGGGTGAGTGGTGGCACCCGTCTGCGTATTCGCGCGCGCTGACCCGCCCTCCGTCTACCAGTCTGATCCTCAATGAGCCCGCGGGAAATTTGGCTCGGATTGTCGTCCGCTTCGCAGTGCAAGCCGTCGTCAAGGGCTGGGATAGCAATGACGACGCCACTCGCATTGCTGATGAGTGTCTTGCAGGCATGTTCCACCCCAACTGGTTCAATCCTCAGCGATGCCACCCCATGCAAGCCGAAATGATGAATTACATGGAGTCTTGGGCCCGCGACAATGCAGCATCCATCAGGAGATTGGATGTGACCAATGTCCGCAATCACACCAACACGCGTTCTGGCAAGGCGGAAGCACACACACACGGAAGCGGCATCCCAGCTCAATTTCAACCTCAAGGTCAGCAGGGGGTGGAGCAAGGCAGCTCCATGGCTCATGCCGCAACAGGATGGATCGGTGGTCAATTGCAGCAGCAAGGGGGCTTCTTGGGCCAAGCGGGCAACTTTATTTCCCATCAAGGCGCCTCGGCTGGAAGGCGCGAAGTGGATGGCTATGGCGGGGGCAACGAGCAGCAAGACGATCGTCGTGAGGAGTACAACGCTCACGGCCGCCAGGAGGATTACGGTAGCCACAATCGCCGTGATGATTACGGCAATCGCCGAGATGATTACGGATCGCACGAGCGCCGGGATGACTACGGATCGCACGAGCGCCGCGACGACTACGGACATGCACGTCGCGATGATTATGCTTCGCATGGTCGCCGAGACGAGTACGACGGCGGTGCACCCGGCATCCCTTCCGTGCAGCATCACGAATATGGAAGCTCGGGAGAATTGCGCCCTAGCGGCGGTGGAGGCTACGGTCACCAGCAGAATTATGGCCAACAAGAGGGCTCGTACGGAGGCTACGCAGCTCCCTCTGGACGTGAGTAATGGCTAGCCCTGCGAGCGATGAATCGTCCTGACACTTGAGCGTCACCCACAGCACCCCCTGGAGAGTATGGTGGCGGCTTTAGAAGAGACGAAGACCAATCTCGACAGGGCTACGGTCAGCAGCCGTACGGCCAGCAGGGCCAGGGAGGCTATGGTCAAGGCGGGTACGGCCAGCAAGGTCAAGGAGGATACGGTCAAGGGGGCTACGGTGGAGGCTACTAGGGTGCGCGCCACGCGCGGTGCTCTTGCAGTACTCTCTGACTGATCCGTTTCAATTGCATTTGCTCCAAATTACATGCCCCACCGTTCACATGCCATTGGTGTCCCTACGCGCAGGGGTGTTGATTGCGGAGCTCGTCGCGTTTGCGATCGACGGAGAGGCGACGCTAGCAGAGGTGGCGGTAGCGCTCGCCGTCGCGGTCGCAGCGCTACTAGCCGCAATCGGCTGTCCTTGCTCATCGACGTTGGAGAAGCGGTACTCTGCAGCCCACGTGTATGGTCTCGACGCCGAGTAGAATTGATCGACGTTCCAGTCGGGATTGTTGATGGCATCAATGAGACCTTCCGCTTCGATCACGACGCAAGAGTGATTCTCGTAGATTTCAGCCAGCGTACCATCGCCTCCGTGGGATTTTTTGCGCGGCAGGCTGCCCTTTGTAGGACTCGAAATGCCCGAGCAAGTGTAGACCTGGAATGCTGGTTGGTCCGTCGTGAGGCTCAGCTTGATGCCGCTCCGAGGGCTGTACAACTCCAACTGCGGCTCGTCTCGTGCGGGCTCGTTGCTCTGCCAGAAGCAGCTGTCCCATCCAGTGCAATTTGCCCCGCAGATTCCAGTTGAATTGTCAAAGTTGCGGCGAAAGGGAGTCGGCTGGAGGAAATCGAACGGCGTGCCCGAGACGTCTGGACGCGGTCCTGTAGGGATCAAGTCGCTGTCCGTCTGGATGTACTTGTCTGCGTGCGGCATGTGCAGGACGTGGTCGAGGATGGTGCTGTTGGAGCCGTCAGCGTAGGCATCCAAGTTCCAGTAAACGTGCGATGAGAGCAGAATGGGCGTCTGTACGTCTTGTGGAGCAGAGACATTGGCGCTCATGGAGATTGCCCACGTAGCATTTGGCTGGAGAGCGTGGATCACGCGGCTGTCAACCTGTCCCGGGAAACTGCAAATGGTGGCTTGGTGGTCAGTGGCGCGCCGCGCGCGGGCGGTCTCCCTTCGCTACAGCTTCTCGCGACGCTCCCGCACGCTCCCGCACGCACCCTTGAAAGCCGTCAGGGTCGACGTGCGCAAAGACAATCGACGTCGCATTGAAGCTTTCGACGACGAACGGCGATCGGTCGTATCCGACATCTCCACCGTGAAGCGAATTCTTGCCGTTTTCGTTGCGAGGTACGTAGTAGGTCTCGTTGTTGGCGGTGAATGTGCCATTCTTGATGCGGTTCGCGTAGCGTCCAACAGTGGGACCAAAGTTGGGGTGGATTGGGTCGGTAAGGTAGTTGGTGGTGTTGTCAAAGGCTGCCATGAGCGAGCGAGCGAGCGAGCGTCAGAGCGAGCGTCAGAGCATACCATCGCGCGCTCGTCACGCGCGCTCGTCACGTGCGCCACTCACACAAGACGACATCCCTCCAAGCGCCATTTCTATCGCGCACCCAGAGTTCGACGAGGGTGGCGCCATACGGGATGAAGCCGGCGCGGATCGAATCGTCTTCGGCCGAGATGCGAACGACGTTGGCAGGGTACTGAGGTGCCTTGCCATCCGGGCACGTGCCATAGGAGTACTGTCCAGCGGGTCCGCTGTAGCCGGCATAGGTAGTGTTGGCTACTTGAGCATCCATGACTTGCTGCTGCTGCTGCTGCTGCTGGTCGACCTGAACGACCGCAGCATCCGTCTGATTGGACAGGGGCACTGCGAGGGAGTTGGGATTGCCGCCGGCGCACGGGTAAGATCCGACCGTGTTGTTGTTCACAAAGCCGGCAATACCCGAGGGAGCCGGAGAAGGCACGGTTTGCGCGAGCGAGAGCGAGAGCCCTGCTCCGAGCAGTGCCGTCAGTGCGAGCTTCATGACGAATAATGAGTCACAATGTTGGTGGTCTGTGGTGGCGCGGTGCGGTGCGGTGAATCAAGAATGAAGGTCGAGAGCATCATCAGCTGCAACGCGGCGCCCCTTTATACGCCGAACCGCGCGCGGTCCTCTCACCGCGCAGGAACAAGCAAAGCCGCATCGCATCACGCGCGCGTGGAGAAATGCGGGGTATGCAGATGCGCCATGGCCCGCGTCGTCATGCACGCGTAGGAGTCTTCCGCATGGCCGCCGCGGCCGCATTTAGATGCGTCACAGGCACGGCAATCCTAGCTGTTGTGGCATCGCGCGCGCGATCCCTTCTATGAGATTGCCGACCTTGCGCGGCACTCGAGTCCCAGCAGAGATCACCGATGCAGAGGAAACCTTCCCCACACAATTGTACCTGCCGCACGCCACAAACGAGAATCACGAATACATTGAATGGTAAAGAACACGCCCACGATGTCAGAACAAGCACGCTACAAAGTCGGAGAACCTTTCGGAAAGACGATCGTAAAGCTCCTCTTCTGAGTGCCATCGACGGCAAAGGAGACGACATGTGAGGCCATTGCGGCATCGTACGTGATTTGGGCTGCTGGGTCCGAGCAAGCAACGCGCGCAGAGGCAGCAATGGCGGCATGCCTCGGATCGTGCCACAGCTGAAGCGTATGCATAGCTCCAACGTGCTTCGCGACTTCCTCCAACGCCCAGCCGTCATGCTTGAGCTCGACCGTGATCGTGCGAGTGTACTGCGAGCGGAGGACTTGCCGGTCAGGACCAGGTGCATGACTGTGCTTGATGTCGCGCCCCCACTCACCTCTCCATCGACCACGCTTGCTGACTGCTCTAACCGCAAGTGGCGGTACTTGCTCTGAGCAAACGTATTTGCCAGCTCATCGTGGGCGTACTGCGGAAGCTCCTTGGGCGCACTCGCCACGGACCTCCCATCGTCCAAAAAGAGCGAGTGACCCGCGGACCGGCCCGCTCGAAGAGGATAGGCGTGGAGCGTGACGGGGTTGGCACCCAGCTGACCTATCCATTGCTCATTCTTGCGCGTGGGAAAGACGGATCCTTCTCGGACGAAGATGGGCAGCAGGTAGGGCAAGTGACCGACGTCACCGAGAGCATACCGGTCTACACTGCTCGTCCACTTCAACACCCTTCCGCCTGCTCGCCTAGCCTTCAATGCCGTCCATGCGGGAGAAAGTCGTTGCGTGGCGACGTCATCTCCCGTCGAGCGCAGGTGCAGGTTGAAGTCGTACCAGTGCGAGCCGCAAGGCAGATACAGGTCTTCGATGCCTTGTTTGATCTGCGAAGACAGAGCAGTCTCGCTCGTGCTGTAAAGGACGGGGCATACAAGCAGTGCATGACCAATCATGTACTGTGGTCAGATGGGATGGATCGTAAGCAGCGCGTTGACGCTAGACTCGGGGTACATGCACTCACCTGCTCGCTCAGGAATTTCTGCCTCTCTCCGAACAAGGCTTCATCCCACGGGTCCGTGGCGCACATGCTTCTCGCGATGGGAAGCCCGTCGAAAAGACTATTAAAGTGCAAATCGTAGAGCGCCTGCACCAGCGTGTAGCGCAAGTGGATGTAGTACCGACAAATAGGCAGCACCGCTCGGTATAGCGGTGCTTGATCTCCCATCTGCGATGCGTGCTCGTAGTACGCGTAGGGCTCTTGAAACAGCTTCGTGCCGGGCTTGCCCATGTAATCTACAAGTAGAGATGGCGGTGAGCCAGAGCATCACGTTGAGAGGCGCAGAGATGGCGGTGAGCCAGAGCATCACGTTGAGAGGCGCAGCGCTGTCCCACTCACGATTGCGCAGCCATGGCAGCAAGCTAGCTGCGACTGTCCAACGAATGACCAGCTGTGGATCGGCCCACGATCCCGTAAATCCTTCCCTCTCGAATCCACCAGTATCTGCGCCAGTAAAGGTGATGCCGCCGATACCAGCGCTCAAGACTTGCTGTATCATGATACGAAGAAAGTCCCAGGTACCTGCGGCAAAAAACGCACGTGTAAGCCAGCGAAGGCAGCACGCGCACGATGTTTTCTCTCGCGGCTCACTGGCGTTGTCGCCGGTCCACAAAGCGGCAAAGCGATGCATGCCGGTGAAACTGCCTCTGCCGATGATGAATGGTCTCTCGTCCGGTCTCAACCTTTGCAGGCCTTTGTAGGTCGCCTTGTGCAGATTGAAGCTGTAGCTATTCCAAACCTTCAGAGCGGGTTGCAGGTGACCGCGCTTGGACTGACGTGCAGAAGAGTCGTCCGAGAGCAGGAGCCGAAATGGAAACCTATGCAGATCGACGAGATGCAGCAATGAGCTCTCCTGCTCCTCTTCCCCTAATGCCCCCGCCTCACTCACCCCTTCATGTCTCCACTTTCCACTCGAACTGCCGGCGTCGTCATGTCTTGCCTGAGGGATGCTCTATCCTCAGCACAAAGACGAGTCTAGCGAAGCAGACTCGCGCACCCACCAGACAAAGGACAGGCCAGCGTCGATGAGTTCCTTGTACTGCGCACCCCACCAATCGCGGACTTCCTTCCTTCCCAAGTCGGGATAGACGCCATTCGTGCCCAGATCCTTGCCATACGACACGCCCCCTCTGTACTCGGTGTCCGTCTGCCAGTTCTCAATGTACTGCGCTCGAGTGCGCCTCTCGTTGCCCCCCTCCCAACAAACGTATTCTGGCGTTCGATCGTCGCCCGCATTGTACCGCCTCTCCTTGACAAAGACGCCCTTCTTGAGCCCGTCATCGAGCGTGGCATACTGGGAGCGCGCAGCACTGCCCTCTTGCCAGTAGTCCCGCTTCGCATCGTCCGTGCTGGAAATGACGGGTGTAACGTTGGTGCTGCACTTTACGCCCATGTTTCGAAGCTGCTCGAACATGCCTTTTGGGTCTTGGAAACGACCTCCTTCCCCCTGATCCATGGTAAAGGTGCGATATTTGCGCTGCAGATCCACATCGATGTGCAGACCATCGAGGGGAATATTGTACTGCCGATGCTTCATCGCCGCATTGATGACCTTTTCGCGCGTATCATAGCCGTAGCATCCTTGGTGATAGCCTAGCACATACTTTGGCCACAGCCTGCCACGACCAGTGCAGCTGGCGTGGGCATGACTCACGCTCGCTACATCGTCTGCACAGGTGATGTGCAGTTCCAGGTCGCCAAATCGCGAGCCGATCTGGTAAGCGTTGCAGTGCTGGCCGACATCGATGAATGTCTGGCAATAATCGTCGACAAAGTATCCCACGCTGGAGGCGTAACCTGGAATGGCAGCCACCTCGACCCAAAATGGCTCAGAGTGGTACATTGGCTCGCTAGCTCGGAGCGCCTGCTGTCCATAGACTCCAGAGTAACCTGGACGGACGTGGAGTGAGCGCTGGTAGTGTTGCAAGTCTTCAACTTTCTCTCCCCCACTCACCCATATTGTCGTAATTAAAGTACGTCAAGAGCTGCTCATCCTTGAACAATCCCAGACCACCTTGTTCGCCAAAGCCTAGCGCCTTGCCACGTTTCCTCGCCGCCAACAAAGTGGCAAAGTTGCCCTCCGCGTCTTGCTTGCAGCGCAGAGCCGAGACCGCAGAGTCTTGCGTAGCGGTGCTGAATACGCGAGCAAATTTCGTGTGGGGCGCATTGGAAGCGTCGGAATCTGCGAAATGGGCGCGCGTGTGAGGCGATGCTAAGGGAGCCCTGTCTCGTAGCACTTTTTGCTCACCGGGCATTCTGATCTCCTTGACGTGTCGCCAAGCTTCCACTCGAAAATGTGCCTGATACACGCGGATCTGCAGCGTCTCTTGTCCGTTTGCGCGGATGCTCCACTCGACGTGAGCGTCGTCTGCTACGCTGTCATTGTCTATGCTAGTCACAGTGCTGGTCGAGTCGTGCGTGAGAGCGGCAGACAGAGCGACACCTTCATCTTGCGCAAGTCGCCTCCTCAACTCGCCCAGCTCGTTGGTGCAGAGCGAGGGGCTGAGATACGAGCTGAACTCTTTGGCGCTCCTTTTGCCGGGACCCCATCTCAGTCTAAACGTATCGAAGCGGAGCACCTCCACCAACACTATTCCGCCATCATCGCCCAGCTCCACGACGAGGGTGAGCTGATCATTCTGCTTTGCTTTGATGCTCTTGACGGGTGCAGCACAAGCGTCCCTCGGTCTAAAGGCATCGTCCTGCCTCGCTGCATTGAGAGCATCGTCATCGAACCACGCCATGAAATCCTCGGCCTTGTAGAATTTGTAGATGTCCTCATCCGAGCCATGCGGCACGCTCATCGGCGCGATGCGCCTATCGGGCAGCACGACGACGGGAGATTTGACGCTTGAAGGGGAAGCTGCACTTGCACCTGCACTTGCACTTGCAGGGGATCGCGCACTTGTGGGGGATCGCCCATCCTTGGTCTTGCTAGACGCCTTGGAAGCAGTGTCAGTGAACCTACGTTCGCTCGTGTCTAGAGCCGTGGGCACCATCTTGAGTGTGTTGTCACCAGAGGAGAGACTTGCGGTTTGTTTGTTTTGTAGCTGCGCTGCGCTGCACTGCGGGCACTGCGATTTGCAATCCTCACAATAGTGAATAGTGAATGAGCCTTCTTATATAGCTTTTGCATGTACTGTAGGTACAGTACCCGTCAGCAAGCGTGAATTCGGGACGGGGCCGTGCGCACGCATTGCAGCGCAGCGCAGCGCATGGAACGCACGAATGGCCATCTCTTTCGCACCGAACGAGCAAGCAGCAAGTCAAGCATCGCTGCATCGCTGCTTCCGTGCCGCAGAATCAGAATCAGAATCGGGAGATGCCCTCATGTCAAGTCTCGACTCGTGACTCGTGACTCGTGACTCGTGACTGTCATTGTCAATCATGTTGACAGGTCCCATGCATCGAGTCACGCTGTGGCGCACTCGTGACTGTAGGTACTGTACATGGTGGCTTGACGAGTGAAGCCTCGATCGCAGATGGCCGGCACCGAGCGCACATGCAGCAGCAGCAGCAGCAGCAGCAGCAGCGCACGACGGCGAGACGCGCGATCGAGCAACTAAGCAACGGAAAAAAAAGAAAAAGAATTGACGCGTAGCCCCGCCGCTACATTCGATCGATCGTGATTGCTGGGACGGCGCTGCTATGCTCCGGCCGGCTCGGCTCCGGACCGACATGAGCAGCTTGCAAGGTTCACTATACGGTACTCACATCGGCATGCACAGCTATAGCTATATATAGTCAGGACAGCATCAGCCAGCCAGCCAGCCAGCCAGCAGCACGCGCGCAAGGCTGCAATGCAGCAAGCAGCCCCGCGGTTATGCAGCAGCGGCTGCCGAGCAAGCGCGCGCGCGGAACGGCTAGAGTCGGCCAATCGTCGGACCGACGGGGTTTCGATTCATGCGAGAGAGGCCACCCAGCACCAGTGGTGAGTGTTGAGTCAAGCGTGAGCGTTGGCGATGGGAATGATCAGCCAGCACGTATAGCGCGTGCAATGTCAATCAGCCCCGATGATGTCTATTCCTCACGCAGCGAGAGCCGAGACAATCGTTTGAACTGCATTCGCGTGATTACAAGTACAGGACCACCGCCAGCGGGCGCATCACAGCTTGTCGAAATCTGTTTGGCAGGCAAGTTCCAAGGCGGCGCGTCGTGAGCCTCCGCGTTCCCTGCTGCAGCGCGCCACATTCCGCACTCACCCTCATTGAAAGTCCTGCCAATGAGCATCCTCCTGATCTCTTGCGTTCCAGCGCCAACAGTGTAGAGCCTAGCATCCCTCAGCAAGCGTCCGGTGGGATAATCGTTGATGTACCCATTGCCTCCCAGCGCTTGCATCGCCTGTCCAACGTGACGCATAAGCGCGCGCGCGCGCGGGGATCAGCATGAGAGAGCAAGAGTGTACTCCATGCTGCGCAACCCATTTCATTTCCCTCTCGGGCGCTCACCTCCATCGTCACATCCACCGCCTTTTCGCTGGAATACAGAATGGCAGTCGCACAGTCCCGGCGCGACACTTGACCCGCATCGCAAGCTCTTCCTACGGCGTACACCAGCGCTCGAGCTGATGCCAAGCCCGTGTACATGTCTAGCAAAGCGAGAGGCGATGGTCAGCAAGCCGCCTGTCCCCCTTGCTCGCGTTGCCTGCGCACCTGCCAGCTTTCCCCTCATCAGATCGAATTCGGCTACCCGCTTGCCAAACTGCTTCCTCTGATGCGTGTACTCCAGCGCAAAGTCGATGGCGCTCTGCATCAGGCCCAGAGGTCCGCCTGACAGCACCAGCCTTTCCAGATCCAGTCCAGACATGAGCACCTTGACGCCTCCATCCACTTGACCCAACACGTTGGCACTCGGCACCAGCACATCTTCGAACGTCAATTCGCACGTCTCTGATCCGCGCATTCCAACCTTGTCCAGCTTTTGGGACGTGGTGAAGCCGGGCGTGGAGCGATCCCTGTTGAGCGAACAGAGCGAGTGAGCATAACACTTTTCGAAGCAACGGTCGCCCGCCACGTACACGATGAACGCAGTGATGCCCTTTGGCCCAGCTTCGGGCCTCGTCTTTGCATAAATCACAAAGGTGCTCGAGATCGGACCGTTGGTGATCCTTTGGAGCGCGAGCGACCAATGCCGTCAGCTCGAGTCGCTAGTCGCTAGTGCAGTCAGAAACACACCACCACCCCAGCTCACCAAAACTTGCCGCCATTGAGGATCCAATCTCCATCCTTGTTTTTGGCAGCCTTGGTCCTCATGCTGACCACATCGCTGCCGCTCTCTGGCTCGCTCATGGCTAGCGATCCGACCTTGTTGCCGCTGATCAGATCTGGAAGATACTTTTCCTTTTGCTCTTCAGTTCCGTGTCGGTGTATCTGATTGATGCAGAGGTTAGAGTGCGCTCCGTACGACAATCCCACCGATCCTGATGCTCTCGAAATTTCTAGCAGGAGGGCGCATACATGCGATCAGACCCGCGCACAAGATGCTAAATGTCCCCAGCTCTTTCGCACAACTGCTCACCTTCCATGACGACGGTGTGATCGAGGTAGCCCAATCCCAGACCTCCCCACCTCTCCTCGCAAGTGACGCCATTCAAGCCCATCTCTCCAAACCTCTTCCACACGTCCAGCTCTTTCGGCACCACATTCTCCGCATCTATGCGACCAGCTAATGGTGCGATCTCCTTTTGCGCAAAGGTGGACACGGCACTGCGAAGCTCCTCTTGTTCGGGCGTCAAGCCAGACAGAGGGGTAGAGTAGGATGTGTATGTTCGTCGAGTGCCGGTGACTCTTGCTCGCTGCGATGCTTGACTCGCCAGACGAGGCAATGCGCGGATAGCAGATTGAACACGCATGATGTGCGAGAGCGAATTGTTTGAGCGACGACAGTGTGAGCGGTGATGGTGATGGCGGGCGTTGAAGGAAGTGCGCTGGTTGCTCATCACTTTGCGCTGCTTCGTGGGGTATACGCGGGGCGTCGGGCGCGGGGTCCCTCAGCTGCGCGGTAGGTACAACCTTGGCAGCACGCGCTTGACACCTCGCTCATGCTCAATATGCAGCAGCATGCAGGCAGCTATAATTATACGCGGGTCCGCTCAAGCAATGCGCGGCATCCGCGGCTGTTCGTCCGTTTCGCGCGCATCAAGCCTCCGTCACCGAGCGGAGGCGTTCACAGGGTGCGCAGAGGGAGGCAATCAGCTAGGAAGGCGTGCGTGTACACGCACGCGTGCGCTCGATTCTGCTCGACGTCCAAATCACAAAAGTCTCTGCGGCAACGTCGTAAACGCTGCAGAACAGAAGATATCCATCGGCTCAAGCAAGCCCGCGGGCGGCTACAGGGCCTCCTGGCATGTCGTGAGTGCGCACCGCGCCGACGATGATGAATCAAGAGGCATGTCCGACGGTCACTCTTGCTCCCTAGCGATCGCTTCTCGCCACTCGAGATGCTCTACCGGCAAGAATCCCATCCTCTGCACATCCGCCCACCTCTCTCTTCCCTCTGTACGTCCTTCGTCCAGCTCCTTCGCGTACTCGCCCTTGCGTAGACGACGAAGCGTAAAGTTTTCAAAGGGCGGCTCAAAGCTTAGACGCCAGACGGGCAGAGCGTCCCTATTCTTGGTCCTACTGTCCGACTCGATGCTCTTCCGAATCCACGCCAGAGCGTCGTATGCAAACGAGGTGCACAGGTGCGGGTCCCAAGCATGTGGCTGCGAGTTGAGCGTGGGATATAGAATGCGTCAACTGTACATCCGTGCTGCGCATCCGCGCATCGACCTACCTTTCCTCGCACCAACTGAGGCATGTTGGCCGTCAGGAATTGCTGATGGCTCTGTTAGGGGGAGAGCGCGGCCTCAGCTTGACCTGCCATCGCGCCTCCCTCGAGCGACTCACGACAAGTCTGCCTCTACTGTCCCTGAATCCCACCACCACATGGTCCACACCAAGCAAAAAAGCTTGCATGTCTGCAGTGCCACACCCATTCTCAGCTTGCGCACTCTCTCGGAGGCAATCTCTCCCCAAGCGACTCACAAATCCTGAGCATCTTCTTTTCGAACTTGATCGCATCACCCTCGTGTCTGATCTGCATGTTCGTCTTGAGCTCCATCGCCCTTCTATCCCCACGCGCCCTCGCACGACCTTCCTCTCGACCCGGCTCAATCAGACAGTCCGTCTCTCCTCCCAAAATGACCCTCGTGCTGCCTCCATCGCCCTTCGTGTCCATGCCCGTCTTCATCACCTCGCACCACTGCTCGTTGGTGTTGACATTTCCTGACCAGGCCGTGGGTGTGCCGATTTCGGGTAATGTGCGCGCGTTCGGCCAGACGCAGTACGACTCGAATGCGTAGCCTAGAGGAGGCGGACGCGATGTGTCAGTGAGGAGCTCACTGAGGCGTGGTCCGTCGCATCGAGCGCATCACCATAGTAACTGAACAGCATGCGCCGTTCATCCTTCTCCTCTGCTCGCTGAGCGTCGTACCTCGCTTTCGAGACGTGCTCATCGATGTACATCGTCTTGTCCACCTGTAGGCGTGCGTGTATGCGCAGCACGTCAGCCTCGCGACGCCAACTCCGCACACTTGACTCACAAGCATCACATCCATCTCCCAAGCGCTGGGAAAAGCAGAGGCAGCTTCGTAGGGAGCGGTGCATAGCTTCGTCATCATTCCTCTCCACGTGATCAGGCTTGGCGTGCCATCGGTCAGCGTGCGATGGATGTCCGATGCTGCCACACTCGAGGGTGGATGTCGATCAACTGGACATGCGGACTGCAGCGACGTCAAGAGGGTATCCAGATGTTCAATCTGCCCAGCCGTTGGGAGCTTTCTGAGGTCAGCGTCTGACCAAAGCCGCGTCCTAGCAGCACCCCCGGCCCGCCCGCCCGCCTGCATTTACCCACTCACCTTTGGCTCCCTCCACTTTGCCTTGCTGAAACCATACCCCAAATCCACGCCTGCAGGCGGAGCCTTGAAGTACCTTTGCGCGCTGTCATTTAGCAACAGCTTCCTCTCTCCATCGAAAGAGTAAGTGGTGAGCCTCTGAGGAGCTCTCAAATACACGCGACTGTATGCGGGAGCTTGACCCTGCCCTGCTGGACGTGGCACGGATAAGTTGAAGAGGTAGGAAGGGGACGGAGAGCGCGCCTTGGCGCTTGGCTGCTCGGGCCGGCTCGAGGGGCCCGCAGTTACAGTTGCAGTTGCAGTCTCGGTTGCAGGAGATGCGTCTGCTCCAGCGCTTGGCTCGGCACGAGAGCGTTTGTGCGTGTCGCTTGCTTCCACCTGCAGCCGATCGTCTGGCCCACTGCGCTTCATGGTTCAGGAGGCTGAAGTGCTTGCAGCGCCAAAGGGCGAGCGGGCGATGCGAGGCGAAGCGAAGCGATGCGATGCAATGACGGAGGAGCGTCGGCGAGAACGATGCGAGTGTCGAGAGCGTGGGGTTTGAAAAAGGCACGAGGGTGCAGACGAGGCTCGCAAGCTCAGCGCATCCGTACAGTGATGGTTGAGGAGGGCGAGGTGGGAGAAGTTGGAAGGAGTCAATGACCGATGAGGAGCAGAGCATGCGGACGTACAGCGCCAGGGAAGGAATGGCGGCGCGCCAATTGCATCGTGAATCGGGAATGTGAATGTGAAATCACAACGTGAATGTCGATCACAGTCACGAATGGTGCAGCAATTAAGCAGCACGCTGCACGCTGCACGCTGCACGCACACACCCGAAGTCCCCGGGCCGCGCGCCCGCCTTGGCCTTTCCGCCCCGCGCCCCGCGCTGGTTTGGCCGCGCGGCGGGCTGGAGAGCACACGACACACAGCCTCAGATCAGCTAGGCGCGAGAGAGTCACAATCACGCGAATGTGAAACAGAATGCTTCGACTTTGGAGGAGTTTGAAGCTGCTGCATGCTTCTTCCACCAAGCTGAAGTCGAAGCTAGCACGCACGCACGCACGCACGCACGCACGCACGCAGAATGTGCATTGCTCATCTATGTGTTACGATTCCAATCCCGGGTGCGCCGCGCCTCAATAGCTGTATCTACTCTTCGCTCTAAGTTGAGGTCCATACTTTGCAAAGATAAAGGGGATGGGGACCATGAGCACATTGAGTCCGGCCAAAAGGGCAGTGGCGCCAGCATTGCCTAGACGAGCGTACATTTGCGTCGCAAAGAGCGGAAAGACGCAAGCGAAGAGGCTGCGCGAGATGGAGTTGGCCCCTAATGCAGAGGCCGCCACTGGTCTCCAGACGTCGGCCGTGTAGGAGAAGACGGCGGAATACTGGCACGCGCGCAAGGCGGATTTTTTGCGCTTTGAGTGAATCGCTGCATCGTTCGGGCTCTTGCGCATGCACGACACTCAGACTCACGGTGAAGAGGATGCCGGCGCCAAACGGTATGGAAGCGACGATGGGGACGCTCCAGTGTACTGCGGGGTACGTCGTAAAGGCGAACCAGAAGAGCGAGATGCTGACGTGGAGCGTTGCGCTATCAACTACTGTGCTGCTCCAATGTCAGCACCACGCTTGCTCGAAGGGCCCAACTCACGGATTGAGGATGGCAGCGACCATGGCCATCGGTAGTCGAGCTTCAGGCGGCGCTTGCCCTCCATTCTCTGCCATGGCCCGTCGGTAGCGTCCGGCCCAGTACGGCATGGTGAAAGCGCCCAGAATCAGGCCGACTGCCAGTCCGAGAAAAGACAGGCCGGTCTGCCAGAGATTGAATCCGTGGGTTCGAAAGACGATCGGGACTGCAAGATGTTGCGAGGGGGTGAGCTGAGCGATCATGTCGAACCCTTTGCTCACGCTGCCCGCGCGCGCGCGCAACTCACAAGCTTCAAAGAAGAGGTACAAAATGCCGAGCAGGAGCGCTGTCCAGAGACATAGCAGCGCGAGCATGGGTTCTAGAATCAGCAATTGAATCACCTTTGTGCTGTTCGCCCTCAGCGTTCCTCCGATGCTCTTTTCCCTCAATTTCAGCTCGTGCGCAGAGCAAAGATCTGCATTTCCCGTGCTTCGACGAAGATGTTTGGCCTTTGTGGTGAGGATGGTCGGATGAAACGTCTCGGGAACGAACAAGAGGAGGGCGATCCACATGATGAATGACCAAATATTGATCGTCCAAAACGTCCAACGCCAGGTGGAGAAATACGTGGCGAAGCCGGCGTACAGCGGGCCAAGAATCGGTCCTGCAGGTGGGGGGAACATCAACATCTTTGTGAGCATCTGTTCGCGGTGCGGTAAAGCGCGCCACTCACCTAGAAATGGGCTCATCGTGTACGCAGCCATGGGCAGCGCCATATCCTTTGGCAAGAACAGATCGGCAACGGTGCCGCCGGCGACGCTGAGGAAAGCGCTTCCAAAGACGCCTGTCAAGAATCGAAAGATGAAAAAGACTGCCGGGTTGTTCGCAAAGGATACTGGCAAGCCAAGCAAAACGAACAGACCGAACGAGGAGAGGTAGACTGGACGCCTGCCGTAGAATTCCGAAAGCGGAGCCAGCGCCAAGGGTCCGATGCCGAGGCCCAGCACGAACAACGACAAGCCCAGGATGGCCACCTCGTGGCCGATCCGGAATTCGCTCTCGAGAGACTCAAAGGTGCTTGACTGCGGGGGCAGGAGGCGCCTTCATGAGAAGAGCGCGTACTCGATCGCAGCCTGTGCTAGCGCGACTCACCACTACGCTGGAGGTGCAAGTGACGCAAAGACTGCATGTGGATACGATCATCAAGATGGTCCACCGTTTGGCCGTCGACCATGCAAGCGGATTGCGCGAATCTGCATCGACATCCCACGAGACCAGATTGGCATCCTTCTCCTCGGCCGCAGTGCCCGATGCTCCCTTTTCCCCCTCCACGGTAGAGGCGCCATGCTCGACATCGTGTCTCGTCGAAGCAGCACTCTGACTATTCGGCGAAGATGTCGAATGGCTCATTTGCTGCGCAACTTCCGCACGCTCGCTGTTTTCCGTCATGATGAGCTGTCTGCGTGTTTGGGGATGGGAGGGAGGAGGATGGAGGCGGTGAGGGGTTACATCAACGTGCCATCTTCGAGCGATAGCGCTAACCCTCTTGAATGCCCGCACGGACTTGAGCTTGCCCGCACGGACTTAAGCCTGGCTCATGGAGTGCGCAGAGGGAGTCAAGGACCTCCTCGCATGCTTTGACTGCAGCCAGCTCCCAGCAGCAAATTTGTACGCTAAGAGGAGACCGAGCACACTCGCGCACCGCCACTGATGAGCTCGTAAGCAAATCTCATGCACTCACGACTCGAGTTGGGGCGGCGGGCAAATCAAGGCGGAAAGGACGGGGTGTCGTGTCTCAGCAGAGCTGATGCTGATGAACGCTGCAGAAATCGTGCGGATGAAATCTGAACGGAAGCACGCGCGCGTGCGCGCGCACAAAGCAAAGGAGCGGTTTTGCCGAGACTCGGCATGCACGCGCGCCTAGCTGTGCACGCGACTGAAGGACGCACTCACGACTCTCGACTCACGACTCTCGACTCACGACTCACGACTCACGACATGCATGCATGAGGCTGGATATATCACACTCACGTGACTGAGACTCTCGTGGTAAGCGTGCGTGCGCCATGGGTGTGTATATATCGACGACAGTCACAGACTAGTCTGATGAGTCTTGAGTCAAGAAACACGACCGTCGAGCAGCACCATGCAAGATCCTGATCGCGGATTGCGACAGAAACAGCCACGCAATCATATCATCACCATCCTCACACTTCGACGCTATGCTGATGATTGCGACGGTTTGTGTGCGTCTCATCCTTGACTCACCCAAGACCATGTGCGCGCGCGCGCTCCGGGCATCACATTCAAAACCAATACTCGTGGCAGTCGGTCAAGCATGACTTGCGGATTGTGGAAATGATTCGCGCGCACCCCATTCAACAGTCGAGAGTTGTGTGGGCGTGCGACAAAGCACGACTTGTAGAGATGTCATTGTGGCGTCGCACGACTTGTCGGCGCTGATGTTACCTTTCGCGCATTGTCGCTTCGCCACACGCGGGAGTCGAAAGTGGATGGGCGCCGCTCATGGTGATCGAGTGTGGCGCTGGACCACAGCAATGGCTGCCTTTTCATGTTTGCCATTGAGCTTGTTGGGTATGGTGCGGCATGAGCGACGCGGCTGAGGTCAAATCTGGGTATGGTAGGACGTGTGCCGCGAAGGTTCACGGCGAGATGACGGACCTTTCGCAGCAATACTCACGAGTGTGTTGCCGAGCTTGCTCTGTCTAGGACGTGTCAGCCGATGAGGTGGCGAACTCTGAGGGACTTCGAGCTCTAGGCCTCGCAGCACAGGTATTCAAAGCTAGCTTCGAACAGAATGCGCTTCTCTTCCACCCTCTCGAGGCATCTCGTCGACGCCGTCAGCTCGTCACGAGGTTCTTTTTGGTCGTCTTTCCGACATGCACTCGCTCAAGTTTGCTCTCTTCTGCGCGCTGCTAGGCGCCAGTCATGCGTTTCCGCCAGAAACTTCTCGCGCGCTCATTCGAAGAGGTCGATGGCCAGCTTTGTCGAGCAAGGTGAGTCCTCGCTGCTCAACACTCGTTTCGTGCGCCCCACTCACCAACCTACCCTTCCCTCGCTCGCCAGGCCGGCGCAGAGGCAGCGACCGAAATTTTCCGTCCTCCATCTCCCACCACAGAGGGAGCATCTTCTGCGCATCCTTTCAACAATCCAGACCCGGGTGTGGAGCACAGCCGCGGAACGATCATCCCTCCTCTTCGGCGCAGCAGGATGGTCTGAGGGAAATCCCAGGAGCAAGCTTGATGCGCAGTCCATCGGGCCATCACCAGCAAGTCGTCATACACGAAGGAGCGCAATGGAAGCACGTGTCGAGTCGAGAAGGTGCTGGTGGCAGTGGTGCCCACTTGCAGCGCTTGGCATTCGATCGGCCGATCCGCATCGAAGTTCAAGCGAATACGCGCATCTATACGCCAGCAGACCTGCAGACGGGTCGAAACACGGGTAGTCTCCTCGTCCCGAACGACTACGACACGCCTTCGCCGACTTCCAGCGGGCTGGTGAGAGGAGCAAAGTACGACCCGCAGTTGCATCCGATGCACGCTCACGGAAATGCTGTGCGGCCCACTTCCAGCGCGTCATTCACGATTCGACACGCTGCACGCAGATCAATTCGTTTGGGTTTCGTCAAATGTCGCATCGCGAAATGTTCTTCGCACCTCCATCTAACAGATCTGCCACCAGACCTGCAGTCAATGCATCAAACAAGACAAGATGCATTGCTGGCCTGGCAGCCCACGGCTGCAGAGCGAGCACATTTGAACTCCCACGTCATGTCTTCGCCTTTCGATCGCACGGAGCTGGGTGGTCAATCGTGAAGTATATCAAAGGCCAGCGCGCGCGCCAGGTCTCGCGTCGTCGTATCGCCGGCTACGCAATTGTTGACAACATTCAGCTCGATCGGGCGACCTTTGTGCACTCAACGAATCGCGATGATGATGAAATCAGGATTGACTTGGTTGGACGTGGGCAATGCGAGTCATCACAGCAGATCAAACGATGTCGTGCAGCGATGGAACGCCTCGTAGAGCGGCGACGTTCGACGAGCTGCTCGATCAATTGGGAGTGATGTGCCAATTGATTCCCTGAAGTCCGCCACTCTCTGAGCCAGTAAGCTCTCGGAAGACTTGCTTCGACACGAGGATGATCTCTGCGCGTGGGCGAGCAGAACGCTCAGCAAAGCAAAGAGCTCCATCGTGGAGTCACGGCGGCGGCGGCGGCGCACACTCACTGTCAGACTGAGTCGCGTCCTTCACAACGTACTTGTAGTCCGTGTTCTTGTACCTGAACTGTGATGCAAAGAAGAAGACGGATGTCAGCTGATTTCGCTGCACTTCTCAAGCGCGCCACGACTCACGTTCAGGAACCATCCACACCTGCTGTCGGCAGTGTAGGGCTTCAGGATGCTCGAAGGGATGCTGGCGATCTCATCCGTGTCCGACACGTATTCCTCGCTGAGATTTCGAGACGGGGGGCACTGGTCAAGTTGTGTTCTTGTTATTCCCTGCGGCGATGCTCACCAAGCTCCCTTGACGTTTCCACTTCCATAGCTGGCAGGGAAGAGCGTCCCGGTGTAGCCGGCGTAGCTGGGAGATGACGACGACGACGAATGTTTGTTGGTGTCGACTTTGGTCTCCGGGTCGTTCTGCCACATCGCATCGTTGATATCGTCGTCCAAAGTCTCGTCCTCGTTGACCGTCGGAGCTGCCAGAGCGCTCGCGGCAAGGAAGACGGCGAGAAGAGCAAACGCTTTTGAAACGCGCATGGCTGCGAGAGATGATTTGGGTTAGGGGTTTGGGACGAGGATGAAGGGCGAGTGAGGATAGGAGAAGAGGGATCAGGTGGAAAGGCGAGAATGAAGAGTGAGGATGGAAGAGCAAGGAAGCGAGATTTGAAGAGCACCGAGGCCCTTTTTAAGCCTTTTCGCTGGCTTCCATAGCGCGCAGCAGCTTGTCTCTTCTCGATGCGCACCACCGATAGACGCAAGTCTGCTTGTATGGTGCGATGTGCGATGTGCGATGTGCAGGACCATTCTCAACGTCTGCGCCACCTGCTGCACTCGAGACGCACAAAAGGACTATCTCTGTGCGACCGCTTGTGGTGGGCCGAATGAAGACGGCTGCAGAGATCCGACTGCGAGGATTGGGGCCACTTTAGCGACTGGCGGCGCTCCGGCGACTCGTAGATAGGGCGGACCTTGATGGCCAATCAAGCCGGATCATACGCACCGCCTAAAGTGAGACGAATTCGGTGGCGCCATTTGCGCAGACGCGAGGTGGAAAGGGACAGACGCTTGCGTGCGACCTTGAAGGCTTGGTATTGCCTGTGCCAGCATACGTCCGGATCTGAGTGGCCGAAGTGGCACTCTTCCCTCCGCAAATGGCATGAGCGGCTTGAGCTCGTCACTGAAGCTTGTGCGCGGATGTAGCGTTCCGAGTGGGGTCCGCTGCGCAAGCACCGCTGCCGAGAGCGTTGAAGGAAGGCTCGAAGCTGGGTCTCCTCGACGACATATGCGCTCTTGGGCTCCCAAACACGCGCCTGCTCGAGTCTGTGTGATGATATTTGCGAGGCTCACGTCTGCAGACTTTGGGCGTCTCATATGCGATGTGTGCTGAGATTACCGGTGGGCCCCCGGGTGATGCGCGCAGACGCTGGTGTTCATCGCTTGCGCAATGTGGATGCGATTCGATGCGTGAGTTCCTGGCGCCCATCGGGGCCAAGGTTGAAAGCGGCAGTCGAGTGTCCAAGGGCTTATACTCTCTGCTAATAGACTGATCACGCCCCCAAAGTCTAAAGGTCTCTCGTCGAGCTTCATTACCGTCATCCTGCACGAAAGCCTTTCGATAGGATGTCTACTCGTGACATATACCCGACCCTCGTCTTTGCTGCCATGTGCGGTGTAACTCTGGCCGCTCCTAGTACTGGTACAGGTGAGTCGGGCAAGGCAAGTAAGGGAAGCCAAGCCCGCAAGCTGAGCTGACGTTACCGTAGGCAATCCTAGACTCTGCCCTTCGCAGAGGCGAGAAGATACGCGGGGAAGACGAGATGTCCGCGAAAATGGCCGAGGTGAATGCTTCCAAGACGCCTAAGAAGCGAGCGAGCGAGCACAGCACAGGACAGGATATCGCTTCAACAGATAGCGAAGGGGCTGTATATTTGCACCATCTCGTGCGTGCTCCCCTTCAAGAGTCGGCGAGCTCATCGTGAGTCAGCTCGATGAATATGATTCGAGGTCGCGGTAATGTTGCCGCTTCCCTCCGGCCCACCTCATCTTCATCGATTCTCCCATCGACAGTCGGGCATGCACGCGCTCACGAGCTTCCGGAAGTTGCCTTGATGCCTTGATGCTTCGCCTTTTGCCTTTCGCTTTCCCTGCCGGCGATGTGGGTTGTCGTGATAAGCAAGCAAGCAAAGCCAACAGGCATCAGACATCAGACATCCAACCAGCCCGTCCGCGCGCGCGCCCGCCCTACAACGCTTTGTCAAGCTTGAAGAAATATTCAAGATTCAAGTTTCTTGATCGAGTCTTGGGTCGCAGCAACCTACGCTATGCGCTACAGCAGCACTCACGACTCACTCTTCTGACTCTAGACTCAAGACCAATTAATAACCCAACCCCCACGGTTGTAATTTCACGTGACGTACTCCCCAGCCTCGAGGATTCGCATGGAGCACGCCATATCGGCGCATGCACCGCGGCGGTATAGCAACCCGACGACGCGCGCGCGCGCGGTTTAGCTGATGCTGACACCGCGGGACCAAGAACGCTAGCGCGCACGTCATCTTTAAGACTTGCTCAAACGCGGACGATACGTTGCTTCCCTGCCCGCTTGCTTGCTTGCTTGCTTGCTTGCGCGCTCGTCTCGCCTCGCCTCGCCTCGCCTCGCGCTCAACGCTCAGCTATAGCAGCCCAAGCTTTGATTGGAGAGTTGAAAAGTCACAACAGCTGACTTGGAGGAACGCCCAGCAGCATGAGGCTGCATGCTTGTTCCTGCAGAGAGGCGCCGCGGTCGCGATAGGGAGCTGCTTGCTGGTGTTACAGTCGAGTCGCGTTGGACGCTGCTCGCTGGATGGGCCAGGGGGGGAGCTGGGAAGGGCGCTGCGATTGAACGCATATGCTGTATACGCTGTCGATCCTGTACCCGCGGCCTGACTCTTTGAGGCGGAGGAGAGCTTGCGGGATGACTCACGACTGACGGTCAGAAGAGGTCGCGCATTTCGAATCGGTCGTGCTGGTGAGGGAGAGTTGCACATTTCCTTTTGCTCTTCTCACACGAGCCATCATCGCTGGCTTGCTCTTCCGCTGGGCTTGCTCTTCTCTTCTCTTTCTTCCAATCAACAAGCGCGTGGCGGCACAGCGGTGACACACATAAAAAGGGCCAAGCTCGTTCGTGATTGTTGCCCCCAAGACGTCGCATCTCTTTCCTACTTGCATCCCCAACGCACACACTCGCGGCTACGCACCATACCCCAAACACGATGACTGACGCCCACGCCTCAGGTCACCACCTCGAGCACGATGTGCTCACACCCGGCGAGGCCGATGAGAAGGTCAAGGGCTTGCATGGAGATGCTCGAGTGTCGGACTCGAACATCTTGACGGATGACGCTGCCTTGCCAGCAGGCACGTTGGACCCGGTCTACGAAGCCAAGGCTCGAGTGCTGAACAGGGCCATCCAAGAGATTGGCATGGGCAGGTATCAGTGGCAATTGTTTGTCGTCGTAGGCTTTGGATGGGCAAGCGATAACCTGTGGCCCATCGTCACTTCCCTCATCTTTACTCCCATCTCCAACGAATTCAATCCCGATCGACCTCCGCTGCTCACTCTTGCCCAGAACATTGGTCTGCTGGTAGGCGCAGTGTTCTGGGGCTTTGGAGCAGACATCTTTGGCAGGAGATGGGCATTCAATCTCACCATCGGCATCACTGGTCTCTTTGGGATGATTGCAGGCTCTGCGCCCAACTTTGCCGCCATTGGCGTCTTCGCAGCGCTTTGGTCCGTCGGGGTGGGCGGCAATCTGCCGGTGGACTCTGCCATCTTTTTGGAATTCCTGCCGGCCACGCACCAGTACCTCCTGACCATCCTATCCGTCGACTGGGCCCTCGCTCAGCTTCTCGCCAACCTCATCGCTTGGCCCCTGCTAGGCAACCTGACCTGCCCACAGACGGCAGCAGTGTGCGCGCGTCAAGACAATATGGGCTGGCGCTACTTTATCATCACCATGGGAGGTATTGCCGTCCTCATGTTCGTCGTACGATTCGTCTTTTTCTCCATCTACGAGTCGCCCAAATATCTCATGAGCCGAGGGAGAGATGCAGAGGCCGTTCGCGTGGTCCATGAAGTGGCCAGACGAAATGGAAAAGTGTCGAATTTGACGCTGGAAGATCTCAGCAGGTTCGACGATGATATTGCGGGGGACAAGTCGGAAAAGGAGAGGGAAGAGGCTTTGGCTGCCAATTACTCCACCAAGCAAGCCATCCTGAGAAGCTTGAAGGATGTGGATAGCTCCCTCATCAAATCCCTCTTTGCTACCCGCAAGATGGCCATTTCCACCTCGATGATCATCGTCATTTGGGCGCTACTCGGTCTGTCATTCCCGCTTTGTGAGTGTTTAGCATGCTCGCGCACTCGCGCACTCGCGCCAAGCCTCGGCTGACCCCGCTCCCTCGCTTTGCTGCAGACAATGCCTACGTGCCCTTCATCCAAGCATCTCGGGGCGCAGATTTTGGTGACGGCTCCACCTATCTCACCTATCGCAATTCGCTCATCATTGCCGTTGTGGGTATTCCAGGCTGCATCGTGGGCGCCTTGCTATCCGAGCTGCCGCGCATCGGTCGAAAGGGAACACTATTCCTATCCACCGCTGGCACGGGGGCTTTCCTGTTCGCCAGCACGACAGCGACCAATTCGCCATCCTTGCTGGGATGGCAGTGCGCCTACTCCTTTTCCAGCTCGGCAATGTACGCCATCTTGTACGCCTACACGCCAGAAGTCTTTCCTACTCGAGTCAGAGGTACGGGAAACGCGATCACTGCTTCGGCGAACCGCATCTTTGGCATCATGGCTCCCATCGTTGCCATGTTTGCCAATCTGGAAACTTCGGCGCCCGTCTATGTCAGCGGAGCTCTCTTCATCGCTGCTGGCATCCTCGCTCTCGTCTTGCCCTTCGAATCCAGAGGCAAGGCCAGCTTGTAGAAAAAATCCCAGCGCAGCGTTCGTGCCTGCTCTTGCGCTTATTCATGTATCAAATCCACAACGGCTCAATTCACGTGATCCGATCGACCTGACCCATCTGCGAATCTACAGTAGACGTCTGAATTTGAATGGCCTGCTCGCCCGCCTTCGGACCCCACATGATCTGAGAGCCGCATCTTCGATCTTGCCTCTTTGGTGAATCGTCGTCCGCATGCCGCGCTTGTGACCGTGCACACGTATGTATGACTGACGTAATCTCGATACACCAGTCCCTGCCCACCGCTGCATCTGGCTTGGCGCGGCGAATTTCGATCGCAACTCTGCTCTGCTCCAGCGCCTCTGGAGCCACACAAAAGCCAACATCTCCCGCCTGCTGTGTGTCCTCACCACACTAGCGTGTTCCTGAAGCTGGACCCCGATGTCTTGCATGAAGCGGATGTTGAAAAAGGGTGACAAGTGGTTGCCGAGGTCGAGCTTGTGCGCGCATGCAGCAGGTGCCCGTCTCTCTTGTGCTGCAGCAGGCTCACGCGGCAAAGCATGCAGCATATGCACCCGCCTTCCACGGCGCGGCAGGAGTTTGAGTGCATGCGGGTGCAGTCAGAGTCCGGCGCAGCTCATCATTGACAGTCGTGAGTGTGAGTGACGAGTGGCCGCGGCAAATTGTGATTCGAAAGTTGTCTGGAGCACGAGTGAGTGACATCATTACATTTGACCGCTGCAAGCATGTCCGCGCCTTAGCTCGCATCGCACTCACGACTCTCCAGCAAGCATACCTTTTGAGACGCAACTTGAAAGCCTGCTGGAATACAGTAGCAGGCTGGGTTGTGGGATGGCAAATGGGCCGAAGCATGTGCTGCACTGCACTGCACGTCCAGTACTGTGCGTGCATGGCGAGATTAATTGTGATTGGGGTTGCGATTGAGCGAGCGGAGTCGATTTAGTAGGTCGCCCCGAGGCAGACTCGATGCCCCTTTTCCCCTTCGCAGCCCGGCACGGAGAACGATCACGAATGCAAGCTTAGCGCGATTAGGCATGCGGGAGAGGAGGAGGAGGAGAAGGAGGAGGAGGAGGAGGACCATCGCTGTCGCAGCTTGGCAGGGTCTTGTATGCTCACGAAACACCCGACTTGCCTCTTTTTGGTGGAAATTTTGAAACCGTGGTTGCTCGAGCGGCCTAGCGAGACTTAGCCTGCATGTGTGCGTCGGAACGCATGTGCTGCTCCGATCGAAGCAATCGAGAGCATAGGCGGGCCCTCGATGAGGAGGCGAGTGGAATCGTGAATGTCAACAGTTGTGCGTGTCACCAAGTCCCCGCTTCCTTTGCTCTCTTCTTCCACCACCATCCGTCCATTCCTAACTTGCCTCCTCCAAAAGACGTGATCACCATGTCGGTGCTCAAGGAAAAATTTTCGTCCGAGCAGGATGCTGCACCAGCTTCGACCGTTGATGCTGCAAACGCTACGCGCTTCGCAGACGCCACGGCGGGCGACGAGATCGCACCTACCGCTCGACCAGGGGGAATGCAATCGGGCATGAGCACACCCACCGGTACCGGAGGTTGGCGCAATCGACGCAAACACGTCGTGGGGCACGCCAGCAGCGCGGCGAGTGCCGCGCTGAGCAGAAAAGAACGCAAAGAGAGAAAGGCTCATAGACAGGCTCAGGAGCTCGAGAAAGGCTTGCCGGCTTTTTTGAGAGGAAAGGCAGCAGATGAGCAGGACTTGGAGGATCAAAGAGATGAGAGACATGGTAGCAAGCGATTGGTGCGAGCGACGAGGATCATGAATGTCAAAAACGAGTTCATCGCGGTGAGTAGGCCGAAGGGAGAGAGAGAGAGGGAGAGAGAGAGAGAGAGAGAGAGAGAGAGAGAGAGAGAGAGAGAAAGAGAGAGAGAGAGAGCTCCCTCGAGCTCGAGACGTCTTGTTCGTCTGGCACTTCACCCGCTGACTCTTTCGCGTCTTGGCCTGCACGCAGGCTCTGAGCGAATTCATCGGCACTGTAAGTGCTCAGCGCCGCTAGCCCTCTCGTCCGCCATGCCTGACTTTGCATCCGCGCCCGCCACTCGCAGTTCCTCTTCCTGTTCATGGCGTACGGCATCGCCAACTCGGCATCTCAGCAGTCCATCGTCTCGAATACAGCGCAAGGCACAACCACTGCGGGTGGTCTGGATCCTAGCCAGCTCTTGCTTTCATCCCTCGGCTTTGGGTTCTCGCTCGCCGTCAATGCTTGGTTGTTCTTTCGCGTCAGCGGAGGTCTCTTCAATCCGGGTGAGGAAAAAGTCGAGACTTCTGCAAAAGTGCCTTTTTTCATCGTCATTGCTCACGCACCTCTGCCATGTGCCTGCACAGCCGTCACTTTTGCTCTTCTCCTGACTGGAACTCTGACCGTCGTGCGCGCCGTCATCCTCGTCATCGTACAGCTTGCAGGAGCTATTGCTGCGGCAGGAATGGCTCAAGTCCTCATCCCTGCCGGTATTTCGGTTCGCACAAGGCTGGGCGCCCAGACGACGATCGCGCAGGTGCGTTCTTGCCGATGTTTGGGTTCCAGTGATTGCCATTCTGAACACGCATCATCCACAGGGCTTCTTTATCGAGTTCTTCATGACTGGACAACTCATTCTTGCCGTCTTTCTCATGGCTGGCGAGAAGCACAAGGGTGAGAGTTCATGTCAGGAGTGCGTTCGCACAGCCTTGACTCACTCGACACCTCTTCACTCTCGCGATAGGAACATTCCTGGCCCCCGTCGCCATCGGGTTGGCCTTGTTCATTGCCGAACTCTGGGCCACGTCCCTCACCGGAGGCTCCTTGAATCCTGCTCGCACGCTCGGACCCGACGTCATCGCCGCATCTTTCGACGGCAGTTCGTGGATCTACTATGCTGCTCCGATGTCAGCAGCCATCGTAACTTCGCTAGTCTACAAGACCTTCACCTGGCTCAACTATCAGACGGTGGTGCCGGATCAGGACGGAGATGGGATGCATCTGCTCATGAGGAACGCGCAAGGCCAAGCTACCGGCTACGTCGATCAGGTGACCGAGGCCGATGCGCCAGAATTGGAGAGGATGAGAGGGAATCAAGAATTGTCCAGAACTTCCACCATCGATCCGGCCGTCTCGGGCGGGGCGGTTGCAGGCACGGCGGGCACGGCGGGCACGGCGGGCTCCAGCGCTCCAATCGCGGCCAGCCATTCGCCTCCTCCTCAACTTCCACCCGTGCCTCTACAAGCTCCCGTCGCCTCTCACATTGGCGCGCTGGAGAATGTGGGCGTGTCGCCTGCCAAAGCTGCTTGATCTCGCTTTGTCTTGCTCTTCGCTTCTCCCTCCACCTTTTCCGCCATGCTTTTTTCTCGTCTACGCTTTTTCTGCTTCGCTGCACGGCTCGCTGATTGCCCGCTCCCTGCTTCTCTCTCCCCCGCAATGTCGTGCCTCCTCTTCGATGCTCTCGCACCGCATACCATCCCAACGCAATCTAATCATCGCCGACGACTGCAAGATACCTTTTTTGGCGCACGACTGTGTCCCCCATCTCCTCGTCCTCTTGCGCTGCTTGTCTCGTCTTGACCAAGGCGGTATCTTTGCATCACCTCTGACTCAAACTCAAACTGCGAAGCGCACCGTCAAGTTAGGAGTCAAAGAGTCGACGGTTCTGTCTGATGAGTCTTGGGTGCGAGGCAGGTTTCGTCGTCGGATCACGTGAAGTGGCCCGAGCGCGGTCGGCACGCTTCACATTATTCACGATTCACGATTCGTGATTCTGTGATTAGACTTTGATTGATTTGGACGCGCGCGCGATCAGGCTTGGATGGATGCTGGACGCGTTGCATATGCGCGTGCCGCGCCGTGTGGAAGCGGACGCTTCGTTTGCTGCGCAACTAGTGACTAGCTCGATGAGGCGCACCACTCGAGGGGACTCGCTTTCCCCTCTCTTGTCCTTCACCCTCATCTCCATCCTACGAGCACACATTCGCACTCGCCATTACCATCAGCGCGCACACTCACAGCATGCCAACAGCCGCACATTCACCGCGGCTGAGAGCGCCTCCGTTGACTGCTCCAGCCTTACTCGACACGCTCTCACAGCTGTCGACTGATGCGATGCATCTCCCAATCAGCAATCCATCTGCTGCGATCCATATCTTTATGCTCATGAACGTCTGGACCGCCATCTGACCATCAAAAGATGGTGGCCAATCCCCAACTCCCAGTTCCTCAAGAATCTTATGCAACCATCTGGTCATCAGCAGATGGTTGCCAGACTCAGGGCCCTCCCTGAGTCTGAACGGGAAGAACGCAACCCCATCGCTCTCCGGACATACCTCGATGAATATTATCGGGCCCAAGGTTTCCGGCTCCTAGCCATGTGGGCCAACGAGAGTCGGGGAGTGGCGGTGTTCTCAGGCCGCGCAACCGCGTGGCAGTTTGACGGGAGTCTCTTGCTGCTCCTAGACAGATTTGCCAGCAATGCATCTGCCACTATCCCGGGATTCGTGCGACTGCCGCATGCAACGGATGCAACCCGAGCTTTCTACACTGGCCGCAGTGTGTGGTGGCTCTGTACAATATCAGCGTCGAAGTGGACTGCACACTTATTGGATCCTTGTGACCTGTGTCACAGGAGAGGTGAGGACTGCTTGTATGAGAAGCATCCTGCTGGAGGCAACAAGGTAAAGAAGTGCATAGCTTGCAGGACGGTGGGGCACAAGTGTGTGCCAATGACCCTAGCTGTACCAGAGCCACAGCCCCAAAGGGTCAACACTACTCTCCACAGAAGAGTGGAGGAGCTTGCAGCTCAGAAGCATCGGTCGGTGAGTGTCGTTGATGAGCGAGATGAAGGTCGTCGGATGCCAAGCGTTGTCGCACGCAACTCGTTGCTCAACGTCAATTCCTTGTTCGCAGTCATACGACGCAATTCGAAGTCAGATGCAATGGGGTCGAAGGCGGGGAATGTGCGATTCATGGCCCTTCATGGACTGCACGTACGGTGCCACTACATGGACTGCACTTACGGTTCCTTTACATGGACTGCACCTATCGTGCTCTTCATGGACTGCACGTATGCCCCCCCCCCCCCCCCCCCTCCCCCCCTCCCCGGCCCTCGCCTTATTTTTACACACCCGAACCTCTATGGATGGGAGCCTCCTCGTGGCGAGGTTCGGACAGTCGCATTGTTCGACTGACTGATGCCCATCCGCACCAATACATGCGCTTGTTGCTTCGTTTAGGCTGTTGCTTGCTCGCGCGATGCGATGCGATGCGATCCGTGAGTGTGAAGCGTTGCTGGGCTCATTCACGATTGAATGTCAGGGCCGCTCGATCGAGCACCTCAAGCACGTCAGCTTGAGCCCGCGTGCGGACGACGAGTGCGGCATACATGCGCAGTGAAATACCGCAGACAAACCGCCATGCTTCATCCTCTCGCGCGCGCGCGCAGCATGTTCAATCAGTCTTGAGTCTGCACCACCAACGCTCGCAAGCCCCTCATGCCAGCCAGCCAGCTGGTCTGGCGCACCTCGCACTCGGCATCATGTGCATCCTGTTCATCAGCACATCTCATCCTCGCTACTCTTTCATCTGCGCCAGCAACAGGGACGAGTTTCTGCATCGCAGCACGCAAGCATTGGGGTGGCACAGAGGCGGTAAAGGTGGTGGTGCTGGAGGAGCGCAGCATGCATCAGCGAGTCTCGAATCTGCTCGCAAGGCCGATGACTTGCTCATCACGCGTACTGACGAGAATCAGGCGAGCGCAGGCGAATCGCACAGCGCGGCGGGCCAGCAGGATGAGGTGTTGTCGGGCTTGGACCTGAGCGCTGGCGGGACTTGGTTAGGCCTGACGCGAGGGGGAAGAATAGCTGCTCTGACCAACTACACGGAGTCTGCTCCGCCATCTCTACCTTCCCATTGCGGACTTGACAAGCATCTTAGCAGGGGCAACCTAACGAAAGCTTGGTTAGATGCTTCTTGGTGCGAGGGCGCTTCTGCAGAGCAAGGAGGGGACAGAGAGGATGATGGTAAACGCTACCTCGAGCAACACGTCGTTCCGAACAGGGACCTGTATGCCGGTTTCAACCTCATCGTGGGTCATTTGCGATCCGAAAAGGCAGAAGACCATGCGGCGGAGCTGTGGTACACTTCCAATCGGATCGAGGAGAAGCATGCACTGCCTGTGCGTTTTGTTGCAGCTGGACAGATGGCAGAGCAAGTGCGGACGCAGCAGGCACAAGCGCAGACATCGGCAGGATTGAGCAACTCGACGTTGCAGGAGCCGTGGGAGAAGGTGTCTGTGGGAAGAAGGAAATTCGAGCAGGTCATTGCGCACCACGCTGCCAACGGTGGCGCAGACGCAGATCCGGCCGCCGAAGATGCGCTCATCGAAGAATTGTTCAGTCTGCTCGGGTGCGTTGCGAAGAAAGTCGAGCGGGGTCCTGCTTGAATCACGTACACGGACGAGCGCGATGTGCTGATTCAGCTGGCGCAACACTGCCCTCCACTTGACTTCACAGTACCTCCTTGCCAGACTCCGAACCTCTCACGCGAGAAAATTTCAAGCGGTCGATACACATTCCGCCCGTTCGGTTGCCCGACAAGACGCAGAGCGCCCCGATGGATCCCAACAAGACTGCTTGGTACGCTACGCGCGTAGCAACGACCATCCTCGTCGAGAGGCGAGATGCAGCAGCGAGGGTTAGGGTCATCGAGAGGGACGTTTGGACATTGGACCAGCAGGCAAGACCTGCTCGAGCTGACAAAAAAGGCCAGAGAGAAGAGCGATGGGTGCTTTGAGTCAAAATCGGAACGGGTTGCACTCCTAGCGTGCGCACTCGTGGCACGCCAGCCTGAGTGCGAGCTTGACATTCAGATGTTTGCAGCTATAATACAAAGCGGGCGTCGGGCTTGCAGCGCCCTCCTGAATCCTTGCAACTGAGCCACTCGCGCTGTGCTCAATCCAGCAAAGGGATCACCGCCCAACCAATTCCTCGGGCAAAACTCCAACTCTTTCCAGTAGCATCCTCCAGCGACGCGTAGCCATTCGATCGCGTCGCCCTTCTCATCGGATCATTACCCTCCTCGTCTCGCTTCTTCGAGGTGTTGTACACCTGCCACCAAGGAGGCGAATCTGGACAAATGAGCTGCCAGCACGATTCGCACGCCGGCATATTTTGGCGTGGCAGGCCTGCCACTTTCAAACGAGGCGCGCCTCGACGTGCGCATGTCTCGCCGGCACCTTGCTCGTTCCCGCTCGAGCCGCTCCGATGTCGAGCTCTTGCCTCGCCCTCCAGCTCCGGATACGCTTGCCCCACCACTCTGGCTCCCCCAACGATGATCATTCGAGCAGTCTTGCGCGTACAAATGCAGCATTTGCCCAAGCCGTACTGCTCCGGCATGCTGTACAATTTGCTGTACTTGACGATGGGTCTGAGGAGCGCCTCGGCGTTGATGTACGTATGCCGAGGATAAGCGTCGTGCGAACCTGCATGGCTAGTATCACTTGCAGGTGCGTGGCTGTTGCAATCGTTGTTCTCTCGCGCCGAGCTCTGCCTTCGCTCCCTCTCCTCGGAATCTCCGCGCACATTTTTTGCATCCAGCACACTTCCGCTGTCCCATCTGATGCTGTTCAATACGGCGTAGTGCTCGCAAGCCCCATGATGCAAGAACCAGATGCTCTGTCTCACGTCAAGCTCAAGAGTGTCTAAACTGACAGAGTGAGCATCATGTGCCGACAAGGCGACGCGGGCGCCTGTGGCTGATTCATCTGACGCAAAAAGATGAGGATGATGATGCAGCGCAGAAGTGGAGCTTGCTGCAGCTGGCGGAAAGCCTGCACTGTTGAGCCGCTTGCAAAGAGCCCTGCGAGCAGATGGGCATGGGGAAGAAGATGCAGCTTTTGTGATCAGCATGAGCTTCGAGGGGCGCAGCGAGCACGTCTGAGACGGCAGCGACCACTCACTGTGCATAGCTCTCATCGAAAGATTCGCCAGCAAGACCAAAGATCGTGTTTCCAACCATGCAAGCCATCGACGATGTCATCTTGTTGCCCGTGCTCCGTGCCTGCATATTCCCAATCGATCTCGAGTCGGTCGATCCAATCGCTCCAGTCCCAGGAGCGCCGCAAGAGGTCGAGCTGCCCTCTTGGACAGTGACTCGAGTCGCCATGTCCGGTACATCCCTTGTCCTGCAAACTATGCCATCGAAAAGACATCCAAGCGTCTGGGAAGCGCGGACTTCCATGGTTTGAGATTTATAAGTGTGCTGAGAAGAGAGAAAGAGCGGCATTCGTCGCCTAGCACTGTCAGGACCGAAGGGCGCATCCTCACCGTCTTCTGGTGCAGCTGGCTGATCGAGAGTGGGCGTATGACCAGTACGACGCAAATGGGGAAGGGAGTAGATGTCAAATGTCAATATGGTCGAGTAAGACTCGTGTGATGAGGCTGTGTCGGCTTGCGTGCGCTCCATCAGAACACGCGAAGGACGAGTGTGCAATAGGCTTGTTTGCACGGCATGACGAAGCAGATTCATCTCTGGTCGAGGCTCGCGCGAAACGTAGACGCTGAGCTCTTCTGAGTGCTTTGCGAAGCTGTAGAAAGGGGGGAAGCATCGAATGAATTGCAGAGCTGCGCATGCTATCGCGACGCGCACTTACCGAAATGCGCTCGGAATAGCGCTTGTAGACGTGGATAGCTGGCCAGAGGTGCTGCACAGCTGATCTCTGCATGTGTCCGAGGTGGTGGCGCGGATCGATGCAACCGAAGGTGCAAGCGTCGTATTTGCGAGCGCTTCTTCATCTCCTTCGCCAGCCACACTAGCACGCTCGAACTTGCTCACAGCGGCATCCTTTCGCCTCCTCCTCAACTTGCCATTCACATCTCTGAACTCCTCGATGCCATCCAAAGCTGCATCCTCCCAGACATCTCTTGCTCTCTTCTTACCACCTTCGTCCCTTTGAAGAGCCTTTTGAGCGAGCAGGATGCGAGTCGGTGCGCAGCGAGATGCGATGTCATCCGAGGCTGCTGTGGACGCGTCGTCATGGCTGGACGAGGCGTCTGCTTGCGACAGATGACGAGTGTATGCGCTCGGATTGTACGTTGGAATGTACGGGAAGAGATTTGGAAGCGCAGCCTCGTCGGAGGAAGCCAAGCGTGATCCTGTATTAGAACGAGTGCTCATCTCTGCCAGTCGTAATGCACCGGCCATCCGATGCTTGACGTTGGGAGTGGGGCCATGCTGTTCTTCGCAGGAGTGCACCGTGGTACAACGCTCACTTCAATGTCGGCGCAGTGGTCGTAGCTGCGTTTTGTTGAGATGATCGACTGAAAGGGGTGCTGGTGCTCGTGCCGGTGCTGTTGCTGGTGCTGGTGCTGGCATGCGCTGCGAAGGAGGGAGAGAGAGAGCCACCCTTTGACCCCATCCACCGGCTCCAGGATATGCAGCCCAAAATCTCGTCGTGAAGTGACCACGTGACCAGTTGCAGCAGGGGCGTACAGCACGCTCGTCCTGCTGATGAACGTGGAGGGGTTCGCCATCACGAGATGCACCAAAAGTAATCAAGAATTCGCCCACGCGCAGATCCAAGTCACGAGTGTGGTTCCTCCGAAGCAAGCACGTGCGAGCTATGCAGCGAGCCTCCACTTTACTCAAGACTACCCGTGACTGTGACTACTCGGCCGTGCAAAAGCGCAGACGTTGCAATCGATGTGCTCGATGGGATTCAGTTGTATAGGCGGCCTGCTCACAATCAAAATACACAACCATCACCTCGTCTGGACACTCGGTTTTTTCAATTGCTGATCCATCGTCATTTGGCAGCATGTCCCATCCAGCACGTGAGTATGCATGCCGTCCGTCTCTCACCTCGCTTCTCTCTTGCTAGCTGACACGTACCTGCCTGCCCCCCCCCCACCGCGCTCTCACACCTCAAAGTCGCTCGCGGCTCTCTAGCCATCATTTCTGGCGGCGCGTCGGGTATAGGTCTAGCAGCAGCTCAGCGCTGGGCATCTTTGGGTCTTTCGGTTGGCATCCTGGATCGCGCATCTCAGACAGATCTAGACTCTGCCATCGAGCGCATCTCCTCTTCTGCTAGCGGTAGCGCTTCTTCGGAAAAGTACAAAGGTTGGAGCGTGGACGTGTCCGATCGGGAAGCGGTCAAAAGGGTAGCGGATGAAGTGCGCGCCTCTTTCGAAGGCAAACAATTGACTGTGCTTCAGGCTAATGCTGGGACGGGAGGAGGAACAAAGGTGGCGGATTGGGATGAGAATTGGGAGAGAATTTTGAACACAAACTTGTATGGAGTGATTCACATCGTTCAAGCTTTCTTGCCGCTCATTCAAGCGCACAGTCAACCTGCCGCCATCATCAATACGGGAAGCAAGCAAGGCATCACTTGTCCACCGGGCACTGGTCCCGCCTACAACATCTCCAAGGCGGGAGTCAAGGTGTTCACGGAACAGCTGGCTCACGAAGTTCGAGCTTCTTCAAGCACGAGGGACCGCGTTTCGGTGCATCTGTTGATTCCTGGATGGGTGCATACGGGCCTCACAGGTGCCAAAGAAGGCAAATCTAAACCAGATGGTGCTTGGTCGCCCGAACAGACGGTGGATTACTTGGTGAAAGAAGGACTGGAAAAGAAGAGCTTCTACGTGCTCTGCCCTGACAATGAGACGAGCAGAGAGATGGATCTGAAACGTATCAAGTGGAATGTCGAGGATATGACGCAGGACAGACCCGCACTCTCGAGATGGCACGACGAGTGGAAGGACAAGTTCGACGAGTATATGAAGTGAAGCGTCGGTGAGCGGAAAAACAGCGGCCCCTCCATCGGTGGACACGTTATTCAGTCCGAGGCCTGCCTGCATTCACCATTTTCTGCAAGACAGACCATTGCTATCACCGTGTAGTCGAGTTGCGTGTATGAGCTACAATCTGGATCTGAAACATGACATGAATATGCACTGGTGATTCACGATCACCACAGATGTAGTGTCAAGAGTCGTGAGTCAAAAGTCAAGTAAAGAATCTGCTGATGAGGAAGGATTTCCGCATCGCGTCACGTGTCTGCGCACACGCGTCGCCCTATTCTTATTCAGTCACGAGTAGGCAGGGCGCCGGGGAGGCTGTGCTAATTTACGTCGACGTGGAGGGCTGGCGCCTCGCGGGCGCTGATGGCCGCACCTCGTGACGCCGACGCAGCAGCAGCAGAGGCAGCTGCTAGCACGCCCGACTTGAAGCTTCCACGTCATTTTGATTCACATTCGCTTCTTGCGCAGTAGGGTTCACCAACGGCGAGTCACCAATATAGCAAACGGCACTCGCGACTCGCCACTCCAGGACGACCTGCTGATGTCGCGCTCTTGACTACACCCTCCTAGAAGAGCATCAACGGAAAATCGCCGCGCCCTTGCCCGTCGGTACAATACCCACAGGCTCACCACCTCGGCCCGAATCCGACAACGTCAAGTCGACTGATGCGATCGTGCTGCTGCTCAGAGGCAATCGTGAGCACCCCCTCCCTCCCTCATCCGCGGGCCAGACCAGCAGCAAAACTCGACTTCGTTCGATCGCCACACTCTCGACCCGTAGTGCACTCACCTCTCGAGCACTGAGCATCCAGAACGACCCTTCCTCAAAATGCGGCTCGCACATGTGCTTGCCGCGCTCTCGCTGTGTCTGCTAGCTCTCTCCCCATCCAATATGATCATCGCCGCAGTCAGCTCCAACCCGGAACGTATTCGAATGGAGAGCATTCGTCGCTTGACACTCTACGCCGACGCTCTGACAAAAGGTAGAAGGAGCAAACCTATTCCTCAGCTCAAGTGTCAAGGGGAAGCGTGCGATTGGGCAAGACCTGACGTGGTCTTTTGCAAATCCATCGGTGGTGGGGATTGGAAAGTGAGTTGATGGCAACTGCAGGGTGCCTTTAGCGCACTGGTAACCCGAAACTGATAAGGTTCTCGACGCATACATGCTACAGTGCGAAGCGGATTTGCCCACTTCTGTCAGATTGGGCAGAGTGGAAGTGTCTTGCGAAGGATGGGAGCACTCGGAAGATCCTTTTGTTCTAAAGGGTGAGTAAAATCGTGTACGAGGAGCTGCTACCCCGAGCTATCAGTAAGCGCTCCTAACGTCTTCTTTCCTCTGTCTTCCCTTGTCGACAGACTCTTGTGCTCTCACTTACCGTCTCTTACCCGCATACAGTGCCGGCTCGAAGCATCATACGACAAGTCATGGACAAGGTGAGAGTCATCGCTGCGTCTATGCATATGCGAGCGCCAGGCAACGAGGGGGCTACTGATGCAGCATTCCGATCTCTTGCGCAGACAAACCATCGCTGCTAGACACGCTCTTCCCGTACCTATTCTGGGGCGTGGTAATCTACATTGTGCTGCGCTTTGTGCAGAGCTTGATGCAACCTACTGCTGGTGCTGGTGGACCACGTCGACTAGGCTGGCTGGGCGGAGGTGGACCGGGTTTTGGGGGTGGGCCCGGAGGCGGTGGTGGTGGGGATGCTCCACCCCCTTACAAGCCGGATCCTTCGGCAACCTCTTCTGCGGGCGGGGGAGCGCAAAATGGTGCAGCATGGAGGCCGGGCTTTTGGACCGGATTAGGCTTGGGCGGAGTAGCCAATGCGGCTTGGAACGCATTCAATGCACCTCCACGTCCAACAGCTACTTTCGAGGGGAGGTATGCGGACCCGCGCAACGCGTGGGACGAGGATAGGTTCGCAACGGGGTTTGGAGCGGGGTTTGGAAGAAGAGAGGATGGGCGGAGAAGGGGAAATTCGTCGACTAGGGATCAACGAGCTAGCGGATCGAGCGAGAGGTACACTTCGACGGGGTTCGGAGGCACTAGAAACAGGTAAACAGAGCGAGGTGCGATAGGCAGCCGCATCGAACCTTTGATGCGCCGTGGAGATCCCACAGTCACGACTGCGAGACCGAGTTCGCAGGCACTGATCAAATCGAAGAGTCATGTCACAAGGGGACCCCATCTGCCCTGGCGCAAACAACGACGAGGATTTTCTCGGGATTTGTGCGGCTCTTCAGCGTGACATTGGCGCAATGCGATCATACAGCGCCTGTATGGACCTAGGGCGAGTGGTCTAGATGAATGACTGCGCAACGCACGACGATGTCCGATTCTTGAGAGCAAACATGTGCGACTGAAAAGGGTCTTGTCAGTCGGTCAACGCGGAGAAGGAGAAGGATGAAGAGAGCTGATTTCACCATTGCGAGACGTGAGCGCGCGGGTAAGCTGAGGCGTCAAAATTTCCGCAGCCGGTCGGTCGGATTGCATCGCACTCGTTGTTGGGATGAGCGAAGCCATGGTCTGGGTGATGCTATGCATTGAGAAGAGGGCGGGCGACAGGTAGCATAGAATCGAAAGCATGCCCACGCATCGCCCCGGAATGCTCGGTGCAGTGTTCTATCTAGAGAGCAACACTCACTCACCACGCATCACGCATGGCAACACGAGCAGCTATAGGTGTGTGGGCGCTGTAAGCCAATATAGTCGCCATGCAAGTCATCAACAAGGCAGAAGGAGGAGGTGAGTGAAGCTGGGCCGAACAGGGCCGAAGGGTTGCATGACTAGCGTGCGCGCGGCATGCCGCGGAGCTCACTGAGCGCGGACATGCATTTTGATTCGTGATTCAAGCTGTGATTATTCTGTTCGCCTCCGCCGTGCGCGCGTCAGCAGAAGATCACAATCTGAATAATGAACATCTGCATGCTGACGCGCGAGCTCAAAAGTGGAGGGATGGATGGATGCTTGCTTATTTGCTTGTACCGGTACGTGTGGGTGGGTGCTGCGTGTTTGCTGCGTGTGGTACTCCAACCGTGCGCGCGTTTTGATTGCATCCTTCACTCCGCGCCTTCCTTGGGACACCCTTCTGACTCGTGACTCGCGACTTATAAGAGGGCATTGAACAAAGGCATGAGAATCTCTTTCCATCACGACCACCCTCATCAAACAGCGGAGTGAAGCCTACTCGATCGCGTCATCTTACACGACACAACAAGCAGCCTGGCTCACCCACCCTCTCTTTGCACGTCACAATGTCGCTCTGTGCTTCCTGCTTGGAAGTGGGCTCTTTTAGCCAAGCCAAGGCTACAGGTCAATTGACCAAGCTGGGCAAGTTCGACGCTTACATCACGGGAGATGAAAAGAGCGACAAGGCGGTCATCATCGTTCCCGACGGTGAGTCATCATGGGTGCGCGCGACTGATGGGGGGCGTCTATTGGGTGGGTGCATGCACAGTTCTTGCTGATCGCAATTATGCGCATACACGCGTTCTCAAACGCATTCACCAGTCTGGGGTTACTCCTTCAACAATGTTCATGTAGTCGCGGACAAGTTTGCCAGCCACATTGGTGCCAGGTGAGCTGGTGATACGAACACAGGGCGCCCACTTTTGCATCGTCCGCTCACCTTTTTTTGCCACGCTGCCTCCTCCAAGGGTCTACATTCCCGATTTCCACAACAACGAAGATTTCAACAAGCAGAGACTCGCATCGCCTGACCCTGCCAACTTCAAGCCCGCAGTGGGAGATTTTCTTGCAAAGTACCACCCGAGAGATGCGGCGTGGCCGTCGGTCAGAGAGGCGGTGGACGAGATCAGAAAGGTGCAGAAGCCAAAGAAGGTCGGAGCTGTGGGCTACTGCGTAAGTCATGCCTGGTAGGCGCGTGGCGGATCGGACTGAGAGGTGTGCTGGACGGATGCTGGATGCTGACTGATCCGATCGCTTCACGCCACAGTGGGGCGCCCCTTCCATTCTTCATCTGGGCTCAGCAGCAGCGGGAGCTTCCAAAGTAGACGCGGTCGCCTTTGCCCATCCATCCCTCACCGAGACGTCCGACTTTGAAGCTCTTCAAGTTCCCGGATTGTTTGTGCTGGCGGAGCACGATCAGATTTTCACGCCGGAGAAGAAGGAAGCGGCTCAAGAAGCGACAAAGAAGTTTGCAAAGCAGGGCGGACCATTGGCTACGTGGGTCTGGTACCCCGGAGTCACGCATGGTGAGCACAAGACGGCCCTACAATTTATCTCGAAATGGAGACCTGTTTGGGTTTCCGGAATTGCCGCTGATGAGGAGTTCGCCTTGCTTACCTGCCTGCAGGCTTCGCCATTCGAGGAGACGAGAGTGACGCTTACACAGCTCAGGCTATGGGCGCAGCTGCGAACCAAGTGGCGAGCTTCTTTGGCGCTCAGCTCGCTTGACTCTCGACGATCGATGAGCAGGAAAGCAAGCTGTGAGCGATTGGCGCTCAGCTGTGCTCTGAGGTCGTTACAATGCATCGCTAGCACCCGGTTCGATGCGTTGGTGAGCTGGTTGATAGCCTCCTGCCTCTGTTTGCGGTAATGGCCTGCATGCGCACTCGGAATGCGCTTAGGTATTCTGACTTTGATTCGAGATTCGGATTGTGCGAAGACCTCAACCGACTCTCCTCGCGTCCTCACGATTCCTTGATGGGTTGATCCGACAGAAGCACTCACGACTGCTGTACTTGCGCGTCAAGAATCACGGGTCTACCTGGATGAGTGGGACCGTTCTCGTGACTTGTGACTCGTTCTTCTCGAATAAGCATGCGTCGTACTCACGACTCGAAGCTGTGATCAAGTCAGCTCGACACTCTGACTCTTTTGACTCATCCCTTGACTCGAGATCCACGACTAAACTTCATTCTCGACTCATGACTCTTCGGAAGCGAAACTTCTGTCAACCTTCACGTGACACGCGCCGAATTCAAATTGCGACACTACAATCTTGAATCAGACTCAGCTGCGACTCAAAGTGCTTCCATGCACGCGATCGATGGGCCGAAGCGGGAAAACCAGAGAGGATCATCACCTGAGAAGCCGCGAGCGCGATGAAGCGGGAACGTTCGTTTTGCGGACGCCACCGCGCGCTGCGCTCTCATGCGCGCTCGACTTGAATGCTGCTGTTGCCTTGTCGTCTTGAATGATCAACAGCTTCGACTGTTGCCATTTGTTTCAGGTTGCAAGAAGGGGCCGACAGGAATGCATCGTGCGCGACATTTTTGATCCGTAAAGCGTTTGCGGGCTAATTCGCTTTGCACACATCGATCGACCTTTGGGTCTGCCTGCAACTTCTTGCTGCCCGATCGGAGCATGAAATCGTCATGCAAGCCAAGCCAAGCCCCATACCAAGATTTCGGTGAAGCTGGCTCGGCAAGTCTGCACACTCTGACTTGTGCGCACTGAGGTCCGAGTGGCGGTGCGATGTCGTGAACGGTAGAGTGGCCCGATCATGATCGAAAGATGCTTTCCCGCTACCATCTTCCCCCACCTCTCTCCTCGACTTTGCTTGCTTCGCGTACAATACGACACCTCCGATGGGGGGTGGTCATCGGTCGCGCATCCGGCAGTCCCTCTTGCCTCTTCTGGCCACGACCTTTTGGACTTGCATCTTGCTATGTTTGCCACGCATTTGCGCACGAAATTTCACACTTCGCAACGAGATCAGAGGAGATGGGTTTTATGATTCCTTCTATTGGTGGAACTATGGCGATCCTACACACGGTACCGTCGAGTGAGTCTATGAAAGTAAGAAGTTTCCTGCAGCGGCGGCGAGCTCACCAAACGTTCTCGATTCTCGCCTCCCCTTTGCTATTGCAGCTACGTCAGCAAACGGGAGTCGCAGTCTCTAAACTTGTCATACGTCGACGCGAGCACGGGAAACTTTATCATGCGAGCAGACGATGCATCCATCGCATCGCCTTCCTCGTCCGGTCGAAAATCAGTTCGCATTCATTCCATCGACAAGCTTCAGGACGGGGTTGTGGCGATGCGGGTCAAACACATGCCGAGCGGATGCGGAACGTGGCCGGCTTTTTGGACTTGCACGACGAGCAACTGGCCAGCTGGTGGAGAGATTGATATTGTGGAAGGTGCGAGCGATCAAGGACCCAGGAATCTGGCTAGTCTGCACACCACTGCCGGCTGTACCATTCCTGCTGGCAACTCTTCCATCTCGACTGGGTGAGTGCAAAGCCCAGCTATAGCTGCAAACGAAGGTGATGAACAACCAGAGCTTCGCGACTCATGATTGCCTGTACATGTCGTCCCCCCGCTTTGAAGATTCACGGGTCAAACGGATTGTCAGTACCAACCAGGCTGCTCCGAAAGCTTCTCGCTATCAAATTCCTTTGGTCCCGCTTTCAACCAGAATGGCGGAGGCTGGTTCGTCATGGTTCGCGACACTTCTCCCATCTCGTCCACATCAAACGAGAGTGATCTCAGCAGCAGCACGACGACGACGCGGCTTCCAGGACCTGGAATTTCCATCTACTTTTACCCCTCCTCAACTTCCTCGACCGATCTACCCTCCTTCTTATCGACCAATCGCACCCTTCCTTTTGTCCTCACCGGTCTCAACGCTACCAACCCCGCACTCGGTGGCAGATCAGATGAGAATTGGGGAAGACCTGCCGCCTTCTTTCCCACGACGCCCACACCCGCTTTGCGCGCTATTGGATCAAGCAACACAACGGACGACGCGCCTTCGTGCCCCATGGACAGATATTTCGACGAGCACGAGATCATCATCAACCTCACTTTTTGCGGTTATTGTGAGTTCACAAAGGTGGCATCCCGCTCTCGCGAGAAAAAAAGAGCGTGGGACACGTGCTCCCCCCCCTTCCGAAATCTCTTCATCTTTTGCGATGTGTGGCCGTGCAGATGATTGATCAGGCCCTTCCTTCATCTCCTCAAACTTTCTCGAATCGCAGGGGCTGGCGAAACGTTTCCTTACGTGTCGACGTGTCCCAAGAACACGACTTGCGACGAATACGTTAGGAGTGAGCATGTTGGCCTGATGTCTACAAATGTGCACTCCGACGATCCACTTCACTGCTTTTCCTGACACGTACGCGCCCCCCTTCACGCCTCTTCCGCAGATAATCCGCAAGCCTTCTCGGAAGCACGCTGGGAGATTGAAAAGCTGCTCGTCTACACGGATGGCGCGTCCCGCGTCGCAGCATCTTCTCGCATCTGGACACTCGGCATCGGCTTTTTGCTCGCTTGTATCATATCCTGTTGGTAGCCAGAATTTATAGAGGGTTTGGGATGTGCAGATCACAGAATCGCGTGCAGGAAACGAAGAGTGGAAATACCTCGGCATGCGAATGAGCTCGGTGCAGCTCTGCGGCATGGAATAAATGCTCAGAGCTTGAGCGTTGCTCCGCTAGACGGCGGGGTAGCATTACCGCCCCTCTTGCCCTTGCCCTTTGCGTTGCCTTCTTTTCCCGCACCGGCCTCCTTCCCCTTGCCTACCACGCTGACGCCCTTATTTCCCAAAAGGCCCCTAAGCGCCGTATCCTTTTCCTGCCTCTCCGCCTTTTTACCTCTACCGCCGGGTGCGCTGCCGGGTACTCTGCGTCCGCTAGCAGCCGCATTGATCTGCAGCGCCTTTTGATGATCCGCAATGCGCTTATTGCGCGCCTTTTTCTCCGATCGCAAATTGTGGTGCAGCCGTTGAGCTTCTTCGGGCGTCAGTTCGGACCGATCGCCCGAGAGGGAGGCGGAATGAGCTGCGCGCGCGTAAATCTCTTCTGGTGCCAGCATCGTTCCGGCCGAAGAGGTGGAGGGCAAAGCGCTCTCGATACTGATCGTCGGAGTGTTCGCGATGGTCCGGATAGACGTCTTGGGCTGCAAATGAAGAGGGATGCGAGACTGATCAGCGCTGGAACGAAGTATACAAAGTCTTACGAGCCTACTGACCGCCTTTGGAGTGTAGTGAGCGTTGCTGAGTGCATCCAGCTTGGCACAAACCTCATCGAACACCTGCTCGATCTCTTCATGCTCCTTCTGCAGCTTTGCATCCGCCGCAGGTGCGCTTGCGCCGCTCTCACCATCCCCTCTAGAGGCCGCATACTCGTCCTCGTACAGCTGAGCCAAGCTCTTTGCGCTCTTGGCGTCAGAAAGTTCCAGCAGCCTGCTAGGCAAGAACGGCGTAGCCTCAATGTTTCTCTTGCGCACCACATCGTCGAACCTATTCTCCAGGATCCTAGTCTTGATCAAATCTTCCAAACCCTCAGTGACTTCCTCGGTGATGATGGGCTTGGCTTTTCCTGCACTTTCAAACTCCAAGTCCTCCTCCAACAGACTATTCTCTGGACGTTTCTTGCTCGATGCTTCGCCCATCAAGGTCCAGTCTCGCTTGCCGACATTCTCTTGCTCAAGCATGTCAATCTCCTCTTGCAGAGCAGCCATACGTCGCTCGTGAGTTGATTGCTTCGAGGCTGGAGAGATGGCAAAACAGAGCTGTAAGCGAAAAGTCCATGGCAGCATGGTCAATCACCTGACTCGGTACTTACAGGACTCTTCTGAGGGCTCATCCGCAAAAAGATCGCCAGTAACTCTTCTAGCCGTCTGCACTCCAGCGTCATCGGCAGCATCGCCGTCGACCGACATGTCTCGGTCGTCCTGTCGATCCTCGTCACCCGAGTCTTGACCTTCGCCATCATCATCCATATCCATCCCCTCTTCGTCACCATCGTCATCCTCATCGTCCTCATCATCCTCTTCATCTGCATCCTCGCTGTCGCCTTCTTCCTCGTCCTCACCGTCATCTTCGCCATCCTCCTCCTCAGCCTCGTCCTGTGCTGCGCCATCCATCTCTCCCGAAGCGTTCTGCGCCTCCTCCTTGTCCAGTCCGCCCTCCATGAGCATCCTGAGCAGCTCGGGCGAAACAGCTTCTTTCATCTTTCTGCTCTTGATCCTCCTGACTGCCACCTGCTGCGCGAACCTGACCGAAGGTCCCTTTTTGGTCTTGGCTCCAGAATTTAAGTCTGCGAGCGTCTCTTTCGGATCTCTGTTCTCCGCGTCTTGCTGATCAGATCCTGCACTCTCGAAGGTGCTAGCGGCGGCGCCTTTGCCCTCCTCTTGTGCTGTGCCTTTCAGCTTTCCCTTGACTCCAACTCCCCCAGACTTGGATATTCGTTTGGCGTAAGGTGGAGGTTTGAAAAAATCGGCATACCGAATGTCCGAAGCGTCTTGACCTCGCGCATCTCCCTCGTCGTCCACATCCATCTCCTCCAATATTGCGCCCCCTCCAAATCCGCCGGGATCTATTCAGTACGAGCACGGGCCGAGTCAAAGCGCACGTTAGCGGCGGAACGTGCGCACCACAGTCCAATCGCTCTGCACAAGTGCGACCGACACCTCTCACCTTTGAACAGATCAACATCCTCGTCATCCTCCGAAGACGCGGAATCTTCCTCCTCATCCATATCCTTGCCCTTCTTGAGGCGACTTGCGCTCATCTCAGGCCGTGCTTCGCGCCTCTCAGCCTCGTCCAGCTGCTTCTCAAATTCGGCGTAGGAGAAGAACTCGTCATCGAGCGTTGGGAAGGATTTGCTGCTCGGAAAGACGATACGCAAGCCCAAAATTGTAGGTAAGCGCCCCAGAGAGACTGTCAAGGGGGGGCTATGCGACACTCACCGAGGTCTGCCGTTCGAGACGGAGCTTCCGGGCTCGTCGAGATTGTCCAGAATGCTGGCTCTGCGCCTTTCCTCTTTCGCCTTCGCATCTTCTTCCTCTTCGCTTTCCCTTTCCTCCTCCTCGTCTTCCTCTTCCGCAGCTCTCCGATTGGCGAGCAGCATCTGTCTGAGCTCCGGATCGATGTTCTCATCCTCTTCATCCGTCTCATCCTCCTCCCCCTCCTCATCGCTCTCGCTGTCATCCTCAACATGCATGCCGGCCTCTTTCAGGGCCTTTTTCTGCGCTCTTGTTCGTGCATACTCGGCCATGATCAGCGCTTCTTTTCGTTTCTGCTGTTCTCGCTCGTCCAACAATGGCTCGTAAGAGATGTCGCGCGACTCTTCGAGATCGGAGAGATCCGACGCGCCAGCGTAGCCTTCGCCCGAGTCGGAAGATTTGTCGGACTCGGAATCAGAATGAGAGGCGTAGGACTGGAGCTCGGAGCGCATGGACGGATCAACTCCCAGAGCTCGTAGCTCCGCATCGGAAAGTTCGTCGAGGGAGTGGACAATCTTTCTGCCTCCGGCTGCGCTTTCCCCTTCATCATCCTCATCCTCTTCTTCCGTCCGGTTTGCACTCCTCTTGAAGGGTTTACCAGCTGGTTTCTCTTCCTCTTCCTCCTCCTCTTCTTCCTCCACCTCTCCACCCTCGACGCTTACGATCCCCTTGATTAGCTTCTCCAACTTGACACCTCTGAGTTCCAACTGCGTCCAAATCTGATCCGAGCTCATGCCCTGTACCGTTAAGCTCTCTAGCGGGGTGGGGTCAAACAGCGGATGATGGGCAGATGCGTGCGTGGGACGTTTTCGCTTCTTGCCCGCTCGAGTAGATCGAGCCACTTCCGTGGGGAAATTGTCGTGCAGAAAAGGAGTCATGTATGCCAACGCTTTCGATTCCGATCGCAGAGCTGGAGTGGTGGAAGGGGGGAGAGGAGGCAAGGCGAGAGAGGATGATGGCGCCAGACACGAGGAGGGGAAAAAGCAGGGGTCAAATCAATGTATAGGTCAGCTTGGACACACTCCCTCACCCCCGCGCCACGCTCCCTTCTCGCTCCACACTCACACAGATCGCAAATGGCCTTGCATGCGCGAGAAGCGAGCTGGTGAAGATGCTCATCTGATGCTCGACTGAATCTCTCTGGCTCGTTGGATATCAATGCGGACAGCTCTTCAAGCTCTGCAGGCGTGTTCATATCAGCGCCGGCAACGCTGCCCCCGTTGGGCAGCTCCTCGGCCATGGCGGAGGGCTAGGTGATGCGGGCGATGAGAACAATGCAGCGTATCCTGCGGCAGGAAGCACGTGCACGTGCCGGAGGTGGTTCTTTGATGAAGATGGTGTGAGCCTGAGTTGCGAATGGATCGGAGTGGTGCCAATCAAAATTCGTGATAGATTGTGATTGCTGAATTTCCCCTTTTTTTCTCGCCCAGCTGTATAGTTTGGTGAGAATCAAATTGTGATTCACGTGATCAGCTTTGATTCTCACGTGATTTGGCGCAGTCCGCCCCTCTGCCGCGTCCTGCGTGGGAAAGCCGCGGCTCATTTGATTCGAGATCCGGCATGCATATATGAGACTCATCAGACTATGTAGCACAAACGGCGCGTCTGCGGAGGACCAAGCTGAGGTGCTTAATTCACATTGCATGGCTTGATCGCGTGTGTGTATGGTCACGAATCAAATGGGAGCCGGCTGCATCTAAGCAAGCCAGGGGGGGCCGTTCGGCGCCATTCAAGACGGACACAAATGAATCTTGAATCGTAACTCTCATACACCATCACTCGCGACGCTTGATCATTGAGCATACGTGGATTGGATGAAGCATGCCGCTCTCAGCCTGATAGGAGTGAATGCATTCTTGTTGCGAAGCGGAGGTTCACTGGGAGATGCTTATACGGAGATAGAAAGGGAAAGCTCAAGACGCTAAAGTCAAAGCATCACAAAGGATCAAGAGCGGGTGCTGCGCCTCGTCTCGACCAGGGCAGAGCAGGGCAGGCACACAAGCGAGTCAATTAATCCAGAACGCGTGGCTCTCCCTCGAAGCGTCTTGGGAACGACACGGTGCGCCTGAGCACTGCGAGCCTTCGCAGACGTCCGCTCGATAAGATCAGACGACGCTTGCTTTGATAGGGTCGCCAGCTCCGCATGCCGCCCGAGCGAGAAAGGTAGGGGCATCTATAAACGCCAACCAATCACTCGCGCCTCTAGTCGTCAGATCGGCAAAGGATCAAGCTTGGGCCTGTTGCTGGCATATACGCTGCCTGTGCCGCGGTCGAGGCAGAATCGATTATCCCTTTCGGACCGAACCCTCTGGTGCTGCAGACCCGTAGCGATGTCTGCTCCCTCGCTGTCTAGGTCTGCCTCTGAGGGTCTTCGTCGACGAACATCGACGCTTTTCGAACCGCTGCAGCATCACATCTTCATCTTTCTTCCTCCTATTCTGTACCTCGTCTCTGTATCTGTCGAATGGAGCATCCTGCTACTTCAATACGCTCTGAGCAGGCTTCAATCGTACTCAGGCCTGCTGTTGGGCAGGATACTGCCGGTGCTGGAAGAACTGCTCTTGAGTGCCGCTCAGGATGTAGTAGGAAAGCATGCACTCGCATTGCTCGGTGTCGAGGTCCACCGTCGCTCCGTGAGCGTCAAAACGGAGCTCAACTCAAGACCCGACGAACACACGACTTCCACTTCTCAAGGGACGAGCAGCGCAGGCTCCGAGGTTTCGCCATTCAGCCTCTCTCGAGCCTGGTGGGATTCCTCTCAAGGTTCTCTATACGTCCTGTGCAGCGCACCAAGCAGCACCTCTCAACTCTTCTCTCTTCGTCTAGCCCTGACATTGGCAGCGCGCAAGAACGATAGCGTCATCATCGTACTGCCCGATCAACCCTTGATGGGCGATGAGGTGGGATTGGAGAAAGTGTATGCCAGCTGGGCCGATGTTAGAAAGGGATCGCTTGGCAGGAGCCAGAGGGGGGAGGCTCCGGAGCTGGGAATGGGCGTGCGCAGGGGGAAAAAGAGGAGATTTAGCCCGGCCTCTTCTTGGACGGCTAGGATCGGTTTGGATACCCCTCCGAGGGATGTAGGAGCGGTGAGAGAGCGCCAATTGAGCCGCATCCGAACGAGAGGCGCGCACGTGGTACTGATCTTTACTTTGATTTGCTGATCTGAATCAGGTCATTCCCGTTACGGCATCCGTAACGTCCCACATCGGATTGGAACGCGCATCCTCGACCGTCTCGTCTTACGCCACTTCTCACCATCTGCTTCTCAAGGCCTTGATACTCATTCCTCCAGGCTCATCACCTGATCCCCACGCTTACGATGGAGCAGTGCAAGATGTAGAAGCGCTTAGTAATTTTCACGCGGCGCTCGAGTCTCTCTTATCCAGGGATGGGGGAACATGCATCTCGCTCTCTCCTTGCTCTCCTCCTGCCGAACCCACCAACGCGCTCTTCTCGCAAATACCTCGCGTCATTTGTCGCACGCCGCTCGCACATCCTCCGAGAACGCTGCGCGGCACCCTCTCCGCGCTGCTCTTTTCGACGTGGGAGAGAAGCAAATGGAGAGGATTGGGAGCTATGGCTAGAGAAGAAAGTCTCTCTGCCTCCTTCTCCTCCTTCTTGGCCGTCTCGCGAGAAGCTCAAAGAGCCACAAAGGACGTTTTCAGCGCGCATGAAGAGCGTCGCACGCCGCCGCCGCCTGTTCCTAGAGCCCTGATAGCGTCCATCTTGCGCTGTTTGAGTTTCGCAAATGTTGGCGCAAAGAGGGGATGGATATGTTTGTGGGAGGAAAGAAGGGCGCGCATTCATCTAGCGCAGAAAGGCTTGTTGCCCTCCATCTTGGCTTCTTACGCACTCTGCTTGGACCTTTTGGCCATGCTTGACCTCATCCATTTGTCTGAAGAGGGACAAGAAAACAAGGGACAGGAAGCGCGAGAATCAGATTCGAAAGATGGCGATGCTGCTGCTGCTGCCCCTGCAAACTCGAAAGTGAGCAGCATGAAGTGGCCCAGAAGAGAGGAGAGTAGAGAGTTGCGGCTTGGGATGGTCACTTGCGCAGGTATCGGACCTAGACTTTTACGCCTGCCCATGGGCATCGGTGCAAGACTTGAGCGGATCTTACTGCTGCTTGAAGATCGGCAGACTTGTATAGAGCCTCGTGGGCCTTGATCGACAACACTTCTTCATCATTCAATTCCTCCTCATAGGCTTAACGTTTCGCGACTATCCCTAACCCTAAGCATTGCGAATTCTTGTACACGTACCCTTGTGCCATTGGAATGGGATCATGCTGTCTGCGGTATCAATCATTCACGACGACTCACTGACTGTCTTTGTGTTGGCCTGCTTCATTCGTGATTGCCAAGAAGGCTGTGCGGCAAGTCATCGCGCGCGCACTCATCAGACTCGTGTTTCACATTCGACATTCACGTGACTCCCTCATTCATATCCTTGATTTTCACGTGATTCAACCTGCTGGTCAGCTCCTCGCTGCCATCGGCCCCTCCACTCACGACTCGAGACTGACACTCATAATTCCTTTGTCGCACTTGACTTCATCCACTACTCTGACTTCGTGACGCTGACTGCAGATCGCGGTAACATCGTGCGACTGACGGCTCGCAAGAATCATGAGTACCTTTGCGCTTCGTGCACTTGACTGCATCCACTCACGACTCAGACTCACGACTTCCTTTGTCGCACGTTATCCACTCTGACTTCGTGCACTTGACTGGATGGATGTGCCAGGCATCCCCCCTTGTCAAGAACGATCACTTGCGGGATTGCGATTGCGATTGCGTGTGGATTGGGTAGCGTCGTGCACTCGACTCTCTGTGCCCATCTCCCTCTCACTCCATACGTCGCACCTGACGCGCCTCACGCATATAAATACCAGCGCGCATACATCCACTCTCCCTTCTTGATCAACATCACCAACGACATGACCTACGAAGTTTGAAAGCATCCCATCGCACAGCAAGACGACGACCAAAGCTTCATCTCATCTCATCACATCTCAACTCGTGTCATCTCAACTCGTATCAACTCATCTCGTATCATCTCGACTCATCTCACCGCGGATCACCTCATCTCACCGCGGATCACCTCATCTCATCGGCAACAATGAATTCACGGCTCCAAGCCACACTTTCACCGCCCTTCATGCGACGCTTTTCGATTGCGGCTCTCTCGCTGCAGACTTGTGGTGCAGCTGGCAGATCGGCATGGACAAGAAGGCACAGACCGTCTATACCTGGTCAAGACTGGCTGGATGGGCACGCGAGCGCTGACAGACGTTCAATGTCCACCTCGGCGCGCACACTCGCACTGTCCACCACCTCTCCACGACGACCAAGCATGTCGCCTGTATTGCAAGCGCGCATACCTCTTGCCATTCAAGCTAGAAGCAACCACACGCTCATACCCTTCCCAGCATCGGATCAAGCATCTCGCAAAGCTCCAACGCCCGTGATTTTCCTCACTTGCAGAAGGCTAGACATCCTAGCCTCCATTCGCGATGCAACGGAGAGAAAGTCGGAGCAAGAAAGACAAAGATCTGAGAATGTTCATGCGAAGCGACCTGGAGATGGTCCACCCAGCTGGTGGCCTTTACCTTTGCATCACTGGGCTGACAAATTCTCAAAAGGAGGTTGGCAGGGCTTTTTGATGGATCTGGATGAGGATCTGACTTGGTCAGCGTCGGAGGATAATGTTGAGGTCGAGACTTGGATGGACCGTGGAGCTTCAGGTACGTCGCTTGACCGTTTTTCGTCTTGAGCAGTGGTGCTGTGCACAGGTTCACAGCGACAAGGGAGGGCCATGATCCCATCCTGCATGAGGCGAGCACAAGCTCGCTTGATCATTGACAGGCAGCTATCAGAGCAGCCTTATCCTTCGCTCCTCGCTGAAATGTTGCTCCCCCTCCACCTCACCCAATCACAGAGCTATCCGAACTTGTGCGAGGCGTTTCTGCTTTCCCACCCCTTCTCATCGCTCACGGCGCGGCTTGCGTGGTGGCAGAACAATACGTTGCTAGCAATCCCGTCTCGGGATTGATCCTGCACGATCCACCGCTATCCATTGCTCGCGCGAGGCAACGCGGACTCTTCGTTCCCGAGGAAGGTCAGTCTTTGCCTCGTGGTCCATTTCCGCCGCCACCATGCTCATACTGCTGACGACTGTGATCCTTTCACTCTTTTTTCTTGCCTCCATTTCTCCGACGTTGCGCCTTTGAACAAATACAGTCCTTCCCATAGAGGAACCGACGTACGAACCTCGCTTCGCGACGATTTGTACCTGGTCCGCGGCCGAGTTGAAGCGGCACAAAGAGGAGGAGCAAGTGCCGTACTACGAGGTGCACAGGCTGGAACATCTTCGAGAAGAAGAAGCCAGCGAGGCTTTGGATAGGGTGATCTGGGAGCTGAAGAGTGACGAGGACGCTGACAAGGTCATCGAGTGGGCAGAAGAAGAGGCTGGCCTGTGAGTCTGTGAGTCACAACGGGATGCCATAGCACTGTGAAGCGGGACATTTCTCTCAAGACTCAACAACATGTCCTCCTGTGCTGGCAGCGCCGCTGGCGATCAAGCCGCCGCACTGGCTGAAGAATGTCAGGACTCGGAATTGGACGTGAATGCTCTACTAAGAGAGGTCGAAGCTGACGAGCAAGAGGCCAAGTCCGACGAGGATGCCATGCCAAGTGAGGAGGAAGGGCAAGAAGAAGCGATGTCAGCAGCAGCAGCCGACACGAGCGCGGATTCGGCGTATATGCACAGTAGCGCACCGAAAGCGAGAGCGCTGCCATCATGGTTCGACGAGTCGATGGGCTATCGAATCACCTCTTCCTCCAAAGAACCCATCCTCATACCCCCTTCTCACCTCATCGAGACGTTCATTCGAGGCAGCGGTCCAGGCGGTCAAGCGATCAACAAGCTCTCCACCAACGTTTCCTTGCTGCACAAACCTAGCGGTACGAGGATCACTTGCCAAGAGACCAGGTCGCGGGATACGAACAGGATGCTGGCTAGGCGGAAAATGTCAAAGGCGATCGATGAGATTGTGAGGGGCGAGCAGAGCGCGGAGCGGGTCAAGAGGGAAAAGGAGAGGAGAAAGGCATTGAATAGGAAGAAGAAGAGCAAGAGAAAGTATAGAGCTTTGAAAGAGGCCCAGCAGGAATTGGAATGAGATGGGGTTTTGGGGTGAATCGTCTCTAGACTTGCGGAATGCGTGCATGCAAGCTGCTGTAGCGCACCGTTCAAGCAGGTAACAGATCAGGAGACCGCAAGCTTGAAAATGTGAAAGCTCGTGACTAGAGTCTCGCGCGTAGTTTGTGCATGCAAGAGTAGCTTTTCGAATGTGTACATGATATGATTACGTGGGGACACGAGGATAAAATGGACAGATGGACCAAACGTAAGCCGACTCGTCGCGCTGGACGCATCGTTCAGAAGGTGGGCGAAGTGATGATGAAGCAATTCGTCTCGTTCCTCTTCACCCACCTCACCACCGAATTAGCGAGCGCCACGAGGGCGGATTTGGATATGTGAGGCGAAGCGGTCAGGTAGAGTTCGAAGGTGGGCGTTTGCCATGCGTAGACGATCTCCTTTGTACCCTTGAGCAGATGCTGTTGGTGTTGCTGTTGCGAGGGGCGAGGGGGAGTGGGACGGACAGGTAAGACGCTTGGAGGAACGTATCTTTCTGATTTGGTCGGTTCCGACGCTGCAGACACCGCGCTGACTGGTCCTGTAGTGCTCGACGCGTCTGCTTCTGGGTCGCCCGGCACATGCTCATCGTCTTTGTGCTCTGTGACTTTGCCTCCATTCCCTGCCTTTGCCTTCTTCCTTTTAACAGCAGCAGAAGCAGGATGCAACATTTCCCAAGCTTTGGTATAGAGCAAAATCAACCTCTTGTGCTCATCGCTTCCGACCACATAAGGATCTTCGAAGCGACAAGCGGTGATCTGAAAGTTTGCTCTCCACTTGAAGAAAAAGTGTCGAAGTCCAGCAGCTGCTGGCAGATCGTCTGCCGAGTAGCTCTCGTGCGGCAAGGCGCTCACAAGACTGTTGAGCAAAGAAGTCTCTTTCAGAGATTGCAGCACCTTGTTGCGCCACGAAGAGAGCGAAAGGAAACCTTCACGGTCGGCCGTGATCATGACCAGAGCTAGTTGTGGAGTTCTCGCCTTGACGGATCGCTTCGATGCGATGCTTGTGCCGTCTTCGTCCAAGTCTTCTTCGGACGCATCTAGGAAGGACACGTGCGCGTGCAGGAAACCCTCGGGCGCAAACTTGGGTAGACAAATGGGGATCCAGCTTTCAGAACCGCTTTCCCGCAGCGCTTTGGTACCGTAGACGGTGTTGACAATGATGGCCGAGTCAACGGGGTGCACCGAGTGTTGTTTGGGTCGAGCAATGGTGATGATCTTTTCCTTTGCCAGCAAGATTATGTAGAGCAACTGATCAGGTTTTGACTTTTTGTCGGGCACCAAGCGATTGGCCACGTCGTCCCTGGTAGAAGCTGACAATCTCAGCGGTTGCAAAGCTCCGAGGGGAATAGACACGTCCACCTGCATACGACCAATCAGCGCATCCAAAAGCCCATCCGTACCCTCCAACATTCTCCTCAAGTCGAAATTGGCGGCGCGCGCAAAGAGTCGCTTGAGCTGCGCCGCAGAGACAAGCCCGATGACGCCCCGATGAAGGTGCTCCAAGTGCATTCTGCGCGTCTCTTGCCCTTCTCCCCAAGCAGAAACGCATACCAAGTACAATGGCGATCTCAAGAGATACGTGATTTGCTCCCTCTCTTTTAATCTGAGTATTTCGCGAGACTTTAGCTCCAGCGTTCCCTCTGCCGCTTCTTGATAATTGGAGACGAGAGCTTGGAGGATGGCGCACTTCTGCGTTGCCCGCTCATCCTCCTCATCGTCCACTTCTCTATTGCGACCTCTGAGCTCATCCACCTTCCTTTCGTCCTCTTCCTCATCCACGTCACCATTCTCCGGGGCTTCTCCCTTCTCCAACCTCTCTTGCCGCCTCGCCGTAGACTCGGCCGCGAGCTTCTTGCGCAGCGCAATGACACAAGCGCTCCGTCTGGCTCGCGCACAAGAGAGAGCGCTTACGTAGATTGGCTTACCAGCAGCGCTCAGTACATAATATTCGCGCTCAGGAAAAGCCGCTCGAGCACTCTGCGGGTCGGTATCTGCTTGCGTCGCTCCTGATGCATACGCTTCAGAGTAGTCTGTCACAAACGAGAACAGGTGCAGGCTGTCAGCCGCGCGAGAAGTGCTTCACAGCTCTACTTTGCGTTTCCCGATGTCGTTGAAACTGACCATGCTCGATAATATTCCTAAACCTCTCCTCCTTTGCGCGTATATTTTCCCTCTTCTGCGCTTCCAACTGCAACCTCTTCTGTTCCGCTGTTTCCTCTTCTTGCACCGAACTTGCAGGCTTGTTGCTGCTCTGGTGATCCGCCTTGCCTTTCGTCGTGCCAGGCCCAGATCTGCTCGAGCGATTCGATTTGGACGAGACAGGGACTGGAAAAGAGCCCCTGGGCAAGTTCGAAGCATGGGCAGAAGCAGGGGTAGACTGCATCTTCGTCTGAGTATTTTCGAAGTTACGCGGGCTGCTGTTGCTAGTCGACGCCTCGACAGATGTCCCACCTTTCCTCTGCGACGTCTCCCTGGACCCAGGTCTCGCACCCTGATCCTCATTCTGACCCGGCTTTGTTTTAGACTGATCGGTCGATGACTGTCCCCACCATCTGCCCCTCACGAAGCCCGAGGCAGAGAGGGAAGATCCGCTTATGCCAGATGCTAGCCCGCTCAGATCTGCTCCACTGCGCAGGGTGGACAGTCCTGGCATGCTAGGTATGCTCCATCTCCATCCCGAGCTAGGGTCTGAGGCAGAGCCAGAGGCAAGGCTCGACGTCGATGTCGACTGGGTTTTCTCAAAACTCTTTTGGCCGGCTGCATCGATCGAGTACTGATCCATGGCGGTCTTGTTACCTTTACCCTCTGTACCAACCTCGCCATGGGACCGAGATGCAGCTTGATGATCGAGCGTCTCAGCAAGTCCTTGCTTGCCGCTCGTCCCTGCCGACCCTTTTGCCTCCTCATCTTTGCTCTGTGCCTCTATCGCACTTTCTGCCTCTTCCGAGCCCGGCGCTTCTGAGGCAGAAGCGGATAGGTCTGCGCGAATAGCGCTCATCAATCTCGACTTGAGCACGTCGGGTCTTTTGTGACCCTCCTCCTTTTCAACATCCGTTCCATCCCCGTGGCTCTCCGTCGCCTCTGCCGCAACTTGTCCCGTCGCATCTTCTGCATTTTCTTTACCTTTACCCTTTCCCTTGCTACGGCCATTCAGACTCGCCTCACCCTTCTCTCCTGTTGGCAATGCAGAAAGAAGCGTAGAGACGCCCCCCGCCAACTCGTCCGACAAGCCCACTTGGGCCTTTCCCGTCCCCGTCGCGCTGCTTCCCTTCACACTCCTTGGCGCTCCTGCTGCTCCAGCAACTCTGGAAGGACTGAAAGTCGCGTATGATCTGGCGGACCTTGTAGAAGTTGGCGAACTGGGTCTCGACTTTGTGTGCTGGCTTGGACCAGCGAGGCTGTTGGAGTGGAGATGTTGAGGAGAAGAGAGGGATCGGATCAGAGTTGGTGGAGGAAACAAGGCAAAAGTGGAAGTGGCGGAGGGGGATGCGGGGTCGTAATCGATGGGCGCATCGCTGACATCAAGATTCGTTGCAGTTTCCATGTTGGCAAAATGAGTCCAGACGTGTGGGGCATTCGAGAGGCGAATGAGTTATGGATTGTCTGGCTTGGCTGGGTGCATTGACATTGACACTCGTGGATGTTCTCGTGCGCTGGATCATGAAGACTTGGAACTTTCACGAGTTGAAGCCAAGAAGCGCATGTGCCGGGTCGTGAAGTCATGACAGCCTGGCTGTCAATCAAACGCAAAAGCGAATCGTGAATGTGGTGGTTCGTAGAATGAAGTCACAGTGAGCGTCGTTACGTATTCAAGAGTCGTGAGTGTTGGTTTCTATGCGCGCGAATCGCGCATACATGCGCTCCTCCCATACCCAGCCCTGCACGCGCGCGACGCCGCACCACCACCAAGGACACACCCGTCGTACACGTGCTCTCCACTCGATCAAGATCGAGTGTCAAGTGTCTCGTCATACCGATCAAGTCGTCCCTCTACGCCCAACATGGCAGGGGATTCGGAGAAAAGCAATGGACCAGTCATTTCGCTACAACATCAAGTCAAGTCTCGACATCGTCGTGTGCTTTCCCATCTCTCGCACACCTGCAAGTCTCACCTCACCACCACTGCGCAGTGGATGGATTTGCAAGAGCGTTGGAAAAGGCGTTTCAGTCCAGTTCAGACCGATATGCAGAATCGAGACACTCTTGATCGGCGTATTGTATACATCATGGTACCTGTGCCCCACGTGCGACGAGCATGACGCAAGACTGCATTCTGTTTTGCCTCATTTGCCTCTGTTTTGCGACGCCTAAATCCCACCCTGCAAGATACGCTGTGCCACTCTTTCTTTGACCTGTATAGGTGAGAGGGTAGTGGGCATGCTTGGTGTCAGTGGAGAGATCGGTAATCGGATCATTGCGTTGACGCGTGGCAGGCACCTCTTGCCCAGACGGATCACCCTCTGCCCCCGTCTTGCAGACTCCGCTGCTTTCCAATCACCCACCACGACGCACAAGGACCCGAGTAGCCTTGCTTTGCCTTCCCTCGACGAGCACAGACCTCACATGATTTGACATGACCACGTCTTTCAACCAACCTCTCGCCTGGCCCCCAGCTCATCGCCTGCACACTCACGGAAGAGTAAAAGTTGGACAAGGTTTGCTCGTTGATTTGCGGCATCTCTGTCACGTCTGGACGAGGTCTAGAGACTCTAGAAGCGATCGTCATGCTGTCCATCTCCAATATAATTCTAGCGATTTACCATCAACGGCAGCATTTGACAAGGTGGAAGGATCGCTTCAGCATGGCCATTGGTCATCACGCCTCTTTCTGTACGTCGTACCACGCATCACGACTCACCCATCATCCACGCTCTCGTCGATGGCCAACGTTACCAAATCCAAATTCTCTAGAACCGCACGTCGATCGATCTGGCCGTGTTGCAAGAGCGCAGCGATGGAGTCGTACAGACTCGAGAGCAGAGATGAGAGCATCAGCTCATTCTCCCCCTGAGGACCCACGACGTAGAGTATGACGTCCAAAGAAGCTCGGAAGAGGACGAGATGCGAATCGTAGAGGATCACATCGCCTGTGGAAAGGTTTCGTTGTCAGCATCACACTGGTCGACCTTCGCATTACATTACCCTATGCAGGTCATGTGACCGGCATACGTCGGCCTAATCGCAACACCACACCATACCGCAATGGCGAGATCAAGCCGAGCACTCACCAGCAGCCCGTCTAGTCTTTTCCCATACAGCCTTTTCAAAAGCCTTTTGTTCCCTCAGCGTTGCAAAATTGTTCTTGGCGTTCAATTGAGGAGGTAAGCCGCTCGCTGTCGCATGTGCTGGAGCGCCGGATTGAGATTGAGGCTGTGCATGAGGAGGTTCGTAGTACTTTGCTACGATGCGCGATCCATCCGAGGCGTCCAAAAGCAGGATGGCGGTGGTCGAGTATAGCGTTAGGTTAGACATTGTGATCTGTGATGTCGATCACAGTGGACAAGAAGAGCAGGCTTTGCTGTGCTGATGGAGATTTCTTCACGCTAGAATCAGGTCACTTTGGCGAACGGCGTTGCGAGCCTCGATTGCTGCGGGATGCCTATGCGGCTTTGACAGCCGAGAGTTCAGCGCAAGCGACCCGTGCAGTGGATGTCGCGGCTTATGATCTGTGTCTTGATCTTTGTGCGGGTGAAGAAAGAGAAGGCGAGGATGTGACAAGGTGGGAGAGAGCAAAGGTGCGAGTCGAGCCGAACACATCCAAACGCTATGCATCACACCTCATGATGGCTGCTGTTGGCGACGTGGTGGATACGTCACGTGTTCGTGCACGGACGCATCAGACTTGCGTGCAGGTTTGGCGCGTTGTCTTGACTGCAACGCACGACCTGCATGCATGCATGCAGAAGCGTGCACCGCCCCGCGCGACCGCTTCAGAACTGCGCTGCGCCCCTGTTGCTCTTCCTGCGCTTCTTCTCCCCATCCATCCATCCATCCACCGTTGGATGCAACAGGACTTCACAAAGCAGGTCCATCCAGCCTGCTCGCTCTTTCAAGAGATCCCTTGCACCACCTGATCACTTCACCCATTCACCTGCTCGCCCGGCGCGGGCTCACACGCTGATCGAGCAACCAACCAGCTCCATCATGTCGAGCTCCACCCTGGCGCCTCCCACAGCGGACTCATCGCGCTCGTCCAATGTCAATGCTGCGTCGTCCGGCGAAGACTCGCTGACATCTCTGCGTCATCGCCTTCGACTCAATTTACCACCTTCTTCAGCTCACGCCGCTCCAGAAGAGGTCAAATCGTTCGAGATGTTGAGCTTGGAGAGGGAAGGGCAAAAGAGGAAATTGAGGCTTGGTAGGATGTGTGAGTAGCTTCCCATAGCGCTTGCATGTATGCACTGCTACTGTGTGCTTTCTGATGAGGTCACTCAGCTGAAAGGTAAAGTCATGCTGCCTCTTCCCACACTCCTGCTTGCCTAGCCTTTTTCAAGGATGCGCTGCACCTTCGATCATCCGTCGTCTTCTCCGTACTGCCCACCTTGATTCTGCTCATGCTGTTCGCATACCTGGTAGCAGCCGCAAATTTGCGCTACGGCAAGCAATGGACCGCCTCTTCCGTCATCATAGGACCTTTGTCTGTAGTCTTTGGTCTCTTGATCGTCTTTCGCAACGGAACGTCTTACGATAGGTGGTTCGAAGGAGCTAAGGATTGGCAAAACTCTCTCTCGGATGTCAGAAGCTTGGCCAGATTCGTTTGGATCAATTGCGATTTGGAGACGCTCAAAGGGGATGATGCAAAGGATTGGGAGGAGAGGAAAAGAGTACACGTGCAGAGGAAAAAAGAGGCCATCAGATTGCTGGCGCTGTTTTTGTACGCTACCAAGGTGAGTGTGCCACTGTCAGTGATCGAGGCGCCGTTGTCGGTGTGCATCAGCGCGTGACTGATGTTCATCGCGCCCGTCAGCATCACCTTCGAGCGGAGCACTCTCTCGATCAAGACGATTACGAGGGCTTGTTATCGCCTGGTCTGAAGGCTGCATACGAGCGCACTCTTACTCGCGGCTCGCGCCTCTCCACAACGTTCAACTCCGTCTCCGCACCCACCACACCTCGCTCGTCTTTTCTGGGTCGATCGCGAGGCGGTGTCACAGCGGATAGCGAGACGGCGCCGCTTTTGTTGGACGACGAAGAAGCATCGTCGGAGCCTCTGTCCTACCAACTCCTAGCAGCTTCGCAAGGCATCTCCCTACCTCATTTTGTGCTACTGCAATTTGGCAAGTATCTGGCCAAAGCGAGAAGGAGGGGATGTTTCGAAGATGCGGGAGCTCCTAGCTTTGCGATGATCAACACGCTGCTTAATCAGCTCACTACTAGCCTGGGAAATCAGGAAAGAGTCGCTACCATGACTATTCCTGTCGTATATGGGTCAGTTGCCAGATGACATGCTCGGACGACCTCATCATGCGTCCCTTCGACGTCGACTGACCACAAGCGAGCTGATGTGAACTCCCACAGTATCCATCTCAAACAGTCTACTTTGCTGTATTTGCTCGCTCTGCCGTTTGTACTGGTCAGCGAATGTGAGGGCGCCAGCTACGGGCAAGATGTTACATCGCTCGACATACTCACATCGTCAGTCTCCTTCCTCACCGATACGCAGTATCGTGGAGAGTTGTTCCCGTAAGTCTGGAAGTCGAGAGGAAAGCTACCCGAGCACATGCTGAAGTGTTCGTTCTGCAGTTTGTCGGACTCGTCGCTTTCACCCTTGTGGGCTTAGAAGGTATCGCTTCCGAAATAGAGGTGAGCGGAGCTGCAACTCGTTCGGTGCCTTTACACTACAAGTTGCGCGAATTTCCCCTTGACGATTTGACATTCTGCACGCCCAACGCTTCTTTTCCCCAGAGACGTGAGTGCCAGAGCATCAGCTTGTCATGGATACCCTCGCGAACCGCTCATACCATTTGCATATCTTCTCGACAGCGTTCGGCAAAGATCCGTCGGATCATCCGCTCGATATGAGTGCTGCGCTCTTCAGGCACGAAATTGGTCAGTCATCGAACGCATTCGTTAGGGTGCTCGTCGCACTTGCATTCTGACACACAATGCGCCCTTCTGCAGAGGTCATGATGCGCGTCGAACCTGGCGGAATTCCGGAGGAAGATGTATTGTGAGGGACACACAACCTGTTTCGCGTTGATTTGCCATCTCTGGCAACGCCAATCACTGCAATATACATCTCTCGACTCCATTGGGAGCGTGTTGGTGTCGGCATTCGAAGAGTTGGGTCCGAGGATCATTTCGAACTTTCGCGAAGGACACGAAGGCAAATGATTTGCAAATGCGTGCAAAGAAAGAGTACAAAGGGGCCCGGGGGGGGGGGGGGGGGTCCGAGAAATGTGCCGAGGAAGACAAAAAGACGGGAGCAGTCTCGGGAGGAATTTCGCCAGTCGGGCGGCGCAGAGAAGACGAATCGGACGGCCGAGGAGCAAAAAGAATGTGGGTATTTATAAGGAGCGTCATGTCTCGCAGAGTGAGCTGTGAGCTACGATCGCGGTAGTGATGGTGCGCGCGGGGGAGAGCGTCAAGTTCAGGCAATCACACCGCTACCGACTTTGGCGATAAAGTCTGCCGAGTAGATTGAAGAGTTTTCTTGACGACCGAGGGTCTGTTTACGATTGGCGAGAAGAACATCGAGGTGGTTGTAGCCGTCGCAAATGACGTGGTTTCCAAGATCGCCGAATTGACCTCCGACGGCGAGACCTTCGCTGCCCACGACGTTGAGGATGGGTCGTTTGGTGTAGCCGTCCAGATGCAGCGCCTTGGGCATCACATTTTTCGAGCCGAGGTTTTGAAAGAGGACGTCGGTGGTGGTGCGCGTTGCGTAGTAGTGCTCGGTGAAGTCCAGAGGTGCTTCGGAGAGGGATCGAGAGAGGTCAGAGATGGATGAGACTTCAAATTTGGCCTTGGTGAAGGGCTGCCCATTGTTCGCCTTGTCCACATTGGAGCCGTCTTCTTTGATCTGATCGTAGTCTAGCCACTCGTACAGCGGTCCATTGCCTTGACCTAGGAAACCAGCGTCTGAGGGTACGCCGAGCGGGTATGGACTGGAGAGTGGCAGCATCGAAGCAGCTTGGGATTCGTTCGACGGCAGAGCGAATGGCGAAGCTCCGACTGGGAAACTCCTCTCTTCGATCTTTCCTCCCGTACCGAACCCGACGGAAGCTTGGAGAAAGGCGAAACCTTGGCTACGGTCAGAAAGGATCGCTCCTACCAGCGCTTCGTTCGTCGCGCGAAGGTTGAAAGCGGATGGAAAAAAGGTGGCGAATTGAGCTACGGTTTTGGAGAAGAAGAATTGAGCGGCAGAAGTGATGGTGGGTGTGCGCGGCAGGCCTTTGACGTCGGCTTCGGCTTTGGGCGCCACCACTGCTCGACCTCCGACCAAGCTGAGCAGCTGGGTGGTTTCGGAGTTGAGAACGACGGGCAATGCGGTCAAGAGGGAACGCGGAAGAATGCCAGATCTGAAACCTGCCTGAGCCACTTCGAAACCAGCGTCGATGATGGGCTGAATGATCTTGGCTAGACCTTCGGGAATGTTGGCAGGTCCAAATTTGGTAGTGACGACCGTGTCGTAGCCGATGAAGCCTGCTGCTTGGTTGTAGCCTGCATCGCCCGTCGTCTTGACATCCCCATCGCGGTCATAGGCAGCGAAGAAAGCGGTCAATGGTCCACCGAGACTGTGACCCGAAGCGTAGTGCTTGGTGGCTCGGTAGTTGGCATCTGGCAACTCGCGCGTCACGACATCGTACCAGTCGCTTGAAGTCTGCTCCACTCCAAGTTCGGCAAGAATAGCAGTGTTGGCATCCGTGTTGCTGTAGAAGCCGGCAAATTTGCGACCAGCGATGGCAGCTTTGTTGTAGTAATAATCGAAGCCTGTCTTTAGGTTCTTGCCCTGAACGGCGGCAAAGACACCTGTAAAGGCAAAGGGGGACAATACACGTCAGCATGCGCTTTCGTGCTTCCAAATGATGCGGTGCGCAACGCACCAGTCTGATCGTCGAGGCAGTTGGCACGACGGTCGAGAGCCCAAAACTCGACGTTGAGATTGTGCTTCTCCTTGGCATAAAAGATGACATTGCGAGCGAGTTGATCAGCGCTCGAAGCTCCCGCAAGCGTGCCGGGCATGAACGTCTCTACCCGATCAGCTTTGAGCGGGTCGGAAGGCCCGTCGGCGTGCCTATAACGAATGTAGCTGATGTAATCGCACTCTGGAAGGTGCGCGGTGGGGGTCTTGATGGGGACGAAGAGAGAGACTACGGATTGTTTGACAAAGGTGTCCTTGGAAACGGACGTGAAGGGCGTCTCGACTCGCGCGGTACCGTACTTGACTGGAGTAAGAAGGCCAGGCAGATACACCGTCGATGTGCCTGCGGGTGCGGCTGAGATGAGGCCAGAGCCTGCGCAGATGGCCAGCAGCACTGCCGCAAGAGAGAGCTTCATTTTGGCAAGGAGCGAAAGGGATGAACGCGAAGTGGGGGTGGGGGAACGGGAGGGACGGGAGGGGAGAGGGTGGAAAGGAGGAGGTATCAGGATGAACGGAAAGGAGAGGGGGAGGCAAAGAGGGTGAGGAGGTTGAGCGTGAGGGTGGGTAGCTCAGCTCACACACATTCGAGACAGTGATCAGCATTCAGCTATCCTCACGAGCCGCGCGTAGAAGAATGACGTTTTGGGTCGAGCTAGACCATCCCCCGCTCACCAAATACTGGCACGCCGTCTCGAGTAGTCGGAAGGTTGATGACTTGCGTCAATATGACCGGGCCGTTCCGCTGCTGACCTACAGGGCGGCAGAAAATGCGGGGAAACAAAGCGTCTTTTCGGAGCAGCAAGACCAGCCTACTGTATTAGGGCCATAGGCCACAGCTTGGACCCGCATGCGCGGTAGTCAATGTGCAGAAAGCAAGTCAAATATGATGTGCATCGGGCCTTTTTGATCAACCTTTTGCCCTGCCGCATCTCGCAGCACCCTTTGCACGCATGCTGTGGCGTTCCGTCATGAGTCAACAAACACCCCATCTCCACGCAAGTCAGGACGGACGTCAACGCTCTCGTTCGCGAGACTCCTAGCGAGGAAGGGTGAGTGAGTGATGAGTGCCAGTAGTTGCTCTGCAAAACCGAACCTGCTTCACGCTTCCTCACCCCGACTCGACTTTACATGGTCACGCATCGCTTATGCAATCCAGAGTCTGAGCCTCAACAGTCTCGAGCCGCGATTGTTCAGGGATGCGGCGGATCGCAGCTAGCTGGGCTCAGCGAGGGAGGGCGACGTTTTGCCGCAATTTGGGTCGTTCCTGTCTCACATGTTCGCGATGTATGCGATCCTCAAACGGGTCGGCGTTTGCATCGTGTGCTTCCTGATGAGACTCACGACTTCTCTTCAAATCAAGAACCCGCCAACGACGACGGGCTTCATGCTTATCAAGCGCGCCAGAAGCTAAGAAGATCCGCATGGATATGGGGATCGGAACTTGAAATGGCCAAGGAAAAGTCCAACAAACAAAAAGCGGGGGGAAAATCACGAGGCAAGAGTGAGTGAGAGGGTAGGAAGCAGCAACTAGCAGACAGACAGGCAGGCAGGCGGTAGCGGAAAGGCGAGGAGACGGCAGGAAAAGCGAGCCGTTTGAAATGGTCACATTTATTCGCTGATTTAAGTGGCCTGCATGAAGAGGGGGTCTGTTAGCGTGGGTAGGCTGTCCACCCAAACCCCGCATCCACCGCACGGCGAAGGTACAATGAGGTACATTTTCCCGTGCGGAACAGCTGTTTCCGCGTTTGCCGTTGTTTTGCTTCCGAAGGGGAGGGGAGGGAAGCGGAGTCATCAGCTCGTTCCTTCTTCCTCCATCGCCCTTAACAGATGAGGTGGATCAGGAGTGATCGAGCCCGCAAGTTCCAATCGCGTTGACATCGAGGTGTGAAAAGTGTCGGTTCCTGCCATGGAGCTCAAGTCTGAAGTCACCGCGGTCAAAGACGACGCGCGGGGGGTTATAGGACGGGCGTTGATTCGTAATCACGTGACATATGCAAAGAAGCTAGCAAAAGCCCGCGGACCTCCGTCCCACAGGTCAGCGCAGTCAAGAGTCTCAGAGTCGAGAGTCACGTGAGTGCGCTGTACGTGTGCGAGCGCAAGGGAACTAACCAACTCTCATCATCAGTCGATTCAAGGAGCAACTCGCTCCCGCCTCTTTTGATTCGTGATTGTCAATCTCCATTCACATTCCTCGCAGCTCTCGCTGGCACGTCTGCAAGATACTGACTGACGCTGCAAATCGACATCCACATTCACGATTGTCATGCGAGTCTCAATGCGACCACCGCCTGCAAGCATCATGAGCGCTGCCTCGAAAAGCATTCGACGCACTTTATCATGAATCAGAGGCACAGGACGAATTTGACTCTGGCACGCTTCTTTGCTGAGCTCTGATAGGCGACCCTTTGCACACAGAAGCTTGCCTTTCTCACAAGGTCCCAGACGCAAAACTTCATACGAGAAAGCAGGTTCATTCTGCCTATCAAAAGACGACGCACAACATGCCCCGCATCTCACCGCGCCGCTCCAGGCGTTTCGTGCTTGCCGCATTCATGGTGATCACACTCACCCTGATTTGGCAACGAGCTCTTCAGATGAATACAGCTTGGCGATCATCAGGCCTGTCAGCTCCAGCAGGAGTGCTGATACTGAGCGCGCACCCAGATGACGAAGTCATGTTCTTTTCGCCCATCATACTTTCCCTCCTCGAGGCTGGCACAGCCGTTTGGGGTCTGTGTCTCAGTCAAGGCGATGCGGACGGACTGGGTCACGTACGGCGCAAAGAGTTGCAGAAGGCTTACGGGACACTAGGAGTGGTTAATGATCGAGTAGCGAGCTTGAACGATGCGCGATTTCGAGATGGAATGTCGAACGAGTGGCAGGCGGATGAGATTGTTGGTGCGGTCAAGCATCACCTTGAACATCTTGCGCGACAACAGGCGGCATCGATAGACATCATCATCACATTCGACGCAAAAGGAGTTTCGGGCCATCCAAATCATATCGCCCTGTACCGCGCAGCGCAGCTTTGGCTTCGATCGCAAAGCTCATCGAATCGCAGCAGCAGCAGCTCTCCGCGCATCCTCGCCCTGCAAACCCTTCCTCTTTCGACAAAATTCTTGTCCCTCTTTGGCTCTCTCTGGCAACATCAAACGCTCCGATGTGCTCTTCCTCACCTCGCTTCGGCAAAGCAGCAGCGCGATACGCCGCCCGTTCGAGCTTTGCTGCCTCTGTACGGCCATGGCGGCACGAACTACTTGACGGCGCTTCGAGCTATGAGGCATCACGCTTCGCAACTCGTCTGGTTCAGATACCTCTACATACTCTTATCGGGCCATATGTGGGGAAGCGTGCTTTGTCCTGTACGTGTCACGGATGAAGGATGAATAATTGCACGCACGCACGCTCAGACTTTGTCCCGTCTCGATCACCGGTGCACGACCATTGCTGCACGCTCAAAGAGACGAGCGCTTGAGCACATCGGAAAGAAAGTCAAGTCTCTTGAAGATCGCTTCGCCCGCAAAGGGGTCGAGCTATGGCCTTGGGTTTGCGACGTTCCTTGCCTCGAGTCCGCGCCACACAGGTGCATCTGATAACTCAGCATCGCATAAAATTGACATAAGATGAGCAGCTTATCTCCCCAGCACAAGGCCTTGGAATGAAGCATGAACGTAAACGAGCATCGCCGTTCTGACAACAATCTCGGAAAAGAACAGGATAGCAAGGGACGAATGCGAATGGCACACTTGACGATGCTTTCAAAAAGGTGGATGACACTCGTCCCAGGGCCAAGTTCTTTGCAACGACCAAAAGCGTGCAAGATTCAACGATCGAGGAATCCACGGGAACCAGGCGCGTTGTTGTTGCCGTTGCTGATCGAGGACGCATTGTACTCGTTGCCGTAGGCGCCGCCGCCACTGTTATTGTTCCCACCGCCCGTTGCTGTCGTCGAAGATTCGTTTTGATTCTGGTTACCGGAGCTATTGTTGTTGCCTGAGGCCGACTTTGTGTTGGACCCGTGCTCAATGCTATTGTTGGCGTTCGAACGACTAGTAAAGTTGGCACTGGAGCTGGCGTTGGATTCGTTCTGGTTGCCTTGTCCCCACGGACTCGAGGAAGACTGTTGAGAGCCGGAGTGAGTGTTGCTGCTATTGCCAGTCAGGTGCGCATTCGAGCGTGGGCTCGTGTGCGAGTGCGAATTCGTATTCGCGTGCGCGTTCGCGCCCGACTTTGTGTTCGTGTTCGCGTTCGAGTGGGAATTCCCGTTCACGTTCGAGTCACTTGCATTCGAGTCAGATTTGAAGTTCGAGCTCGCATTCGAGTTCGAATTCGTACCCGAGTTCGTGTTCGCATTCGAGTTCGACTTTGCGCTGGAGTGGTTGCTTGAAGCAACATCCTTGGCGGGCGCAGATTCGTTGGAGCCGAGTCCATTGTTGTTGCTGCCCGTACTCGCATTGCCGTTGGAAGAGCCTCGTTGATTGTCTGAGGATCTGGATTGGCCACCACCTTGGTGCGACTGGCCGCTCGGGTTCGAAAGCGAGCCGCCGCTTGACGAAGTATTGTTGCCGTTAGTCACCGCAGCGCTGAAGGAGGAAGGACCATTATCACCTCCATTGGTCGAGTTGCCGTGGCCTTGACTGGACTTACTGCGGTTGTAGCTTCCGGACTGATTCGCGCTCGCGCTATTGCCAGAAGAGTTGTTGCTTTGACCATAATTGCTGTTCTGCGTCTGGCCGCTGTTTTGGTTGCTCGTATAATTGTTCGCAGAAGCACCCTCTTGGTCATGGCGTGCACCCTGACCAACATTGTCATCTCGCTGGCCCTTTCCATGGCCGGTGTTTGTGTTGGTATTAGAGTTGCCAGCTGAGTGACTCCGAGTGGATTGACCTTGCGATGTCTGTTGACCACCGCCGGTGGTGTCACTGGCCCTCGGCGCACTATTGTTCGAGGCGTTGGCCTCGCCTCGCATGGAAGGTTTGGACTTTTTGACGTAAGGTTGACCAGCTTTGTGAGGTGTGACGGAGCTGCCAGGGCCGTTGCCCTTCCTGCGTAGGCAGCACAAAGTCAGCTAAAGACCGTGATGTCTGTTGACATCATCCTCAAGTGGAACTCACGAGTATCCAGAGCCACTACCGTAAGCGAGCGGCTCATTTTTCTTCCAGGGGCGAGATAGAGCAGCATCCTCAGCGGACATGTGCATACCGTTGCCAGAGTCTTTGGTGCTCGACCCGCCCTGGCTGGGGTTTGACGTCTTGTTGTTGGCAGCCGTGCGCGCAGCTCCTTTATCGCGGCCAGAGTCAGAGCGGGATACCGGCTGCCGGCTGCCTTGGCGCGGTGCAGCAGAATGTGGAGTACGGCCTACATCGCTAGTGCCTCGCTGCGTAGCGCCACCGGGTGCTTTGCGAGATGGAGAGGCAGAAACGTTTGGCATGTGCTGGGACTGCGTCTTATTGTGCGACGTGCTGTTCGCAGCGTTGCTCGCACCGTTGCCGGTCGAGCGAGCTGGGGTAGTATTAGCATTGCTGCGATTGGACGACATCGCATTGGAGCCTGCAGTTCTGCTCTGATTGCCACTCTGAGCATTCGACTGAGCGCTGCGATCTGGAGCGGCGTGCGTGTGGTGCCCTGACACCTGGTGACCTCGACTTCCGGACTGGTTGGTCGAGGAAGTTTGCACGGTAGATGTGGCGCGGCCTCCACCGAGACGGTCGTTGGAGTCAGCGCCTACTTGGTTATTTCGCGAGGCACCAGCGGACGCAGTGCTCCCTTTGCTGTGGAACATCGGGGCTCGGAGGTTGAGGACAAAGCCTGAAAGGAGAATGAGACAAAAGCTTGGGTTGAGGATGTAGAGCTGAAAAGAGCCTTGGCGTGGTCAGAGTCCTCGAAGAAGAGACGCAAATGAGCACCTTTTGTAGGTGCTGGTGGCGCTTGACGAGCACTCGTGCTCAGAGATACGTCACGATACCCCCTCGCCGCCAGAAAACGTGCTAAGGCTACGTCCAGGTGACTGCCCGCATGCCTCGAGCGCTGCGCTTCCAGACGGCTCGAGCGCATTGTGTGACTTTTGAGAAGGTGCTGGCCGCGCGGCAAACACTATAGTGCCAGTCCCATGGAGGTTTCGTCCGGCCCCTCCCATGGCAGGTGATACGTGTTTGGATGCGGGAATTTGTGCGGCCTGCGAGCTTTGGCCTCTATTCTCGCAATGAGCAGTCGCGCAGCTCAGATCAGCTACCTGGCAGCATGCAGGCGTTCCTGACGATCGAAGAGCTAATCGCACATCATCCAACACCATTGAGCTGTGAGCTCACTCTGGATGCGGAGTGCCGACTGAAGCGTTTCGCAGCGCTTGGGCCTCCTCCCGCCGATGGAATGATTCGTTTTTGCATACATCGAGCGGCCCGAGCGGCGCTCGCGCTGCGGTCGCGAAAGCTCCAGCTGCTACGATCTTCGCGTCTTCTCTCTTCCTCTCCTTTGATCTCGAGAGTCGATTCTAGCCGCAGATGGCCAAGTATCAGTATGGTAGAGGAGAAGCATCAAAGATCCGGAGCTTCGGACTCGGCTAAGCGTTTATTCTGATTCGCTCGACTGGTTCACGGCAAAATGGCAGCACGCGTCGAGGTCGAGAACAATCGATCGTGCAGTCTAACGATCCTCACCCCCGATCAGCGACCGACACCCACGACCTACGACTCTCGCACTACTCAACGGTTCCTCGAGGGTTCGAATGCTCGTGCAAGGAGAAGGCGTGAGCAAAAGAGCGCACAGCCGTGAATAGTGCGGCACAGCCCCGCAAAGCGCAACAAGTCTGTTCACGTTCGTTGGACGATGGTCGGTGCAAGGCATAGCCCGAGCGGCTTGTCGACAGCTGGCTGCGACTGCAATTGAGGATTAGGATTTTAGAGCAAGTCTTGAGTCATTCGCACATCTTTTGCCGCGAGACCCATCATGCACCTTGCCTGACGGATCGGAGGTGCACTTGAAGCGCGCACATGCTGCAGACTCTTGCTCCTAGCTGGCCTGCTGGCCGGAACTATGTGCAAAGCGTGAGGATCGACAAAAAATATAGCAAGAGCTCGTAACGTTGCCTCCACGAGACACGCTCAGGGCCTGCCTTTGGTGTAGGATGGAGTGACGAAAAGGCATGCAGCAGGCAGAGTCGCGAGGTTTCACGACTGTGGGCACATCGCGCCCATCCCCTCAAGATTTCACACATGCTCTCCATTCACGTGATTCGTCATTCAACCCCATGCACCTCGATATGCTGCTGCTGGTTCGCAGAGGGGACGCATGAGCCACCTTGATTCCTTCTACGGATACCGCGGTAGGCGGTGTGCTCTCAGCAGCAGAAGAGCAGCACAGCACAACTCCATGCATCAGCAGCAATTGCGCTTTGCATTCACATTGGCCGCGCGGAGAGCGCATTAGCGCGCACAGCGTATGCGATGTGCCAATGAACGTCTCACGACGCGCGTGTGAACCCCTCGCTTCTTGAGCTGACGCTCCTTGCGTGCCCAAGCCTTGCTGTTCATCAAATCAGGCCCTCACAGCCTCACTCGACTCGTACCACGCTGGCGTCACAGCAGCCAGCCTGCGTGGGAATCGACTCACACTGTTGATTGTCCCGCACGTCGCGAGTCTTGATTCTGATCAAAGATGTTGGTTCGTCTTGGCTTGAGTCACGAGTCGTGAGTGGGGCCCGCACCGCTACCTCATGCCACGTCGACTGACTTCACTCTTGACTCAGACTCACCACTTGAGACGACCCATCAAGCAAAGTCGCAAAGAACTCAAAAGCTGCCCAGGCTGGCATCCAAAGAAACACTCTTGACTCTTGCTCATGACTCTTCAGCCTCTCTTCCACCACATCGTCACAAGGCGCGCGACTCGGACTCTCCACACATCGAATCGACGACCAACAATCACTCCGAGCCCAATCAAGTCCCTTCATACCTGATTCACACCTTCAAGAACAGTCGCGATGGCGCCTCCTGCTGTTCCACCGCCATCTTCGCGCTCCACAGGCACCTCGGCAAATGACATCGACGGTCAGACTTTCGATTACGTCATCGTAGTGCGTACGTGCCCTGCTGTTCAACCGGCTCCTCCGCCTCAGAGCGGAGCATGACTGATTCTTATCTCACTTCGTTGCACCCCGACAGGGTGGCGGCACTGCTGGATTGGCCGCTGCCGTGAGGCTCTCCGAGGATCCATCAGTCAGCGTCACAGTGCTCGAAGCGGGTCTTTGGAGGCCTGAAGATCCAAAGGTGCGTGCAGGCCTCTAACGATATGCCGCAACACTACGACTCGCTGACTCCAGATTTGCACTCTGCCCTCGCACACAGATCGACTACCCCATCATGATGGCTCAAGTTTTCGGCGACAAGAACTATGATTGGTGTATCAAGACCGTGCCGCAGACAAATGCCAACGACAGACAGGTCGACTGGCCAAGAGGCAAAGTGCTGGGTGGTTCTTCGGCTCTGAACTTTATGGTCTTTCAACGTGGACACAAGCGCGAATTGTGAGTGGAGCGCGTCATCTCCTACAGGACGATTGTCTCAGTAGTGCGCGATGTTATGTGCATGTCTTACCACGACAGCGACGATATCGAGAGCATCGGCAACCCTGGATGGGGCTGGGATGCCATGCTTCCCTTTTATAAGAAGACGGTCAACCACGCAGCTCCAGTCCACCTGCCCGACCCACACCTTGCATACTTGGACGACGATGCGGCCAATGGCGGAGGACCCATTAATGTGAGCACCTGACTTGGCGTTCGCCCTTCCATTTGCTGAGGCTGAAGGCGGTACTTCGTCCTCGCTAGACTTCCTTCTCGTGCTGGTATGCCGAGCCTCACAAATTTTGGATTCAAGCCTTGCAGAAACTTGGCTTGCAAGGTGAGTCTTTGCGCACGGATGTTAATGTACATCCCAGTCTCAGACCATCACCTTCAACGCCTTCAACCCAGCCAACAAGAGCTCCCAGGCAGGCGCCAATGCCGGTCTTTGGGCAAGCTCCGGCTCGATAGATGCCAATACCGGCAAGCGAAGCTATGCCGCTAATGTGCGTACAGTCATAAAACTTTTTAGCCCGCTGCTCGAGCAGAGACTGATGTCTTGTCCACCCGACCTCTACATCAGTCCTACTATGCTCCGGTGGCCAGCTCTCGTACGAATCTCAAAGTCCTCTGCGGAGCTCTCGCGACTCGCATTACTCTGTCCGATGATGCGGAGGAGCCAACAGCCGAAGGAGTCGATTTTGTCATGGAAGATGCGCCCACGAAGAGGCTTACTGTGCGTGCGAGCAAGGAGGTTATCCTGAGCGCAGGAACGATCAAGACCCCACAACTTCTCGAGCTGTCTGGCATTGGACGAAAGGAAGTGTTGGAGAAAGCTGGAATCAAACAGCGTGTGGATCTGCCTGGAGTTGGCGAAAACTTGAGCGAGCACATCTACCTTGGCTGCGCCTACGAGGTACAAGATGGCACTGTGACTTGGGACAAGATGCGCGATGCCGAGTTTGCGGCTCAACAGATGCAACTCTAGTGAGCTACAGCGATTTGCGGGAACTCCGTGTCACCGATAGCTGATTCGCCGAGATTTCACGCAAAACCCAGCACCGGCAAAGGACCGGACAAAGGTCTGATCGGATCGTTCGTGAGCGGCTTTGCCTACTTCAACTTGCAAAACTACCTCTCTCCCGAGGATCAGAAGCTCGTGCACCAACAGATCGATGAGACCGACCAGACTGGTTGGAGCAGCGGCATGAAGGAGCTTCACGCTTTGCAGAAGAAGCGATACGACGATCAGACGGTGCCGGCAATGGAGCAAATGTTTGCCCCCGGATTCTTTGCTCATAGCGGACCACCAAAGGAGGACAAGTCCTACTTCACTCTCCTCAGCGCTCTTCAGCACCCTTGGAGTCGTGGAAGCATTCATGTCAAGTCTGATGATCCTTTTGCTCATCCGGACATTGATCCTCGTTACTTTTCTAGCAAGGCGGACCTGACCATCCTCAGCAAAGCTCTGGCTTGGAACGATAAAGTCGTGAGCCAAGACCCTTTGAAGGAGGTGGTCAATGTTAGGCAAGAACCCAACCCCGAGTTGGTAAATGAGAAGCACGAGGATTGGGAGAATGTGAGTAACACGCGGTCGGACTGCGCGCGAAACCCCGACTTCGAGCCGCTGACGCTCTTTTGGACGTTCTTGCAGGCGGTAAAGGGTTCATTCCAGACGACCTATCACCATCTCGGTACCGCGTCCATGATGCCTCGCGAGAAGGTGAGTCTGCGTGCTTACGGTTGGGCGCCGTGAGCATCTCCTAAGCGCTCTTTTCGCATTCGTAATCCTCTAGGGCGGCGTTGTTTCTCCCTCTCTTCAAGTGTACGGTGTCAAGAAGCTTCGTGTAGCAGATGCCAGCATCTTGCCTTGCCAGCTCAGCGCGCACATTCAGGCCACGGTGTACGCCATCGGAGAGAAATTGGCAGACATTCTCAAGAAGGAGCAGTCATCCGACGTGCAGAAGCTCGATATCGCTGGCATTTCCATCTCTGCTTGAGCTGCGCTCCGTCGAGCGGTGCGTGGCGAACCACTGCGTCGACTCGAGAACTCACCTACCCCCATCGAAAGGTCTCGGTCGGCGTTTCGCCAGCGAAGCGAAGCGAATCCTGCAGCTCTTCGTTCCATCACCAATGAAGCTGCTCGGCAGTGCGCACAACTCGTTTCTCGAATCTCGCTCCCCCTCCCCCATCCCATCTCGCAGGTCCAACTTTCAGCAAGCTCCGCCCAAACGCAACATTCACATTCACGTAGAGACGAATTTCTAAATGGCACCACACACCACAGAGTGGCACTAGTGGCAGTACTAGTAGCAGCAGTAGTAAAAGCAAAGCAATTAAATGTAACTCATCATCGCGCCCGTGCCGAAATGCGCGAACGTCTGGGGCAGTTTGTATTATCCACGTGCGGAAGCTTGGCCGACGCAAGTGAAGAGAGAGCCTTGCGTGACCGCACACGGCTGTTTGACGATGCGTCGAGTGTTGGGCAGTTCCATGGGGGTATTCGATAAGAATGTTGCGGCCTTCGATAAAGCATGCAGGTGCGTAGCAATGTGGAGCATCATGCAACGGCGTTGACGACCTGGGGGTATTGTTGGCGGACTGTAGGAAGGGAAAAGCCGAGAGCGCGCAGCAAGGACAAATGGGGGGCAGAGTCAGTCGACTTTGTGACTTTGGACTTGAACAGAGTCTCTGGCAGCGGGACTGACTGGCTTCGAACAGCTCGGGGTCTCGTTGAGCCAGGACATGAGGGTCTTCGGCCAGTCCTACAAAGAGTGTCAGCACTGGCAAATGGAGGGGGAGTGAAGTGGAGGGAGAGGTATCAGCGCCAAAGGATGTACATGCGCGTGGGCTGCAGCTAGCTCCGCAGATGAAGCGCACGGCAAGCTCACCTCCGGAATTGATGCTTGACCCCATACTGAGTGCGATTTGGAAGCCGAGCAGGATGCTGCGAACAGGGACGTTCGAGTGGAGGTGAGCCCAGATCACGGAACGAGACGTGAAGAGGAAACGAGCGCAAAAAGTTGGAAAGAGAACGACTTACGCGTATAGAATGACGACGCTAAAGTAGTTGCTGTCGTTTCGCACGTAGGTGGGGTTGACGACGGTCAAATAGGCATACACTGTGATGCCGCACAGAATAGCAATGACAAAGCTGAGAGGGGAAGTGGTGTTGCAGCAGTCGTTCGAACCTTTCAGCAAGACGATCTCGATCTGCGCTTATCTCGATCTTGACGCACCTTCCGATGCCGAACACCGTATTGACCAACGAGTCCTGGATGAGCGCATCCACGCCCTTCTGCTTGACGAGCCTCCATGTCTCCTTGGCAGCTCCGATGTATCCATTGCCGTACAGAGCAATGTTGACGTAAGCCAGCCTGTTGAAAAACTCGATGAGCCAGTCAATCGTGGCTATCAGGCAGGATGCAATGCAGCCCACCACGACCCCAATCATATCGCCATCTTGAGCTGCTTGTTGAGAGAGGATGTTGATCAGAGCTCGGATGATGTCGAGGATCGCGAGGACGAGACTGCGTGGAGTAGGGGTCAACATTGTCAGATGTCGTCTGTGCGCAGTCATACAGCGTTTGAAAGACTCGCCTTCCAAAGGCGAGACTGCCAAGAGACCATGTAGATGCCCTCTTGAAGCTTGAAAGAGTGGCATGAGGGACTTTCTTGGAATCATTGGAATAATACCACACACCAAACGTTCCAGCAGTGGTGGTGAAAGCAATTGCCTTGATGAGCTCCGAAGTCCAATACCAGTCTGCGAGTCAGAGTGTGGTCAGCGTCAGGCTCAGACGCTTTTGCATGAGCTTGCGCTTCTCTGTGGTGAGCGCGCCAATGAGCTGCATCTTCCCTGGACTCTCCATTGCCTCCTTTCTCGATTGCGCGCCCTATCTGCAATCACCACTCACTGAAGATGGTCAACACGACCAGTCCGGTGGTGGCGCCACTGCCACGACTGCCTCCCGTGCCTCCGCTACCGCTGAATCTGACATATATAGCCACCAGCGTCCAGGCTGTCCACACGCTGAATGCGGCTTGGACCAGTGTACCCAGCAGAGCGGCCACATAAGTGGCCTTGTAGGTATTTGAAGCGCTAAGAACTGCGCGAAGGAGCAGCTTTGCCAGGGGACTACAGGTTGCGAAGGGATGCAGGGTGGTAGAATGAGCACAAAGACAGGCGCCTCAGTGTGGACAGAAACTCACATCTTCTTGCGCATGAACCAATAGGCAATGACCGAAAGCACCGCAAAGATGGTAAAGATGATGGCACCAGTGGTCTGACCCTTGACCCAGAGGAACACGCAGTACGCGACTGTTGCGAGGGTGTTGATGAGCAGAGTAGCTTCCAAGATGAATCGAGTAAAGTATCTGACAGCGAGCAGATAGAGGATGCTGAACAGAAGTGCGACTCCGCAGCTGAGGGTGAGCAAGCTAGCCGTCTCGCCATTGAGCGTGTTGGCCTCCAAGAAGTTGTTCGGTCCACCACTGTCCAGCCGTGCAGTAGCGCCTGCAGAAACGTAGCCTCTCAGGGATATGACGGATACGGCAACGAACCCACCAAAGACGAGGATCCATAGCACAGCAAAGACGGGATCTTTGAATTTGAACTTGGGCTGAGGTGGGGGAGCTGCGACTGCGAATCCTCCCAGTTGACCGCCTTGAGGACCGGTCTTGTAGTCGGCTTGATGATCATTCGCTCCTCCGGGCAAGGCCGATTGAGCTTGGTAGTTGTCTTGGTAGCCGCCTTGAGGTGGGTAACCTTGGGCGTACGGCTGCGAGCCCTGAGGGGGCGGGTAAGACATTTTCGCCAGCGAAGAAAAAAGAAGCACGGTTTTGTGGGAAGAAGAAATGAGGATGATGGTAGCTGGGAGAGGATGAGCAAATTGGCGTTTGGGTGATATGCATGCTCTTTGATGCGACCGAGCCAAAGCAGGCCAAAGAAGAGGACGGCGCAATAGGTTGCTGCTCACTCGGCCTTCTTGGCTGGAGGCTCGGCGAAATGCAGCGTTGACTGACTCACGATGCGCGTTGGGTGAACTTGAAGAGTTGCTGGTGTGTCTAAGCGCGAGATCGGCATGCAGATTGCGCCTCTGCTTTTGCTTTTGGTCATGCGTCTGCTTCTCACTTGACTCCTCGGCTGCATCCGGTCTTCGAAGCGTCGATCGATGCATGCATGTCGATGCAGGGTGAACACGGGCTTCGATCTCGTGTTGTGGTGATTAAGCACGCGTGCACGTTCTGTCGGATGGCCTGCTCGCCTGCTTGCACGCTGTTTGGTGCAGCAGCCTTTGTATCAGCGCCAAGCCTCGTTCGTGCAAGCACGCGCCAAAGTTCCGAATCACGTGATCCACTTTCTGGCTGGTTCGGCGCTCTTCCCCCTGACCCATCACCACATGTGTATATATATATATATAGCCCCCCGAAATCGTTCTGGCAATTCGTGACGTGACCCAATACTCACCAGTCGAGTGGCTGTTGTGCCACCATGTATTTCTGACATCAAAGCCTCAAGCTCGCTCATCGCCCAGTATCACGACGATGAAATCATTCTGTTGCCTTTAAACCTTTCTCCGGTCTCTCGAAAGGGCCCATATATTCGACTGCAAAGGGGTGCAAAAGCTCCGACGCGCCCTTCGACTTCTTGCTTGGAATTCTTCAGACCCATCGACATTCGTCATTGACTTCCTTGTCTCTTGGATTTGACGCGAGAACTTTAGCGTTAGCGCGGTCATCGAGTGCGCGACCACGATCTTTGCGAAGTGAGACCGATCGAAACCACAGCAATCGTGATTCAAGAATTGTGAATCACGTCCTCGAGGCTGAGTCGCGATCGAGGAGCATGAGACAAAAAGGCGGCCATGTGGAGGACTTGCGAGTAGTCAGCAAGATGAGTGTGCAGGCAGACCGCGTTGTGAATCACTCACGACTCAATCAGATTGAAGCGAAAGAGCGACGTGGCAACTCTTGACTCGATCGCGCAGGATGCAATTTGATTTGATTGCCAAGAACGGCACACGCCGAGACTCTCGACTGTGCTCAAGACTTGCTCTCTCACTTCGCTAGGCAAAGTCTTGATTGCTCGTTTGAACAACGGCGACTCGTGACGCACAGACTCGTGACACACAGACTCATGTCGTGACTTAAAAGACGCACGCGACTGATTCACGTATCGGACTCACGACTCGAGATCAGGAATAGCGCGACGATTGTTCAGCCAGCATCACCAACAGCGCGATATATAGCGCTCAGAGGCTTCAAGGACGAATCGCGAAGTGTACGAGACACGTATATATCACTCTCATTCAATTTGAATGATTGTGAGACAGAGCGCATCGAAAATCTCGATCGTACCTCCAGTCTTGAGGTCCATGACTCAAGTCTCCCCGAGCCACTTAGGGTCTGAGTCGAGCTACGGGTCAACGTAGACGTCATTTTGCTTGCTGGTACCCTGACTTGCTATATCGCGATTTGGTCCCACTTTGACTGACCACCCACCCACTCAGCTCGAGAGATCGATTTCTGTGACTATAGCTGACGGTGATGTTGATGTTGGGGGCCTGCTGCATGAGGCTTTGTGACCGCCTAGCTGCATGGTCTACTTCGTTCACGCTTCAGATGCAGTCTTGAGTCCAGCTTGGCTCTGCACGTATATTGTGACAGTGTGAACCGCCATGTCTTGCCGAGACATTTCATTTGCGCTGTTGTGGCTGTGATGGCTGCGCAATAAGCCGCCGCGGTGCATGGGTCAAAGCTGCTTCAAGTTGCCGATGCCTCCTCAACTCAGCCCTGCATGCCCGTCATTCGCGAAGCGCGGATGATGGTGAATAAGCACAAAGCGCGAATGTGAATGGCAGGACAGTCCCGAGTCCGTTGGAATGCCATGCGCGCAACCTCTCGCCTCTCTCACGCGCCGCAATCTGAATCGTGTTGAATGTGCATGCGAAACGCTGTGCAGCGATGCTCGATCTGCAGCAAGGTTTGGGCGCAGTCTGATCATTTGCGCTGTTGCTGATGATGCCGCACGGCTAGATACCCTCTATGTGTACTCCATCAGTCGTGAGTGCCGTTTGCCGATGCAGGCACGTCCGGCAGCTCCACCCCGCGTATCAATTAAGCAGCCACGGGGGCTGCAGACTGTGTGCTGCTGATCAGTCACCTGATCTTGAAAATGTGAGTAGTCAATTATAAATGCATCCAGGTTCGACCATACTGTATGTATGCGATTTCACGCTCAAGTCAGACTCGCCGCCGAAAAGGTTCCATCCACCTTTCACCCTCACCCATCATAACGTTATCAAAGAGAGCACCCAGACTTCGTGATCGCTCAAGGGCACAAGACCAAAGTCGCGCGCACTATCCGCCGCCGCGACTGCTCGAGCTTCTAGCTTTCAGGGTCCGAACGCGTGGAGGCAAGCGAAATCTTCTCATGCACGCTCAGCAGCAGCCACTTATCAAACAGGACCTCGGCTTGGCTTGATAAGGAAGAGGGGGTTCAGAAGCAGAAGTTGTGAGTGTCGCACGTACCGCGCACCGCTCTCTCGCGAGCATCTCATCACGCTTCCACATTCACTCACGACTCGCTGTGTGTATGCTGTGCTCCATCTCGATTCACAAGGCTAATCGAGGCGAAAGAATGCCAAGCAGCAGCTCGCAGCACCCGCAGCGCCACGTCTGCGACCAGCCGGGTTGTACAAAGGTGAGCAGCTTTCTTGACTCCTCAATCAGTACTTGCTGAACTGACCTCTCCTCGAGCAGTCCTACGCACGGCCTGACCATCTGTTGAGGCACCAATTGAACCACGAGGCAGGTGCAAGTACCGTCTTGCGCTGCGATCAATGCGAAAGAACGTGAGCTGCCACGTTTTCCATTCCAAAATGCCGAGCTTGACTTCTCACGCGATTTGCTTCTTGTGTGACTCGCGAACTGCAGCTTCGTTCGTCCTGATCTACTGACACGGCATCTCGAGAGACATGCGCTCCGAGGCAAGAACCTGGGGCGATGGAGCAATCACACGAAAGCTCCAAAAAAAACAAAGACGGACTCGACTGGGTTTGATCACGACGCTCAGTCCGAAGACATGTTTAAGCGACCAAGACGTAATCAAGACGTCGAAGGCCCGATGCGGGAACGATACTACGGCCGGCCTCAGTCGACACTCGAGCCGCTTCACACCCCGGCCCAGCACTCTTCCCAGAGCCCTTTGATGTCAGATCAGCAGGGCATGCATGGCCGCAACGCTCTTTTGTGGACGTCCTCCTCTCCGCCCACCAGGAATGTGGATGCTCCCATTTTCCTCAGCAATGGCGAGCCGGCTTCCATCGAAGCCTGGCGGGCCACCACTGCCGCTGCTGGTAGCATATCACCCACAATGGCGCGAGACGGTCTGCCGCTATCGGAGGACGCATACTCGGCAGCCGGCGCAACCAACTCACATTTTGGCTCACCGTCAGCCACACAGAATGTTCTGCTTGGCATGCACGCAAAAGGTCCCACCGGGCCTGATGCTTTCCCGTTCGCTGCGCCCCCTCCCGACTTGTCTGCACATTTCAATTGGCTGTTGGACGGCAGCGATCCCGCCATGTGCTTGCAAATGCTCTTGACTCCAGAAGATCGACACTTGGATTTTAGCCCTCAAAGCTCCCATCAAGCGTCGCCGTCCGGAGGCAATACGCTTCATTTGAATGTGGGGCAGCAAGCTGCCGGCGCGGCTTCGTCACCACTGTCGCGGGGTCCCATTGCTTCTGCGGAAGACGGCCTTGATGGGGCCAACGGACATCCCTCACTGGAGGAATTGACTTGGTATGCAAGCATCGAAGCGGTGAGCAAATCTCTTGCACTGCCTATGATCTATCTGCTGACACTGCACCTCCACAGGCCGTCCCCGACACGCCTCTCACGCACGTGTCAGAGCACAAGAGGGCGGAGCTTCTTCAATTCCTTGCAAAGTCCTACGAGCTTCCAACCTCGCCACTCTTCTCTTGCGCTTTTCTGCGATACTATGTCCATCTATTCTTCCAAAAGTATCACCCTCAATCGCCAGTCATTCACAAAGCTACTTTCGTCGCGGATCGTGCCGATCCTTTATTACTGGCGCCGTTGATCGTCATCGGAGCTCACTTCGGCGAGAGCAGGTGTCATGAATTTGCCGTTCGTGTGGGTGCCAAGCTCTGGGGTTCTTTTGTGAGTTCATTTGCCGCGCGTCACGCCACACCAAGACGTTTCTTTCTGACCTCAAGACTGCCTCACGCGCAGGTATCGATAGACGACTTTAGACCGGCAAGGGCCACCCTACAGATGCTTCAAGGCATGGTGCTCACGCAAGCATTCTGCAAGGTCAGTCCGTCGCGGCCTGGGATACGTCGGAGCGTCTGTCTGAGCACCATTTCTCTCGCAGATGATGGCTTCTAGACCGCAACACGAGACGAGCCACCTCTTCAGCAGCTTCGTAGTCACGCTGGCGCGTCGCAACGCTTGTTTCTTCGACACATCGCATCATGGTCGCTACGATACTTTCGACATTGAGACGCGGTGGCAAATGTGGTCTAAAGACGAGATGAAGAAGAGGATCAGCTTCATGTGCTTCGTGTTGGATGCGTGAGTAGGCAGATTTTATAGAAGCTTCAGTCAGATTGCTGACGCGGCCAGATGTAGTCGAGGAGCGCTCCTCTTCAGACATATCCCGGCGATGTCTTGTCCACAGATCCACCTTCACCTTCCTTCGCCGCAGGACGAATTTGAAGCCCCAAGTGCTCAAGAATGGATCGCTCTTCGTGAAGCCAGGGGTGCCCAGTCTGAGATGCATTTCATCATGGCGATCAAAGCTGCCATGAACGGCCAGCCCCCTGCTAATGGTGATGTATGGACGCACTACATCCTTCTGCACGGCCTGCTCTCCATCGCGTATGATCTTCGCTGGAAGCAGAATGCGCTGCTAGGCAACGCTAACACCGATTGGAGGCAGCGAGTAGTGAGAGCACTCGACTTATGGAAGGTGTCTTTGGACATTGCTTGCTGCAAAAAAGCAGAGGATCTCTCCACGCAGGTCATATATCGCAAAAGCTGCAGCCTAGCCGTCTGGTCGAAGATCGCTCTGTACTGTGACTGGATCGAGATTCAAATCTACGCGGGACTGCCCTCTGTCCTTGGACGTTTCATCGATCGAGCAACCTTCACCACCGCTCGGAACAACGTGCGTTCTTGGGCCAACTGCTCCGAGGGCAGACAAGCGACTTGGCACTCTGCTCGATTTTTGGCATCTGTACTGCTCGGCGACGGCAGCACGAGCTTCCTCATTTCCGAAAGCGAAGCGGCAAAGAACGCCATGAGAAGCGCAGCGAAAGATTTGCCCCTGTGGAAGCTGAAAGGTGTGCATGCGCAGATGAGCGCGCAAAAGTCAAACGATGCCGCTCCGACGTACGAGCTCGTGCATCATCCTTGGGTCTTGTACCTCTGCTCTCTGGTCCTCTGGGCTTACGGACAGGCTCTGGCACCGCCACAGGAGAATGGACCCGAGCGAGCGTGAGTGCGCGAGGTAGTAGTAGCACCGCTCGGATTACTGCTCACTTCCGCGCGATTGCTCCCTTGCTTGGATGCTTGCAGGGGCTTGCCCGAAAGCACAGCAATGTCGACGCGTGAGAAGGCCCAAGCCTACTTCGCGATCATGGCCACTGATCGCCCTGAAGACTTGGCGGAGGTGCTCTCATCGATCAAGTACGACACAAGCGCTATCCTTCAATTAGTGTACGACGAGATAGCTCGTGAGTCTGTCCTTCGAATAGCGCGCCTTCTTCCACAGTACCTTTGCTCACGCCAGCACTTCCTCTTTTCGAAACATAGCATCTGCTCACCGTTGGGAATTGCTACAAGAAGCTTGCGGCGTCTTGGCGAACTTGTTGAGAAGCTCGAGAGGAGGAAGAAGATTCTCTGCGGAAACCAATCCAGCGCTAGGATTGAGCACCCAGACCGATACTCCTCTGCCGCTCAACCTCAAGTTGGAAGGGGCTTGATGTTGGCAAACAAAGGCATGAGGCGCACTCGGGCTGCGACATTTCTATAATTGCGACGTGTACAACGCTTGCAAGACTTGCTCTTCTTCTCATAGGTCTTCTGCAATGCTCCTCGACGCTGACTCTTCTTCACGATCAAATCTTGTCAAATCTGTAACATACCGAAGTGTGCCTGCCGAGCTGAAACGTCCCGAACTTGGAGAGGTCGATCTGCAACAAGCGTGGTTTGTGAATACCTCACATGGGCATTGGCAATAAATGCATGCAGCGCGGCTTTCGTGCACGGGTTCTTTCTACCTCTATCTCAACTCTATCTCGGCACCTATAGCTACATGATCGCTGGCGCAGACGCCTTTGCGCGGGATGCCGGGTGCTAGATCCTTCGTCCTGAGCATCGCGAGCAGCGCAGTGATGTGCGGGTATGCATCTTGCCTATCCGCCTCCTTCCTCTCTTCCGTGCTCTGTGAGCGTAGAGGATTAGGCAGGAGCCAGATGTAGTCTAGGGTCAGGCTAAAGATGCTGCTGTACAGCGTCCACATTGGCTCGTCGCGACCTGGATGACCGGCGGGCAAGGAAGCGTGTTCATTCCGCTTTCCCTCGTACCACGTCTCGTCGTCGAAGCGTTCGCGACCTCTGCTGACAGACTGCAGCAAGGGGGAATGAGCTGTCAGCTTCGGCGCGCCGAGTGCCTGATCTGCCTGACGTCGAACTCACGGAAAAGTAATTTTCAACCATCGCCTCTGATCCATCGAGCGACTTTAAGCGGTTGAATGCATGCCCATATGCGCTGCGAACTGTGCTCGATCCGGCAGCTTCGTGCCCAGGAGACGCAAACAGGCTAGCGAGCGCTTCGAGGGTAAGCAAGCCATCTTCCTGCCTGGCCGCTCTGCACCCCTTGAGCATAGTCGTAGAAGCGTCCTCCGGACCCGCAATATCCTCTTGCTCATCGTCGTTCTCGCCGCCATCCTCGCTGGCCTCGTCTCCTTCAGCCTCCTCTTGCCCACTTTCGGTATCCATCTCGCCGCTCCCAGTCCGAGCGCCGGCGTGCTCGACGTGCTCGATCCCTTGAGCTATCGCGTGCGCTTCTGCGTCTCGACGTTTTGCTTCATCAATGGAGCTGTGCACCACCGTACTCCTTTGGACTTCCTCTATTGCTTCACGGGAAGGTGGCAGTCCGGACATTAAATGGTATGTGGCGCTATGCGGCTGGTCATTGAAATCTGCCATGCCAAGATGGACGCAGTCACGTCTCTTCAGTGACGTGCTGCTGTTTCATCCAGCTTTCAAAGATGCTCACTCACCACCAGCAATCACAATGTCCCACTTTGCAATCTCTTTGTGTTCTCGTCGAAACGCGTACGCTTCCTGCAGCAATATACCTGCCTGTCTGACACGTTCGTACGCATGTGAAGGATGCCAGAAGAGGTGCGTCGTGGCCACAATCAAGCCAGATGTGGGCTCGCCAGTTACTCTGGCGCCACTTGCATCTGTGGCCAAGCGCAGAGCCACGATCTGTGCGATGTTGCGAGTAGACCGTGAGCCAGAGGTACTCGTGGTTGGTGACGTATCGCTTGAAGCGCCGTGAAAGTATTTACAAGCTTCCACTTGGTCGTAATAGACAATCCTCTTGGCGATCGGAGCGCTTTCGAAGGTCGTCCTTGACTTGGTCTCCGCCGTTGAAGAAGGCTCCGGCTGCCCTTCACCAGCAGAATGGTCGGGTAGTCTAGACCGCCAAGCAATCAGCAGCCCATGTTGCTTCGACTCGTAGCCCTTCTCGTAAGACCAAGAGAAGCCGGCTCGGCTGAACGTCTCCGAGTGATGCTCCATTCTGTCCACCTCCTGAAAGCACGCGACATCCCACGCATGACTGTCTGGATCGAGCTCCGCGTCTAGTATTGGCATCCGTTCTGGCCACTTCAAGCAGTCGCTGCCGGGAAACAGCTTCCTCCGCACAAGTCCTTGAGCGAGAATGTTCCAGGAGAGTATCCGAACAGAGCTCCTCTTGCCAAGCTCGCGCTGAGCGTCCGATACGACTGGCAGCCATTGTCTAGGTGCGAATTTTTGCTTGCCCGACAAGATTGGATCAGCAGCTATCCTGGCTTTCTTCTCTGCCCTAGCTGCTCTGATAGCCTCGATTTCCTGTGGTGAAGGTTTGGCTTTGGGCGCTTTGCGGGAAGGTGCGCTGGATTTGCCTTGCTCTGGTCTCGCAATAGCGGCCTGGCTTGACTGCGGCCCTGTTTTTGCGTGGGCTTGGCCTTGTTGCCTTGCATCGCTGTTGTCTGGGCTGGTGGGCGATCCAGAGCCGAGCGCCGACACTGCTCCAGTAACCGCAGAGGCGATGCTGCCAATCTGCTCCGCGAACGTCATGCTGTCAATGAGATCTCAGCGCGTCAAGGTCTCTGCTCCAGGCAATGACTCGCTTCCGTCTCGGAGCGGAGTCCGATATTAGAGCGGGAGCAAGGGCAACCTGGCTCAGCGGACAAGAGAAATGCAAGAGCACAGCAGGCAATGACAGCCCCAGATGCGCCAATGTCTATGACTGATGTGATGATGGAGAGGTAAGCCAAGGTCAGATGCGCCATCCTTGAGTCACAGTCACGAATGATGCTGACCCCATGACTCAAGACTCAAGACTTTGACTCACAACTGTACGTACGCATGACCCACGCGCACGTGACTTGCCAAGCGTACGAAGCATGCCGCGTTCTTCTGACGACACGCGCGCGATCCATCCATCCATCCACCTTGATGGCGATTCAAGATAATCCAAGGTTCTTGGGTAGCAGAGCTCGATGATGCCACGCGAGCTGCTCATCCGGCTCGTCAAACAGGTCTAGCAGCAGAGTCAAGAGTCTTGCACTCGAACCTCAACATTCACGACTGTGATTCAATTTTTGCGGTGCTCCCTGACGATAGGAGTCGCAAGTGAAAGGACAAAGGAGACTAGCAACAGGGGTCCACATGCTCGTCACACAACTTGACTCACACTTTTGATTTGTGCAGCCGCCTTGCAATGAAGCACGTACGAGTTGCAGACATGCTGCGGAGGCGTCACTCTTGACTCGAACGATACGATATCGCAAACGCAGCGCAAACGGTAGAGTCGAGATTTGGATGCTGCATGGATTTTGGAGTGAAGGTCTCTTGCAGCAGACAGCCGCGCATCGCTGTGGGTCGCGGTCGTACTCTTTTTTGGCTTTGCTTCACGAAAACGAGGTTTCATGATTGCAGCAGCAAGCCAGCTCATGCATGGCGACAAACAATCGTGAATGGCAGATATAGAAAGAGAGGGTCAGACGCGCATTCCGCAGTCATTGAGGGAATACGCCAAGGTCTTGAGGAAGCAAATTAGCTGTGACCAGATGAAGGACTCACGACTGCTGTGACTCACGACGACTCGTACAGCAGCTGCCACCATGTGAACAGGCGCGGCTGAGGCTGCGAGGCTTCGAAGAGCGCCATCAAGTCAATCAAGAGTCTACCACCAAGACTTGTCACCCGCAATGGACGCTTGATTGCAACTCAAACTCTCGATACGCTCATCACAGGATCAAGGAGCAAGAATGCGATACGCCCAGCACCAGCACGCATACTCTCAGCTAGCTCAAAGTGCTACGTCGTACAGCTTCGATCCATGTTTGAGGATGCGAAGACCTTTAGTAGTCTGGCACATATATATATATATATATATATACGGACACAACAAGGTGTGAGTCTGAACTACGAATGCTAGCACCGTGTCTCAGAAGCGGGCGGTTGCTTGTGATTGATTGACTCGCCGCGGTTGCAGCAAAACAGTCAAAGTGCGCGGGGACGACATCAGCATCTTATATATATTCATTCAGAGTTAAAACACACACAAAGTCGGCAGCAGCGCAGAAACAGATGGCGAATGTGAGGTGCGCTACATCGCAAACATAAGCTGTATACGTGCAGGCCCATTGGAATACGTGTCGTTGCGCAACATCAGTCTGTGAGTAGAGTCACGGTTGGGAGAAAATGTTGAATCACCAACTTGAATCAGAATGCAGAATTGCGAGTTGTCGAGTGATTTCAGGGGCGAGACACAGCGTCAATCTGCTCGCGCTCGATCCATTTGTCGATTCATCGCTGACACGTTTGTTGCCGTCCAGAAGCGAACAGTCGTGTGTCGATGCTGAGAGTCACGGTGATGGGTGAAGGATCGAGACTCAGCTAGATTATACAAGCATCGACTGATGATCACAAAGTCTCGTCGCGCCCTACTGAGGAGACTGCAAGGACCGAGTAGCGAGTCTATCGATCTCGCTGCTTTCTTCCACCTTGCTTATCCTGACGTCTCGAAGCTCATACGAGGCGCCAACTTCGTCACAGCCCTGCTCTCCACACCGTCTGCGACATGCTGTCCCGTCCCAAGACGGCTTCCGCACGCTTTGGCGGCAGCGTCGACGACCTCGACGAGGGATCAACATCCGACGCATCCTCCTACTACACGGATGCATCTGATCAGCGTCCACCTGCTGGAGGCAAATGTGAGTTGATGCAACTTCATGATCTGATGCGATTGCCCGTTCGCTTGCTCTGACAGTCGAGCATGCAACTCCCTGGGCCTGGGACTTTACAGGGGCCTTGGTAGAAATCCTCCCCATTCGCAATCGCAACCGCAGTCCAGTGACGCCAACGGCGAACACCGCATCCTCAGCAAAGGTCTCCAGTCAACATGATGATCTCTCCTCTCGTGAGTTCCCGTCGTAGACAGCAGAACTGCCGCAGCCCTGTGCACCCCGCTAGAAGAATCAAGGACAGCAGTCGCTAAGGTGCATCCATTTCCACGAGCAATGAACAGCATCCTCATCTCCACGCGTCAACATTGGCGATGCTACGTGCGTGCGCTTCGACTTGCGACTCTCAGAGCTTGCCAAGTCAAGCGGCCTGGACTCTCTGACCATCGAGGTGTATGTGAGTGAGCAGCAGTGTAGCAACTATCGTGCACATAGGCGCACTCAGCACCAGGTCGTCTTTCTTCCTGACAGCACGAGAATTCCAAACGAGTGACGGTGATTTGGACCTTGGATGACTATGAAGCACCTGGCATCGAGTGAGCAAATCGCAGATGTCGTATTTGTGGTCGTGGCGACGCTTTTGCTGACACGGCTCAAATCTTGCAGCTTCCTGACCCCAACTCTCAGTGAGTCTGCAACGATGTGAATAAATGTCGAGCTTTAGAGGATTTTCGATTCGATCGAGCCCCTCCTTTGATCCTCGCTCCTACGCAGGCATTCCCTCGGACACCAGTCATTGCGATGTAGAAGCGCGCATCACAACAGAGGGAACGGTTGCAGGTTCATTCGATCCATTGACCTTTTCCTTTCACGTAGGTCCGCAAGGGGCCAGCGAGAGGACTATCTATGCAGGCGCTGACCTGTACGCTACTTTGTTGCATCTTGCCAGCTGGTCCGCACGCGGGCCCCTTTGAGGCGCAATTGGCTCCAGTGAGTATTCTTGCTTCAAGAGGTTGTGAGGCAGGTAGTCGCTCTTTCGATCGGACTCAGCTTATACGTGCCGCTATCGTGCTTGCACAGAGAAGAACTGAAAGCCATTGACAAGAAGAATAAAGACATGGCTGCAGGGACCATCGCTCGACTTCCCGCCAGCAATGCAGAAGCGTTGCCCGAGTCTGGCAATTTAGTCCTCTCAGGCCTCCCTTCCCTCATTCAACCGACGCTTGACGCTTCTTCTAATGCTGCAACTGCTGCGTCCAATTCAGATGCGGCTACCATGGCCCCTCAAGAGACCAGCGGCTCCCAGATGTCTGGCAGCGCTATCGGTGCCATCGATACTCAGGCAAGCTCTACAAATGGCGCGCCCAAAGACAAAGTGCTCTCTCCTAGTGCCAGCCCGACCAACACGGTGCCGAGTCCAGGCAGCGCCTCTTCCAAGTGGGCCGTCTTGAGTCTACCATCGAGCCCGACTGTACAACAAAAGACCGTCACCCCATCCGTCGTTTCTTCCATCTCGGCAGGTCTCGCCATTCGCGGTGCAGGCAAGCAAGTTGCGAGCGATTGGGACGTCGTGCTGGATGATAGATGCGAGGATGGCATCCGAATGAAGATTCCAGACGTAGTCAGCAGCGACGATATGGAGGAGGAGGAGGATCTAAAGAAGATGAAAAAGGACGAGGGGTGGATGTGGGATCAAAATGGTACTGCATCTTCACAGGCTGCCCCGAAACCTCATCTAGAGACCCAAAGGGCTGTGAAAGAGCGAGCTGCACCAGCGCCTGAGCAGATCCATCCTCCCAAACGCGCGCCACAGCTTCCCGCGCTCAACAAGGTGAAGGAATCTGCGGTGGAGAGAAAGAATGGCGACACTGCGCAGAAGATGCAAGCTTCGCCAATGGCAGCAGCTACGAGCTCCGCTTCATCAATCAAGGCAGCGGCCGGTGGGGCAAAGGCGGCGGTCGCAAACGTCGAAGGGTGAGAATCGCAAAATCTCATGACTCATCCGCAACTCGCCTGACCACCAGCATCTTGCCCTCATTCAGCCCCGCATCCTTGGACGATGACGAGTCTTTGCAATCACAGATTGACAAGCTACTGGCGAAGTAGGGTGCCGACAGACTCTCTCTTTGCGCGCGATGGTCGATGTCACAGCTCAGACCGATGCCTCACGCAGATTGATTCACATTGCGTTGCTCTGCAGAATTGCAGACCTTTCCAATCACTTGTCCTCCCCCTCTCTCTCAAATGTTCTTCTTTTGCGCCCAACGAGTATAGGCTCCAGGACCAAAGCCCCGCTCATGCATCGGAGGCAGAGCGCTGTCCACCAATCGCATGAGACCCAACGCCTTCTCGTCTTCGCGCGGGCGCGTGATGACTTTGTTTTGCGAAAATGATGATGATGATTCAGCAAGCGCAACGCGTGCAATCCGTCCGATACACTGCGACTCACCTTGTACGGCTACAGGAAGTCCGTGGCTCTGCTCTGCGTTGTACAAAGCCTTCTTCCCGGAGTAAATTCTCCAAGATAACACGCCGCTCGTGGATTTGAACGCTGCTCTCGCGATGTCCGAGTGCGCTTTAGGACCCCAAAGGGGGCTGGGATCTTTGTACGTCGCGCGGTCTACCTTCGCATCGACCCTTGTTACGGGTACGATAGCTACCGAGGTATCGAGGACCTGTCAAGGCAATGTTCGTCGTGATCCGAGTGAGATGTGACCCCTAGGAAGCCCAAGAATTGGCCTTAGTACTCACGTTGTAGAGGAATGTGGAGCTGGCGCAGATGCTGATCTCGTCCGTGCCGTGCAGCACTGGTGCGGGCAGAGGGAACACAGGTCTGGAGAAGGGCAGCGATGAATAGAAGCCCCGGCTTGCGCAGTTGCTCCTGTTGCACTCACGCAATGATACCATCAAGCGTGTAGCCCTCCCAGACGCGCTCCTCCCAAGCCTCGATAAAGTCATCCTTTTCACCCTCCTGTATCCGATCGCGCGAGTTTTGGCGCTTGTGATCAGCAAACGAGTCCCAGTCTTGGCGCTCCTACCCAAACGCACCGTACTTGTGTACTGCCCAGCTGTCTTGCGGCCAGCGGTTCCACCTGCAGCAGCGAATGAGGGGTCTTTCAAGAAAAAGCGGACGCTGACGAAGTCAAAAGCAATGGGATTAGAGCTAGCGCTTCCAAGGGTTGGATTTGGGGCTTGCTCACAAGGACAGCAGCAGCACCTTCAAAAAGGTTGGAACTGGACGGATAGATGGATGTAGCGCTCAGTCTTGGCTACGGTTTGTGGTGGAGCGATGGCAAACCCACCTCTAGCCACGAGGAACATGACGAACAAAGCGCTGTCCGTTCTGTCCGTTCCGATATGCTTCCTGAAGTTGGCGAATGCATCACTGGAAACCAAGCCATTGAAAATCCTGATGCTTTTTACGATTTGCAAATCTGTGTGTGGAATCTCCACGAGCTCCACATCGTTGCCATGGGCTGTTTGAAGAGCCGAGACGGCTTCCAAGACCCCTCGGATACACGCGGGAGACGTTCGGTTGAAGCCCTGTGGATCGTAGCATGCTCGATATCAGCATTCACAAAGGAGGGGGGTACGCAATGACCGAAGCAACGCACGTCGCATACGTAGTATCCGATCCTCAACTTTCCCTTCCCGCCGTTCCTTGCCTTGGCTGCTCCGAGCGGGTCATCCAGCCACTTCGCGTGCAGAGGCAGATGGGGCATCGCTTCCGCACCAAACCTCTTCTGGTGCTGCCTGATGCTCAAGTCTCCTATCGTTGACAGATCAGATGGATGTAGCGCTTCCATGTACGCTCTGTGTAGCACTTCAAGGTCCTTGGCGCTTCTTGCCATTGGTCCGGCGACTACATGGATGGCGTGGAAGCCAGGATTGATAGCAGGACCTCCGTGCAACGGGTATCGTCCCCCAGACGCCTTGAGCGCATATATGCCACAGAAACCGGTTGGCACGCGCAGTGAGCCTCCTATATCGCTTCCCAGTCCTGCCGCACTCCCATCGGCACCGAGCAGCGCCGCTTCTCCTCCAGAAGAGCCGCCACAAATGTTGTGTGGGTTCCAAGGATTGGAAGTTTGTCCAAACAAAGGATTACGAGAGTCGATAGCGATCATGGTCTGCGGCACGTTGGTCTTGACGAAAGGAATTGCTCCAAGATGTTCTCCCAAGCGTACAATGCCCGCGGTGTGATCGGTAGGTCCGCTTTTGATCCAGGAGCTGAAGCCGACCGTCAAGTGTGTGCCTCGGAGAGCATACTGCTCCTTCACCGACAGAGGTACACCATGAAGGGGCCCTACAAGCTTCCCAGTCTTCTGGAACTCTGCATCCAGCCATGCTGCTCTCTTCAGTGCTTGCTCGTAGTAGATCTCGGTAAGAGGTCTGCACCTCTCTTGAGCCCTGATGGAGCTTCGAATGTAAGCCTCCAATACGCGAGTAGAGGTCCATTTCTTGTCAAGAATACCAGAAGTGATTGTTTCTATGTCTGAGGACAGGATCTCGGCTTCGAGAGCTGCCTCGGACGGTGAGGGATGCAGACCGAGCTTGTCCTGCGCCGACGCTATCAAAGCATCTCTAGCTTGAATGTGCGATGCGATCAGCAGGCTGTTAGAGCTCGTGAATGGCCACATCTTGCGTTTCGAAGGCGACGCGAGAGATCGTGTAGTGCAATGCACAGATAGGTATAAGCTTCCCAAAGGTCCAAAGACGAAAACGGAAAGATGGGGCCACTTCGGCAAGTAGTCGGGTTACGTGAGTCAAGTCAACAATCGTGAGCGTGACTCCTGAAGCGACACCCGCGCGGCGAATTCTCCGGCTACTTGAGCGTGAACCTGCCCGTGCGGGGAAGGGGTCCAGCAGCGTGCAGAAAGGGCGGCCCTCTGGTGATGGTGGGACGAAGTATGCACAGTCCCACCACAGTTGTGAGTGTGAAAGCGTGGAGCCGAAGTCATCAAGAGTCGTGAGTTCAATCACTGTGAATCTTGAATCAAGCATGCACTAGCCAGCATTGAGGATAATCCAGTGCGCCTTGCAATCGTAACATTGTTTCGGACTGCCTTGTGACTTTTGCGGGGCATGTATGGCTATTGGTACACTCAACTGGTACACTCGGGATTGCAAAAGACAAATGGGGAAAATGCGAAGAACAGGTAGCAGGGATGAAGAGTGTCGGTAGAGTACAACAGCGATGCTGTCCCGAGGGTTGCCAGCAGGTGGGTCTTTGCCTACGCAGGACCGGGTCTACATTGACTCAGGACGTGTCTCAGAGCGCCTTGCAAGCTTTCCGCGGTAGCGAGCGCAGGGTGCACAGCGCCGATTCCGTTGCTTGCATTGCCATGCGCGTTCGGATCGGTCGAAGGCACGTACGCAGAGATCTCAAAGATGTAGGTTTTGGTGAACGTCTCTACGAGATCGAGGATGCGCTGGGATTCTCCGGCTAGAAGGACGCGCCATTTCCTTTGCACGAGCAAGAGCAAGAAGCCGGCAGCATGCGAAAGCAGCTTTTCAAAAGCGTAAAGGGCGCAACAAACGTTAGCGTAACGAGTCTCGGAGATCTGTCTAGGAACGAGTCAGCTACACTCACAAAATGATAGAAGGTTGGGAGGTACACGAGACGATCGGCAAAGCCATTCCTTGCAGATGCCAGGAGTAGTGCAGAGACGGCAGACTCTTTTGCAGAACTGACAGCTCTAGATTGAGCCAATTGAAAGCCTCCATCCTGCGCTGCCAGCTGCGCTACGTGAGGGTGCATGACCCCTTCCGGTTCGTTGGCTAGTGAGCCGACATGCGCCCTGGCCAGATGATAAGTCAGCGAAACATCCATCGCTGATGCTGTAGCTGCGCTAAGGTCTTCATGAGCTCCAGCCTCCAGCCTCCAGCGTTCGATCTCTTCCAACCAAGTGGTCCAGGTTCTGGCGATGCGTGACACTTCGCCCGGCGATGTCCGCCCTGCGCCTTCTCGTTGCGCTTGTTGCGCACCCAACAGGATGGAAAGGATGCCCGCATGCGCGAGAAGTTGCCGATCTTAGGATGGTGTATCTTCCATGATCAGTGTCGCTCGTCCCTCGCGGCGCGCCACGTGCCGCCACACTTACCTGGCATTGGGCATGTCTTATCCGAGACCGAAGCTGACACCGTGCTGGCAGCATCAACTCCGTTGGAAGAGCTTGCCTTTGGCCCCTTGTCTGCTTGCTCGTAGAGCGCGCCTCTCAGCGCCTCGATGTATGGACCAGGGAGCTGAGCTGGGGCTAGACTGGGCACATCTGCGATAAAGCACTGCTGTCCCTCTGCGACATAGGCCGCGAGCCAAACTCGAAGCTTGTCGACCAGGTCGATTTGCCGAAATGGCGGTAGAATGGTCAGGCATTCTCCTAGCGTGACATTTCGCTCAATTTCGAAATTCTTGAAGTATCCGAGCGCCCACCATCTCGTCACAAAAGCTATTCGAAGCGCGAGCGCTGATGGTAGATATGCCGCTGCGATGCATGCGCCAGTGATTTCTTCGACGCCGATACCGAGCTCGGGGTCTAGAGGCATGTCGCCAGACACTTGTTGATTGGGGTTGATCGTCTCGAGGCAGTCATTCTTTAGCTCTGCAAACCAGATTCGCAGAAGTTTGGTGTAAGAAGGGGCATTCGTTCGTCTTGGCCACGCGTCAAGACTTACTGGGATAGTACTCGTCCCGGTACAAGGGATTGTGGAGGCTAGAGCACATGAGGATAACGCTGATGATGAGAGGCGTCATGTTGCCGTCTGCCGGGTAGGTCGGAAAGCCGAAACAATGTGGTTGTAGCTTGTCCGCAAATCTGCCGAGCGGATAGGCGTGAGCGCCAAGTGTGGAGCAGAGTCGCGCAGCACAACTACTTACAGCAAATACAGCGCTCTTGCGCGATCCATGGGTACAACGCCCACTAATAAGAGACTAAAGCATCAGCAGTTTCCAAGTTCTATTTGGCAGTGATGAGACCCACAACTCACTGCTGATAGCATTCAGCCGAGGGTCATCCCTCCCAATATTGTGCGTTGCCTTGGCATAATCCGAAGTGCAACCATGCATCCATTTGACACCTTGCTGAGGAGAATTGACAAAGATCGGGGCAGCGGTTGCGCCAACATGCAGCAGCGCTGGCGAAGGCGCGCATTGCCCGGGACCAATTGTAGGTGGTATGAACCGACGAAAGCCCATGGACAACCCTGCCCCTCCTGACATGCCGGCTGCTGCTGAAGAGATGAGCGGCATAGGGCTACGCGCCGTTCCCCCTGGCGTCAGCGCTGGAAGCATGTAAGGTCCGATGCCAGCTTCCGACCCTGGCGCTTGCACCATCGGCACACCGACTGGCACACCCGTCGTCTGTGCTGCAGGGGGAAGAAAGGGTAGGCGCGATGGACCAGCCGCAGGGCCTGATGCATCTGACATCGAGGATCCACCAGGCGTGGTCATAAATGCACCCGGACCACCAGCATTAGGAGAGGAGCCAGTCGTCGAATATGACGGTGATGCATGCGTAGCTCCGTAGCGCTGTAGGTGGCCCAGGCGAGATGGGCCCATGAACACATCATCAGCGACCATCAAGCTATACGCGCGAGAAAGAAACCGCTGACTTACCGCACCAGGACCCGTAGGGGGTCCCATGACCGCCCCTGGCCCATGGTTGCCCGAGCTGAAAGTTCTTGAGCGCAGCGTACCTGAATGACCAGGTGACGGAAAGGGTGGCAAACCGGAATGGCCCGAGTGTCCATTCATTTGTCCGCCGGCAGACGGAGCTGCAATGGAGGCTGACGCTGGCCCTCTCGATAATAGAGTGTCCACCGCATTCGCTAATCTCGAAAGCGTATCGTCTGTCCTCTCTCGCCAAGTCTCGTCATCGGCTCGAAGGCGGAATTTGCATTCCTGATTCGTATCGGCGCATCGACGACAGGGAGGGGACCCGGTGTGTATGCATTTGACCTTAAATGTAAGAGCAGGGATTGGTAGATGAGGGAGGAGATGCTGCGGTGAGCTTGACGAGCCTCTGCGTGCGCCAGTAGCGCGTTGGCAGGCACAATGTGACCTTTCAGATGAGAGGAGATACTCACCTTGGACCTTCTGCACGCAACGCAGGCTCTCTGTAGCTTGATTTCTCCCTGAGCAGGTCCCCCCAAGGCGCTGGAACCAGGCGGAGACTGATCGTCGACTTCTAATTTGGTGCGAATAGGCGGCATCGCGGTGAAGGTGGTGCACCAGCCAGTTCTCGAGAGACCGCAGGCCGTGCGCGAGAACCGTGATTTGGAGACGGCCCGCTCCCTCGTCAAGAAGCTTTGCAGGAACCGGCAGTCAGTCCGCGAAGCGTGAGAGCCTCGACGAAGAGGAATTGCGATGCTGATTTTGACCTGACGAAGCGATGATCAAGCGATGATGAGGGTGGGCGAAGAGCGATGTCGAAGCAGACCGAGATGGACACGTTCTTCTGGGATTTGTGAGCAGAAGAAGAGGCGACTTTCGTATTTACGACTCATCAGACCCGTTGCGCGGATGGGCATCGCCGACGCTACGCAGGAACAGAGATCGTGCTTCGCGCGCCCGCCCTACAACGTCATACACGAAGGCATGGCTGTACCACGTATACCCGTACCGGTACTCAAGACTCACGACTCAGACTCTGACTGCATAGCTGCCGCTGATCACGCGGCGGCTGAACGCGCAGACGCGGCGAGAGTCGAGAGTGGTCAAGCAGCCTGCAACTCAAGACTCTTGACTCTGACTGCAAGCCTTCACGATTCGTGATTGCATGGCGACCCGATGCATGCAGCCATCGGATGTCCTTGCGCCACACCCTGCCACCTCTTGCCTACTGGTACTAGTCAAAAGTGACTAGTGAGACTCACGATTGTTGTGACTCGTGACCGTAAAGGGCTGCTCATGGACGCTCAACTCATCTCACCATGCCGACTTCTGGCCCCACTCACCCTCATGGAAGACTCGATCACGACTTTCATTGCGGAGAGTCACGATGGAGTTAAAGTCACACTCGCTGCTCACGACTCAAAAATGTGACTCAAATTGCTTGAATCCAAAATTGTATTTCGCGCATTCTTTTTGATACGGATTCTTGATTGCTCGTGAGGCGTAGCCATTCAAGGTTTCATTCACATGTAGACATTCACGTGATTGGTCACATGATCAACCAATCACGAACGTGAAGTAAGAATGGAGCCCTCGCGGTCGTGCTGGGTCGGCACTCGCGACTCTTCACCATGGCCGAGTGACGAGCCAGTAATAACTCACACTCACCCGTAGCAATTTTTGACCGCGCTCTCGGCTCATCCTTTTCACGACTCACATTACTCTGCGTGCGTTGCAAGAGCCGGTCACGGGACCAAGTCGAGGTTGGAATGCGAATCAAGCATCTCACGAGTGTGATCATCTTGGAAACGCGATGGGAGTGCTCCACGTCGCGAGCCGGAGCGCAGATGCGCTCCAGTCCCGAAAACCCTCTGCTGACATCACTTGCGAGTGAGTGGATCAGGAAATCCTCACCTGGCGCAGTGAGCATGCCCTTGGGCTTTCAAGCTCAAGGTACTCACACACAATTGACTCTGTATAATAGATCCATCATCCCAACAAGCATGTTCATAGTCGCTGGCTTGACAGTTCACAGCAGACGTGGAGCAAGCCGCGCCCAGCGCAGCACAACGCAAAGCCTGCACACCATGCAACGTGTGACATGCCCAAGCTCCGAGCAGGGTGTGAGTTCAAGCTAAGTGCCTTTCACTAGCCCTGACTTCTGACTCGCCAATACTTGTAACTCAAACCTGCGAGGCCTCATCTTGCATACGATGGATGTGGCATTCATTGTGAAGACATGAGCCAGCCAGCTGTAACGAAGAAGTGGCTGCAAGAGAGTCTTGTTGAAGCGTCTTGACCCGCATCGTGTGGCCTTGCACTTGAATCGAAAATCATGCCAGCATTGATCACGTGACGCGCTTGTTTCTGGCGCACTCCCCTTCATGCCAAGGTTGCAAACATGCGTGAAGTCGTACCGTAAGCATCCTGGCTTTGATGTCGCCATCGCGAACCCATCTTCCCAGTACATGGTGGCATAGAACAGTCGTCTCCAACCTTGCCCTTCGAGGGATTGGACCAGCTACACACCGACCAATCCCTTTTCAAGTAGCACCACGCAGCATGCCAGCGACCAAGCGAAAGTCGCCAGGTGGCGTTCCGCAGCCCTCTGTCAGGTCCTTCTTCACGCCGAGCAGCAGTGTGAAACCATCATCGCCCGGATCGACTTCGAGGTCCGTATCAAGATCGAGCAGCGCCACTGATTTCAAGTGTACAAGCCCCTTCGACGAGTCATCCACAAAGATCGCACGGAGCGAGGGCTCAGCTTCAATAAGAACACCGCTCGCAAGCGCCAAGGAGCTTAGAGCGGCCGAGGAAAGAGACTTAGCTGCGGCGATCGCGGCAAGTCTTGCCAACAGTGTCATTGACAGCGCTCCGCATCGCCCAGCAGCTGCCGGCGCCTCGAGTGATCGTGTGACTTCCGATGCGGATGGGGATCTCCCTACACAGCCATCAAGGCCACGAGTGCCCATCGACTCGGGCGACGCAGCCACCCATACTCCACCCTCTCCTCCTGCGGCTTCGGCACCAGCCAGTGATGCTCCAAGCACATTACTGGCAAAGCTCGACGAGCTTGCGGGAGGTAGCAAACGGCTTCTTGAGGAGGAACAGGAATTAGAAGTCATCGAGAGCGCCGACGATCCGGTCGATGGTCCTGTGGGCGTGGTAGCAGGCCCAGACAAGGCGGGTGGGATTTCGACGGATGGGCAAAGTGCAACTTCATTCGCCCAGTCGAGCTTGAGCTCGTACGTATCGAGTGCTCGCAAGGATAAAGAAGGGAACGGTGAAGCGAGCACCTCCAACGCATTCTCACATCTCATGCGACCCAGCTCGGATGCGCTCTTGTGGGCGCAAGCTGATGTTGTCGAGGCAGACAATCATTCTGGACCAGCAAAGATGAAGAAGGCTTTGCGCAAAGCTCCTTTCTACAAGGTGCTCGAAGGCATGCCCTTGTCCGTAGATGGCTTTAGATTTGGAAACATTGAGGGCTGCAAGGGATGGTTCCTGAGCCACTTTCACAGCGATCATTACGTCGGTCTCAGGTAAGTACGGTCAGATTGAGGGTGCTATATGCAGGCAAAATTGACTTTGCCTTGCTGTTTTCTGCAGCAATTCCTGGACGCATGGTCCCATTTACTGCAGCGCCGAGACTGCCTCGCTCGTGCAGTCTTCGCTGAAAGTCGCGGCCCAGTACGTGGTGGCCTTGCCATTCGACGAACCATACGAGGTACCGAACAGCGGTGGCGTGATCGTGACGCCTATCCGTGCCAATCACTGCCCGGGATCGTGTCTATTCCATTTCCGGGGCCCTCAGACAGCGCACATCCTGCCCCCACCACCCGGAGGACATCACCCTCCACTCAGGAAGAACAGACTCTCGACGTACCTGCATTGTGGAGACTTTCGTGCTTGCCCGGAGCACGTTCGCCATCCGACAATCCGGAGACATCGATTGGATATTATCTACCTCGATACGACATACTGCAATGCACGCTACTGCTTCCCTCCCCAACCTCTCGTAATCGACGCGTGCGGACAACTAGTCGCCAATCTCGCTCCCAACCAAGCACAAGGACCCGATGTCGATCTGACGAAGCAGGAGGAAGATTGGAGTAGGCCCTATAAAAGTGCGACTGCTCTGCTCAAGGAAGAAAAGCAAAAGGTGGCATTGAAGGAGGAGGCTAGCGCTCGAAGTGCCATGGGCAGTTGGCTTGGTAGGCGATCACCATTGGATGATCCCAAGGTCGAAGGGGCGCAAAGCGCAGCAAGAAGTGCCTTGCCGGACGCAACCTCAATGGACACTGCCACTGCGGCCGAGGAAGCAGAGGCGGAGCTTTGGGCAGCGGCGCACGGAGGTCTCGATGAGCTCATCGATGGAGGTTTCATGGACGAAGTCAACGCCCTGCAGGAAATGGATGCGCAGGCGAGCCAGACGCCAGACGAGGAGGTCTCAGAGGACACCTTGCAAATGCAGCTGAGCATCAAGCAAGAGCCGCTTGAAGGGGAAGTGGCAAGACCGCCTTTGATGGAGCGAGGCACGAGCAATGCTTTCATCAAGCAGGAAGATGCTACAGACAGCGGCCTTGACTCTGTTCCAAAGCCTGCACAAGATGCCTTTACAGTGCTCGGTGCAGCCTCGAAGCAAGAAGGGACGATGACGAACTACGCTGCTTCCGAAGCACTGCTCAAGACCCGCCTCGCCGAGTCCTCCAAGACGGGTCGTTTGCTGGTAGTGTGTGGAACATACACCATCGGCAAGGAGAAGATCGTGTTGGCGGCAGCTCGAGCTTTGCGATCCAAGGTGTACTGCTCGGATCCGCGAAAATATGCAGTGTATGCTCAAGTGGACGAGCCAGAGCTGCATGCCCGATTGACACGAGATCCTCTAGCGGCGAGTGTGCACGTGCATGGGCTCAGCGCGGTCAATGGCGAAGCCCTTCGCGCGCTAGTCGCCAGTCTGAGAAAGATGGGCGGAGACTTTGACAGGGCCGTCGCATTCAGACCTACCGGATGGACATACAAGCCGCCAGCTGGTCTGGACACTACGGCCCCGAACCTCCGAAGGCTGATCGAGTACAATCAGAGCAAAGGCTTTTCTGCTAGGGACCTTCAACCGACTCGCGATTCTAGCAGGCAGTACGCCATCTACGGCGTGCCCTACAGCGAGCACAGCAGTTTCGTGAGTGCGGCGACTGATCGAGTCGGAATGGTCCGTAGCGACCGCGACTGACCGAACAATTTCTCAACGCAACGCATGCTCCATCCCTCAGTTCGAGTTGACTGCGTTCGCGCTATCCATCGATTATGATCGCATCATCCCCACAGTGAACGTGGGCAATCCGACTTCTCGAGCCAAGATGAAGAGATGGTTTGAGCGGTGGGCGCAAGAGAAGAAGAGGAGAGGCGGTCAGGCAGTAGTTGGACGAGCCGACACCTACTTCTGATTCGCGGCGACCCTCATTTCCGCCATTTGCTCCTCAGCAGCTCCTTCCATTGCGCACCATTTGCCTTTCGCGACGATGTTCTGCTTTCTGCACTGTATTCACATGTATTTGTACACTTGGCTCGCACACCTGGCTTGCATGACGACTTTCCTCCACGAACGTCATTTCAACGTTGGACAGGCGTGCGTGCGAGTCAAGCCCGACGACTCTTGACTTTGGACTTTGATACGGGTCTTCCCCAAATATTCTGAGCTGATTTCGACGCCCCCTGTTTGGCCACTCGCTTGCGTTTGCGATCCTTCGAGGTGACCGTCTGTTCGGATTGCATCTCTTCCTGCTCCTCAGCATCGTCGTCGGCCTGATCAGACGCCTCCATGGCGCTTTGCCCCGATTCGCCGTTCTTCTGTTTGAGCTCGCTGAGACGCAGCTCATCTTTCGCCGCATTGCGCTGCACGCCCAACATTTGCGTGACTGCTTTGTTGGGATGTTCGTGAGCTGCAGAACGATGGGATCAGTTCAGTCTCAAAGAGGCGCGGCGTAAAGGAATCACGACGCAAGATGCGCCTCGACTCACTTTCGTCGTCCTGCTCCAGCAAATTATGCAACAATTCAGCACTCTTAGATCCAGCGGTGATGTACTTGTGACTAGCTCCCCGAACGACCATAGGTCTTTGCAGAAGCGCCTGGAGCTCCTCTTTCAATCTCGTCACATTTCTCTTTTTCTCTTGAACCTTTAAATTGGACAACTTGGAATTTGTAGAATGATCCGCATCTGGATCTCGCATCTCTTCCTCCGTGTCCAGATCAGCTTCCTTTGCCAGGGCAGATACCCAAGATTCTTCGTGGGAGAGCTTCTGAACCTTATGTTCCATGTTGTCGATTTGGCGCGAGAGAGCTAGTCTGTCTTTGAGCATGGGCAAGAAGGAGTACTCGATGGGTAGCATGCAGAGATCCTCCGCTGCAAGATGAGTGTCCCAATGTAAAAGCCAACGGGCAGGTGAGCGGGTCGCACTGCGGATTTTCCACTTTTTGAATTTTGGCTACACTCACCTCTTCCGAGACCCCTGCACAGGTCTTTCCACAGTCGTTTCTCCTTCGGTTCGACCAGCACAATGCTGACGCCTTCCTTTCCCGCCCTTCCCGTTCTTCCGCTTCTATGCACAAAGGCATCGACGCTTCTGGGAAGCTGGTAGTGCACCACGTGATCCACATCAGGTACGTCCAGACCTCTAGCAGCCACATCCGTGGCGAGGAGCACCGAAGTGTTGGCCGATAGGCCTGAAGAGCCAGAAGTACCCTTGAACCTGTCCAACGCTTTCAATCTCTGCTTCTGCTGCAGTTGTGAGTGCAGAACTTGAGGATCGAGCCCTAGATTGGCCAGCAGAGGTTTCAGCCTCCTTATTCCGTCGATCGAGTTCAAGAACACTATGCAGCGTCCAGGATACCTGCACAGGAAGTAGTACAGGTATAGGTCCTTTTCCGCTCCCAAGCACTCCACCTTGGCTTCTCGAATCTCTTTCGCTATTCTTCGAGAAGATGAGAGGTCCACGATGTGAGGGTCTTCATCCCTAAAATCGATTAGGCTCAACAAATCTTCCATTGTGCTCGAGGCTTCTTGTCTTCTCCTTGCCTTGCCCGCTTTATGTTTTCTGGATAAATTGCGTTGCAGCTCCTTAGAGAGAGTGGCGCTGAAGATGAAAGTCTGCATATCTTCTCTGCTATCCGATCTTGTATCGCTCGCTTCGTCATGATCCACATTCGGACGCCTGACCAACCCGAGGATATGCTCCATCTCTCTGAAATGACCCGCTTCTATCATCCTATCCGCCTCGTCCACAACCAAAAATTTTGTCTTCTTTATCCTCATCGTCAATTCATCGTCGTTGGAGCACATATCCCAAAGACGTCCAGGCGTAGCCACCACTATATCCGCGCCATTCTCTCCAACATTAAGCAGTCTTCGTTGTTTTTCCTCGGACATGCCTCCAGTGAGAGTAGCTAGAGAGGCAAAAGGGAGTGGCTTCTTCGTCGCGCACGCGGCTACACCACAAGCGCTTACGAGAGCTCTGATATGCGCAGAGACTTGAAGCGCAAGCTCTCGTGTGGGACACATGATGAGCGCAGCCAACCCTTTGACGTCTCCCTCTTCAATCGAGTCCGCCTCTTTGCCCTCTACCTGCTTCCGAGCGCTTTCGTCTTCTCGCACCTTCAAGACCCACTGCAAAACGGGCAGAGCATATGCGAGCGTCTTGCCCGACCCCGTCTGCGCGATACCGATGACGTCTCGAAGCTGAGACTCTCGGAGCGAGATTTCTAGCGTTTCCTTCTGGATGGCGGTCGGGGATAAAAATTTGAGTGTATGCAGGCCCATTGCGAGCTTGGGATGCAGGGGCAAGGTCGACCAGTGCCGAAGCACCGCTGCTGTTGGTGAGGATGGACCTATGGGAGAATGAGCTCGCGCTCGATGATGCAGCGCATACACGCCTGATGAAGATGACCAAACGCGGTTCACTCACCATCCACTTTTGCTTCTTCTGCGCTCACCCTCCCGTCACTATCCGCCTCGGCATCGACCGGAAGTAATTTGAAGTCCGCACTATATGCTGGCTCTTCTTCCTGCTCATCTGCTCTCTCCACATCGCTCTCGTCAGCCTCGACATCCTTGCGCGTCGAGATTTTCTCTTTTTGTTTATTTGCCTGCTTCTTTTTCATCTTCCTCACTTTGGCCCTGCTATCGGTCTCGGGTGGATTCCTCACCGCAGTCGGATCATCCAGATCGCCTTGATGCTCTTGGAGCGCATCAAGTGCTTGCGCGGCCGCGTTTGCATCGCCCTCTGGGCCCGCCTCACTTTTGCTTGTCCCTTTCTGGGCGTCGTGCGGAGCGGTTGAAGTGTGCGCCTTTGACTGAGCAGGTACGAGCCTGACAGTGTTTCCCTCCCTGATGACCTGCACACCTTCCATTTCTGCCAATCCCATCCAATCCTCCCCCACGTCCACATCCGCTCCCAAATCCTCCACTGGGTCCGCTTCAAGCTCACCGTTGCCTCGCTTTTTGAGGTGTTTGAGCTTCTTGGAGGGAACGAGGGAAGGATGAGAGGAAGCGTAGAGGCTCTCGAAGAAATCGGAGTCGGTCATGCCTTGACCTGAAAGTGCTTCGCTTGGCAAGGCGCTCATTTTCCATTTTTTGCCCAGACCGAGCGAGTGGGAAGATCCGCTCGGCAGTGGGATGCGCTTGCGCTTGTTGCCAACCATGATGCTCCAAATGGCGGACGATGATATGCAGGGATTGCTCGAATCGATGCTCAAGCTTGTTGATGTTGTGTCGCGAGATTCACACTGCGCAATCACAAATTCATAAGCAGGATCGTGAAACGTGAAACGTGAATGCTGGATGCGAATGAATCGTGGGTCTGCTCGCCAGTCACTTGTTGTGTGTCTGTACAGCACTTTGACTCTTGACTGGTGCATGTCAGAAAGGCGGTGCTAAATCTTCGGTTCATCACGTGAATGTGAGTCCCTGCGTCGCCCTGCGCCACGTGTATCGCTGGTTCATGACCAGTCAAAAGTGAAATTACGAATTTGAATGCAAGAGCAGAGCCGCCCCGCGGCCCGCGGCCACTGGTTGCCAAATCGCGCACCCAGCATATCCACGATTCACGATTATGGCGGGCACGTCGGCCACCAGCATGCGGTGCGTGTGAGCCGGGCAGACCTCCACTTCTGCAGATTCTAGATTGGGCTAGCAGCTGATGGCGATCAAGTCACGAGGGTGTGCGGATGATGCGGATTCACAGCATTCGTCGTCATTCGTGATGGTGATTGGTGATTCAAGATTGGCAGTTGCTGCATGCTGCTCAGGCGCGGCGGCAATCAACTCGTGACTATACGTGTTGACTTGATGGGGAGGAGTCGGACGACAGCCAACTTATTGATAGCCGGTATATACAGTACGCGCGGCAGCCAGCATCACGATCACGATTAATCAAGAATTTCTCTTTCTCTTTGTCGTGACTCCACTCACCGTATTACCGATCGCTCCACTCGTGACTTGCATTTGCTACAGCCTTGATCCATAGACTCTCAAGACTGCGCATAGAGTCGTTTCTAGCAGCAAAAGTTTCTGCATATATGCTCTGCAGCAGAGCTCAGGCTTTGATTGCACCAGCTCGTTCCCTTGCCGGTCGTTCATCCGTCGCTACACTTCCGCTTACGACCCATCGCTCACGCTCTTCGACAAAGTGTACCTCGCCAAGTACGCATCTCGCACTTGCGCAGCATCGCTTTGGCCTTCACGCTGCGCAGTCGCGCCGCTTGTGCACAAGTCCACGACCGCTCTTTCATTCTCCACCCGCAGCTACCATGTCGACCCAAGCACCAGCATCCTCGCAGCTTTTTCCCTCTTTCGAGACGAACAATTTCTACGCTGGGAATACCTTGAATCGAGCCAGCTGGCTACGTTCCTCCTCCTCCTTCCTCAACAAAGCCTTGCACTCTTCCCGACCAAGCGCGCGCATCATCGTGCTTCAGCATGGAAATCCGCTCGTTCACGGATCGGGCACATCCGAGGGTCATCTGGCAACGCTTCCATGGTCCCGCATCGCCTCTTCTCTTGGAAGACAAGCACTGCAAGACGTGTTTGGAGCAGAGATCAACGGATTGCATAGACCTGCAAACATCCGCAACAAAGATCAAGAAGAGCAGGAAAAAGTGTCGGAAAAGGATTGGAAGAGAGCTACGGACTCGTTCGTGCCACCTGGGCTCGACATTGTCTTTTTGGGCATCTTGCAGGATGGAGATTCGATGACCCAACAGGGTCAAGATCAGACGAATGAGATCAAAGGCGTACCGTACTTTGCCCTTAGTCTCACTCATAGATCTCCTCGAGGCGCTCAAACAACAGAGCAAGACACAAAGGACGCGCAGGGTCTTGAAAGACTTCAAGAAGAGCTCTTGAAGGAAGGTCAGTCGAGACATCGTCGATGCGGAGCGAGGTCCTACTTAGCTGCTGACGCAAGGGTCACTCCCCCTCTCGTTGGTCGTGCTTGCAGGGTACGACTTCGTGGATACCAGAGCATTGGCTCAAGCTGGAAGCTGGCCGGCTGGAGATGCTGCGATGATTGCAGAAGCAAGGAGTCTAGTAGACTGGAACGAGCGCATGAATGTGAGTGCTTGGTGGTAGTGTAGCGGTACATAGCTAGCAGCGCGCATGAGCGCCTCGTCTAATGTCCAAGCATTGACGGTTCCTTTGACCATCGCAGTATTGCCCTGCTTGCTCCCGTCGACAATACTCTTTGTGGGGAGGTTGGAAGCGATGCTGTTCTTCGGGTCTATTGCCTGTACTCGAAGAGCTCAGCTCTGGCGCCTCTCAGTCAAATACTCATCTTGTACGATCTCTCCTGGGAACCTCTAGCGCGAGCAACAGCGCCTCTTCTGATTCCGGAGAAGTTCTACTGGACGGCAAACCTCCTTGTCCAGCTAGTGGTACGCTGTCCAACTTTTCCTACCCCCGAACAGATCCGACAGTTATCATGGGCATCGTCTCCCCCGATGGCAATTCCATACTGTTGGGAAGACAAAAGAGATGGCCAAAAGGATTCTGGTCTTGCTTGGCTGGCTTCTTGGAGCCGGGCGAGAGCGTGGAAGAAGCTGTCAAGAGGGAAGTGTTGGAAGAGTCGGGAGTGGAGGTGAAGAGCGTAACGTATCATTCGTGAGTGGTGGGCGAAGAGTACATGCGCATTTCCCCCAAGCAGAGCTTGAAGGGCTGAATCGGACACGCGTGATACCTAGCTCGCAACCTTGGCCATTTCCAGCGAACCTCATGATCGGTTGTCTTGGCGTGGCTTCCACCACGACGATCCGTCTGGATCTCGATGCGGAACTAGAAGATGCGCGCTTCTTCTCTCGAGAAGAGGTCTTGCCCGCACTGGAAGCATCAGCAGGCTGGACTTTGAAAAGACACGAATTGGCAGCTGTGGATGAAGATGCGGGCAAGAAGGAGGAGCAGATCAGAAAGGAAAGAGAAAGGTTGGGATTGAAAGGCGACGCGAATGCTAGAGGTAGGAGACTATCGGGAAAAGAAGAATTTGACAAGAAGGACAGTGGCAGCGTGGCTAATGTTACGAGTAGAAGTAGGAGCAGGAGCGCTGGACGTGTTCCCAGAGCTGCTTTCAAGTGAGTCGATGCCCCGAAAGTGTTGGAGGGCAAGGGTGATCTGTAAGATGTTTGCGCCAACCGGAAAACCTAGCGAGCGTCCATTTTGACTTTTTTGCTTTTCATCTTCGAAATAGGATACCGGGGCCGACCGCTATAGCGCATGTGCTGATTGCCAGCTGGGCAAGAGGCGAAGCGCATATTGCCGGCGCACCTTTGCACGATGGTGCGCAGTCTGGCGTCAACAGGGGCAAAATGTAGAGCGGGACGCTAGCAGCAACACACCGTTTTCAAAAACGGAAGAGCCACAAAGCGTGCTCGCAACCTGCTTCCCGCTCAACTTCAGAATGGTCACGTTGGATTCGCACTTGAATCGGTATTTGAGCTGCATCTACCGATTGAGATGAATCCTTTGCTTTTCCAGGAAATCCATGCTTTGCCTTTTTGCGTGTTTGAGAAAGAGAGATGGCTGTTTAGCGTGGCGTTTTGGTCTCATGAGCAGACCGTTGTTACGAGGTACACAAAACAAAGCGTCTTTTTTCAAAATTTCTCACAAAGCGCTTGAAACTGTGCATTAGGAGCAACATTGCTGCGGGGCCACGCAGGCACCCAAAAAAAGCTTCCTGGGATTGCTGTTCTCACAGCTCACTTGCAAGCCTGCACCCCGAGCAACTTCACTGGGGCGGCATAAATAGCAAAGGTTGCTGTTTTGCCATTTGAGGAAGAGGTTCGAGATCTTGCACTTGGAGCGACGTCGCTGATGGCCCATAGAGTAACAAAGGTCCTTAGGTGGGTTTCCCACAAAGCGCTGCTCACGTGGTTCAGACGCTTCAGCCTAACCACCATGGGGAGTCTGCACGGTGGCTACTCGGGCTGTGCGGGGCTTGCACCCATGATTTGTTGAGAGCCGGTTCGGAACTCGAAGCGCTTCCACTGCATTCTCCGGATCGCAGACGCACGACTGCTGGGTAGTGTCATTCAGTCCTTGTTGTCCACTCCGTGATCTTTCGCAAGAGGCAGCACACTGGCGCACGTAATCCAGCCAAACCCATCACAAAGTCGAGCACAAATCTTCTCCTGCAATCGCCGCCTCATCGCACGCCCAGTCTCGACCCACTCCAGGCAAGGTGGACGAGTTGAACAACATGGTGATTCGCTCACGCTCTCCATTCAACCCCCTTATTTACAGTCGGACCGTCCATACCGACGTGGGGATCCCGCTCAAAGCTCGGCAAGAAGCATAGCGTTCAAGCTCTGCAAAATCGAGTCTCCCATAGCCTGCTCCACCGCATCCTCCAAGTGTCTCTTTGGATCTACAAAGCGGATCGAGAGATGTCAGCAAGCCGCGGTAAAGAAGCGACAAATGCGGCAGATCGTGCGAAAGGCCGAGGACCAAATTCACCTTGTTTGCCCACGTGTCTAGTCTTGAGTTGCTCGGCTGACAATGTGCTCTCTTCCTGTACCGACTTGTTGTACGCTTCGGATAGTGCCAACATGCGCTTTTGAGAGGGTCAAATTGCAAGGCACGCACATGAGAGGGACGAGCAGAGGTCAGCAGGTGTACATGGGGGATGCCTCCACACGAATGTCGCGTAGGACTCACTTCAATGGCCTTCTCGTTGTTCTCCTTGTGCTCCCCCCAATCCCTCAACCTCAGGCCTTCCATCCATCCCCGCTTATGGAGATTTCCCAGCATGCTCTGTTCCAGTTCTGTCTTTCTGTAACCGATTGCGATGGAGTAGTAGTGCCTGTTCAGGCCGTGGATAAGACTCTGGATGCTAGGTTTGTTCAAATGTCCGACATTTGAAGTGGTTTGTCGAGGTTCTTGTCCAAGCATGACAGTGGAAGGGTTGATGAGCCTGAAAGCGTCGATCACCACCTTCCCAGGTACACTCTGAATGGGATCCACTACGACCGCAACAGCTCTCTGATTCAGCTGCTCGAACGATTGTTGAGTGTTGATATCCACGCTTGATAGCCAGCATCCGAAACCGGGATGGGAGTGGTACCAACCCACGACCATTTCCGGTCTTCCGGTCTGTTTGAGCATGTCCAGCATTTTGGTTTGAAACACTGGATCGACGGCTTCCACGCTGACTCCTGTTCCGCTTTGAGGCATAGCAAAGACATCGATCACAGTGACCGTATAGTCATCGATGAACTCTCCCAGCATCAACCCCATCACTTCCATCGGAACGCCTGCTCGTCCGTGCTTCAGCATCTTGAGGAGAGCCAAAGATGAAATGTAGATCTTCTCCGCATTGTCATTCTGTGGTGTGTCGCCTGGTAATCCCCCACCTCCGCCTGCTCCTCCCCCTCCTGCTCCACCCAAATTCTGCATCATTGATCGAAAGTCCATCTTGAGTCGTCAAAGTGGCGATGGAACAATAACGCGACGAAGCGAGAGTCGACCTGTTCAGGTGGGGTGCGCTCGTACGTTCGAGGGGTCGGACAGCTGAGAGACCGTAGAGGGTCAAGAGGAATTGGATATGTCCCCTTTGCAATCGACCTCGAGGTCGAACCTCGTCAAGGGCAGCTGTGTAGTCGTCTTGATCACCTAAAGGGCGCGCAATCTAGGCTGGAAAGCACAGACACGCTCGTCCAAATTTGAGGACAAAGAATGGCGCTGTCGTGTATCTTGAGATGATGGCACAGTACACAAGTATGGTGATGGTAGACGAGGATCGACCTCACTCGCGAGTCAAAGGGCATGTGTAAATCGATGTACGACCAGCGCTCGTGCGTTGCGCTGACGCGGTGCGCGTGTGCGGCCAGGCAGACATCCGTGCGCCAGACAATTCTCCACTTATCACGTGACACACCGTTTCGCTCAACCCACTTCTTGACCAAGCTAGAAACTTGAAAAGTGATTATTCTTGATTCTTCATTCACATTCAGATTCGTGATTGTGATTGTGATCGTGATTCAATTCAGGTCCAAACCTAGAATCTGGAACGTATGACTATCTCGACTCTTCTTGAATACAAGAGTCAGTGATCATTATTCTTGATTCTCATTCAGAGGTTGACTTGTATGGTGCTGATCGATATGCTCAAATCACGCTCGGATGCGCCGAGCGACTCCTCGAATCTTGACCATGAACTGGAGTGAAGCTCTGATGCAGTGCTGGATTTCCTGGACAATACTTGGGGGCCGACAACCCATCGGGTATCCGCCCTGGCTCACAACTTGCTTCGGACTGCTCACGAAGAACTCACACGCTTCCACCTTGTCTAGTTGGCACCGATCCCATTCGAATTACACAAGGTCCGCCACAATCTCCCTTATGACTGCCTTGTCCAACTCTCCTCTCAAGGCGGCTACATCCTCAGAATGTTGCTCCCTCTTCACTATCGCATCGTTGCTGCGTGAATGAGAGTGATTCTCAGACCACCTATTCCTCCTCACGTCGGCCTTTTGCAAAACCTTTCCAAATGCGATCAAGTGCTCGACGCATCCAGCTTGAACCCAGATCTTGCCATTGTGCCCTGTCGCTGCTTCGAACGGAAAATGCGAAGCCAAATTTGGAAGGAGCGTATGTTGTGGTGTCAAGAGCCTGCAGGACATCGCGCGACCGGGTCGAGAGTAGGTGTCAGCATGCGTGAAACCTGTCTCGTCGTGCCAGACACAATGCATATGTGCGGCAAGAAGGCGGACTCACGCTCTCGCAAGAGCCAAGCTGATATCCCAGCACATCGCGACATTCTTCTCCTTGTTCATCGTAGTGGACCTCTTCCTCTCATCCTGCTCCTCCACCTCCTTATCCGCCACTTTCAACTCTCCAAAGCCCTCTGCCTTCCCAGTCATCGGATTCACGCAGGTCAATTCCGGTTCAGATTCCCTACTATTGTTGTTAGGCAGGATCTTTGCATAGACCAACGTTCCGACGTTGAGATTGGGACGATTTCGTTTGGTCGCGCCCTCGAAAGAAAGAGCTGGTAAGGTGGCGGAATGTGCAGAGGAAATAGAGAGGACGTAGCCTTCTTGCGAGCGCGAAGTGATTTGACCGATGACGGAGTCAGAGGGATTGGGCGTGTACTGCGGATGAAGGGCCGCGCATCAGCGTACGCACCTTGCAAGGACCAGTGCGACGCGAAAAGTCTGCTTGACAGCGTCGCACACACTCACCCGCCCCTCCTCAGCATCGACCCAAACGCCTACACTCTTGGCTTTTTCAACACTTTTGAAAGTTCCCATGCGAGTAGCTTTCAACTTGACTTGGTCCGACGAGCCTTCAGCAGTCCTGCTGCTCCTTATCAAGCCAGGCCCCAGCTTGATCGTCCTCTGTTTGGAAGTCTCCCCAGAAAGTGAGCTGGGACCTGCAGGGACGATTGAGACATCTCCAGGTAAGACGACAGTCGACATATTGCAGTTTGAGTTGCCCTTTGGCAAAGCAGATGGAGGCGACTGAGCTGCAAAAGCACGATTAGCTGATCGCTTGTCGATGATGATGGAGTAAGAAATCTGAATGCAGGTTCGATGTGTGTATGGGTATGGAGCTCCGCCAAATTTCTTGACCGCGACGCGACCGACCGCATACGCGCATGCTATACCGGTACATACCTCCCTCCACTCCGCAAGCGCATGCGAGCTTTGCTTCGCTTCGTTGCGCGCGAAGCCGACTTCCTGTTCGGCCGTCACTTGGTCCTCACGTCGCACCTTACCACTTCTATCTGGTTCGGCATCCTATAACAATTTCATCATTAGCATCACTGGTGCGCCACCGCAATCGCCTGCTCGAAAGCCTGCCTTTGGGCGGCTTGCACACGCTCAAAGTCTCTTCACGCCGACCAACCCATCACTCTTTCGACGGCCATGACGATTCGACGAGTCACGCTGCCTCCCCGCGGCGAATATCGATTCGAGCTGGAAAATGAGGAGAAGCTCTCCATTCGCTTGGTGCCCAGCACGGGTGATGCGGAAATATTTGGCTCCTCATTGATCTCCAGCACCTCGTCGGATCGGTGGTACAACTTTGGGGAAGAAGCAAAAGCTGCGATTTGTTCCTGGAGCGGCTGCGAGCTGGAGTTGGCGGGATCTGCAAGTGTCGAATACCTAGCAGACAGCTTGAGTCCCACTTTTGGTGCCTATACGAATTTGCACCTCTACTTGGAGCAAGAACGACTCAAAGCTAGGAACGAATTGAGGAGTGCATCCAGAGAGACGCTGGAGGACATCAAAGACAGAGCTCTCAGGGCTGCTAACCCGACAGTACCGCTAGAGGTGGACTCCAAAGACGACACGGGCGTAGCAGAGCTGCTGACTGGTGGTGAGAAATCTGGACAAGCGATCTACGAGAATATCGGACAAGGACCGAGGGTGTTGGTCGTAGGACCTGAATCGGCTGGCAAAACTTCTCTTGCCAATTTGCTCGCCAATTATGCCCTCAAAAGCCCAGCAGTCTGCGAGATTCCACACATGAAAGCTCAGGAGGACAACGAGAACAAGAGGGATGGGGAGGCAGAGAGTGCACTGACAGGTTGGTGGCCCGTCATTGCTAACCTCGATCCTAGCGCTGTGAGTACCCAATAAGCTGCCAACACGGGCGTCGCAACTTTCAGCTTGCTCGTGAAGAGAGTGACGGCGGATATTTGCTGACGTGTTGAGCTCTGGTGCGACAACTTATACCCAAGGGAGCTCCGACCCTACCATGCACCTTTTCTCTCCTTCCTCTCTCACCTTCCCCCAGCGTCTCCCTTACAACCGCTTCGCCCGCCTACCCCTTCGGTTTGACCCTTCCCACAACAGGCCTTTTCACCACCACATCCCTCAATCCCGTCTCTTCAATTCCAGCTCAAACTCTGTGGCTAGGCAAGGAAGATGTCAGAACCAACGAGGTGCACTCCAAAAGAGTCGTGGATTGGTTGGGAGCTGCTCTGGAAAGACGTTTGGCTAGGGACTACAGAGCGAGATGTAGTGGAGTTATTGTGGATAGCATGGGCGTCAATTCCAAAGATGCCAGAAAAGGCTACTCCTTCTTGAAACATGTGGTCAGAACGCTTTATAGTGAGTAAGCTGGCTCGAGGTATCGGTACCTTGCTGCGAGCCTGCGCGCAGCGGGCCAAGGACGTACGAAGGACAAGTTGTGAGCACTGTTGACCTCAGCTTCGGTGTCGCTTTCTCTCACTTTCTCGTTGCAGTCGACACAATCATTGTCCTGGGCCACGAGAAGCTGCATATCGAACTGACGCGCCTCTTCGCAAGTGCTACTCCTGGTGGTGAAGCATCCGCAGCCTCGAGCGCAAGCTCATCCACCCACAAACCTATCCAAGTGATCAAATTGCCCAAATCAGGCGGAGTGAGTGCAATGATCTCTCATCACGCGTCTTTGCATGCTTCGTGTGCGCTTGTTGATCGCGAAAGGAGTTGCTGTATCACCATTCAGGTCGTCGAGCTGGACGAGACGTACAAAGCTCGATTACGCAGCTTGCAAATCCGCAATTACTTTTATGGAGGAAGCGTCGACAAGAAGAGCACATCGGCCAAAACTGGCGCCGATCATGTCGCCTCGTCTCTGGCACCGGCTGTCGTTGACGATCGGATGCAGGAAGCTACCAACAATGAGGGAGGGCCGACGGATGGGACACCGTTAGGAGGGTTGCCACCTCTTAATCCCCTGACTACTTCCATCCCCTTCGATCTGCTGGAAATCTATAGAGTGGGACAGGGTGAGTTCAGGTGCTTTTATTTTCATCATTCGGCTGCTGTTGCACCCCTTCAAAGGATCATCTTGCTGAAATTCAGGACATTCAATTCAGAATCCATGGCACCCACCTCCGCTCTACCGATAGGAATGGGTCGAACAGTGACAGAGACGCAACTGCTGAAACTTGATATAGTGAACAGTTTAGCGGACCAGAACAGCATCTTGCACAACGTGTTGGCGCTCGTCGAGCCCCCTCATGGAGGAGGAGGACCGGGTCAGCCTGATTCTCAGACTGTGCCTCCTCCAGAAGACGACGCCATCATCGGAGCCAACGTGCTGGGGTTCCTTCACGTGTGAGTGCTGCATCCTGAACGCCAACACCTCGGCACGACGAGGGCGCACCCTTTTCTGATGGATGGACCTTTCGACTCGCTATGCTGTAGCGTCGGCATCGACACGCAGAGAAAGAAGCTGAACATTCTTTCGCCAAATCCGACAAAGAGGTTGCCAAGCAAGACCGCCTTGTTAGGAGTGAGTGTGATCCGAACCGAGACTGGCGATGAACGCCTTCCATTTTGCTGATTGACTCGGACCTCTTTCAATCGCTTTTCCGGCAGACTCTCGATTGGCAAGACGCTTAGCAAGAAATGAACATTTCTTTCTTGGTGCATGACCTAGATATGCGCCCCGTCGTTCCTTTGCGAGATGGCGAATCGTGTGATCGCTGTAAGCTACAAAAGGAAAGGTAGACGCGACTTACAAAAAGCGCGGGTGTGAATTCAAAAGGGGAAACCGAGTCATCGTTGGGAAGGCTACGAGAGCGTCCGCAGCGTGCGCACATATGCTGGGAACGCGGCCGGCAGAAGATGCTGGCCATCTCGTGTCTAAGAGCACGCATCGTCATCCGGATACGTAATCAGTATGGGACGTAGGACTGATTGCCTTCAAGATGAGGCGTGTAGCTCACTCCGGAAGAGCTGAGCAGAGCTTGTCTTCCAAAGTTACTGGAGAACATCTTGCCCGAGTCGTGTCCGACACCTGGGACGATTGCAAAGGTGCGCTTGAAAAGCAGTGGGGCGCCAGCATCCGTCGCAACTGGTTTTGCTTGGCTAGTCTAGAGCATTCGGGGAAAGGCAATGCTGCGGAGTTCAGCTTTCTACGGACGAGGGGGGGGGACTTTGCTCGAATGGCCCCGGCTCAAGCTCGCTCACGAGATTTTGGTAGCCTCGATACATGGACAAGTCTTTGCCGCTCTTTGCGCGCAAATTCTCGATGACCCAAGCATTCTGATTTCTGGCCAAGCGGTCCAAACCTCCTTGAGCAACCGCGTCGCATCTAGGCACTTCGTAGCCAGCTTTGTAGACATCTCGAGATCCGGCTAGTCTGATCACGTCTCGAGAGACGCTTTTGGCAAATGACATGCGCTTCCCAGTTGTGGAGACGTAGCGAGGAATCATTCCTGAGGAGCCGGCTGGGAAATCATTGTACTCTGGGCAGCCCGCCAGGTAGTCTTGGCCATCGACCGGTCGAGTCCTGTCCTCAAACTAGATGAGGATATGAGGCCATTCAGGGGAGGTCAGCGCAAGACTTCGCACTTTGCGAGACGTCGCGGCGTACTTCTTGGCTCGTACGCACATAGTTGAGTGGAGGATTGGCGGTAATGTACCGAAATTTGATATTTCCATCCGACGTGGACTTGCCGAAGCGGGCGTACAAATCGACGAAGAGGCCGCCCGCCTAGTCGTAAAATCAAGTTACTGTGCTGCATCAACAATCTGTCCTCGAGCGCAATCGTGAGCGCGCTAGCATGCACGCTACTTACACTGTGCCCGACGATGATGATGCGTTTCAAGTTCGGGTACAGTCCCTTGTCCGAAAGGCGCTCAACGAGGGAGTCGACAACCTGAACAGAGTCGTACAGCAAGCGATTCTGAGACTCTTCGTGGCAGGACCATCGTCATTCGAGGCGACCTGCACGGACTTACATCGAAGCTGCTGATCTGGGCACCGTTCAGAGGCCGTTTTCTGCCTCCTTGCACTGCATCGCGCGCGACGGACCAGCCTTCCTTGTTCCAAAGCATATTGCGATCAGCATCGAGATAGCTTGCATGTACTCCATCCGTGGTGGAATGGCCTATATCGTCGGGTGCGTAGAAATTGGGAATAATCAGGGCGCCAGAGCTGCCTACGATTGGGTATAGATCTTGAAATGTAGCCACGCTGTTTCATTCGGAGTCCGGTGTCGTTGCGAATTGTCGGCATCAATGGACCCGTTTGAAGAGCAAAGGGTATGCCGAAATCTTTCGGCTGGCTCCACGGATGCACTCACCCATCTCTGCCTTTACCGTGCAGTCCGATCCAAGCTTTCGTGATGCCCCTGCCAGCTTTGCCTCCATCTGCTTTATCGACCCATGCCTTGTTGACGAAAATTGGCACCGTCGCATTGGTCACCTTGCTTGGCTTATGCTGGGATATATGAGCTCCATCGGGAGGAGCTGGTGCGCGACGTGGAAGCTGGGTGAGTGGCAGCTCGTGCCCGTCTGCGCGTTCTTGGCCCTGATGGTGAATCGAGTGTCGCCGACCGGCAGCCGCAGACACTGGTGATGACATGGCCTGCAATGCTATCATAGCCAGGAGCAGAAGCGTCATGCGAGCAAAGGAAGTTGAGATCATGGTGATATCGCCCTCTCGGAGGGTATGGGCAAGGGACACAGGTGCGATGAGAGTGAGGTACTCAAAGAATGACTGACACAGAAAAGCCCTCGACGCGATGGGGGGCCGCCCAAGCGAGGTGATGACCTACAGAGAGAGAATGGGAATTTGGTGAGAGTGTCGGTAGTGCAACAGATCAATAGAGACATAGGTCTGAAGCGGAGACATGTGTCAAGGGCTGATGACTCCATCTAACGCGCGCTCCACCATTCTTCACACGCCGTGACACTCCCTTTCAACTTGAATGCGGCGGTATCGGAAGCCGAAGCAAAGTTGTTGGAAATCACCGTTGCCAGGAACACACGATGCGCCGAAGCTCCAGCTTCAGCTCACTCCGACGATCTGTCATTCGAGAGGGATGAGCGCGATGTGCACGAAGGCTGAGGGAGATGGCGATGTGCGGCCTGCCAGTCAAGTGCGAGCGGTTGAGCGGCGTACGTGTCGATTTGGGAATGACCCGCCTTGATGCCTGGCGCCTTGACGCATGATTGGGCGCTGTTCCATGCAAGTTTTGCATTTCGTGATTCATATTCAGATTCAGACTAACGATCGGTGATTGTCTTGCCTCCTCGTGTGGTTCTGTGTGCGCTGTGTAGCATATATGCGCAGCAGCTACCATGCAACGGCTGCTGGAGGCAGTGTATAGCCCAGCCCCTTCACGGCAAGGCGTACGAAGACTTGCCATTTGTCGGGCTGACTCAAAACGGCGACTTACACTTACTTTCTCTCACGATGCCGCTCGATCGTGCTGATACGACCAGCAGCTGCATGGCCATCAGCAGGTGCTCCATATACATCAGCTCCTGAATTGCAGTCCCGAGCGCTCTTGCTCCGACAGTCATCGTCTTGAATGCTGCAGGTCTGCATCCCCACCTGCCTGCCTGCCTGCCTGCCTGCCTGCCTGCCTGTAGCCTTGCTGCTCGCAGAGTCACGAGGGGATTGAGTGAGGGGTCGAGTGAGCTCTGCATAAGCCCCATGCATGACGTTCTACGTCGAAGCGGTCTTACTCACTTGCATGACGTTCTACGCCGAAGCGCTCTCTTTCTATGATTGTCCAGGCGTGCCTGAAGACTTGCTCGTCCAGCCCATAAATATATACGTGATGCCGATGCAGCAGGTGCGCCGCGGCAACAGGTTATGCTCACTCACACGCGTCGGCGCGGACGCCTCGAACGTCTCGAGCCTGTCAGGTCTCGAGTACCTACATCCGCAAATAGACAATCACCACGCCCAATCTTGAATCAGAATCACGAATCGCCATGCATACAATCACAAACACAATCGTATATTGCCGCTAGACTGATATCATGTATGCATACGGCATCCTGATAAGGAGGATGCATTCAAGTGCATATACATGTTCCACGAGGGGCACCAGTCAAGTGCCTATCAAGCAAAGCTTACAATTCGTTCGAGTAGCAAGCGGTATGTCAGGCGCGCTGCAGCGGCCTCGGGTTTTGGACCACTCAAATTCTTGTCTGTAGTCATTGTATCGTCACGCTCAAGGCCTTGTTGCTTGTGACCTGTGACGATACAATGATCACAGACAGCATGACTGTTTCATCCATCGAGATTGCAAATACACAAGGTTCTTCGAGCATCGAGCATGCGCAAGGAAGACGCATTTCCGATTTCTCAGCCAAACAGCAGTCAAAAGTGCACCGGCACGCATAAAAGGCACCCCGTACACATTATTCCCGTTCACCCGGCTTTCAGACTTGTGGGTTGCTTCAAGGCATGTGTGGCCCCTGCACGATGCGTGTGCATGGAGTCAAGAGCTTTGAGTGCGGCTCGTGACTGCCATCGCCGGCCAAAGGGCGACTACGGCAAGTAGCCGTTCAGCAAGCAGCCGACCCTTCATGCATCAAAGCAAAGGAGAGTGGGGGCGCTATTTTTGGAAAACTTGACGTCCTCACCCACACACCCACTCGCACGGCATTCGATCTGATGAGTGTTGCACATGTAGGTACGTCTCGGCTTCGTGAGTGGTAAACTCCCGTATCGGCGGTTTCGTCGCTTGCTACCACCTTCACCTACGTTCGGCTTGAGATGGAGCTGTGGGTGCGGACCGCAATTCCACCTGGATGAGATGCAGTGATCCTCCCCCAAACTCAGAGCCAAGAGTTGAGCTGGCGGGAATGATCACCGTGTGCAGCGTCTTTGCAAGGCGCATTCTACAATACCCCTGACCACGCCAGGCTTTCAAAGTTCAAATTTCGAAGTGTCAGGTGGTCAAGGCATGGATGACTATTCTTCTTCGTCCTGTTCTTCTCGAGTCCTTTTCGGCTGAAAGAACTCCACCACTTGCTCGTCTTCGTCCGCCTCGTCTTTTTCAGTAGCTCCAACCCTACCGACATACTCCGCCGGATCTCTCCTCCTCCTCCTCGCTTCCACGTTCTTTTCCGCCGCCTGTCGCTTCTCCACACCCTCGATGGTCCAGAAGAGACTTTCGGCTTGCGATGTAGCCAGGTCGAGCCAGGTGGACAGATTGGTAATCTTTCCCGCTCCAGACGCTTGATGTCGAGCACTCGGCACCGGAACGAGGCGAGGATATCTGGCGAGATCGATGGCGGAATCGGTTGGCGAGCATCTGAAGCACTCAACCAGAGGCACCACCTCTTCTGGCCGATCAGTGCGCTCGTGCCTGCTCTCCCAGTCGCTTGCCTCCGTTCCAGATTCCGCTGTCGAAGAAGCGGCAAGCTGGCAAAGTGCTCGCTTAGTTGCTTCAAACACTTCTCGTCCTGCACCTGGCCCTGCTGCAGAGGCAATGTTGGTACTGAGGTAGTAGACGTCTGGCGGAGCCAAATCGGGTCTCTCAGCTGGTTGAAAGCTGTAAGTGGGCGGGGCAAACGCTTGTATACTCACATTGGCCTTTTGGACAGCTGAACGTCCCTTCGCCCATCATGAGTGCTGTGACAGCCGATCCATGATGTGGCACGAGGGAGGCAGGAGGAAATACCACAAGAGCTGTCTCAGGTGGCAGCGGCGCCGCGGTGATTTCGCTTCGCCCCTGAGTCTCATTTGCATTTGTACTGGTAGGAGAATTCTGCAAAGCGATTGGCCGATCAAGGACTATGATTGCCTCCAGGCTCTTAGCGTTAGGTGTCGCAGTTAGCAGACTCGGCTTCTGCGATGTCGCGTTGACGGAGGCGTCGTCATCATACTGGCAAGGAATCAACGTCGTGAGCGTATTGGGTTCGCCCACGACCCAATCGGCTGTCAAACGTCCTTCTTCAGGCAGGTCCTTCAAGCCAAAGTCCCAGGACTGCGTTGGCCCGTCTGACGTTTGATTTGTCTCTGCGGCTCGAGAATCACCATTGATTCCCTGTTGTGCACGCTCGAAGCCCTGAGCTGGCTTCATGTCGCTGAGCTCATGACCCAAGATGTAGATGGCTCCGTATACGGCTGCAGCTCGACAGTAGCTTTGAGCCAGCTCGCCAGCTCCGCCATACTGACCTACCAAGTAGGAGGAATTGCCAAACCGGCCAATGCCGGATAGATGCTGTTTTGCTCTCGTCAATGCTTCTTTCGTTGGCTCTGAGAATCCGAGCCCTGTCTCAGTACACACAATGGAGTTCGCAACTTCGCGCAAGACTTACCATCCGGATGCGAGCATAGCGCTACTCCGTACGCCAGAGTCTGCGCGACGGCATCTGATAGACCGTGCTTGCCTTGCAGGTAAGACAAGAAGGGTTCTTCGTATGCGTCTGCAAGAGTGACAGTCTTCGAAATCAGACACGCGAGCAAGCATGATCTTCCGAGGCCCATTCGCTCACCGGACTCGACTACATCGGCGACTGAGCTGGCTTGCGCCACGTTCATGAGAAGCTTCATTATGCGGCGCTTGTCGGGCAAAGACAAGGCTCGATCTTTGAACACGTCTTCCTTTGAACAGGGTACGGTTCGTAGCTGCGACACTGCAGATGGACTTGCGGATGTGGCGCTTGGAATGTAGACCGTCGTGCTTTCTAGTAACCGAAAAGTGGCGTATGAGGCGACTCCAGAGCGCACTAGGACATCAATGGCTTCGCCCGAAGCCGGCAACAAGCTGGGGGATAGGGAGAGCGAGTAGTGCCTGTCCAATTTTCTTAGATCTTCAGGGATCTTTGCTGCGGGGGATCTGGATGCTTCCTGGGCAGCTTCTGGGACATGCGAGGGGAAATTGATCCATGCCGTTGAGCTGCTAGCCTTTTTGGACTCGGCGGTGCGCTCCACGTGATCGACTAGCTCGCCGAGCGAGAGACTGGCACAATCTCCGCCGTAGTAGTCATTCGAGTCTACATGCAGCACTGATCGACCAGCTTTTGCTAATGCGGCGGACAGAATCGACTGTGCTAAGCCTGTTCCAAGTATGAGAACGTCGAAGTGCTTCGTAGGCAGCGACATGATCGCAATGAGAGTCCTACTGAGCACCTCGGCGCACAGGCAGAGCCTCTCTGACTCTGTCTTGTCTTGGGATCAAAAAGGCGCAAATTGCGGTTTGAATAGTGTTCCACGCCTCTTTAAAGAAGACGCGGCTCGCCCAGAGTTTCCATGAGCATGGGTCGTTGTGTCCAGGCCAGGCACTCTTTGCAATGCCAATGCCCTTCCGAACGCTTCACCCTACGCTCCGACGCTTTGCTGTCTTTCTTCGCCTTGCCGGATGACAGCCCAGAGAGCACAAGGCTTCCTCCTCCTCCACTGTCCGGCATGCAATTAAAGATGAAAAGGTCCGCGCGTGGGCTGGAGCGTGCCCTTGGCCCCTACAGGTGAGGTTGCGCGGATTCAGTCACGAGACCCGGATGGAGGTGGAGTTAGGAACTTTGAATCCTAAAACCGCGCTGGCCAGCAGCAGCTTGATTGCCGCTCGCTCGCTGCTGTCGCATGACGTCGGGCCAAATGCGTCCACAGCAGCCGCACTCGGACCAAGACTCCTTGTACCGTACCGGGAACGCGTTGACTTGACTACCGTGACTTACTCTTGACTGTGCGCCCGCATGAGCATCCGCGTGAGCATCGATAATCGCCGCGCCTGCAGCTGCATGACAGGCTATATAGCTTTGCTGCTGCATGCTGGTGCTGCATATGAGGACCGCGGGCTGGTGGCAGCTGCGCGGTCGGGCCTGCTCACTTCGAATCCACGCACAGCCTCTGCCGCCCTATGTTGCGCGAGTGGGATGGTGGAGTGGAGCCGATCGTGCACTCGACTTGCGCTGATGAGGACCACCATCCTGCATCCAATTCAGATTGCTCCCTCTCTCAGCGACTGGTGTAGCATCACTCGTGACCCCATCATCCTTGAAGCCGATACGTCCTCTGCTTCTCTGGCTCTGCGGTCAACTGAACTCATCTACCTAGAGCGCTCCACACGACGGCGGGACTCGACCATCGTGAGTTGCTGCGAACCGCTCTGATTATTCGTAGCCGACTTTTAGACGTACTCTGACATCCGACTCATTCGCCAACTGGATCAGACAGAGCCTTTGCATCTTCTCCAGCATCGCCTTTAGCCTCTCTTGCCAACCCTCGGTCAGAAGAGACACCGAGAGTGACCCAGCCAAGACTTGTTTTCGTCTCAAGCAGCAACTTCCCTTCCCTGTCGAAGAGCGACCGAGCAAAAGCGAAGATGGGCATTCTCACACGTCAACCAGATTCCTACGTCAAAAAGAAACAGTACACGTTCGACAAGACTCTTGGCGAGGGTAGCTTTGGAGTGGTCAGGAGTGCTACTTGGAACACCGCAGAACCGCCGATTGGGGTTGCTGTCAAGGTCATCAGCAAGAAAATTCTCAAAGGTCATGACGAGATTGTGCAAGGAGAGATGGATGTGCTCAAGGTGAGCTTGCGTGCTGAGTCCGCTCAAGCGATGGCGCTGGCGACGCACTCAGCTGGAGCGCTTTGAGAGTGGATCGGCAGACTCTCTCGCTGGTCAGCTGCGGCTCATCGCTCGAATGGAACACGATAAACGGCTACAAGGCGCGCTAACCACATGCCCGACTGCTTGTCGCTTGTTCAGGGGCTGGACCACGCGCATGTAGTCAAGTTTCTGGACTGGTTCGAGTCCAAAGACAAGTACTACTTGGTGTTCGAAGAGGCGACAGGAGGAGAGCTGTTTGAGCGCATCTTGGCAAAGGGTCGGTTCACAGAGCTGGATGCTTGCAGGGTCATCAAATCCGTGCTGGGAGCGATCGAGTATCTTCACAGACATCAGATCGTAAGTGGCTTCTACAGGAGCAGATGGATGCGCATGCGCATGTATGCGGACACCGACCTTCTCTCTTATCTTTAGGTTCACCGAGACATTAAGCCCGAGAATATCCTGTACAGAACAAAGGCGGAAGACGCAAACGTCGTGCTGGTTGACTTTGGTATCGCGCGACATCTGAAAGGCGAAGACGAAGTGTTGACAAATGTGTGCGGATCGTTTGGCTATGCTGCGCCTGAAATTTTGGCAAAGAAAGGGCACGGCAAGGTGGTCGACATGTGGAGTCTGGGTGTCATTACATACACAATGTGAGTCTTACAGTGAGTTTGATGCTAATGTACGATTGCCACGAAGACGCTGATGAAGCTTCACGTGCGCTTAGGCTCTGCGGCTACACACCCTTTAGATCTGATGATCCTGCCAAGCTGGCTGCCGAGACGCAGAGGGGAAAGATCGAGTTTCGTGAGTGTCCCGTTCTCGCGGACATCGAGGACGTCCTCTCTTCCGCCGGCTAAGCGCACTACGTTCTCTTCTCTGCGCCTCAAGACGACCGATACTGGAAAAACGTGTCGCAGGAAGCAAAAGAATTTATCAAAGGCTGCTTGACTGTGGACCCTGCAAAGCGACTTACCAGCGAGGAGGGCCTCGCACATCCTGTGAGTCTTCGACTTTGACCCCGCAAATGCACGTAGCATCTGTTGATCGTCGATGCTACTCGCTCGTCTAGTGGTTTGAAAAGTTCCAGGACGCTGCCGAAGCGTCACACGATATCAGTGCGGGCTTGCGAGAGAATTACAGGAAACGTTGGAAGGTGCGTGGCAGCTCTTTCTCGAGATGAAATGAGCAGCAAATTGACATTCTCACTTGTTGCACATGTTGCAGACGGCCATCAGTGCAGTCCGAGCATCGACTCGAATGGCCGCAATGGGTCGAGCGGCGTCGCAATCGTCTTTAAAAGAAGGAGACATATCTAATACCACGTCGAGCGAGCAGTCGGCCAGTGCTAGCGATTCCATTTCGCCGGAAGAAGCAAAGAGAAGAGCGGAAACGACGGACAAAGTCGCTCCTTTGACGAAGAAGGAGCTCTACTCGGACTCGAGCGACGAGCAGTTGGATGATGCGAGCGATGCAAATGGCTTTGTGGACGCTAGCACTGGAGAGGACGAGATTGGGGAGAGCAAGAAGGAGGCCGACAAGGATCCAGGCGGATTGGCGGGCCTTGTCAAGCGCATCCTTTGAGCTTGACGTCGAGCCATTTGCTCGCTTCTGTACCTCCCTCGCAATCACCTTCAGCTCAAGCACGTTACGCGCGCAATGCTAAAGTCCCCTTCGATATCGCTTGCACGCGCTGCCCAACCTCCATCTGCACAGCTCGCCCAAGCTAGTCTCGGTCTCCAGGCTTGCTTGCTGGGAGCAGCTTGAACCCCAATGCTTGCCACTTGATTCGCCCCCCTCTCTTTTCCTCTAGCCTGTACCACTAGCGAACCACGAATCCTCTTCTTTTGTTTTTCTGTCCATCGGGTCAAATCACATGCGCACGGGACTTCTGACGGAAATCAGGAACTGCGGGGATGAGCCTTGCGATAGCTGTCTCAAGTCTGGATGAGCTTGTTGGTGCACAACATGCTCCGGGCCGCCGTCCCTTCTTGCTTGACTTGCAGTCACAAGTCCAACTTGAGTTTTGAATCAAGAATTCAATCTCGCACTACGTGCCGAGGGTCAAGAATGAAGAATAATCAAGGAAATCAAAAATGTAACGATTGCGAGCCGCAATCTTGAAAAGCGTGAAAATCAAGAATTCATGATCCACACGGAGCAGGTTCGCCGGGGTTGGGTCACGTGGTCGAGCCTCCACGTCGATGCTACAAGCTTGTGCTGTGCCGCGGACCGCACCCTGCAGCTCGAGTGCGCCCTGCAACGGCTTATTGTACCGCAATCACATCTCGAGTCGGAAGGCTAGATCCTGCCACCTCTACATCCTCTCCCTCAATCTGCCTTTGATACTCGCGACTTCGCAAGGAAATTTTGGCACTCGCTTCTCCTCACAGAAGGCCCTCGAAAGTCCATGATTGGACATTCGCCTCGGTCCTTGTCGCGCGAACAGCCGGCTCGATGGACATCATGAATCGTTGGACGGCGAAGAAGGCACATAGCAGCAGGATGAGGAGGTCGACCCTGCTTGGCGGTGCCCTTTTCTTGGGCTTCGCATCAGCTCATCGACTTGGCAAGCCTGGACCTGGCACATCTGGCCTTGGGCTCAATAGCAAAGTGTTTCCTGAAGATCCCTTCTCCTCGCCTGCGTACAATATCATCTTTGACCCGCTCGATCCTGTCAGAAATGCCACGCTGGTAGGACTACTTCAAGACCAAGCAGACGGTCTTGCGGACGGAACGCAGAGCATAGAGCTGCTGGGAGGAGCGGACGGCCTGCATGCTTGTTTCAGCGCTGCATCTCCAGAGATAGATGCGCGCAAGAGGGCACAATCGAATATAGATCTCTCTTCCCTCTCAGCAACAGACCTCGAATTAGCTCGATCGCGCGCTCTATCCAAAGGCCTATCGTTGCTTGCGCCTCTGCGCAAGACTTGTCTCTACCACACGCTCGACTGGTTCACATACGAGTTCTGCTACGGAGCTCAAGTGAGACAGTTTCACGCGCTGCCCGGAAGCTCTCTACCTGGACGCACACCCGTGCCGGACCCAGGACAGGATAGCTACGTACTGGGCAGATCGCCTTCTTCGTCTTACTATGCAAATCGCTTGGATGGTAGCGCGGTTGCGCAACAGGATGATGCGGCGAGCAGCAACGCTCAAGACGAGGCTAAGAGGGAAGAAGTAGGCGAGTTGATGGAGGTGGTCTCGCTCGCAGCTGCACCTGGCCCCTCGGCTGCCAGACAAGGCGCAACGAATGCCAATGATGCCAACGAGAAATCGCAGCATGAAGCGTCCAGCTCGCTCAAAAGAGGCGAGAGGTATGTCTCGCAACTTTGGGGAGGCGGCACGCTTTGTGATCTGAACAACGAGAGGAGGAGCGTGGAAGTTCAGGTGAGTCACCTTTGCGCCTGCGCAACCCAACGTCGCCTTTCAAGTACTTGCGTCGAGGCGGCGATGCTCCATCCGTCGTCATCACAACGTCGGAACACTGATTCTCGTCACTTTTTACACCCTTCTAGTTCTACTGTTCCCGCAGACCGGGCGATCGCATCTCGCTGGTAAAGGAGACGACTACGTGCAATTAGTGAGTTCGGAAAGCTTGTGCCCCAAACTGTGGTTTCTGTGCTGCTGCGACAGTAATATAGAGCTCAACATCTTCTCTCTCATCGCAGCGTCATCGTCATCGAAACACCACTGCTTTGCACGGAGCCCGCCTTCGCTCTTCAGGATGATCCAGTGCAAGATATCAAATGCAGACCGGTCGTGTCTGATGATTGGGTGGCACCGGCCAAGCCCGTCACGCAAGCACCAGAAAGGGGCATAGACGCGTCGCAGACTCGAGATCATCAAGATCAAGCTCGACCCACCACTGCTGCAGCGTCTAGGCCCAAGTCGGTGGGCGACGTGAAGGGTAGTCAGGACATCGATGAAGAGCTAGTGTATGTTCCAACGAACCCCAGGGGTCCTGACGATGCAGAGGGCGCGCAGAGGGAGAGGCCTGATGAGCAAGACGCGACTACTGCACGGACGGAGGAAGATGATGACGTTTCAGGATTTCACACCAGAGGGGACGGTTTTTCGTTGGGAGGCATAGCGGATGGGTTTTTGCCGGGCGAACATCTACAGCAAGAACATACGGACGAATTGTTTGAGCTTGATCTGGATGATGACGGAAGTCTGGTACTTTATCCGGTCAATGAGAGGGGAGAAGCTGGAGATCCAATCGTCCAATTGACGAGAGACGCGGTGAATCCGGTGGGCGGAGCGGATCGAATGCCGGGTGCTGGTGTGGACGGAGGAGCAGGAATTGCACCTGGCGAGTGGCTCGACGAGGGCGATCTGCCAGCCATCCAGGAAAGGCTGCAGGATCATCTGGACAGAGCTGCTGTGAGGGCTGAAGAGGAGGATGCAAGGCTGGGCCAAGCAAGACCTCCGGAGGATAGGCGAAGAATCTTGCAAGATGCACTTAGAGAAGCTTTGGGAGCTCAGGGCGTCTTCCAAGAGGTCAGACAAAGAAGAGCACGAGCGGCAGCTGATGCTGCTAATGCAGATGTTGCTGCGAGGAATCCCGCGCACGCCCAAGGGCAGGCAGAGCAGCAGGCAGGACAAGACGCTGCCGGACAACGCAACAATTTGGAGCGAGTACTTCAAGCTCAAAGAGAGAGGATTGCCCAGGTCTTTGCGGAGTTGAACGGTGATGCGAGAGCCAGGGGTCGGGCGGGTGCGCCAGGACAAGGCTCGACGGATCGACGAGCGCCGGACGAGCCAGCGAGAGGAGCTCAAGGCGGCACAGGAACACACGACCGTCAGAACGCTCCGCCAGCGCCAGCGCCAGCACATGCAGACGCAAACGCACAGGCGCCAGAGCCAGCGCCCGCTCAAGGGCAAGCCCAAGCGCGCGCAAGAGGCCAGGGATCTCTGCGCGGTCAATTGTCCGACCAGGCCATCGCTGCGGCTATCGCTGCCGCCAAACCTGGCCCGCCTGGAGGTATGCAGAGGAATGCGGAAAGCCTGGCAGAGAGAGCGGCTAGACATTATGAGAGGAAAGAGAAGGAGAAGGAGGCGCAAGAGAGAAGAGCTAGGGAGAGGGTGGAGCTGTGAGCGTGAGAGGAGAGTGTGATGGAATTGATGCTTGACGATGGGTCTGAATAGACGATAGTCTGGCTCGTGATGACACAGGTCTGCTGTTGGATTGGTCTGGCGCGCGCAGCTTGACGTGGGATACCTACGCTTGACACCGGACGTCATCCCAGCGTCGTCGTTGTGCCACGGTCATCTGGCTGTTTTGGAACATGAGGCGCAATGGCACAAATAGATTGAATTGCGTGTGCGGATAGAGTTGAAGTCGTGCGAAGCTGAGTATCAAAAATTTGAGACGAAGTACATGGTAGCGCCTATAAGTGCCTGAAACGCTGGGGAGAGAAAGCGCGCCATTGGGAAAGTCAAGTCAAAGCTCGCTCTTGCTTCCGCTGCTATGTCCTCCGTTCACCCTCGTCACACCTGAAGAAGTATTGTCCAGGCTGAACTCGCGCAGATCATCGATGGAGACGGTCTTGAGCGCTGTTTGGTGCGTTGCTGGGATGATGACTCTATGCAAGTAGCACAGAAATGGGGGCATTCAGCGGAACGTTTAGGCGCGCGTGGAGATTGTTGCGTTGGCAGATTGTATGCCCTTTTGAGAACCCTTTGGGCATCAGACAAGTGGGCGCTACTCACTTTGGAACACTTTCTCTCCCGACTTGTCCATCCCTAAAAGCCTTGACGCTCTCGAACCACCTACTAGCACAGAGACACCACCTACAGCCATCCTTCAGGATAGGTCGAAGATCATTGCCTCTGCTAGCCGAGAATTTCAAGAAGTCATCCGTGACTTGAGCGGCCAAGACGTGAGAACCTGCGTCGGCGGGTGAGGTGTTGCAGTAACCGTCTCTGTAAAAGCCGGTCAGGGGTTGGGTGGAGCAGGGCTGCAAGGGTTGTCCTAGCACGTTGATGGAGGGCTCCATGTTGAAAGCTGAACCTTGCGAGATTGCGCGAGAGGTCAGGGGCGAGGGTGAGGGGACTTGCTTGCGCTTAAGCAAACGTCCTAGATGTTGAACGAGGCACCGAATGTTGGGCAAAAATAAATTGCCAGGGCGTGCGAAGGGTGGAGCGCCGCGACGTGCTGGGTAGCTCGAGTGTTGAAGCGACAGCGCAAATGGGAAGTTTGGACTGGTGGATGGGAATCAGTAAACTTACGTTTCCGATTCACGATTCGTGATTACTCGAACTGCTTGACGCTTTACTCTGGACTCATGACTGCGGTGAATCTGAATGTACTCATACACAAGCTGACGAGATATGGCTGAGACCCTCTCAGCGCTCCGACCATACATAGCCCGTGAGCGAGCGAGTCAAGAGTGGAGGCATGCAATGCATACAACGCACCTCGCACGCCATCCAGTCTGGTCACGTGTATATCACGTGATCCAGCTTGCCTGAATCTGTAGAAGGTTCTCGATGTTGAGCTCGTCTATCTGCCGGCACCGCGCGGCGGGGCGCATGGGACGGCGTGACAGATTCCAGAAGGTGCTACAAGCTCCTCCACTTTGCTCGTGACTTCCAGAGCCACCAATGCAGTCACCTGCTGTGGAACTTGCATGCGCCCGCCAGTCGCGAGTCGTGAGTGTTGGACTCCGTCCCGCGACGGCCTCGCCTATATTTACCCCCCACCACCCTTGGCCATCCAAGGATGCCCGCACCGTCACCATCAGCGCACCAGACCGTACCATATCAGATCCACGCACAGCAGCCTACAGCAACGGTCCCATCCACACGCTCGCAAACACACCCCACAAAGCCACTCGCATGGAGTTCACAGATCGAGCTCAAGCAGCCGTCGGTGCTGCACTGCAGCTGGCCAAGGACTTTGCTCACCCCCAAGTACGGCCTGAGCATCTGGCGCTAGCATTTCTGAACGACGATGCTCGCGGCACATCCGCTGGCGCTCTAAACACCTTTGAGCCATCGCGTCCCTCCACGCCATCCAGCAACAAGCCCAACGCATCCGAGTCCCTCTTCCGAAGCGTATTGGGCAAAGCAGGCGTAGACGCTTCCAGATTCGAATTCAGCCTTCGAAATGCGCTCAAAAAGATTGCCAGCCAGAATCCAGCGCCGGATGAGGTGGGCTTGGCTGGGAGTACGAGCAGAATCTTAAAGGAAGCGGATCATCTCAAGACGCAGCAACACGACTCTTTCATCGCCGCGGATCACATCTTGCTGGCGCTGCTCACTGATAGCAGCACCGTCAAGCTTCTCAAAGAGGCTGGTCTTGCAAACGAAAATCTCCTCAAGACTGCCATCACTCAAAGCAGAGGACAGCGCAGGGTGGACTCTCGCGCCGCTGATGATGGCTTGGCAGATGCGGTCAGCAAGTACTGCGTGGATCTCACCGCTCTTGCGTCCGAGGGCAAGCTGGACCCAGTGATCGGTCGAGATGAAGCGATCCGAAGAGTCATTCGAATTCTTTCGCAAAGAAGAAAGGCTAATGCCGTGCTCGTAGGACCTCCAGGAACGGGAAAGACGGCTATTTGCGAAGGATTGGCTCAAAGAGTCATCGATAACGATGTGCCTCCTCAATTGCAGACCAAGGTTCTCTCTCTCGATCTTGCTGCACTTGTCGCCGGCGCATCTTACAAGGGTCAATTTGAGGAGCGTTGGAAAGCGCTTCTTACGGAACTCGAAAAGATGGCCGACAACGGCAAGGCTCCGATCCTCTTCATCGACGAGGTGCACCTGCTCGTAGCTGGAGGAGGCAACGGATCCACGGACGGCGGCAATCTGCTCAAACCCAGCCTTGCTCGTGGCAAGCTGCGCGTCGTAGCAGCCACGACGCCCTCCGAGTACCGCACAACAATCGAAAAGGACGGAGCTTTGGATCGTCGTTTCCAGATGGTCAATGTGGACGAGCCGAACGAGGAGGAGACCATCGCCATCATGAGAGGGCTTCGAGAACGCTACGAGAATCATCACGGACTTCGCATCCTCGACTCGGCGCTCGTAGCGGCTGCCAAGCTGGCCAGACGATATTTGAGCGGTCGCAAATGTCCCGACTCTGCCATCGACTTGCTGGACGAAGCTTGCGCGGAAGTGAGGGTCAGCAGAGAAACGCTGCCGCCCGAGATCGACTCGTTGCAGAGAGAGGTGGTGAGACTGGAAGTCGCTATACATGCGTTGGAGCGCGAAAAGGACGACGCGAGCAAAGAGGCGCTGGAGCATACTCGCAAGCAATTGGCCGTCATCAAGGAGACGCTGGCGCCCAAGATGGCGGCGTACGAGGCGGAAAAGGAGCAAGCTGAAAGACTGTCCAACGCTCGTAGACGCTTGGAAGAGCTTCGACAAAAGGCGGAAAAGGCTCAGAGGATGATGGATGTCGCTACCGCTTCCGATCTGACGTATGGTGCCATACCCGATTTGGAGGCCAGGATCGCGGAGTTGGAAGCGGAAGAGAAAAGGAAGGCGGAAAGAGGAGAGTCGGACAAGGGAACTGTTGGACCTGAACAGATTGCCGCTACGGTAGCGCGCTGGACGGGCATTCCCGTCGCTTCCATGCTCGAGTCTGAGCGCGACAAGGTTCTGCAGTTGCCCAAGCTGCTGAAGAAGGAGGTGATTGGTCAGCCGGAAGCTACGAATGCGATCGCCAAGGCTATCCAGCTGCAAAGAGCAGGACTGGCAAACCCCAACTCTCCGCCCAGCTTCTTGTTCTGCGGACCCTCTGGAGCGGGCAAGACGCTGTGCGCCAAGACGTTGGCCAAGATCCTCTTTGGAACGTCGGATGCGCTCATCAGGATCGATGCGTCCGAGTACAGCGAGCGACACTCCATCAGCCGACTTTTGGGCGCTCCACCGGGATACGTGGGCTACGAGCAAGGAGGTGCGCTAGAAGCTGTGCGAAGAAAACCTTATAGCGTCATTTTGGTGGACGAGTTGGAAAAGGCGGCAAGGGAATTCCACATGACCTTCTTGCAGGCGCTGGATGATGGACGCTTGACGGATGGACAAGGAAGGGTGATCGATCTGAGGAACTCCATCATCATCTTCACCTCCAACCTCGGCTCGGCCTTCATTTCCGACAATGAAACGACGCTGGACAATGGCAAGATTGCACCGGCTACGAGACAACTGGTCGAGGGCGCCATTGCCGCTGCTCTGCCTCCGGAGCTCAGAAACAGGTTCAGCGCTACTGTTCTCTTCAGACCCTTGTCGCGCAAAGACGTGCGAAACATTATCGATTTGCGCATCGAGGAGGTTCACGCTCGCATTCGATCCAACGGCAAGCAGATAAGATTGGTCCTTTCGGAGGAAGCAAAGGATGTGCTTGCGAAGCTGGGATACAATCCACAAATGGGAGCTCGACCCCTGACGAGGGTCATCACGAACGAAATTCTCAGTCCTCTGAGCGTCCTGATGCTTAGAGGAGCCGTGCTGGACAAGGAAGAGGTCAGAGTGGATGCCGATGTGGCAAAGGATAGGCTCGTTGTGAGAGCTAATCACGAGGCCAACGAGATGGAGGTGGACGATGAGGAGGATGGAGAGAGCTATCTTATGGCAGAGGAGGTCGACTAGGCCCGGCCCGGCCCGCCTCTCCTGCAGAGAACGAAAACGAACAAATCAACAAGAGAAAGTGCAAATTTACTCTTGCCGCGAAAATGGGGGGACGAGCTGAGGATCGTCGCCCCCGGCGCCATTTCCCCGTAAAAAAAAAAAAAAAGTCAATATCGCTTCACGGCCTCATAGTCACCTCGAGCCATGCATCAACCACGTCCGCATCCCTTTTTGCCCCAAAACCAAACCACCATCCCGTCACTCTTTCCGTCACTCTTCTGTAGTTCCAACTTCAAAAACACAAACGTCACCCTTGCCCTGTCCGAAAACATAGATGAATGAAGATGAAAAAGTGAACAAAACCATCCTTCCTTTGTGTTGCTAGCGTCCCTTTTTGCTTCCGTCATTCCGCCCAACAAATGGATACCCTCCGTCTGGCGCTCGCGACACTTGAAGCTATCTATCCATGATGCCGCTTCGTCATGAGCAGTAGTATTGAATTCACGCATGACCTTCGAATGCGGGTTTGTCGACACAATCGGGCGATCTGATGGGGCTCCGCTCGCAGCATGAAGTGTTCGCAATGCGCGAAAGTTGCGAAAAAAAAAAAACAAAAGCAGCCTCTTGTTTCTGGTCAAGGACAGGCTCAAATTGGAGTGCTTGTCTCGGCCTACATTTGCCACATCAGGAACGGGGGGATGACCAAGCGAAGAAAGATAGAGAGAGAGAAAGATAGAGAAAGAGAGAGAGAGAGAGAGAGAGCCGAGACTTTCCTGTTCGCTCATTCTTTGATTTCTGAAGCATCTATTTTGTTCTTTCTTTTTTCTCTTTTCCCCTCCCTTCCTCCCCCCAACGTCAACTCGGCAGCTCAATGTATAAAGACGTCCAAGCGGGTGAGCTGCGCAAAGACGGACTGTTCGATGCGCACTGCAGGGGCAAGAGAGCAGCGAAAGAGACGATTCGCGATTCGAAACGCAAAATGATGAGCTTGAGTTTAAACGGATCAAAAGAAAGCAAGGGCTTTACTCACGTCTGAGACTACCAGCATACACCATGAGCGCTCTAGCTTTCGCCCTGAGCTCCTTGATCCTAGGTAGATTCGCATTGCTTCTCTCTCCCGCCACCGCCGCCGCCGCAGCAGCAGCAGCGGTACCGCCAGTACCAGGCGCGAGAGCCGAGCTCTTGATCAGACCTTCGTGCAGCTTGTACAGCGTCTCCATGACGAGCAAGAGGATGTTCGAGACGTTTTTGGAAATGTGAGGCGATATTTCTCTGAACTTTTCCGCTTGACGAGTAATGGACACTGCGTCCGTCTTGCTGAGCGGAATCAAATCCAGCGATTCCACCGTCTGATGATGATCATCGAGTCAATGCCCGAGATTTGGTAAGTCTTTGGCAGCTCACATCGTCGCCACACGCACGGCAACAAGCGACTCACGTTGAGCGACTTTTCGAGCTCTCCAGCATGGAAGAGATTGACCGCATCTTTGAGCGCCAGCAGAACCTTGATCGTCTCCCTCTTGGCCGGATTGATGCTTCTGAGAATATGTTCTTGTCTTTCGTAATTTGCCACGATAGCCTTGGCAAGCTGAGCTGTATCCATCGCATCGGCCAGTCCTGGATCAGCTGCAGCCATAGTCTTTCTTCCTGCTCCAACTTCCAGTGTCTGAGATGAAGCGGGCAAAGGAGAAACCTCGAAAAGCGTCACGCCAAGATCTCGATTGAGCACCTCGATCACCGTGTTGTACTCCTCCGCGAGATTGTAGAGCAGAATGGCATCTCGGACTCTGTGTTCTCTGTCCGATTGGGAAGCTGCTTCACACACGATATCTTGCAAGAATTGACGAGAGTCCGAAAGCCCGATGAGTGAGAGGTTGCGCTCAATGAGACCGGGCTACAGTAAGTACGACGCGTAGCGCAGATCCGAATTGCAAGCGGTCAGCTCGTCGTCGAGCTAAATATCGTCTCGTTGACCTCGCCATCGCAGGGCGACTCACCGCTTTCGTCCCATCATTCCTGATCTCGCCTAGCAGATCAAAGTACTGTCTACTCTCGAGAACAAGACCCCTGATGAGTTCGTGGCACCTCTTGACCTGTTGAGGACCAGCAGGCTTAGGCGCATCCTCGTTGAGGCATACCAAAGCGATGTACTCGAAAGCTGAACGAGCGTCGGATCTAGCAAACGACCGCACGTAGCGTTCGACGAGCTTTGCAAAGTCCAGATGAGCCTTTCGATTCGGCTCTGTCCCTTGTATAGTCACTGTATGGAGAAGAGACAGGAGGGGTCAAACACGTCAGCAACGTAGAGCCTTGTAGTAGAAGGCGAAAAGGCTCACGCACATAGATCAGTGGCGGAGGTGTGGGCCTGGCTTGGCACGCGCAGCAAGCCGTAGTACGAAAGCGCAGCCGCAAATTGCACAGCATCCACTTGATGCTGAGGACGGCTGTACAAGAAAGCCACCGCCTGTAGCCGCGTACTTATGAGCATCAGCCACTTCTGTGTCCAATTCGCGACGTGATCTCGCACCATGCACGCACCTGCTCGAATTGCCCGCTCAGGAGCAGAATCTGGAAGTAGTGCAGCGGTCTAGCACCCTTCGGATCGAAATGCTTCTCACCAAAGCCGAGCAGCTTGTTGCCTAGCTGGACCAATCCGTAGCCATCTCCATTCTCCTCGTCTTGCGTGGCAAAGGGAGAGCTGGAATCCAAATCCCTGATCAAGCTCAGCTGCACCCAAAGCCAATTCTCTGTGCTGCGTGTCAACACTACAGGAAAACGTTTGTGGATATCTATACGGCCCAACAGGCGATATAGACCTTGCTTGTACCCATCAGAAGAGCCCGACGAAAGTACTCCTCCGCGGAAAGTCGCGTTGTAGGAGGAAACGATCCTGTCCCGCAAAGACTTTGGAAGGCTGAAGTGTCCGCCCAAGGAAGGTGAGCAGGACGCAGGCAAACAGTGAGCGCCAAGCTACTCACAGACGTTCAGGACTGTCCATCCAAGCTTTGAAATAGGCGACCAGGCTAGTGCCACCTGCTGAACCACCGGTCCTTTGAATTGCCTCGTCATTTTCCGTGATGATATCAAGCGCAGCATGCTCGTTCCCAGTGCGCAGCAGGTGGAAGATGATTGCCCAAAGCGGCAGCAGGCCTTGGGCCGTGTTGACGAGCTAGACGAGGGTTACAAGACACGGAGCAAAAACAGTACGTCACAGCGTCAGTTCGCGGCCCAGGTGATTCGGCTGAAGCGTGCACGAAATAGAACAATGGAAATTTTATTTCTCACCTCGAGGTCAGGATCCCAGCGTCCTTCGCGATCTTGGTGAATCACTCGGATGAATGCCGTCACTCGGTTGCGCACCGATGGGACGCCTCCGAGCTGAGCCTTGACGGGATTGAGCGCAATGACTTCGTCGATGTGTTGATCGAATCTGCATGAAGAGTTGCAACTTGAATGATCAGCTGGCTTCATTGCGCACGCGACGTGGCAAGCTAGATGAAGCTGCACAAGAGCTGACTCACTGATGCTGCAAAAAGCGACGCGCCCCGGTAGCAATCTTACGCCTGAGTTCTTGCCCACCGCTTTCGTTCCACTGCTTCTCGTCTGTGTAGGCCAGAGCATACTGTCTAGCCCGAATGGCAGGTCCATCAAAAGCATCACTGCCCCCTGTGGGCTCTTCACCAACAACGAGCGACAGAGCCTTCCAGGTGTCCGACAGCGCAGAAGCGGTCTGGGAAGCTGAAGATGACAAGTCACCCGCGATGGATGATTGAGGCAGGCTCACTGCTGAGCCCAACAAAGCGACCACAGGAACGGGTCTGCTTTGAGATCGAGCATGATTGATCAGCCGAATCTTCTCGTCGTACTTCATCATTCTTCCGTGCAGACGTGTCGAGGAGCCAGCGTTGGAGGTGAGGGAGCGCGTCGCGCCTGCCTGTCCTGCTCTAGAACCCGTCGCCAGCTCATCCGATGCGAATGCGCTCAGCCCGGAAGAGTATCCTCCCATCTCTTCAAGTGCCCTCGCTCTTTGTCTGCTCCAATCCCTGGCCAGTCCGCGACTCATAGCCACCGCAAAGTCTTTCTGCGTCTCTCTTCTTCCTTCTTCGATGGAGCTCAGCAAGAGTTGTTCGTGCGAGTGCTTGAGGTAGGCATCGATATCTGTGTCGTAGATTGGAGACAGAGGCTCGAATGCTCTGGAAGTGTTGATACGGGCGATGGAGGCTCCCAAAGAAGCAGCATCTATCCCAGCACTAGCCAAGAAATAAGCCGCCTTGTCGTTGGAAGCCACACCGTCTCCTCCATAGCCTCCTGCTCCCACACTGGCTCGCGCACCAGAGGACGGTCCTACCGATTGGTGCCTCAGCAGTCTGCGCGTCTGCGACTCGATCTGATCGAGACCTAGTTGGATATGTGGCAGGTCATTGCGATTGCCGAGATGGGCAGTGAGGGAGTGCGATTGATTCAATAGTTGCGAAAGTGTCGATTGAGATTCCTCGCCTGCCACGCGGCCTACGTCCACGTCCATCCTTGCGCTGAGCTGCTCTTGCTCGAGCAAAGGTTCGAGATGATGGGTCGGAGAAGAGAGGAAGATCGCACGACAAAGCGATGCGCAGGCAAACTTGCGCAAAGATGGAGATGTTGGTGAAGGGAACCGTCGACTGGCTTGAAGCGCGATCTGCCTCTAAAGACCGCGTTTTGGGGGTGCGCGTCTTTGCATCACGTGATCTGCCGCAAGCTCCGCGATCAGGCCATGCGCTCCAACTCAAACTCGCCCATGTTTCTTCTTGACGTTGCTTGGGCAGACTGTTGTGACTCTTGACTTGTTGGTTCGCTCAACATCACCACACGCTCTCCCCCTCGTTCGCTGCGAATGCGAAAGCAAAAGGTCAATCAGCTCAAGTCATGTCGACTGCGGCCACGTCAAGCACGCTAGTCTCGGCACCTGGAAAGGTCCTCTTGGCAGGCGGATACCTGGTTCTAGATCCGGCCTACGTGGGCGTCGTCGTAGCGACCGATGCGAGATTCTACTCCCTGGTCAGATGCACAGCATTGGATGGAGGGGATGGTGCTCCTTCGAGATCAGAGGTAGGGATTCAAATCGTCTCGCCTCAATTCTTGCAGGCGGAATGGGAGTTCTTAGTCAAGAAGCGCGAGGCGGGATGGACTTTTGCGCAAAGCAGGTGAGTCGCGACAGCGCATCACTACAGCACACGTACAACTTGATTCGAGCGATTATGCGTGCATGCTGCGCATTTTTGCGTCCTGACGACACCGATCGCCGTCCCTGATATGTTGCGCTCAGAGAGTCGCACGCCTCTGCAAGTGCGGGCCCCAACCCATTCCTCTCCCTCTCCCTGTTGTACGTCTTGCGGCTGGCCCTGCAGGTACTCGGGCAAGATGCAGTGGAGAGAGCGCTGGGCAGTGGGCTGCAAATACACGTGCTAGGTGATAATGACTTTTATTCTCAACGAATCGAAGTGAGTTCAGCAGTGCTGCTACTCGTGCCTACACCGGCCAGCTGGCACTACAGCGAAGGGTACGTCGACTAAAGCGTGCCCATTCGCTTCGCAGGGGCAATCGAGAGCTCCGACATCTGCCGAGCTGCGCGCTCTTCCACCGTTCAACAAGCAGTCTTGTATAGTCAAAGATGTGCACAAGACTGGTCTGGGTTCATCAGCCGCCATGACCACTTCGCTCGTGGGAAGCTTGATGCTGCACTTGGGACTCGTCGGATCGGGCCCCGCTCCATCGCACACATCCTCGTTCGATGCTTTGAAAGGACCACGGGAGGAAAGGAGATTGAATCCCACAGATCTAGGCTTGGTGCACAATACGGCTCAATTGGTCCACTGCGCGGCGCAGGGAAAAGTCGGAAGCGGATTCGACGTCAGCTCGGCCGTCTGGGGGAGCCATCTGTACAGACGGTTTGACCCGATTGCCATCAATCATTTGATGGACGGGACCAAAGTTGGGGCTGAAGGGGAGGGAGAAGTTGTGAGCCCCGCGCATGGCACTACTGATGCAAGAGTCTCATTTTGACGCCCTCTTCTTCTGACCGCGTGCAGCCTCTGCGAAGCGAAGCCGATCTTGGTAAAGCTCTATCACCATCGAACAAGATCTGGCAGCCTTCCCCGTTGCACTCGGACGCAAGCACAAGCGAACGCGGGACAAATCCGACAGCAGTAGAAGGTCTGCACTTTTCTTCGACCGCATCTCAGCAAACACATCGTCCAGCTCCATTATCCCTTCCTCCTCACATCTCTCTCATCCTAGCAGACATCAATGCCGGCTCTTCGACGCCAAGCCTAGTTTCCAAAGTCAACGCCTGGAAAAAGGCGAAACCTGATTGGGCCAAGCAGCTGTTCAGCATTTTGGCAGCTAGCAATGCTAACCTTGCCGATGGACTTTTGGCTTTGGGATTGGAGTACGGTAGGGATGCCAAGGCTTACAATGAAGCTATCAAGCTGGCTGCGAGCCAGAGGAGCAAAGATGTGAGTCTTTTGGCGCACTTTGTTGAGCCCATGTTGCGGCATGTGCGGAGACTCAGTCTGACTTACAAGACCCCCACCCAACCTCTCGGTACAAGTGGGACGCAACGCTTCGTTCTCTGCCTGCATCGAACGTGGCGCACACCCCTCCCTCGCCGTCATCGCAATCGAGCATTCTGACGCTCTTGATAGAAGTTCGAAATGCTCTCAGATCCATCAGAGCGGGCATGAGGGAGCTGGGCCAGCGAGCCGGCGCGCCTATAGAGCCGGACGAGATGGGAAGAGTCCTCAGAGCTTCAACGGATGGAGCTGATGGAGTTTTGGGAGGCGGAGTACCTGGTGGTGAGTAGCAATGTCTCCCAACGGATGTGCAGCTAGATGCATGAAAGTGTGGGCTGCGAGGAGCAAGAAGGATAGCTGAAAGGTGATGAAAGAGGTGCTCTTGGGCCAAGATGCATTGATAGGCATAAAAAGGGGTCAGGCATCTTGTCACTCTGCTCACACTTTGCATCAACCCACCTCGTAGCGGGAGGCTTCGATGCGCTCTACCTGCTCTACCTCGACCCTTCTCCAGAGACGTCGTCAAACAGACATGCCATAGAAGACTTGTGGTCAGGATGGAAGACGGATGGACTTTGTGTCGGACCCTTGTTGTGTGGAGCGGTTGATGCTGGGGTTGAACAATGGGGAGCCTTGAGGAAAGCTTTGCCCGAGAGCAATTTGGCAGGCGAGTCTGAAGAGCAAGCTTTATCGGTCAGCGGTGCTGCTCAGAGCGTGGATCGTGCGCGAGAATCGCAGCCGGGAGCAGGGTTTCGAGTAGAGAGGTTGGAGAATGTGAAAGGATTGCATCGCGCCATCCAGAGGATTTGATGCGCGGTGCGCTTTAGAACAATGTGATACTGGCACAGGCCGCACTTGCACCTTGCGTACCTCGCACCTTTTGAAAGCGCCAGTGGTTTGGCATAGCACCATTCCCACGTGCGGGTTCGCATGTGACATTAAGCAGTGAATGAAGTGCGGGGGGTGGCAGCCAAGTAGCCTCAAGAGGGGAGAAAGAGGAGCGTACAAAAGATTGCTTCGGGCCAAGATGGAGCTAGGGCTAGAAAGGGGAAATGAGAAGAGGAAATTTCGGTGTCACGAGCTGACGTCCATATCCTGACTCTGGCTCGTCTGAGCTGCTGCAGCACCACCCCTAAACAGTTCCTGTCCCACCTCCAGCTCGTCCCTCTCCGAGCTCTCTTCGGCCGCATACATCTCATCATCGTCCAAAGCCTCCTGTACCGCCCTCAGATCGTCCGCGTCCAACGACTCTCCGTCTCCAGCGTGCAAGGGATGTCGAGCTTGGCGAGACGTGGAAGCATCTTGATTTTCCGACGAAGAACTTGCTGCGGCGGCGCCCGATTCGTCCAGGTCCGCATCCGCATCCGCATCCGCATCGGCATATCCAATCGCTTCTTCCTCCAACTCGTCCTGCTCCTGCTCCTCCTGCTCCTCCTCGTTTACACTCTCATCCTCATCCACATGCATCTCATCCTCCTCCTCCTCCTCCTCTACCCCCATGCTCGTTCTAGACTGCCAAGCCGCACCTCTCAACGCGCTGGTAGCACCCTCTCCCATACTCTTGATCTCCCGCAGCGATCTCGGGTCCAGATCGATAGCCGCACAAAGATGGTGCGCGACCAATTCCTGCATCTTTTCTGGAAGAGCGGTTCGAAGGACCTTCTTGCCCTGAGCATCGGACCACGCGCTCCATCCACGCTTTTTTCTCTCCAGCTGCGTCTTCTTGCGAGAGGCGGAAGCGGTTGAAAATTCTCCTCCGCCCAGCTTCATGTACGATCGAGCCAGCTCTAGATGCACCGAGGGCTCGTCGGGCGCAAGTTGGCAAGTCAACAGCAATTGCTCGTGCGCTTTCTGTTGAGCGTTGGCAGAAAAGCGAGAGCATGCGTCGTCAGCGTGTGGGAACAGGAAACTTGGCATACTCCGATGCGCTGAAGACCACCTACCTCCGTGTCACCAAAGAACGCGTGCAGCTGGGCAAGACGCAGGCGAGTGCTCGGGAGCTTGGGATCCAGACTGATAGCTCGTTCGTAAGCCGTGCGTGCTTCTACAGGATTACTGAGCGCCTCCTGGCACTGTAACAAGCACCAGAAGAAATCGCGCGTCAGAGGCGCGCTGAACAAACCAAGAGCAGGACATGGTTCGCGTGTGTGCCCTTACTCACCCGGCCATACACGTCCCACAAGACCGCATTGCCAGTATTGAGTCTCAAGGCCATTCCCCAGTGATACTCTGCGAGGTCAAAGGACTCATTGGCCATATAAACCTCTGCCAACCCCGCCCAAGCGTTCCAAAACCTCTGATCCGCTCTGATCGCCGCTCTATAAAGCGCGATAGCTCGTTCGAGCAGATTCAAACTTTTCGCTTCGTGTGCCGCCAGCGTATAAGCGTAAGGATGAGCAGGCGAAGCGAGCGCCGCTCGTCTGAAACACCTCAAAGCGATCGAATGCTCTCCTTGCATCGAGTAAGCATTTCCTGCTGCGATCTGAGCGATAGGGTGCGAAGAGTCCAGCAGCATCAAGTGACAGACGAGCGCAGAGAGCGCTACTTCCCTCTTGAGATAGAACAAGACTGTGGAGAAAATGTCCATGTGCTGCACCATCGAGGGATCCTTGGCTCTCGCGTAGGCAAAGTGTCGTTCAGAAGTAGCATAGTCCGCCGTTTGGTATGCGGCAATGCCCAAGAGGCATCTCGTAGCAGGCGCATCGCGCACAGAAGCAGGCAATGAGCCCCTCCTATGATCCCCTCGATCTTTCCAGCCTTCGCTGAAGCCAAGAGACCTCGCTTTGGAGCCAGAAGAAGTCTCGCCAAACATCTCCTCCGAAGGTCGCAAGACCCAGCTGGCTTTGCGGCCCACGTTTCGACTCAAGGCGCCATAAGCTTCCGCCATCGTCCGCACCACATCCAACACCGCTCCATCCACAGCAGACCAAATGCAAGCCAAGCGAGCAGCCTCTTCGCAAGACGCTCGCAAGACCTCCCTCAGCGCACGATCGATCGCGGCCGACTCTTCACCAAGCGCAGTATTGCGCTCCTTGTGTTGACCGCTACTGTTCGATCGACCTGCAGTCAGGCCTGCCTTGCGATGTCCGGGCCCCGCTTCGCTTTCCGAGGAAGTCGCAGAGGAAGGTGCACCGGCTCTCATGGCACGTCGCGGGGCTTGTGTACCAGTCGGTGCGGCAGTCCTGCCAGCAATGCTATTTGTCTTTGCCGCCCCTTGTGGAGCAGGTGTAGTCTGAGATGCGGACGAAGGGGTGTTTCTGGTGGCAGCGCTCCTCCCACCCTGCGAATTGACCGCGCGCGATCTGGTCTGTGCTGCTCCAGAAGTAGGAGCCAGAGCAGATCTGGTCACTCGCTGACTTTGAGATCCTCCAATGACAATATGAGAAGAAGCCGGTTTCTCATCTGCCGCGTTTGCCGAAGAGGTCAGAATGCTGCTTCCACTCATACTGCTAGCCGGTCGAGTGGGCGGTTCGTTTTGGCGGCCAACGGACAATCCTTGCCTCACACCTGGACGAGTCGTGGCGGCCGCGCCGCTGCGCGTAGTGCTTTGCGATCTGGTTGCGTTTGCGCTAGAAGGGGCAGCAACTGTTCCGGCTGCTCTCACTCGCTTGACCCCAGCGGTTACTGCGCTGCCAGCAGTCTGAGAAGGGTGCCGTGAGCCAGGACGGACCTGAGGAGCAGAGGTGTGACTGCCAGCTCGCGTAGGAGCCGCAGCAGCAGCTTCAACCACATTGCTTTCTTTCGCTACAGCCGCATTAGCTTTGCTCATGCTGCCCGCCCTCCCTACCTGCTCTGCATTGGCACTTCGGCCTCCGACCCAGGAGAGGCATCCTTCCGCAGTGGCTTCTAGTCCAGCGGCGCTCAGCCGCTCGAGGAAGACGGCCGCGAAGAAGACCGCTGGGGAGTGGTGGGCCAGTGCGCCTGGAAAAGCGTACTCGGCCGAAGGGTCGGAGGCTGGTTGAAGCGTACAGAGGTGGTGCACGAAAAAGAAGATGAGTCTACACTCTCGGATCTGCCGTTCACAGCATGCCACCAGCGTCTCTACCACCACTCACCAAGTCCGCACCTTCCTATCCAAGCGCGCCAATTCCAAGGATCGACGCCGGCTGCCGCATATCCAATTTCCGCATCCTGGCTCTTGCCACTTTTGCAAGCCAGAGCGGCCAACTCAGCCTCATCGTGGGCCTGCGCTCTCACCTTTTCTCGCGTCAAGCCTGGGACGACACGATGCGGTTCGAGCACGCCCTTTGACAAGTCGACTGACGAACTAGTTGGGGAATTCGCACCGGCACGCGGGTGCACTTTGCCGCTCGAGAAGGTCGAGGATTTGTCTGTGCGCGAGGCCGTCCATCTCAGCGCCGTCTCCGCCTCTTCGAACTTGCTCAACCTGCTACAAGCCTTCGCGTACAGCCGAGCGCATTCCGCGTCCTCGAATATCGTGCTGGGTCCATCTGTGAGCAGATGCAGGGTGGCATGTGCTGACAAAACGTCTCCAAGCGGGGGCGAAGTCAGTGGGAAAGGGGTCGATCCTGCAAGGTAGCACATGGCAAGTGTTCGACGAGCACGAATACTTTTAGGATCGAGCGCGAGCGCAAGAAAGGAGTAGAAGGAGGCGCTGGTCCTGTCTGGAGGTGACAGGTCGAGATGAGACTGGCTAAGCTGATTGAGGCGTGTCACCTGCAGTGATAATAGGTCGGTGCTCGTTGATGAGGATGATGAAGCGAATTCCACTGCGGCTGGACTTGGATAGCTGGGCACCAGTCCATTGGCTATCAATATTGCTTGCACCCTCTCCGCTGCTTTCAAGCAGCCGTCTTCCTGGCTGGCTCTGGGATCAAGTGAAGCTTGAGTTGCACTCAAACCCGACGTGCTGCTCGTGCTTCGCACTGTCCCAGCTACGCCCGCCCATCTCCCGTCCCTTGCGAGCGTAACGATTTCACTGATGCTTTTGGGTGCTGCATCGTCAGCGTCAAGCCGTGACTGGCTTTGCAGGGATGCCCCACGCGCACCCGCGCTCCCAGCTTGAGATTGGCTTTGTTGTGGTTGACTTTCGGCCTGAGTTTGGCTTAGCGCATCAATCTCGGCGTGCATCTGTCGGGTACGAGGGTCCAGCTGCCTTCGATGATATCCGCTAGATCCTGATCGGAGTTGTGGCGCCATGCTAGAGGTGGCTCTTGTATTCAATGATGCACCAGGCATTGCTGAACGTGCGGGTTGGATTTGTCGACGGGAGGAGGATGATGCTCCCGTATCGGTGGAAGGCGCTACCATGGTGGTTGCTGTGATGGTCGATCGCTTCTGAAGGGCACGCGTCAACTTGCACAAGCCAAAGATGATCAAGATTCTGGCAAATAGCGGCGGCAGCGGCAAGAGAGCAACTGAAAGCACCTGCAAGCTCGCACGTGAAGCACACCCGCGTGCGTGGACGTTGATGAACTTCTTGTTGGGAGCTGCTGATCACCAGCCTCGCGCCAGATGAACGCCAGCAGCTATTGAGCTCCCAAATTGTACAGCAGTGAGCCACTTGAAAACTGGGAAATATTCTCCTCGCCGCGAAAGAGTCAGCATCTATGGTTCGCTGTAGGGGTCTTGCATGCAGATAAGGGAGGGGCAGTGATGGACTGATCTGCACAATAGGGCGTCGCGAGACCGAGATGTAAAGTGGTCTCGGTGTGTTTGAGTCGGACTGGACTGGACGCAACTCTGTGCGCTTCGCGAGGGACGCAAAGTGAGACGGTCAAGAGTCAGTGCTCCGATGAATAGTCTCCTGGCTCGCGTCGAGAGCGTTGAGGATGGCCGCGAGCAGATTGGACAGCAGAGAGGGTTGGCACGCAAGATGGGGGTGGTAAAGTAGTGAAGTGGTCCAAGCAGCCCCAATCACGACAAAAGTGACTGCTGTGCGACTGTGACTACGAGGTGAGATTCGTGGTTGAGATGATTCTTTCAACTGACTCTTGACTGATGGGCCATGCATGCATGCATCACCGCGACGCGTCGCAGCTCAAAACACGCCCCTTCGCGCCGTTATGTACAACTCTCTGTATATCGCAGATTCTAAATTCTGATTTTAATTTGAGTTCAGAATCTTGGAATTTGAATGCCTGGACGCATACAAAATGGCTGATGCATGCATCATGGATGACTCGCACTGCTAATAATACCTTGCCTCAACGATTTCACACTTGAGAGCGATGAAACATTTGATTCTTGATTCACGATTTTGGAAATCTCACGCTGACAAGTTGGGAGGAATTGTGAATGTGCGCTTCTAGTGCGTGGTAATCAATGACAAAGGGACTTACAAAAGCCGTCAAAGCTGAATGCATGTTGCAGCCTCGAGGCGACGTGTGCTGCGCGGTGCACGGACAGCCCGCCATGGACGAATCGTGCGACTCTTCGAGCTAAAGAGTTCAAGAGGGGGCGAACGCATTCACAAACTTTTGCCGTGCTTAATTGTTCAAGTCTCGAAGAGCAATCTAGCTTTTCACCACTAATCCTGGCCTATCTTGACTCCCCCCAGATGCAGACACGCCCCCATTCATCGCCCTTGCAAGGGCACAAAGCGTCATGCCGCTCAGAGAAGGGTGCTGAAACACCAAAAGCGTCAAGGCTCAGCTGAACCGAAACGATCCACGGCGTGGCTTCAAGCACTGCACAAGTGCCATCGCATTGACTGCGGACGAGAGGATACACTTTGAAGGATCGAGGCGCTCGAGCCTTCTCGCCGCGTCGCATCATCGCTCTTCAGCCGGACGATACTCATCATGTCAGCGCCAGGTTCCTCCATCGATCCCTCTAGCTACTCAGTGCTAGGTCTAACGCACGTACAGTACAACCAGCACGATCCCTTTGCCAAAGCGCTAGCTCTGATAACCCTCAGTCCCATATTCTTGCTATGCTCCTACGTCACCATCATTCTCTACAGAAGGGAGTTGACATTCATCAATGCGCTTATTGGGCAGTTGGGATGCGAGGGAGTCAACTGGGGCTTGAAGAGGTTGATCAGGCAGCCTAGACCTACTGGTAAGTTGCGAGCAGCATCCGCAACAAGGAGTCCGGCAAGTCACACGGTATGCTAGCTGGCATGGCGCTCATCACGCGCCTCTGTCCTCACTCCACCTCTGATTCACAATGCTGGTCCAGGTAACCTAGGCTCAGGTTACGGCATGCCCTCTTCTCACGCCCAATTCGTCGGTTTCTTTGCTGCCTACTTTTTGGCCCACTTTGCTCTGCATCATCCCAAAGCTGCCAGACCTGCGACGCTTGTCAACACCATGCGAAGGTTCGAGCACGCTGTAGCCATGTTGGCCATCGCGAGCTGCGCCGCCATCACCGCATACAGCCGGTGAGTCGCTTGCTCATGCGTCTAACAATGATCGCTTTGGCGATGTACCGGGTCGTATCTCAGATGCTCAGCGAAATAAGTCTCGTGTCCCTCTCAGATATCATCTTTCCTATCATACGGCAGCACAGATCTGGGTAGGCCTTTCACTAGGAATAGCCATCGGCTCCACATGGTATTACATAGCAGAGTACCTGCCCCGCAAGCCTCTCAGATTGCCCATCCCTCTAGGCTCGCCTCATCAATCACCAGCCACCGGTGATCCGAAAAGCAGAACATCTGCGCGGGTCGAGGCTGAGAGAACAAAGCTTGGCTCTCCTCTCGAGCTTCGACAAAGGCTGCGCAAGTCGATCAGCGCTAAGGAACAAGAGATCGCTCATGCTAGTAATCAGGTACCCACAACCTCGCCAGACCAAAAGCGCGCAAGACGTCGATCATCCCTCTCTTCCTTCTTACCGGAGCTTCATCCCGCTCCTCCGCTACGTCAGTTGATCCTGGACCATCCCATCGCGGTAGCTTTTCGAATCAGGGATTCGTGGACTGTATGGCTGGACGGAGGCATCGAGCAAGAGTACGGTCGATGGCGGGACGAATGGTTGGACAGGCGAACCGAGTGGAGGCAAGACGATGCGCTCGCAGATTCACCCATCGATCAACGCTTGAGCGATTTGCCGCTTCTCGAGCGACGTGCCTTTCCCAACAAGGATGATACAGGTGGAGAAGCATGGACGTCAAAGCAAGACGAGATTCATTACAGACGTTTGCTGAAAACGCTAGCATTAGCGGATCTTTGCGTTGCCAACCAGACCGCTTTTTGCGTAGGATGCGTCGTCAGTCCTTCGCGCGCGTCTTCTGCGCAAGGGGAGCAAATACTAGCTACGGGCTACTCCCGGGAACTTCCGGGCAACACGCACGCTGAAGAATGTGCATTGCAAAAGTTGCTGCTTTTGCGAGATTCGTCGATGGCTGCGTTTGAGCCCGAGACGATTTGGTTGGATCTGTACACTAGTATGGAACCGTGTTCTGTACGAGGATCTGGCAACACCAGCTGCGTATCTCGCATCCTCTCATTCAACACCTCCTCCATCTCATCCGCCTCCACCTCGCCTTCCCCTTCCTCCGGAGGAGGCGGTGCTGCATCATCTGCAAAACGCGCGGGCACGGGCATGGGCACGGGCAAGGGCGCGCGCGCTTGCTACCAGATATCCCGCGTGTTCATGGGGGTCAAAGAACCGCAAGATTTCGTGCAGTGCGAAGGCGTTCGCATGTTGAGAGAGGCGGGCGTGCAGGTCATCAGCGTCCTGCCACCTGAGAGAGAGACGAGCAGGTTGGGATTGAAACATGGTTGGTTGGAGAGGGAAGCGCTCAGGATTGCCAAGAAGAGCCACCTGGACCAAGCCGGGTCTGAAGGTGCCGAGGTCGCGTGGAAAGGTCTTGCTTGATATCTCCCCAGATCGAACGCGCGTCTCTCGCACAAAGAAATTTCTTCAACCCCATCCCACCCTTCTCGGCCTCTTTCGTCTCCAAAATTTTCTCGTATCATGCCTGCTATTTATACTTCTCGCAATGCAATCACAAAAGTCACCACTGCACTCATCCATCGTGACGTTGGCAGCTCGAGCGCGGTAATTGGCAGACGAAAGCTTTCCCTCGCGCTCAAGTGGCTGGAGAGACTTTCGCTCTCTGTGCTCATTGCATCGCAGCGTCGCGCATCAAGAGCACCTCGACGATTACACCCCGCTCCAGCCCCCTCCCCAGACATTTCGCTTGGCCGGTGAGCAGAAGATCTCAATGCGCAACATCTTCCCAACCGCGTCCAACGACCTTTTCCAATGGCTTGTCGTGCTCTCGTGCCGAAAAGTATCCGGCAAAGACCTGTTGCGAAGTGCGGGTACCGGGTGAGATGGTGGCACGATTGCCCTCTCTCCACCCCTCAAGAAAACCAAGCAGATAGGTCAACAGGCCCAACTCACCTTGGCTTCGATTTCCACTTGACTGTCTGCCGGGATCAATTCGGGCGGGATCTCGTAGCGCTATTACCGGGCGCACGAACACGCAATAGATGCATCAGTATCCATTCGGGATGCTAGAGGCGAGGCGCTGAGCGTGACTCGCCTTGTGGATCGGGATACCACTATTTACGATGGCGTCGTGCTTGAGGTTGGACATGGACTAGTGTGCGATCCGCAATGATGAAAAGGCGTCAAACAATCGCGCACGGCTTCGCAAGTAACAAGAGCACCAATACTCACGATCATATTGTCTATCTTGGTGATGCCGAGCCAGTGCAAAATATCCGGCGTGCCGAGAGACTGGAATCGCATGTCTAGACGCAAAGAAGAGTTTCCCCAAGAGTCAGCTTGCTCTTGCGTAGACGTGCTCTTACATAGACCTTTCGAGCGTCGGTGCGACGGCCCTGCAACAGCCCAGCACTGACCTTCAACACCAGCAATGACCTCGGTGCGCTTGAAATAATTGTGGGCAGAATCGACGCCGCGCTTTCGCGCATTGTAGACCAGGTACTTCGTCACTTCGCCCAGCGCTCTTCCTTCTTTGCGGAAGTCTGAGAGTGAGCCGCGGGGGGAAGCGGAAAGGGTGCAAGAGTGAGGCGGATCCGGAAGGTGCAGCTACACGCAGCAACCCGCGAGAAACGCATGACGCACATACGATCACGCCACTGCCTCCTCTCTGCGCACACTTGATGGCTTCTTCGATACCGTACTGCAAAGTTTGGTCGGTCGAGCGAGGCACAGAATCTGGTCAGGTATGCAGAGGCAAGAGCGGTGCGCCCATATTTGCTCACAATCAAGTACGGTCGACCTGGCGTGGGAACGAATCAGCCTGGTGAGCACCGTTTGCGTGCAGCAATCATACGATCTTACTCACACGTGCAAATATCCGAGCCAAAAACATCCGAGCCGTTGCACTCGTCGTGAACGCGCACGGTGACCTCTTTGGTAGGATCGCGCATGTACTCTGGCTGGAAGCGAAGCTCAAGGTGGGGTAAGGGCAGTGTCCTGGCAGTTCATGCCAGGATTGCGACACTCACGGGTCCGAAAATGTAGACTGTGAGACCGCTAATGGGCGGCAAGAAGAGCGAGAGGTCTGATCGAGTGAGGAGCTGGTGCGAAGAGTCAGGAGCGAAAGGGTCAGAATACGAGCCAGGGTGGACATGGTATGCATGGTTTGGCGTTCAAACCCACCTCGGGATACATTCCACCGGTGTCCTCAAACAGCGCGCGTCGAAGCAGCCCCTCAGGCACTCCGAGCCTCTCCGCCACACCCGGCAAGCTAAGTTTCAGCACTACGAGTCAGCGACAGCTCCGACAACGAGCAACATTGCTTTTCGGCGACTTTGTCCTCTACTCACAACCACACCGGCTCAACTGCAGCCTTGCTGCAGTTAATTTCCACACCCGGGTTAGATCCGGGCTCGGTCCCGGGTAATCTGTCGCTGGTCACGACGATCCTGCCGTCCAAAGGTACCCGACCGGCGAGAACAGCAGCGTCCAGCTCTGCCATCTTTATATGCGCTCGAGTGAGTGAGCTTGTAGGTCTGACATCGATGCCCGCATTAAAATGGGATTTGAAGCTACGAGAAGCGGATTGGGCAAGCCGTGAGTCATGGACCGGGCACACAACTTTGAATCATTCGGGCAACTGACAGAGTGGGCGCCAAGTGCCCGAATGGATCCAGCGTGACGATCTTTTTGGGATCGAACCAGGCAGGGTTGGGGGGAATATCAAACGGTCTGTGAGAGAGAGAAAAGATCTCAGAAAACCGGGGCTGTCTTATCGCTGCTAGCCAGGCATGCGGCTCTTACGGTTGTGTGTCTGTGTAGTTTGGTCGATGGTTCGGATTCAGCTTGCCTTGGCTGAAAGTGGCGCGAATGCATCAGCTGGTCAGCTGCTCAACGACGCTCAATACCCTGTACCCACGCAATGGCCAATGCTCTATAGACCGAGTAGAATCCTCCATATGCGCCAATAGCATTTCTGACCTTTATCCTGTTCCCCCGACGCCCGACGCCCGATAAATTTGAAAATTGGTTGAGCTATTTAACGCGAGCCCAAGCACTTTGCTGCCAAGATCGACTCACGAATTGGGATGACGGCTCGCTACGATGACGCCACGCTGTTGCGGATCTTGAGCACCCCAAACCAGGGGCAAAGGTTTGATACCGCTCTGACCGGGGTAGGTGGAGAGGATGACTGTGTGCGTCGAGAGAACCGAAGACGCGAGGTCAGCCATGATGGCGTCTCTGCAAATTTCTGTAACGAGATCTGTCCCGGCAAAGTGAAGCGACCCCGCAAGCGCCATCGAACGCTTACTCACCTCTATCGGAGTAATAGCCTTCGGTTGGGTTCTTTTTGAGTGCAGAAATACCAATCTCGTGGCTGCTGGCTACAGGCGCAGCAGGGACAGGAACGGCAGGTGGTCCGAGAGGCTGAGCAGGTGGAGAGCTACCTAGCAGGGCCGCAGAGTCTTTGGCATTTGCAGGCACAGCATTCGAAGCGGCTGACCCGATAGCTCGGTGCAAAGGAGACAATCCACCACCTGACGAACGTCGTGTATGCGCCGCAAAGGAAGATGGAGAAGCGACGTTCGACAAGGTTGCTGCACCATGCAGCGCGTCCACCTGAGTGCAAAAACAGCGATGCTCTCCGTCATGTTAGTGCGCGGCCCACTGACACGACGTTGGCTGTCGGAGCAAAATGTCCCAACTCACCTTGGCTTCCAACTCCTTGTTGCGATCCTTGATGTCCCTCAGCTCTCGCAGAATCTCACCGAGGACTGCGGAGTCAGCAGGCGCCCCAGACGTTGCAGCCATGATACGCTATGCTGTCAAGCAACGCTTGTTGCGATGGATGTGGTGTGCTGGATGGTGTGCTGGATGTAGGCAGAGAAAGCATTAGCCAGTGGAATGAATGACCGCTATCAAGGGAGTCAATTGAGTCTCCATCAGATGTCGTGTGTACGCCCTAGCGCTGCTCATCGTTCAGAGCGTGCGCCCAAGGAGATAAGCCCGGCAGGCTGCATGCATGCATGCAACCAGCCGTGCGTGCAGCTAATGCTCACACTCGCACACTGCCCTGCGTCACTCTGATGAGCTCTTTCTTGATCCGCGCGGCACTCCATGGCCGCTCCGTGCCGCGGCGGACGTTTCGCCGCGCGCGTGCTGCAGCCCCGCACGGATCATTCTGCGCGCGCGTTTTTGGTATACGCGTACGTGTGGCGCGCGCACAGCCACGCGCAGCATCACGTGATTTGCATGAAAGGCAAACTCTCGCGCGCCCGCTGCAGGCGCTGCATAGCATCCCGATCCGTTGGAAACTCGTGACTACTTGCTCGGCAGGGAGGTACGACAAGGTAGAGGAGTCGCTGCGCTGCTCTTTCTCACCATCATTCCTATGCATGGCTCGAATCTGGGATCAAGCCAGACTTTGCGACACTTTACGGATTGTCGCGACCACACGTATCATCACTTAACCAACAGTCGGCGAGCATGTCCCAACAATATTCCTACGGAGGTGGAGGTGGATACGGCGGTGAGTAAGGGCCATTCACACGATGCACACCAATAGCCTGCGCTAACATATGCGGTTACTGTCATGGCATCATCGCCACCTCAAGGAGGGGGAGGTGGAGGTGGTGGTGGTTATGGTGCTCCACCGCCTCATCAAGGAGGCTACGGGGGTCAGCAACAGCAAGGCTACGGAGCCCCTCCTCCTCAGCAGCAGTATGGTGGAGGCGCGCAGGGAGGTCGTCCGGGTGGAGGTTATCCACCTGCAGGATCAGGCTATCCTCCTCAGCGCGCACAAGTCTACAATCGTCACACTGGTCCTCCTCCTGGTGCGGACCCTCAGCTCTGGTGAGATTGAATGGGGTGCATACATGCCACTTTGATCGGTGTGGACAGGCCGGCTGATGTTGTGGGGTGGCATCTTCTACAGGGGCTGGTTCACTTCGTGTGATAGGGACGGTAGGTGAGTACTGCACCAGATCGGCGTCGTGTGTCAATCAAGCAGCCGCTGACTCTCGACGCCACAGCGGCCAGATTGACGCCCGAGAGCTTTCGGCGGCTCTCGTCAATGGAGATTGGAGTCCGTTTCAAGAGTCGAGTGCGTACAGCTGACTCGTGACAAGTTCGAAGCAGCTTTCTGCACAGCGCAACTCAGATTCTCCCCTGGCTTTCCTGCAGCCGTCAAGATGCTCATGAACCTGTTCGATGTGGACCGCAGTGGTCACATTAGGTGAATACTTCCACGAAGAACACACCGCGAAGAGCGTAGCTTATTGAGACGTTTTCCCTCTCTGGATGATGACAGCTTTGCGGAGTTCGCGGGTCTTTGGAAGTACATCCAGGACTGGCAAGGCGTGTTCCGGCACTTTGATGCAGATCGATCCGGAAGGTGAGCCGAGCAGTGTTCCCTTACCTTTTCGTCACTTTCCCGCTCACCCAGGCCAGGCCACTGCGCACTCATCAGCATCGACTCTGCTGAGCTCTCCCGCGCGCTGACCCAATTCGGCTACAACCTATCTCCCGGTCTACTGCACCTCGTCACATCCAAATACAGTAAGTATGCTCTTCCACTTCTCATGCCTTGCCTTTTTCTGACGCGCGCGACTCGTACGTCTCAAACAACTAACTCTGTGCCAGTCCAACTCGACTCTCCCAAACAAGGTGCTCTGCCTTCCAGACCCGGTGCAAACGCTGGCATCAACTTTGACGGTTTTTGCAGAGCTTGCGTCGGCATCAAGTCTGCTACCGAGTCCTTCCAAAAGTTTGACACGGTGAGTCGGAAGAGTCCCGTTGACGTGGTTTGTGATGCTGGTGCTGGATGGCTGCGCTGTCCGTCACATAGCTGGGCGATGCTACGGCACTCATCCTATAAGGATGTCGGGCTTGCCGGGCGTGGGGCTGCGAGAGAGAGAGAGTGACGAGTGTCAAGATTCGTTCGACGCGCTCGAAGCAGCTAGCTGATGCTCACATTTTTGCGCTCACACCAGCAACGCAACGGAACAGCCACGCTTCACTACGAGGACTTTATGCGCATCCTCTTGAGCGCTCCTTGATACGTGTGCGGACAAGCGACATCTGCAGGGGCAGCAGCCTGACGGCGCATCGCCTATACTTGTGCAATAAACTCCCCTTCCCAACAAAGTCGTGCCATTCTGACCCAAGGAATGTGACGTGGACAGTTGCCTCTGTAGCCGTTTTTTTTGACTGAACGGATGGGGGGGGGAAATGAACCCGACTTGCAATCACGAAATGCTACGATACAACCAGACGCGCTTTTGTGATGTGGGTTGGATAGGTCGAGAAAAGAGGGGGGGGGGGGGGGAGGGAAGGGGAAAAGCGAACGATTTTGTTGCCTCGCCTTCTCATCTGCACGAGTAGTGCAAGACGGCACCGTTGGTATTGACGACGGCAATGACGCTATTCCCCAATCTCTTCAAGCATCTAGGACAAGTCCTACCTTCCGTAACCTTGACCCTCCGACTCCTCAACCTGATCAAGCCCTCTTCCAATCCCAACTTTCTGCTCTCCATCACGCCTCTCAACACCTTCTTGTTGGCCAAGACGCTGGATTGCGTTTGTAGCGTCTTGAGCGCAAAGGGAAGGATATCTTGAAGTGGGACGAGGGGAGGAAGCAGGTCCAGCGCTGACTTGGCATCTATTCGAGCTCCCTGCCTGCTGATCAGTGCGAGAGCGGGAGCTAGATGTTCGAGCGCGACGTCCGCCTTCGACGCGTCCGAGCCTTCTTTGAACTCGGATGCTCTCAAGTACAGCTTGAGCAAGATCAAAAACACATCTTTGCCCTTCTGCTTCGCCTCTCCCGCTTCCACTTCCAGCTCCTTGGAGTCCCACTCAGTATGCGCAGAAGCGTTCCAAACCTTTCTGCAGTACTCTTCCGCCTTCTCATGGTCCTGCAGCCTACCGACGTAGATCTTCAAGGCCGATTCGTGCTGACCCAATCTGCCCAAAAGGAGCGCCCTAATCTCTAGCAAATCGTCATCCGACTCTGAAGCTGGCAATCGACTCAAAATCTTCTCCGCCCTGTACTGATGCGAAAGCTGCAAAAAGCTAGCCAGCTGCTGCACACCTTCCTGCCGATCAGATCCGGCTTGCGTGTCCGTCGAAGCAGCGCGCACGCTCGACGTGACGCGACGAAGCAGCAGCAAGGCCAGCTTCTCGTGCAGTGCTGGGTCGCCTTCTCCGAGAGTGATGATGATGTGCCTCAAGTACCGAATGCACAGGCGCGCGTCGAATTTTTCCAAGTCCGCAACGACGGCGTGACGAGGCAGCTCGGACACCTTGCCAGTGTCCTCACAGAAGACCTGCAAGATGCAAAGCGCAAACACGTGTTTAGGTGCTAGAGCTTCACAGAAGGCGTAACATTGCCTCAAGAGAGCCGAGCCTCGCCAGATCGCCACTCACCTCCATACCTAGGTCCGGATTAGTCGTGAGTACCCAATGAGAAGCTTCGAGAATGACATCGATGTGTTCAGGTCCAAGGTTCTGCAAGTAACGAATCGTCGGTCCAATCTTTTCGTCTTCGTCTTCCTCCTCCTCTCCCAAGCTGACGAAGCGCATCAAAGAGGGTCCCTCGTCAACATCATATCGCGATCATGCAAGACCGGGGCGCCCGTCACTCACTTTCTTAGCAATCTCAAAGCTTTCGCATGCATATTCTTTCCGCCATAGAGGGCGATAAGTTCCGAGAAGCGCTAGCAAAGTCCAAAGAAAGCCACACAGTCGATCAGCTAAGCGATTCGAGCGTTGCCAGCAGCATCCCGAGAAGGCCGTGCGCTCCAGCAACATCGACCCGTTCGCTCACCTCCTTGTCCAGCAACAGCTCTTCCACCTGTCCAACCTCGCACCAATTCTCCACTCTACAAAGCGAACCAAGCAAGGCGGGCTTCACGCTCAAAAAGGTCTTGAAGAGAGCCGTGTCGACGGCCTGGGCGATAGCCGTGAGATCGTCCACGTCGAAAGAAGACATTGGAAGGTCTGGCAGGGCAAGCAGTTGCTTGCTATCACGAGGATGTTGAGACGAGGTGTGGGATGAAGGATGTACCTCTAGCAAAGGCTTGAAAATGCGTCGACGGTCCGCTAGGTAACGTCCGAGCGCCTCTAAAGATCGTCGCGCCTCTTCAGGTGTCGGACCTTCTTGGGAAGCGCCAGAACCTAGAGAGGGCGATCCAGCTGATCGCGAAAGCGCGAAAAGGCGTCAGCTCAGTCAAGCCTTGCGTCTCTCTTGTGGACCATGCGGCCTGTTCTCTGCACTCACTAGGCACAGGTGGCTTGACGGATCGCGCCGAGCGCACAGACCGTACAGACTTGGCATCGTCGTCCTGCACCGCACCAAGATTTTGATGCGCGGGCGTCGCGCGATTGAATTTGGATGGGCTGGATACGGGCGAGGTCACCGCTGCTGGATTTGCGCTTGATGAGGGCGCAGCAGCAGCAGACCCAGAAGGTGCACCAGGGCTGCCCGCTGTGCCTGCTCCATACACGCTCTGGGGTCTCCTGGCAAACAATCCTCCCAATCTAGCTCTAGGAACAGCCAGAGCCTCCGACTGCCCATCCGGGCCCGAGCCGCTCTTCTTATCCGCACCTGCGCCTATCTCTGACGCTCCTTCACCCGCAGAGGGCGCGAGCAAAGCTTCAGGAGCTCCAAAGATCTTGTTCCACTGTTCCGGCCTGCGCGATAGGTTGCCAGCGACAGAGTGAGGGTACAGCGCGACAATCTTGCAAGGGTTCACATCCAATTCCAAAAAGTGCTCCAAAGATTCGTCGTAGCATTTAGCTTTGAAGAGGTCTAGGGCCCAAAGCGCTTCCACGTACGCTTTCCTCTCGGGCTGCGAGAGCGTCCCAAAGACCAAGAGCAGGTACGTAGCTGTCGGTCAGGAATCTCATGGCAAGAAACGGCTCTCGGATCGTGAGGGACGCACCTTGTCGGGCAAATGAACCTCGTCAACACCTTCCAATGTCGACAGAGCCTCCCCATAAGCTTGCGCCTTGATCAGCTCCTCTACCTGCATCTTCCAAGGTCTCATGCGAAGCGCAAAAATGGCTCCTTCTGCCGTGCCCACAAACGCATTCTTAGGGCCAGCGGTCGTCAGCACCGCATGAGAGCCGGCGGGGATCGATGCCGAGGAGGCATCTGTGCGTGGCAGAGGAAGAGGAATGGATTGTACTTGCGCTAGGGTCTGACCAGATCTGATGACGAGATTTGGGGGATGTCCCCCTTGAGCAGGCAAGAGGCCCATAACGTATGGTCTAGCGAAGACTACGTGCGCGTGACGAGATGGTGCAGCGCGTGAGCATTGGCTCCAAAGTGAGCGCACTAGGGAGCCCACTCACCAAAGTCATCGGGCACGCTGGGCCATTCGATCGCTTCTCGTCTCGCAGGCGAACCATCCGGTCCGAGAAAGATGGTGAGTTCTGCAACGATACAGAAGCGGCTCGAGTCAGTCACGTTCTTCTGCGCTCTAGCACCTTTTGAGCAATCGACAACACCCACGCTCGCGCTGCACCATCGTCTCTCCGTCCAGAGCAGCTCTGACGATCGGATTCCTCGCTCCCCTGAGAACTGTGAGCGCTCCAGCGCCCCATCCAAAGCCCGTTGCTACCCCACCAGAGGCAGAATTGGAAGGGTGCTGATTGCTGAAGGAGGTGTCGCCTGTCGAGCTGTTCACTTCTCGAGCGACTTCCCATGAAGCCATTGGTAGGGCCAGAGGAATGGGCTGGATAGAGGCGCTGCTCGGCGTGTAGCCCATAAAGAGCGATAAAGCCGAAGGGAAAGCCAAAGATCGAGGAGTGTGCGGTAGTGCGATTTCCTGGTCGTGCACGTGAGAATAAGTGGGCAGGGGTTGAGCACAAGCCTTGCATTGCCTCTCACCAGTCAGTACGTCTGGCCATGCTCACTTTTGTATCGAACACCGCACCATCGACCCATCTCATGATGACGCATCTACGTCTACATCCCACAGCCAGCGTGCTGACCAAGACGTTTTCAGCATTCTCCGTCGACTTTTCTTCTCTAGCTCTTTCCTTTCTATCTTGTTTCTCCCTGATCAGCGCTTCCATATCCCTCACACCAGCTCTCATCGTACCTCCTGCTGCCCTCACGCTTGCCGCTTGTCGAGAGCCCTCCGCGTGGCTGCTCGAACCTCGTAGCGTGGCGTAGGGAGTGGCGGTGCTGGATGAAGTACCTGCATCGGGTCGGAATGCTCGACCCAGAGTGTTGGGATTGTACAGCGACATGGGTCGTGCTTGTGATCTAGCCTGCGCTTGACGAGCAGGCAAACGCTGGACCGAAGTGTCGATGGCAAAGGTGAGGGCGCCCTTTGTTGATGCGATCGCTTTGGGCTCGTTGGCTTGCAAAGGCAGCTCCAAGGTGTTAACTGTCGATTCTGTGATCGCAACACATGGGCAGGAGTGCATCGTCGAGCATTACTATGGACGCTACAGCGCACGAGTCGTGGAGATGTGAGCATCTATCTAGTCGACTCACCCGTCAGCAAGAGCAGCATGCCGCATTCCTTGACGATACCAATCATCTCTACAGCCTTTTTGCCCACTTGTTTCGTCTCCAACAATTCCAAGCGCGCTTCTTGGCTTTGCTTCTTGGGCTCAGAGCCAGAAAGATTGGTCTGTGTGCTTGCGGAAGAGGAAGAAGGGGCATCATCTTCCGCTTCGCCCTTGGAGTCCACTTGGATGGGGAGAGAGTACACTGCTAATTGACCAGTCGGGGTGCCGATGTACAGCTTGCCCGCTGATTGTTGCACAACGTCCCACAGCAGGGGCATAAAGCTTGATCAGTCCACATCGTCATCCATCTGTTTCTGGTGGGGGGAAGGTGGCAGAAAGAGACTCACCGTGGGCTAGCACAGCACTAGCAGCATGCTGAGAGCCCAAAAGGGGCAAAAGGTCGTACGCTTCGTGCATCTCGCCTCGCCTCGCCGCTCCGTCTCTGCTTGTTCTCCTCTTCAAACCTCAGCTACGCGCATCCAGACACCACCGCGAGGGTGGAGCTTGAGGGTTGAGTGCAGAGTGGTGACGCGCGTCCCGATGCAGCCCTGGCCATTGGTGATCGGAGCGCACCAGTGACCGCCAATGCAAGAGCGTTGGCTCGGTCAAACACTTGGCCCGGACAAGGTTGGCGTTCGCAGTAGGAACTGAGGAGTGATCATGTGCTAGGTGGTCGTGCTGAAGGTGATGGGATAACGCATCATCGGGAATATGCACCACGCCAATTCACTTGAAACAGCGACATGTACAACATGAACACCAGCGATCAAGGGCGGGCGCGTATGAACAGCAGGAAGGGGTGGAGGGAGTCGCGCCAACGTGCGCGCGCGCATCATAGCGCCGACCTGCGCTCGCTCGACACGAAAGTCACGCGTACGATCGTGCAACACGTCGAATGACAACCATGTGAATCTGAATGTGCATGCCGCTCGTCGAGCCGTCATGAACATCCCAACTACGCTTCGATTGCGCCACTTGGCATCAGCCACACTGACGACACTCGCGACTGCAATCAGCTGGGCCCGAATCGCAAGGATCATGCATTCGCTGCCTCGTAAAGCGAGAGTCGTTTTGCGATCGTGCTGATTCATGGGCTAGTGAGAGGAAGGGACATTGTACTTGGCCTGAAAGGAGGAGCGAAAGGAGGGTGAGCAGAGAGACAGACAGCATCGAGAGGGGGAAGCAGAGCCAGATGGGGATGGGCGATGAGCAGAGTGCAGAAAGGATGATGCCGTGCTTCAACAGTCTCTCCACGCTCTCTACGCACCATCTCTACACCTGCATACTTGTACCTTTTGAAAGGGCCGGCCAGCAAAACAGTGAATGCGAGATGGAGTATGATCAGCCATTGCCCAAATCTACACGTGCGAGCAAAAAAAGCGCAAGGGAAGCGCAGAGGTCGACTTACCCGCACTTGACGTAGAAAGCTGCACGTAGACATGAAGGGAGAGCGGGGCACGAGGAGAAAGTTCAGAACATTGTAGCAAGCCAAGTGTGAAGGAGAAGACGACTACGCACGTTGATTGTCCTCTGAACAGTCCAAGATGGTCTTGTATGCTCCCGATGCATCGCTGATACCTGTCAATGCTTGAATGATGCGTTTGCCCAATCCTTTGCCCTGGAGAAGACAATCGCACATTTATTAAGCACAACGCTCCTTCGCAATCGACGCCGTCTGGTCTTGGCACATCCGCCCGCGCGCACCCCGTCCAGCGTCCACCTGGGCTGACCCGGAACCCTGTCTACCGCCGCACCGCATTCCTTTCCCCCCTTTCCCCTTTACCTAATCCCGCATCCGCACCTCTCGCGCACTCACCTGCACATTCTTATCCACAGCAATATCCTCGATATGTCCGCAATCTCCCAAATTCCTGATGAATTTCCTCTCCATAAACACCGTCCCCGTGGCCACAATGGTATCCTTTTGCTTGTCCAATATGACGATGGGATAATAGGTTTGCGGAGATGCGGTTTGGATCAAACGAAAGCGGTCTGACCAGGCTTGCGCTCCTGGGTCCGGAACGGTGGTGAGAGCTTGAAGCACTTGAATGTGTCCGCGCGAATGGTCGCTCGAAGAGAGAGGTCGGATCTGCAAATGATGCGCGCGCACAGGGAGGGGAGGGGAGGGAGGAGGATGCTTGGATGAGCCCTACTGATGCGCGCAATGACGATGCAGCCAGCGCTCACGTGTAGATCATCTGGCAGTTCGTCGATGACAGACTGAGGAATGAGCTTTGCGTCGAATGCTAGATCCAACTCGGCGTTGGGTGTGAAGGGCATCTCGAGTATGCGCGCCTCTTCGGCTCTGATCTGCGCGTAGTCGCTTTCGCTTTGTGGTCAATTGATTCGATCTTCGAGTGCCCTCTTGAAGCTTATTGACTCGAGGTACATGGGACAATGAATGTGAATGTGGGTGTGGATGTGGGTGTGGATGTGGATGTGGGTGTGGCCATGTTCTGCCTCGACCCCTCGCCGAGTGTTCATGCTTGACAAGTTTTTGAGTTTGAGTGGATGCTGTGTTGTAATGCGCACCTTGCATGAACGCAATGTCACGAGTCAGAGTCGCGAGTGCGTGCATGCAACACGCCGAGATGCGGCGCACGGACCTGCCCGCACACATTCCGTACGAGAAGTGCGCCTGGGGCGGTATAGATAAGTGAATCAAATGACTTTGGCTGCTGTGGAGGAGAGGATGCTGCATGGTCACGCGGAGACGTTTTGAATGTGAATAATGTGAATCGTCAATGAAGACTTCGAATCTGCTGAATCAAGAATCAAGAATCTGAGTCAAGTGACAATCAACCGACCGATCAAAGAAAGTGAAAGAGTTGTTGTGTGCTTTCCACCGCGCGTCTCCATCCAACGCTCGCGCCATAATTAACACAACACCTGGCCCGGCCATCCAACCCAGATCGACTCATCTGCTCTGCGTAAGGGCAGGGCACAGGCAGCCAGGCTTTACGAGCATGTCCAACATTTACAACACCGAGCCCGCGCCTAGCGCTAGAGTCGTCATGAGCACCAGCGCAGGCGATCTAGACATCGAGTGCGTGCTTGCCAGCAGCTGCGACTTGCGATTGATTGATGCGCGCGGCGGGCATCAAAGGTCTCGCTGTGGCTGCCAAGGCATCCACACACACGCACGCACACGCACACGCAACGCACCATTGCGTGGTCCAGGATATGGCCTCCTCTTGCTGACTCCCTTCACCGCATTCCCACTTGCACTTGCAGATTGTGGGCCAAAGAAACACCTTTGGCTTCGAGAAACTTTCTTCAGCTGGCCATGGAGGGTTACTATGATGGCACGACCTTTCATCGACTAGTGCAAGGCTTCATCATTCAAGGTGGAGATGCTTCGGGCGCAGGCGATGGCGGTGCGTTCACCCAGTCACTCGCTCATCTTCGTCACTTTTTGCAATCGATGAGTTCCGCTGATGAGCCTGCGCCTGTTCCCTCGCAACAGGAGAATCGATCTATGGTCAACCTTTTGCTGATGAACCGCATCAAAGGCTGAGATTGAACCGAAGAGGCTTGCTAGCCTGCGCAAACGAAGGCGAGAGGGACAGCAACACGAGCCAATTCTTTGTGAGCGAGCACGGCATGGCAAGCCCGCACATCCAAGACGCGGGACCATTGCCGCGGCGAACTAAATGCATGCACTCATGCTCCTCCCCCTTTTCTGTCCTGCAGTTCACCCTAGACGCTACTCCAGAGCTTCAAGGCCGTCATACAATGTTCGGTCGCATCACTGGTCCGACAATTTACAATCTCTTGACGCTCGCATCTCACGAGGTTCAGCAGGGCACCGATACACCCGTGCAGCCCGCTCCCAAAGTGCTCACCGTCAAAGTTTTAGAGGAGCCTTGGGGCGACGTCAAGCCGAGGATCACGCGCGAGGAGAGGGCCGAGCAGGAGAGGGCGAGAAGAGTCGCAAAGAAGGAGAGGGCGCGAGAGAGGGAAAAGGGAGCAAAGGGCGTCAAGTGAGTTCTGAAGCTGGCCTCCTCATCGCAAGTCGAACGATCGCTGAGCTGCCCCTCTAAAACATGCCGCCCGGTGGTCAGGAACAAATCGTTGCTTTCTTTCGGCGAGACGGAAGAGGAGGGCGCGATATTGAAAGGTCCAAAAAGCTCGCACGACTTGCTACCGGAGTATAAGCGTGCCAAGCGAATGCGCCAAGAGAGCGAGGGGCTAGTGTCGCGAATTGGCTCAACGACCGAGACTTCCGCCTCTCGAGGCGACCGCAGCTCACACGCGCAAGCAGCGCCGTCCAGAGCGGTCAAAAAAGATGAGCAGGCCATGCACAAGAGACCTGATGGAGAGCTTGAAGAGGCCGTCTCTCTCGCCAAGCTGAGAGAGCAGGCTTCCAAGCCGACAGCTCGAGAAGAGCAAGCGCAAAAGATTGCAAAGTTGGAAGCTTCATTGCGGCGTGATGGAGCAACATCGAAGGAAGAGGAAGTGTCTCGAGCAACGCAAGCCAAGAGCAAAGGTCGATTAGCCTTGGAAGCTATGCGGGCTCAGTACACCTCGTCGACGAGCGGTGGGGGCGCAGCGAGCAGAAAGTCGAAGAGGGAGATGGACAGAGCGAGCAAGAAGGAGCGAGAGAATGAAGAAGCTCTGGAGAGGTTCAAGGATGGACTTAGGAGAGCTAGCGCTAGCGTCAGTGGGAGCGAATCGCCAGAGAGGAGCAGGAAAGGATCCAGAGCGCGAGGAGTGGAGGAGTGGGATGAGGAAGAGAGGTTGATGAAGGAGTATGGAAGCGAGAGCAGCGAGGGGATGACGGGTGGGAGCTGGAGAGAGCACGTGTTCAGAGCTGGGAAGGATCAAGTCAACGAGCGGGTTGGGCAGGATGATCAGGTGAGCCTAGCCTTGCGTCTTTTCGACTCCGCACTACTTGTTGACTCTGTGCGGCTGGATGTCGCTCATGTCCAGTACGTGACGTTGGACCCGCGTGCGCCTGGAGCCTTGTCCCTCGCAGTGGATGGAGAAAAGGACAGGGGCAAGCGAGGTCGAGAATTGGTCGAGTCGCGCGAAGATCATTCCAGGCGCTCGGAACGACGAGGAAAGGAAGAGAGCAGGAGGCAGAGCCGCAGCAGCAGGAGATATTCTAGGAGTCCGCAGTATGGACGTGCGCGCGATGATCGGGGTAAGGGTAGAGATGAAGAGAGAGATGCAAGGAGAGTGGCAAGGTACGAAGGTGAAGAGGTCAAACCCAGAGACGTGCAGAGATGGTAAGGGCCGCTTTCTGCTCTGCTCTGCTCCTCCCGCGCGCGCATTTGCAGTGCGAAGAGGACCAAGATCCTCAAACTCGACTCCCCATTCCTACCGCAACCGCTGCATCGCCCTCGCTGTTCCATCTACGCAAAACACAAATTGGGGGGGGGCGTGCTTACAGATCCACAAGCTACGCGTCTGCTTCTGTCCACCTCTTCGACCATGCAAGCGTGCTCTGCCGCATAAGCACAAGTCGAGCGATGACGAGCTCGCGAATCGGACACTGTTGGCTGAACACAACACCTATCGAAGCTCTGTGTCGAATGTCCTGTTCTGCGCGTCCGAATTGCTCGACCAGCAGCGCATCTCCCACAGCCCCGCCACGTAAAGCCAGCGAGCGCCGACTCGTACTTTGGTCGCCCCCAAATAGATGAGCGGAACGACCATGGATCCGCTAGCTAGCAGTTGACACCGAGCGTGAGTCACGTTCATCGAATTCGTGTACGTGTGAGCTAGAAATGAAGATTACAAATATCCATTGCGGGAGGGATGGAGTAGAAGGGAACAGATGATAGTTGTCAGTGGTGCGAGACGTGTACAGTACAAGATGCGAATGAGTGAATCGTGCAGGCGGCGCAAACACCGACTTTGAAGCAATACACGCTGCGCAGAAGCTTCGATTGCTCATGAAGGGTTCGCAAGAAGAAGCTTGCAGGAGAAGCTTGCAGGCAATTCTGCAAGATGATATCTAGAGGAGAGGCACCCCGCGCCTACTCTTATGACCCGCGCCAGGTTGTTCACCCTATGGCACCGGCGTGCGGCATTAGCGTGCCATCCGTCTCACCACTCGTCCATCTCGCTGCCAAATCTGCTGAATTCGACAAGCTCGCAGCCAAAAGATTTGCCGCGCTTCTCTTTCTTCGGGTCCACACTGGTCGAAGCTCCCTCTTCCGACTCTTTGTACATGTCCAGAACCACCGAGGATGTTTCTTTCGATGACTGCATGACGTCGCGAGACGTGTCTGGTCGAGCTGCGAGGGCGATGCGATAGTAACCTCCTGAAGACGTGAGCGCGACGAGATGATACTTCCCATCTCTGGATTTCGGAGCCAGACTTGGACCCTCGTCTTGCGCTCGTTTCTTGACGCGACCAGTCTCTGCATCCTGTGAGGTGGAGGTCATGGGAGCGTCGGCGCGGATCCAGCTCAAGAAGATCCTCTCTTCAATGGATGCTTCTCCCTTCAGGACGTCGCCCACTCTGGCTCTCATCGCTGCCCATGCGCCCTCTGTACTTCGTTGCTCTCCACCTCCCACAGCCTCTACTCTGCTGCTGTCCTTCTGCGCTGCTACCGTGTCGCTCCGATGGTTTTCGTCTCTTGCGCTCTGGCGCGCGTGTGAACCTCCGACATCACGCGTCTTCCTTGGTCCGACCAGAAGCCCCTTTCCCCTACTCGAAAATACTTCGAGCGGGATGAAGAATTGAGCATCGGACCACTCCGACTTGAAGTACTTTGGCAACATCTCTTTGGGTATATTGCCGACCAGCCCACCAATCGCAGACGGCAGATATTTTGTGGCGTTTTGAGAAAGACGAAATGCTGTTGTCGTCTTACGCGACGTGTTTTGGACGTTGTCCAAGGTCGATGCGTTGCGGGCCTCGAGCATCGAGAAAATGTGAATGGTGCCCGTATCGCTGGCTACTGCCACTGCGCAATTGTCGGGTGCAAAAGACACGTCCAGAATGCCGGCTTGATCCGTGCCTCTTCTAAACTCTCGCAACAAAGAGGGCGCGATTTGCGTCTTTGCGCGTCCACCGTCGTTGTGGGGAGCTGACTTGGTCACCGCCCAGACGCGGATCAAGGTTCCTCGAGCAGAAGCGGTGGCAAGCAGTGAGCCATCCTGAGATAACGCAAGCGAGGTAACGCTAGACGAGTGGGCTGCTAGGATGGACGTTGCGCCTGTCAAAATTGCTCTTCGTTCCATGCCGCGCTGGTGGCGTGAGAGTGGGAGACGCAAGAGCTGCACATGGCCCCTCTGCCGTCCTGGCAAAGCTACGAGAGCCGAACCTCCTGCGTGGGAAGAGATGGCGATAGAAGATGCTGTGGAGCGGTGGTCGAGACGCGTCAGCAGGCTCGAGCACACGAGAGCTCTGATTGCACGGATCGCGAATTTCGAGCATGCTGACTCACAAGAAACTTTCGCAGCGATATCCAATTTTGCAACCTGCCGAACGCTCATTGGTCTACTCATTACTCCAGATACAGCGTCGCTCTTCTCGTTCGGCTGGTCTGCCAGCTCAAAGACATGAGCTTGAGTCTCGAGAAGAGCAACAAGCATAGTACTGCGTTGGTCTGTGCCTTGGCGGAACGACTTGACCCGCACACCTTGTACAGCTTCGCCAAACTCTAGCTCTGCTACCTCTCTGCCCTTTCCCTCTGCGATGCCACGATCTGCATCGCTCACAGTAGTGCGCTCCGGAATGGGAATAGCACCAGCGCGCATGGCCGCCGTTCGCCGTTCCTGTGCGGCGGCAGGCAATTCTGACCCGGTAATGCTCGTATTGAGGCTTCTGTCCATCTGGGCGCCGGATGCAGCCTGTTCCAGCGACAAATCATCCAAATGTCTCGCTAGACCAGCTGCACTGCCCATCTCCGATGTCCTAGATGTAGCACCGCGCTGATCACGCTTTGCCTGGTGTGAAGCCTTGTTGACGTCCTCTTTAGTCGATTGCTCGCCCGAATATGACGCTCCGCCATCTGACGAGGCAGAGCGCGAGGAGCTTGACCTAGCATCTTCACCGCTGTGAGACGCAAAGGGGTCGTCTAGACCGGCCGAACTTGCTGATATGCTGCGGCCTTGTGAGTTTCCGTGCTGGCTCGAATCCATCCTAAAGCTTTCGGAATCACTAGAAAGCTTCCCTAAGGCCGCCGAGCTGTCTGAGAATTTGGTTGAGGCTTCGTTCGACAGCTGATGGAGCTGGCTGGCCGACATGCCGCGCAGCTCGAGGTCCGTGGGGTCTGTCGCCAGCTCCTGCGAGGATTCCCGCAGGATGAGGCCATCATCCTCCTCAGCCTCATCCTCCACATCACCTACTGGCTCATGCGCCGGGAGATTGCCATGCAGTAAAGAAGAAAGTGCCCCACTGCGCTGCATACCTTTTGAGTCTCGAGATGAGCTCGCAATAGACGATGCGTCATCTTCGTGAGCTTCAGATGCCGCAGATGAGAGATGCAGGTCAGGATGACCAGACTCGCGCGCCCATGCTGCTACTCTTCGTCGCGCTTCCATCCCTTCCAGGTCCAAGGAGCGAGACGATGCGGACACAGTGGGACTCCCTGAGATAGCTGGCACTTGCCTGCTCGATTGCTTGCGATAGATTGGACCGGGCGCTTGCGCTGAGCCAGCATCAAAGACTGTGGAAGCTTGATCTTCGTCGGGCAGTCCCGCTGTTTTTGAGGAACTAGCCGCGGCAATGGACAAGCTTGCGGCTTCATCCCACAGCACGACCTTGTTGGGCGCGAAGAGGGGCACCCTGCCTCCTCCTACAAGCACGAGCAAAGAGCTGGAGTCAACAGCGCAAGCGAAGGACAAGCCACCTTGAGAGGGGGGGAAATCTGCGAGTCCAAGGTGAGGTCATCCGAGTAACGGATATTTGCATGCGATTCTGGGTCCGACTCACTTCGCCTAGCCACGATCTTGAGAGGAGCAGCTCTGAGAATGATGAAACCATCGTCGGTAGCGCATACATACAGGTTGCTTGCCGACCGGCTGTCCCTTGCCCCCACCACCTCGTGCACTTGAAGACGCGTATCCGGCCTTGATGCAGCCTCATCGCTGACGTCACCTCGCAAAGGAGTGCAGGAAGCCCAGGTGAACAAGGGAGCCGAGACGTGGGAAGAGAGCGTGTGTCGAGGAAGGGGCATCATGATGGAAGCGAGTGTACGATGGCTGTAGCTGCGACAGGGCTAAGCGATGGAAGAGCCATGTGGGGCGTTCGCGCGAGCGAGACCGTCAAGCTGAGCGCGGCTCTGGCCAATAGGAGCTGGCCCAAGGGCAAGGCACGCACGCTTTGCAACACTCTCTGATGCAAGCAAAGATCGAGGTATGGGAGTTGTGACTCTTGGTGGTCCGTGGGATGTGTGTGCACTTCACGTCGCACTTCGTGAAATGCGCGCGCATGCAATCATCACACGAGCGAAGCGAATTCACATTAATCGTGAATCACAATCTCGCATGGCTGCACAACAATCACGAATCACGTGAATGCCCGATCAACCTGCTGCTTCATGTGATGCACAGATACGGTAGACTGACTCACCTCTGGTAAGGCTGGTAAGGTATGATACCTCTGCACGCATCACAACTCTTGACTACTCTTGACTCATCAGACCTCGAACGATCCGTCCTGAATCGTGAATTTGAAGCGACACGTCGCCGCTAGCCACCATGGCGGGATTTGACTCTCCACTCAGAATTCTGTCTTGATGTGGATTCTGAGACAAGGGATGGGGATTCGTAATGGAAATCTTCCACAACTGCGAAAAACTCAAAAAGTTGAACTGTTTGAGTATTCGTTGGCAATTCACATTTACGTTGCGATTGCCAGTAACGTCACCGCACCCGTAGGCGCTCAAGGTCGGAGACTTGGCGCCAGATATTGGCGCCGTCATGTCAGAAATGTAGCTAGCTCGCTTCACAACGGCGGGAGATGCACACAGTCACCAAGACTTTTGGCCTCGACGCACTGATGGCACACGCCACCAAAGGTGCAATCAAGAATCCTCTTCTGACTGTATCACCATAGTCGCACCCACGTACGCGCCCCGCAAAAGAAGCGCCACCAGCGGCCGCCGGTCCATGAGTTGGTCCGCTGCAGATGCGAAGCCACGACCAGCAGCGATCGCAAAGGCCCAATGCCTCGGCGAGTACCTCGACGGTCCCATCGACTCACACCGACAAAGGCATGAAGCGGTGTGATTTGATCAAGAATGTGAATGTGAATGTGAATGTGAATGTGAATGATCAGAGCCCTGCAACCCGCCCACACTGCGCTGAGATAGAGCAGAGAGCTGAGCTGAGTTGCTCCACATTCAGAATGACAAGCCACTCCGCACGTGCGCAGAACGCGGTCGATGATGGCAAACAAAAAATCCAAATCCAAATCCAAATAAGCATAGTGAAGGGTGGTGCGAGCAGTAGTGAGTGAGTGTCAGTGGCGGGCACAATGTGCCGCATAGCCGTGATGCAAGGCGGACGTTTACGGTTCACCTGCGGGCAATCAATCGCATCGGTGTTTGGTCACCTATACGTACATGCAAATCACGAATGCGCTTGTGAGAAGCTAGCGTGAAAAGGGCACCGAGGTACATTTCTCCGCCGTGCGTGATGCGATTCTTCTTGCGAATCACTTCTGTCGGGGAAACATCATGCTTCTCCACAACGCGCATATAGGAACGTTCCCTATTGCGTTGCTCAACTTTGGTGGACCGCAGGCTGTCTTTGTGGACGGCATAGTCCAGCTCCGTCTTCTGTGCAGGTACCTTGCCCGTGCTGATGTAGGTACGAGCGCTAGCGGCGACTGCCGTTGCTTCATAGCGCTTCGGTGATGCTCGCTGGCTGCAAAGGTGCAGTACATCTCTCGTTCATGGCTGTGCGACGATTCCAACGTCCCTCAAACGTACAAAAGGATCATGATGCTTGACAAGCGCCCCAGTTCCCCACGCAAGCGACGCTTTCCGCATACTTTGTACACGATGCAGATCTCGCTGGCCCTACTCTCCTCCGTTCTGAGCGTCGCTCTCGCTGCTCAGAACATCCTTGCTGCCCCTAGCCCTTTGCCTTTGCCTGGCGTGGACAATGATTTGGACGGTGACAAGCAGCTCAATGATGGCCTACCTGCCGACATCTTTCATTACATGGTGAGCTCCAAAACATATGTTGCTTCCCCACGCTCTGTCATCGTCACTCACCTTCCCATCTCACCACAGGGTCAATACTCTCCTCGTTACTTGGTGAAAGACGATACGACCTTGGTCCCTCCGGGCTGCCAAGTGTCCGCAGTCTCATCCCTTGAGCGTCACGGAGCACGTCATTTCACTTCCGGCGCTCTCAAGAACGCTCAAGCCACGCTCAAGACGCTCAAGACGGCTCTATCTCCGGCCGCAAATGTGCCTGATAACCTGCGCTTCATTGCCAACTACACCATTGGTACCGAGACTGGCAGTCTGGTGCCATATGGCGCGTTGCAAGCTTATCTCTCTGGCAAGAGCACCGCAAAAGTCTACCCGGGTTTGTCGGGACGCAACGCAAAGCTGTTCGTCAGGTCTTCTGGCGACGAAGCGCTTGGCGATGATCGTGTCATTGTTACCGCCAAGTATTGGAGGCTCGGCTTCGAAGGCAAACCGTTCCCCTCTGGTGATTTCAGCACGTCGGCTCAGATCCGCGCGGCGCCCGGTCTGACCGAGCCAGACGTCGTGTTTAGCGAATTGACTGGTCAGAACAATACGCTCGACGTTTCTACCTGCACGAATGAAAACAATCTCCCCTCCAGTCAAGGAGAGAGCGGTGCCCAAAGCCGCTATGGAGCTTCGACTCTGGTGCCTACCATTGGCGCGAGGTTGCAACAAGTCATCAAGGACGCTGGTGGTGCCAACGTCACGCTGACCTACTCTGACATTTTGAACATCGGGAATTTGGTGAGATGCAACGCGGTCCGGGCGCACTGCAGGTGAACGATCACTGACAGTGTTTGTTTGCGCCGCACACAGTGCAGCTTCGAGACTCTGGGTCTCTCGACGGTGCAATCTGGATCCCTGCAGCTACCCAATGGAAAGATCTCGCCCTGGTGCAACATCTTCAATAATGACGAATGGCCCTTGTATGGCTACGCCTTGGACGTGGGCAAATGGACTGGAGCAGGGTATGGCAATCCGTACTACAAAGCTCTGGGTCAAGGATACATCCGAGAGCTGTTGGCTAGATTCAACGGGAAGCTGCCTCCCGCACTTGACAAGCCTACCAGTCTGAACTCGACCATCGACGGCAGCAATGCTACTTTTCCGACCCCGCCCGCCAAGACGATCTTCTTTGATGGCTCTCACGATAACAGTGAGTTTGAACAGGCGCATTTGCGGCTCTAGCGCTGACCTTGCATTCATGGGCTCTTTTAAGACGTTGGACCTATTGCGGCAGCTTTCGGCCTTTTTGACGGGCCAGCGCTCCAGACAAGCTCCCACGCCGAACAAGCCCCCCACAACTGGGTCTTCTCGAGAATCGCGCCATTGCAAGGCAAAATCGGTGAGGTTGCTCTCGTCTCTTCCATCTTTCTCGCTTGCCTGCTCACCCTCCCTCTCCTCGGCCCACTCGCGCACCGACAGTCTTCGAAAAGATCACGTGTGGCGTGCCTAACACGCCATTGCCACTGTCACAAGACTACCTTCGTATCCGAGCAAATGGAGCGATACAGTCTCCGAGCAACGCGTCTTGGTGCCCAGATGCCGGCCTTGACCCCTTATCGAGACTTGGCCTTTGCAAACTGTCTAACGTGAACAAGGCACTCGACTGGGTCAACACTGACACCGAATGGCAAAAGTGCTTCGCTTAAAGAAGATCGCGCACCCCTCCATTTTCTCTGACAGTGAAACCGGAATTGCATGCAATTGAAATTTGACCATGTGTGTGCTATGTGAAGCGTAATTTGGAGTCGACGGCAAAGTCGAAAATCGCGATCAAGCGTCTTCGGTAGAACCGTCCGCCGCAGCTTTAAGTCGATCCCAAGCCTCCCCGTCGAGCTTGACGAACGTGTCCACTTCTTGCAGCGCGCCAATCTCACTTCTGAGCGCTTCGACATCTGCGCGCATTTGTGCTCTCATCCTTTCAGCTTCGGGATCTGACGCTAACGCCACGCCATCTGAATTGTTCACCCCACTGCGGCCGAAAATGGACCCCAAGCCGAGCGATTGATTGCCTCTCTTTAACCTTCGGAGCGACTCATAATTGCGATTCATGGCTTGCAGCGACGAAGTGTACCTTCATGGGAGGTGGCGTTCAGTGGGTGAGCCTAGTTCAAGACAGATCCGATCGTTGTGTACCTACCGTTCAACGATGTCATCGACGACCTTTTGAGCCCAAGAGCTTCTCGTCTCGGTGTCGAGGTGTCGCGCGAGCGCTAAGCTGCTATTCGTATCTCCAGCTCGCTCTCCCTTGCCAAGATACATTTTGAGCGGTCTCAAGGCTTGTGGCACAAAGTACGATGGTTCCAATCCTTGGGCACTCGACGGGCTGGAGGTTGGAGCAGAGCTGCCTCTGTATTGCGTCCCCATCGACCTCACCAGTCTTAGCGGCTCTCCACACCGAGTCTTTAGCACACTAACGATCCTCTGAGACAAAGAAGCGACGCTTTGTCCCTGGTAGGAACAAGCTTCCTGGAGTGTGTCTAAGAGAATAGGTGCCAGCCGAGATCAGCAAGTGGGACCTGCCGGTGCCTACAATACGTAGACTCACGACGCATTGCCTTGACCAGCTCTGAGGCCGAAGAACCATCGCTGAGCGATACGATGACAGGCACGATACGAGTGTCAAAAGCGTCAGACAGCTCGCGCTGAAGCCACAGGGTGTCGGCCGCGAAAATTGTCAGGGTCCGCAAAGCTGCATCATCCGCAGCGGTCGCAGCTTCCGATTCGACGTTGGCTGGCGTACCAGTTCGAGAAGGCTGCACAGATCTCATAGGAGAGGCGGGCTGAAGGGAAGCATGAGAGGATCTGCTTGTGAGCAAGGGTGGGAGAGAGCAGCCGACCGCCTCGAGTCCACTCACGCGTTCTTCTTGACCGCTATTGAGGCGGCTGTGAGTCGAAAGGGGAGCTGGGCGGCTGGTCGCGTGCTTGTGAAGCTCCTCCGGTAGCTCCGCGTACAACCAACTCTTGTAACGGCTGACAATCTGCAGGCTCAACCTCCACTGTCTCGCTGCAAGTTCATTCAAGCGAATATGTTTCGCCCACGGAGCCACAAATGCCTCGACGGTGGCCTCGGTGCTGACCATGAGCGGCAATGTGATTGAAATGTTGCCGGTCCTTGCGGTGTCTGCTGCGACAGCTAGCTTGGGTTCTAATTTTGACACGATTTCTCGATACCTGATTTGGAAGTAGACGGAGAGCTGCCACCGCTTCTTGAAGGTCGTATATGTTGGATGATCACGAACAGCATTGGCGGCTTGAGGGGACGGCGCCAACATGAGCAAGCTCGCAAGAAATTCTGAGGTAAGGGTGAAATTCTGATGAAAGGGGGGCGAGAGAGGTGAGGAGGTGCCGTGCAAAGCGCATTGATAGCATGTTGACTTACCTGATGGAAGACGTCTGGTCTGCCGACAAAGAATAGCTGTCCGCCCAGCTCGTCCATGAGCCGATTTCCCACCTCAACCCAGAGCGACTTTGCGAACACGTTGCAGGGGCCGAGGTGCTTTGGTACGTTCGCGCCAGCAGCGTGATGTGCGCCATTCAAAAGTGACAGATTGACTGTTGGAACAGACAGGGCTGGCGCAGAAGCTTTCGCCTGGTGCCGAGGTGCTCTCTCGGCAACATCTGCGATGGGTGCAACCGTCTGGGCAAAGGCCAGAATCTGATTGTAAAGCACGAGCAAGGGCACAGTTGCCTCGCTAATTGCTTCTGGCTGCAGCAAAGGCTTGCTTGATGCTTCCTCGGAACGGACAGCTGCGGAACCCTGCTTCCCATCGAATCCAGCGGGCGTCACGGGCGTCCGTAGATTGGAGACCTCGAGGTTGGAAAGCGAAAGGGAGTTGGAATTGATTACATTCTCAGCCCAGGGTCGGACCAAGCATTCGCGAATGACCTCTGCGACCCCGCGCACACCGTCTAGAGCAGAAGGATCGCTAGAGTTGTCCTGTCGCTGGTGCGGCGCGCTATCTTTCCACTCGTTCTCGGGCAGCAATTGCCAGGTGGATACGGCAAGTTGAAGCCATCGTTGCTGCTCCTGCTTGCGCAACGACCAATACTGCGAGTCCGGCTCGGCCATCTTGGTCACATGGGTGAATCTCTCCAGTTCAGCTGCATCCTTCTCAGCTTGTTGACTGCGTCCCACACGAGCGCCGTAGTGCAAGAGCAGACTCCCACCATCGTACCTCGTGAGCAATTCGATCAGCATTTCGAGATCAACCCGTAACCTTTCTTCCACGCAAGCGGTGCGTTGGCAGTGAGCATCGATGAACCTGCTCAAGCCAAGCGTGAGCGCTTCGCGCTTGTGAAAGAGAAGCGCAGAATACTCTGCAGAAGCCCTGGCCACGCGAGCAGGGAGATCTGCTGTAGTGCTTGCGCTGCTTTCCTCGACGCCGGAGGACAGCGCGGCGTCTGCACCGGCCGAGGAGCGCCGCGTGAGACCAGATGATCTGCGCCGTGCCTTGTGGGCGGAAGAGATACGTCGCTTAGCCATAGGGGGCGAGGAGTAGGGTGATTGATGCTCAATGGCCCCTTCGTCACTTTGAGGTTCGTCGTCGGTATCTGGTGAATGGTAGAAGTCCTCATCAGCAGAGATGGTGCCATGTTCATCCGAATCGCTACCGCCATCCAATGCTATCCAACGAGCAGGATTGTGAGCTCGAAAAGGTCCGACGTCTGTCGGGCTGCGGAGTGACGGACGTGCTTGCGCCGGATGAAGTGGGGAGGCTGCTGCTGCGCGATACGATTCCTTGTGGTGGTGGTCGTGATGGCGATGATGTTGGTGGTGATGATGGGATGTCAGGCCAAGCAGCTGCTCCAACCTTTGCAAGCACTCCTCGAAATTGAGTAGTAACGTCAATTGAGCCTGCACAGGTGCATCAGCGACGTTCAATGCTGTGTAGGAACGATCCCGGTAGATGAAATTTGAACAACTCACCTTGCTTTGTGCTGCCAGGTGCCTCTGCAGCACCACGTCCTCTAACTGTCTCTCTGCCGCTCTCAAATCGTCGCGCACCTCTTCCACCCGACCCCGCACCGAATTCAGACCCAAGGTGCCCGCAACGGGTCCGACAGCGTCATCTGCGTTCTCCTTGTGCCAGGCTAGCCTTGCAATGCGAGGGGCTTCTGCCTTCAAGCTGGTGCCCAGATCTACAAACTTGCGAAAATCCCTGTCCACGACGGATTCCAACTGCTCACGAAGCTGCGACTCAAAGGAGTGCAGCTCGGATGATATCCTGCTCAGCGTCTGACCAGGTGCTCGGGATAGCAGGAAGATGTCGGGAGAAAATTCTTGCGATGGGTCTAGGTGGTCATCTCTCTCGTTGAGCGGGGGCAAGTGAGCGCCAAGCGCACCTGCGACGTCCAGGTGGGCTGTATGCGCATCGCGGGCCTCTGCCGCTGATCGGCCATCAGCCTCAGACAGCTGTGCGTCCTTGCTCATCGTAAAGACAGCATGGCTAGCGCTTGCTTGGTGCTCAGAGATGAAGGAGAAGGAAAAGGGAAGGGTGGAGGGAGGCTTCGAAAGGTGGACCCGTGCAGCACGGAGGCTTTGCAGGTCGTGAATCGAGCGCTTGCTCGGAACGATGCGCATATGCGGTACTCAAGACCGCTGGCCACGGCAGGCAGTGAGTGACCTATCGCCGCGGACCTCCGCTGCTACGCTTCGTTCACCCGAGACTCATACTTGACTCAAGACCGAAGCGCCGGCTGCGTATTCATCGTCTTCACATGTTCTAGTCATGAGTACCAATCAAGAATCACGTGAATCTTGATCAAGTAACTTGACCTACACTCACTCAAGTAATCAATTTTGAAGCGCGAATGCTTAGCTCCAATCAAAATCTGGGTCGAGAGTCAGATTTTCGAATCTGAATTTGAATCTGAAACGTGATTACCAACAATCAAATTCAAACTGTACGGTACCTATACCACGTAGACTGGCTGATGCACGCGGTATCTGTAGACGAAGGGCCGGCCGGCTGCTGCTGTGCGCTGCTCCACATGACAACCAAGATCGCCCTGCGCGCACCGGTCTGCTTCGCGCCCGGCAGCTGCGAGCCTGGTTGTGGCGGTGGCTCGCGCGGTGGTCATGATCGAGTAGCGACTGCATGTAAACCGCGTTCGCCCTCTCGAAGGCACCAGTCATTGTGAATGTGTGCGTCTTGGCCGCGAACACCATCTCTACTCAGCCCACTCACGAGTCAGTGAGTCTCTGCAGCCAGCAAAGCAGCGGAAGCAGCATACCATGACTGGTAAGCATGGACCCGCGCCACCCAGATTCGGCAACCATCATGGCCGAGGTCCGCTGCCAAAGGCAGAGATTGTCAAGCAGGACACTCAACCACCATCTCTCCCCAAGCTCAGCACACCGCAAAAGAAGACCGATGCGCAAGGCAAGACGCGCAATTTCGATGCGGCTGTACTGCCCATGGAGCTGATCGAGGTCGTGATGGAGTACTTGCTGGACATGCCCTCCACCTCCAAGCTGACTCCGCTGCTTGTATGCTCCTCCCTCACCCGCCTCCTCAAACCGATCGTCTATCGCCACGTGACGCTCACCAATCTCGCTGCCCTCCAATCATTCCACGCTGCCATCTCATCTCCTTCCGCCTCCGCTTCCAATAGCGCTGCACCTCGCTCGACATCCACCAGTGAGGGATCGCTGGCGCGCAAGGTGCGATCGCTCTACATTGCCCCGCTGTCGCTATCTTCGGATCTGTGGGCCGCGCTGTCGCCTTCTGCGTTGCCCACCATGCGCACCACAGCCCAGGCTCACAGTCTTGTCAGGCAGATCCTTCGCGCTTGTCGATCGCTGCAGCATCTTGCACTTGATGGCGCTCTGCTGAACAAGGAAGCAGCGGCGAGTTACGGCACGAGCTGCAAACCTCGCAGCTTGACCAGCGTCAATCCTCACTCGTACGTAGGCGGCTTTTCTGCTCCCATCTTCTCCAAGTGCACCACGTGCCACCTCATCGATGGCAGCTTAACACACGAAGAAGTAAGGGAGATTAGGGGAATGGCTGGTGAGTAATAGTGCGCAGTACGCGGGGGAGGCAATCAGTCAGCTAATGACAAAAGAGGTCCTCCGATGCGCCTTGTCGCCTTTCGCTTCACCAGGCCTGCGTCACTTCTCGTGGACCTCACCACGTGAGCACAATTCGGCTCTGCGAGACGTCGATGTCATGCTGCGCATCCTCACGGGTCCGCAGCCGCCCGGTCACACGTCCCTCGACGCGCTGGTCAACAATTTTCAAGCGTTGGATATCACCCCGCTCATCCTTGGAGCAGAGCAAGCTCAGCGCGATGTTGCCTCTGCCCACAACAGCGATGCGATTGAAGACGTCGCTCAGTTGGGGGCACTGGAAGCAGAGCAGCAAGATCGAGATGCTGCACAACTAACCCGTACAGATGCCGGTTTCAGGCTTGGCAGCTCCACGCGAGCAGTAAACATCAAGAGCTTGACCATGCGCTGCCCAGAGTCTAGGTCGGCACTCGTAGGCACGCAATTGCAGCGCGTAGCCGCAAACAAGCCCGGTCTTACCTCCAGCTCACCTTGGGATCATCGCTTCTCGACGCCATCTTTCGCCACCAATTCGGACTACATCGACAGCTCGGCAGCTCACACTCGGGCATTACATGCGCCCAGCGGTGTCATGCTGTGCTCGCAGCCATTGCCCTCCGAGGAGCTGGTGGAAGAGTGGGAAGCGCTACGAGACACGCTCAAAGATCCCATGCTGCTCTACAATGCCATGCCTGGTGGCCACTACAGGGTAGCCAGACCACTCACGCCACCCAAAAGCGGGCAGGGTCACGGAGATGAGCACTCGAGCGACGATCAAGAAGCGGAGATTGATCCGGCTATGTGTCTGAGGCGGATCCACACAGAGTGGTTGAGCGACGTCCTGTCTGGGAAGCTGGATCGGGAATCACGGAGCGTAGCGCCCGCCATATCGGCATGAAGTGCAAACTTGTCTTCCGTCATTTCCTTGCCAAGGAAACAAGATGTTTTGGACGAAACTCAAATTGAACTCGCCCATCATCGCCTCGACGGGAAGGTCGCGCTGCGTTGGCGCACCTCGCCGGACGGGTCCCCACCAATTCATTCCTCTGCGCCCCTCGCGGTGTTCTGCGATCACGCGCGGCGCCACGCCACCCACTGGGAACTTTTGACGGCAGACGCACCTCTGTGGCGAAGAGATGGCAGCACCTCGACCTCAATCAGCATTTCTTCGCAGAGTGGTCCGGCTTGCCGAACCTAGTTCTGAGGTGGCGCACAATACAGGCGCCTAGTCCCACTGATCAATAGAGTCCATGTTGGTGCCACCCGCGAGGGCGGATTGTCGTGCAGCGGTCATCTGTGTGGCAAATGTCGTGTAGGTATCGACAGAGTGCGAAGCATGGAGGTGTCGCTCATGAGGACCCACTCGAAAGCTATCGAAAAGTTTGAGAAGAAGCAAGATGTGCTGCTCTTCGCTCTAGTGTGCTATGTCACCCATCCAGACGCTGGTCGTCAAAGCATCTCAAACGTACTCTTCTTCAGACTTTCGTCAACTCGCAATGCTGTATCCAATTGCGCCCTTGTTTGCGACCCTCTTGCTCGTTGCCCGTGACATCCACGCTTTAGGAGGGCTGGGGCTTGACCGTGCAGCAGCACTGAAGAGCAAGGGCAAAGCTCTCGTCGGTGCAGGCAATACAGACGAGCTTCGAGTGCATTTCTTCCGTCATCAACAAACACACGCAAACGTATTGAAGGTTTCGCAAGGCGTGCATGAGCACGAAGGATTGACTACCCTTACGGACAAGGGAAGGGAAGACGCTCGCAGGCTTGGGCACCATCTCAGCACCCAAGGTCAATTCAAGACAATCTATCACTCGCCTATGCTCAGGGCTAAGCAGACCGCGGAGGAAATGCAGGGAGCTATGGCGGAGCACGGCCAGCACGTCAAATTGGTCCCACTAGAACAGATACGAACTCTTGACCGCGGCAAGGGAGAGGGTCTGCCGTTGAAACAGCTCACAGAGGATGCGAAAGCAGGGAAGGTTCACGAAGGACAGGAAACGCACGAGGCCCAAAACCTTCGATTGCATCAAGGTCTGCACCATATCATCAAGGCGTCCCAAGGCGAGAAAAACACTGCCTTCATCGGGCACTATCACTCGGTTTCTTCCACTCTCGCCGATGTCTTTGCCAAAGGTGGCGCCAGGAAGCCATCTTACATCCCTCCAGATTTGAAAGAAGCGCAGCTGAAGGACAAAGTGTGGATCAAGAACGGCTCGCACAGCGTCGTTTCAATCAAGCCCAGCAAAGTAGCCGACCAGCTTGACAAAGATGGCAAGATGGTCTTCGATCCGGAAACTATACGGATCGAGAAGTGGGGCGAGCTGCTACAGCCGGACGGTAAACTCGCGCATCCACAGATCAAGCCTTACAAATGATGTGGGTGCGTGGTCTGGTTGAGCATCGAGCAGGCGCTCTGTGCTCACAGCAGCGCCTTTACCGCGGCTTCGTGATCGTCAATACGCAAGAAATTGATTCATGGCTGGCGGTCAAACATCGACGCCTTCTGTGGAGGACTCTACCAAAACAAAGCGCGAAGTCGACGGAGAGCAGACGTCTCGCCATTTCGAGAGGCCATCTTATTTCTTCTGTACATCTGAACAAATTTAAAATTCTCATCGAAGGCTTTTCAAAAATGCTTGATTTGTTTTCGCACTCAGCTGTGACCTCAACTCCAACAAACAGGGGTCACATGTCTCACTTGCGGTTTGCTCCTCCATCCATGACCTACAGCAAACCTAATTGCTCCTCAAACTGTCGAAAGAGGATCTGTCATGTCTGTAAGACGTCTCGATCGAGGCCGTGCCCGCTTAAAGCCTTGAGCGCTAGTATGTATTGGAACAACCGTTAGGCAGAGCGCTCAAGCTGCACCTCGTGAGTTAGCAGGTCAAAATTTTGAGCGAAGCTCCGCATAGCATATTTGCGTTTCGGATGTTGCGTGCCTTTTCTCATTTCATAACCTTTGGGACAGCAGTAGTCTTAAAATCACCATTGTTCTTCGTGCTCGTGGCCAGTGTCTGAGATGAACTTTGCCCTGCTAACGAATTGAAATGATCAGGACGAAGTATCTGGCTATCAATTTGGCGGGGGACTATTGAATGGAGTCCTTGTTCGCGACCACAAGATCTGATGATGCAATCACCTTAACAAAAGATGGCTTCATTTTTGTTAATCTCGCACCCAAAAACGCGCACACTTGCCAGTGCTCGCTTCGTTTGAACAAAGCTTTTTCCGTGAACAAGGTTTGGATATGCATCAAACCTGCGCTGGTAAGTGATTGTTTAAGGAGCAAATCCACTTTGGATCATCCTAAAGCTACTGCTTCTATGCTCGAACCTTATGGGAGAGTACTTGTGGCCGCAAATGATAGGGAAGTGCACTACACCGTGCATGTAAATTGGGTCCGCGGGAGGATGAAGAGCGGAAGGATGAAGATATGAGTGCAGGGTTATTGTGCTTTTAGCCAGAGCTACTGGTCAGACGCGGAACCTCTTTGGCCTTTGGGACTCAATCAGCCAGCAGCGCAACTTTGGCTTCTGGTTCAATCTTTGGAACTTTGAATGAATCAAGCGCCGGTGTGTGATGCTTTGTATAACCATTTGAGCCTTCAAATGTCGAAACTCAAAATAGCATGCGACGAAGCTTCAAGACTGGACATACAGAAACGTGAACGTTAAAGAGCGAACAAGCGAAGACCTTGAAAATCGCCCGACGACTCGTGCCAAGCGCAGATCAAAATGTTGAAGTGCTTTTGCTGACCCGAACAATCTGCAATTTTGTTTCTTCCTGTCTTTCTCATTGAATTTGTAGATCATTACAAGATGTAGGACACCAGTGCGCGAATCGATACAATTCCTCTACTTGGCTTCGTAAAAGCTCATGTACGGCGAATGCAAGATGATTGAACGAGTGCGGACCAGAGAGTTCAGTGTACATTACTGGTCAAAAGTGAGCGCAGAAACGGCGAGATTACCTGTCCGAACTGGTCCAAAACATCAGACTTGCGAAGAGCTGTAAAGGAATCAAAATACTTCTAGGCTTGGACCCTCGCTTTGAAAGACTGCTTACTCCCTAGGCCTGCCTCCTGGTGGTCCCCTTCGTCTCACTGCGGAGCTCGGATTAACTAGCGCACGTTAGGAAACCGTCCTGCTGCAGAATCCGAGCAAAATTGGACATGGAGGTTCCGCGCGTGATGAATCCAGCGACACGAGCCAAGTACGTCTGGTGAAAATTGCTGGTAGCGCACTCCTTTCCACTTGAAAGAGCTACTCACAACCTCTAAAGCTAGCGAGGGTGATCTAGCGCTTCGAAGATAGCCGCGTTTCTGACCGCCAAAAAAAAAAAAAAAGGCATCGCGTGCACATCTAAAATATCGACGTTATTCTCCAACGCAAAACGTCACACTCTGACTGGGCTTCCCAAGAATTATTGATTCTTGAAATTGTTTCCGACCTCTGTGCCAGTACTCCACCCAAATTCTGGAAATTGGAAAATGGACTGAGCGCGATGAGACGCACAGATAACTTCCGAGCCTTCACGCGCCGCTGAGAAAGCAACTTCGCGCAGAAATCCGGTGTTTCATGACTCGGACACTGGAAATGTGGTTGGTTCCTCTGACAAACGCCAATACTAACTTGAAGCAAGCACCTGCGCTCTTCTATCCTGCGGTTGACTCATCTGTGAGAGACACAATCACGCGATGACCAGCAAAGTAGACACCAAAAGCATTGCTCGGAATGGGGGCTCTACCTGCAATAACTAGAAAACGAAGATGAAAACGTAGCTCAATGTTCTGGCGGTACAGTGTCATTGCTCAGCGTTCGCGGTCAGGAATTTAGCGCGAAAAACAGCACTTGCTAGTCTCGAGAGGCTACGGCTGCGCTCGCATCCAGTGTAGAATCAGTCTGTGACGTCTGTTTGACCCGATACGAAGATCATTTTGCTCTCCCCTCTGGCAACGCGTCGAGCAGCTGTCCAGATAGCTGGATGTAGATCAAAGTGGGGCGGCTAAAGTTGCTGATGAACAATTGAGTGTCCGTTGTGTAGATGTCGTTCATCATACCATTGCTGCTTGTGTGGACCAGCTCGCAGGATCGCTATGTGTTGATAGCCGGCACGAGTTAAGATTCATTCATTTGAGTCCGTGGAGAATCTGGACGCTGAGACCGACGTCAGCCATCATCATGCGAGCCACCCTTCTCATGCGCAATGCTCCTAATGGTAGTCGAGTGCGGCGAAAACCGCGTGGATTAAGCAGCTATGCCGTCCTTCTGAGAACTTGATTGCCTTTTTTCTGACCTAGATCTAATTTAAACAGCGCGGCTTCTGCAGTCTCTGATGGTATTGCAGAATTTACAGTGCTCATCGTTTTTGAGAGCGATACAGGCGAAGGAGAATAATTCTCCGGGATATTTCAACAGAAATCGCCCTCGTCCTCGGCTAGAAGAAAAGTGAAATGACGCTGATACTGGATGCATGCAGACATGGTTGTAAGACTGAGGTGTTGCTTACAATGATCCCGGCTGAAAGTCAGGACGAGGCGAAGAACCTTCAGATTGGCTAACCTGCGGCGTGAACCCTAGCTCGGCCTACTCAGTGCTCGCTACGCCCCCATCAGTTGACATCGCTCGGCTCCCGGCTGGACTTCGACGTGGAGGCGAATGCCCAGCCTCTGAAGCGCACTGATCCGCGTAACAGCCCATGAATGGACCTGCCAGGCCGTTTGCTGCTGTTCCACAAAACAAGATGCTACCCAGCAGATTGTGAGAGGGACCTACAACTGGCGCAGAGAAGGCTGCAATGTGCAGGCCTTTAGTGTTGTTGCTTCTGCACTGGCTGCCTGGTACGAGCTTGCTGGTCCCAGGCGCCTTGAATTGGAGCCGAGGGCGGCAAAGGCTTCATCGAGGGCAACTTGTTGCCCTTGGTCGCCTCAATGATGATTACTCTGAGCGAGGAGATCAAGGAAGCGAATGCTGGATCTGTCTCTTCGAAGGATTCCGCCATTGCGGCACTCACCAGCGAGGTGATTGCCCTGAGAGCAGACTTGGCACTGTTGAAGAAGGTGCGTGCTCCCAACGGCAATGCTTGATCTCGTGCATGCGCAATGCGCGCATGCTTTGTGAAAGGGTTCACTCAGATTTCACCATCACAGAAGCTCTTGCCACGCAAGTCACAATGAGGTGCTTGTAAGCATCTCGGAGAAGGACTCTGCTCGCAAATTTGCTGTTCAACAGCAAACTGCAAAGGTGATGATGGAACAGCAAACTTGCAAGCAGAGTCCTTCTCCATCAACTCCTTCTTGCGGCGCAGCATGAGCTCTTTTAGCCATGGTCACTTTTTCTTTACCCCAGCAAGCTGCTTGCGCTTAAAGTTTGTCCTGACCTCTTTGTCCTCACCCAGCAGGCTCCTTTAGCCTGCGCCGTTCTTCCACTTCATGCAAATCAAGTCAAATTCCTTCTTTGCTTGGGCTTCCTTGACCTTCAAGGCAGCAAGCTCTTGGTCCACAGGCTTTGGAGGTGGAGCTGCAGTAGGTGGGAGAGGGCGCAGCTTGAGCACTGGCATGTTGAACAAAGGGCGCTTTGCTCTTGGTTTAGCTTTGTTCTTTGGCTTGAGCTTGCAGAATTGAGAGTAAAAAGTAGATCTCAGCACTGATTGTTTGCTATCTCAATCGTGCGTGCCTGCCTAACTATGTGCGCCACATGTGACTCACTTGAGCGTGGGGGATGAACCCAATTGGGCAAAATGGTTTGCGTGCAGCGGCTTATTCAATTTTTGTTAGGCAAGAATGTGCTCTTTGCACTTGGGGGCACAAAAGACAAAGGGATAGGCCAGTAAGGAATAAGGGCTCAGCCTATGATGCTGTTGCAAGCAATGGTAGAAAGAACTGGTGAGACACCACCTCCGCTACTGCCTGGTGAGACACCACCTCCGCTACTGCCTGGTGAGACACCACCTCCACTACTGCCTGGTGAGACACCATCATGACGACAAGGAAGAAGGCCAAATTCCGAGAACCTTGTCCCCCCAGTAACGCCTGGCAAACTCGTAAGAGTTGCCCACCTCCGAGCTTGTCTCCTGGGCGCTTGCGCTCGCGAGTACTTGACCTTGCGAGCGCAACGTTTCTTGCCAGACTTGGCACGACAGCGTCGTTCTTTGCAGGTGAGCATTGATTCTGGCTCAACAGGCATGACCTGTTCCTTGACCTCGTTTTTGATGCTCTTGTTGTCCTTAGCAGGACTGGTGAGACACCACCTCCCCGCCTCCGCTACTGCCTGGTGAGACACCGCCTCCGCTACTGCCTGGTGAGACACAACCTCCGCTACTGCCCGGTGAGACACCACCTCCGCTACTGCCCGGTGGTGGCTGCCCTGAGAGCAGCAGCATTCTGCGTCACAATCTCAATCTCATCAATCACAAGATGTGCAGTGCGCCGTGGATGGAGCTGCTCATGGACATGCACCATGGCAGACTTATGTGGAGTCCCAATCTCGTCACGAGCATGGCTGAACACCCTCCTCTCCTTGCCTCTGATGCGTCAGCAACTCTATGCGTCATTCTGTCCCAGCTCGACATTGTTTTTCAGCAGCTCGGTCTAGCGTAGCGCCAACTGACTCCGTCCTCGTTGGTCTATAATCTTCTGAATGCCCTTGACGCTGCAGCGTCGGCGCACTCTGTGCCTGCACCAATTCCCCTGGACGCCACATCAGGTGACGTCGACCCCGCGCTCGCCTCAATCTCGAACGCCGTCGACGCCACACCTGCAGCTGGCCCGCCTTTTGTTGGCCTTCTGCCCGCAACAGTGGAATGCACGGACAAGGATGCTGTTGGATTGCCACATGACGTCTTGCGCGAGCTGGCAATGTCACCGGCAACAACACGGCAACCAGCCCGACGCTTTACAAGGAGCCAGTCTCCTCTGCCTCTTGTTCTGGTTGTCCTCGCTGGCCAGTTGTTCTTTGCCAACTTTCTGGACCCATTTCACCCGGATCCAGCAAAGCAGCTTCGACCCTCAAGAGCTGGGCTCACAAGCTCGCTTGATTGATTGTTATCAATCTCACTCTCACTCTCCCCTTCCGCTTCCGCCTCCCGCTCCCGCCTCCCACTCTTGCTCCCAATCTCCTCTTCCGCTTCTGCCTCCCGCTCTCATTCTGCTCTGGTAGAAAGAACTGGTGAGACACCACCTCTGCTCCTGCCCGGTGGTGGTTACCCTGAGAGCAGACTTGGCAATGTTGAAGAAGGTGCGTGTTCCCAAGAGCGATGGTTGATATCGAGCTGCGCTTGAATCCTACCGCCAAGTACAAGCTTGCTGGTCCCAGGCACCTTGTATTGGCTTACAAAATGTGCATATATGTGATTGCAATTGACAATGTTCTGGCTGGGCAGCATATGGTACTCTCTACCATCCCAACCATTGAGTTTGATATGTGGTGGCATGGTGCTATTGTCAAAAATTGAAGTAATTTGCTTGATCTTTAAGGAAGGGACGCTGGTAGCAGCAAGCCATTGATGATGTTGATGAGTTGCTCCTTGTTTGTTGTGGTGAACTGATTGTTGTCATGTGCAAGATAGATTGCAGCGGTGAGCATGTCAATTGCACTGTTCACATGAATCTCTTGATCCTTGGAATCAGCTCAAAGGGACATTGCTGTGATCAGGGGCACTGGGCTGCGCAATTTGAGCCAGAAGAAGGACATGAGCGCAAAGATTGGGAGCTTCCAGTCCTTGAGCTTCTACTCTTGGTTTGCAGCAAGTGGGCGGTGGGGGGGAGTTGCTGGACAGGCACCTTGGGAATGCCCAAAATATCCAGCACTTGAGGAGTGGCATTGAGTGGATGACTAGCATCCTAGAACACATGGACCAGCTCCCTTCCAAAGCTGTGAAGGGCTTCATCTGCAACCAAAAAGATGTTGGGGGATAAGACACAATGCGCAATAGTTGCTCAATCCAGCAACAAAGATGGCATTGTTGTTGTCATCTGGTTTCAATGCTGCCTGAAGATTGCAAAGTGTCATCAGATCAGGATGGCAAGCATCAACTTGAAGGTTGTGGAAGCCCAACTCTCCAGCAGTCTGCAGCACTTGTTCTTCTAATGCTTCCTGCTTCTCTTGGTTGTAGTACTTGCAACTGATCTGTGTTGTGGACAGCAAAGCTGCAGCCAAAGGCCCAATCAGGAGACCGTGAGCAACGCGTTCAAAAGCAGACTTGCTCGGCCTCTTGCTCTCGGACAAGGGGAGGTCTGCCCACTTGTTCTCATCAGTGATTGCTCCAGGAAAAGTGGAGAGGGATTTGCCACCAAGCTCAGTGAGCAGATACTTGTTCGTGTTGGCAGCTACCCAGCCTTGACCTCCGGCATCATAGCATATATGGTTGCTGCTAAAGGGTCACCAGTTCCAGCTTCCATCTACGCGCGCTCTCTTGAGCTACCTGCTGCTTGTAACTGGCAAGCATTCTCACACATTCCTCAGATTTTAGTGGCCCACTCTCCGTCAAAACTGAGACAATTGTCTGCCTGCTACTTGGCATACACGGTGCGCAGCTCAGAAGGCGTCCCTATTCTATCATTCGACCTTTCAGACAAGTGCTTCATCATCAACCACAACCATGAAGATGGGGTCAAGCCCACTTGCCCAAAAACTTGTCGCGCAGTGGCCAAAGCGTTTATGCTCAACGTGAGGCGGCCGTACCTTGGGCTGCACCACTTTACCAGCAAGCGCAACGTGTTGAGGAGCAGACAAGGTTTGCAAGCTCTGATGATCAAGCCCTCAACAACTTGCAGCTCCTTGTCAACTGTTGGAACACCTCAACCTTGTAGGGTCTTGATGATGTGCAGATTGGGTTGCTTCCCCTTGCAAAGCATGCACATGCAGTGATGCAGAAAAGTGTGCTTGTCCCCTAGTGATTGTAGCGCGCGTTGGAGTCCAGAATCACCCTTCAAGCGGATCGCAGCCGCGTTCAGCCCATCGTCATTCCAGATGCTAATTCAAATTACATCTGCAACGAGTAGAGACCATGCCAGTGGCGGCTTGCAGATACATGAATTTCAGGAGACGCGGCAGGCAGATCAGATTTTATTTTGCAAGGCAGGCCCAGGAACATGGTCCGGAAAGAGCGGGTCCTTGTGTGTCGGATGTTGCAAAACGAAGCGATACCGGACTTGTCCAGCGTCGACTGCGAGGTCCAGAGAGGTTGCGTTATTTCAGTACATGTAGATTGTAAGCTGGATCGGAGACCGTACGTCAACGGTTCACTCACGCCGATTGACCGCTTCTTCTACGCCTTCAGGCGACATGGGCAGCAGCTCGATCCACGGCCACGAGCGCGTTCTGGCGCTGAAGTCGAGCATGATTCGATGCACGGGCCGACTGGCAACCATCGAGCCTTGAATACGAATCTCTTTGGAAATCAGCTGCTGGTATCCTTTGATGTGGAGAGCGTCTGCGCTGACGCTCAGCGGGATGACTGTGGCTCGCGAAGAGAGAATGCGAGGGTGTAGATACGTATCCCTGTGCAGGCAGAGCTTCTGTAAGGCCACAATACGTTGTGAGCAAAAGTTCATCCTGCGCTTACCAGTCGGGTTGGACGCTGCTAGCGACAAAGAGGTAGTCCACACTACCTTTCCAATCTGCGCTCTTAATCGCAGACTTGAGTTCCTTGTTGTCTCTTCCGGTAGCCACAAACTCGGACGCTCCGAGCTTGAAAGCCTCCTCCCGTTTGGAGTCCGAGGTGGAAAAGACGACCACGTGACAACCCATCTTGGACAGGTACTGAATTGCTAAGTGGCCCAAGCCGCCTATAGCTAGCACTCCTACGCGGTGCCACGGCTTTAGATCCGCGCAGGCATGGATGGCCTGCAGATGTGGTGCACAACGCATGCGTGTGAGAAGAGCTTCGAGATGTCTGAGTGATCAATGCACTCACACCAAAGACTGTCGCGCCGGCACATTGCAGAGGGGCGGCATACACGAGAGGCAGCGCGTCAGGGATGAGGTGTACGAAGCGGGCGTCGACGACGTAGGCGTCACCGATGCTGCCCTGATGCTTGTTGGTAACGCCATAGAGCTTGCGAGTCCGGCACCTGTAGATTTGAAAGGAGGTGTGGTAAGGTGAGCATGCGAGTGGGGCGCAGTCAAGGACCCGTCATCTGAGCTTGCGATATGGCGATGCATCACTGCGCTCACATGGTGTCGACTCCCTGAACACACGGCAAGCAGGCCAAGCATGCGCCTTGCACGTAGCCCCAGCCAACCCTGCTTCCCACCTTCAAGCCGAGCTTCTTGGCTTCCGCGCCATCATCTTGCAGCAGGGCGGATCCCAAGGCAGACACAACACCCACACCCTCGTGACCCAGGCCAACGTCCTGGCCGAGGTAGTGCAAGTCGGTGCCACAAAGTCCGCTGGCCACCACATCTATAGCGACGCTCCACCCATCCAACCTTTGCTCTCCCGCAGCGACTTGCTTGATGGCGTGCCTATGCTGCTGCTGCTTGGCATCGCTGGACGATGACTCGCGTTTACCAGCACCTCTGTAGGAGTTGCCAAGCTGAATGAGGGATGCTTGTGTGGGAGAGGACGACGACATGCTGGCTGCTGTGACGAAGGGCCGCTTCTAAAAGAAAACCAAATTGATTGAGCCGTGAGATGGATGTTTGCGCTGCGCCGTACCTCGAGAAAGCGTGGTGTCGTGTGACTGTTGAAGCTTTCGTGTCGCCGCGGGCATCGCGAGCAAATGTGAATCTGCAGCTCACAACGCGCAACTCATGATCAACAACAGATTTTTGTTTTCCATACACCCGCGGGCATCGGCGCGGGCATCGGCGTGGACATGGGCCGAGTGCCGAGTCTCGGCGCTCGCTCGGCACTCGGCCCCCTTCCGCACCGGAACAAGTGATCACGTGTGATCCAAGTTCTTTTGATGGGCTCAAAAGCATGATGAGCTCAATCAACTCTTGACTCAGACTCTGACTCGTGACTTTTGACTGTGACTCGCATTCAGATTATTGTTGACCCAGCGTCGCAGCATCGAAGCTACACTCAGACTGCCAAGTGAGCCAACGTAGCTGCCTCAGTCAATGGTCGGGGTGCAGCGCAGCAATTTCTGGATGACTCCCGACGGCATTCGTAATGAGGCAGAGGTGGCGGCATCCCGGCTTCGCAATATGAAGTCACACGATGCCAGCAGTAGTAGTACGATGGTGATTCTTTGATAGGTGCATGCCGTCCACCTGCTAGCACGAGACGTCAGTCAGACCAAATCCTTCCCCGAACGAAGTCAATTCGATGGTTCTGAAATGCAAATGAAGTGTCGCAGCTGACGAAGGCAGAGTGTGGCACGCAGGAGCGGCCCGATGGAAGCAACAAGCACCCGGACTCTCCTCTGGCTAGTCGTCCACGCTAGCCTCGAGGCGCGTAGAGGTCATCCCATCCATCCTCTTTACCTTGGCTTCGGGCAAACCGTCAGAGCCCATTCAGTCCTCAGTCCCTCACCGTCACACCACAACACATCGCTGGGCAGGTAGAAGGTGGATGGATTGTGGCGAGCGGCCTGCATCGCATCGCAAAGTCATACACTTGCCCGCTGTACGTCGGCCTTCATCTACCAACCGTACCTCGAACTCATTCTTTAGGATGAAGGACGCGCGCTCCTCCGCCCTTGCAACGCTCGCGGCACCTGATCTCGACCAGAGTGTAGGCCAAATCGATCCCTAGAGCGTACATTACAAGTGCAAAAAGACCATTCTGCTGTCCCCGCACGTCACATTCTCACGACCATCTCAACCACAAAAAGTGCGCCCAGCTACGCTCTCTCGCCTCGACCACTACCACTACCTCCACCACCTCCACCACTCCACTCGGCTAGCCTGTTGTTAGGTGAACACGATGAAGCTCGCCAAGTGGTCGCTCCTTGCAACTTTGTCCATCGCTTGCACGCTCGTAGCGGCCGACCCTTACCCGCTACCCAGCAAAGACGACTTCTATCAGGTGCCCGGAAACGTCAATCAATATAAGAATGGCGACATTATCGCGGCTCGCGAGGTCACCCGCGACATGAATCGTTACATTTCACGGCTGCTCCTCACTTCCAGCTATCAGGTCCTGTACCGTACAACAGATGCTACGGGCAAGCCAGATGCAACCGTGGCTACTTTGTTCCGCCCCAGAAGAGCTTTGGATGGTCCGCCGAAGATCGTCGCCCATAGCTTGTACGCCGAAGCGCCCGCCAGGGACTGTGCTGTCTCGTTTGGCCTTATCGAAGGGAATCGCAAGGAGCCGCGCAACTCCGGACAGGAACAGCCTGGCATCTTCATCAGCCAGCTATTGCAAAAAGGATATTACGTGAGTCGTAGCTCGCCTTGGCCGATGGCCCATCTCGCTGACACACGTGTCGGTGCGCAGGTCGTCACCTCAGACTATAGCGGCTCCCAGGGAGCTGTTGGCGTCGGTCCTCAGGGAGGCCGCGCAATTCTGGATTCCATCACCGCAATGGCCAGTCATAAGCCCACCGTTGAAGGCGCGTCGGACTACAAAGCCATCATGACTGGCCAGGCCGCTGGCGGTCTGGTGACCGCCTGGGCAGCTCAGCTGCACAAGGAGTATGCACCGAACGTCAAGCTCGTTGGAGCCAGCTTTGGCAGTGTGCCCATCAGTCACGAACTGGAAGCGCGCAGACTGAACGGCACAGAGGGTGCCGGCATCATCGTCGCGGGTCTAGTTGGTGTTGCGAATGCATATCCAAGCGTCTTGCGATTCTACCAGCAAGATTTGAAACCAGAAGGCTTGCAAGCTTTCGACACTGTCAAGACCGATGGCGGCTGCCTGCAGAGTATCCTCGAAACGTACAAAAATGTTTCCATCTTCAGTTATTTCAAATCCGGCGAAAGGTTCCTAGACAAGCCTATGATCAAGCAAGCAAATCTGGCAATGTACCTGGGCGCAAGAGGACGCCGCGATAATCTTGGCAGCCGCATCCCATACTACATTTTTCACGGCGCGAAGGATGTGGTGGTGCCCATCAAGCCAATGAAAGATTACGTCAAGAAGCAGTGCGCAGCAGGAGCACGAATCGAATTTTCTGTCAATCCTGATGGAGATCACGAGTCCGAGCTCACTGCAAGCCTTCCAGGCCAAATGGACTTCATTGAAAAGACTTTTGGAGGTCAGAATAATCAGACAGGTTGTACTGACACCACTCACGGAGACGACAATCAAGGCTCCCTGGGCGGTCTTGGATCTGCAGGAGGTGGTGGACTTCTTGGTGGCGGTGGCCTCGGCGGGAGCCGTGGTGGAGGCGGAATGGGGGGAGGGCCTTCTGGTGGTGGAAGCGGGCTGGGAGGTGGCGGTGGCCTCGGCGGGAGCCGTGGAGGCGGAATGGGTGGCGGTCTTCCTGGAAGCGGTGGCCTCGGAGGAGGCGGTATGGGAGCAGGTCCTCCTAGCGGCGGTGGCCTTGGCGGAGGGGGAATGGCCGGAGGGTCTCCTGCCGGCGGTGGCCTTGGTGGGGGCGGAAGGGGAGGAGATTCTGGGAGACTGCGGAAGAGGTCGACGAAACATCGGGCTCGCACGGCGATTTGAGACTCAACTCCCCACTCCCCCATTGCTTTCACACTGAGACCCACTTCTCGGACCTCAGAATGTGTTTCCCTTCAATTGAGACAAGCGTGTGCAAGACTCGCACGCTGCCAGCGCAGTTGCGAACTCTGATTCTCCTTCACTCTCCAAGGGGCGACTCCCTGTCGAATTTTTCTCCTTTTTTCCCTACCGACTGGACTTTAGCTTTCGATTCTGTTGTACTGCGCCGGCGACAAATGTGCGGCGCACCTTACGGGGCCTAGTGCCCTGTGCTATACTTACCACCAACAGAATTGCGTGGTTCTGAATTCCAAATGCGATGCTTTTTGCTTCATCTCCGAGCCCATCGTCTGCAACGGAATGGTCATTTTCGTGACTGCTGTATGCTTGGGGTCCACTCCTGCGCGCTGAAAGTCCAACGGACACGTCGTGCATCGCCAAGTCGGCTCGCACATTGCGGTTGATGTGTCATGAAATGCTGTGAGGTTGCGTGGGGCAGCATCTCGCGGCCTTCGTCGGTATGGGACCTGATCGTGAAAGCAGACCAAAAGGAAGGGAATTTTTATAGGTTACGTGAACGTATGACCGTGTAACCGCCCTCATGCCCGCCGAGCTTGGGCCTTCGAGTGGTACCGAAGCGATACAGAGGTTGCGTGGTCGTTGTAGTTGGGATTGGCGTTTGGCGGACTTCTCGCGAATGAGTGCATCGGTATCGCCTTCAATCTTTCACACGTCAGAGGTGCTAGTCAGCTCAAGTCACTCCAATCAGCAAGCAGACGTTTTGAGAATGCCTCGCTGGCCTTGCACCTGGCTCTTCGTCATGAGACTCGTGAAGCTTTGAAGGTTTTCATTCGCCAGGCGAGCTCGCGAGGAGATCGAATACCGCGTCACTGGCAGTGATGAGGTGCAGTAAATTTACGAGACAATCCGCAAGTGATCAATACAAAGCAATAGTGGTATCATGAGCTCAGAACTCGAAGTATGTGGTCAAGCCCATGACGTTCTTTGGATCGTACTTCTTTCTGAGCGTTCGAAGCCTCTGCGCGCTCTGAGGACCGTAGACTTTGTTTGAACTGGTGCCCGCAATCGCGTAATTGGGGTACAAGTAGACATCGTCAAGGTTTTGGCCCTCCTTGACAGCTTGGGCTCGCAAAAGGGCTGCCGTCTTCTTGATCTCCTTGGCCCAGAATGCATCGTCCAGAGGGTTCAGCCAAGTAAAGTAAATGTTCAGAGGTAGTGGAGATTGGTCGTGGGGCCAAGCACCTCCTTTGTTGGTGCCTGCCGCATAGTTGGGCAGGAAAGGCTCCACATCGTACGAAGTGAAGACGCCAGAGTGGAAAGGCTGCTGAGAGCCGTAGTAGCGGGTCTGGTTGACGATTTGCTGCAAGATGGGAATGGAGTAGGACTTGAAAGTGACAGAGTGGAAAGCACCTCTCTGACCAGCTGTGGCGTTCGAAGGCGACGAACGTACAAGGTCGCCGAAGGATCGAGTTTTCCAGTCAGAAGTAAAGGTATTGAAGCCGGGCTTGTTGAATGCGGCAAAGACATCGGCAGGCGGCGTAGGTCCGTCATAAAAGGCCAGCAAAGACACTCCAGGTTGACCCAGCACGTGATTGATGGTTGGGATCACCTGCGCTTTGGGATCTTTGTTGTGGACAGCAAAGCTGCAGCCAAAGACCCAATCGAGAGACCGTGAGCGACAGGTTGAAAAGCAGACTTGCTCGTCTTCTTGCTCTCGAAATCGACTCACTCGTACGTCGCCTGGACGACATTGTCGAGCTGATCCTGGGTGTACGTTCTCAAGCCTCCCCACACCTGCGCGACCTGAGGAACGCTCTTCAATCTGAAATTGTAGATCACCCCGAAGCGGTTGCCGCCTCCCTTGATGGCCCAGAAGAGATCCGGGTCAGAAGCAGCAGTGACGGTTTGTACTTTGCCAGAGGGTGTGACCAGATCTGCTTGCAGGAGCGTGTCGATGGTCAGACCGTACTGATTTGTCTTCCAGCTGAAACCGCCTCCACCCGTGATGAAGCCGCCGACTCCTACGCCAGTCACGCGTCCTCCGACCTGTGAGCAAGCAGATTGTAAAGAGTGCTGATCAGCGCACGCGATCGCGATGGAGGGCGTGCATTGGACACACGTCGATGAGACTCACGATGTTGTAGCCAGATCCTTCCAGTGCGGCATACACGTTATCCCAAATGTTGCCGCTTCCCACGTCGACGTAAGACTTGTCCTGACTGAGCGTAACGTGCTGAAAGCCCTTTAGGCTGATTTCGACGCCGGTGGTGGAGGAGAAGCCAGCGTTGGAGGCGTGTCTGCCGCTCGAGACTGCAAAGGAGATTCGCTTCTGGCCAATGATCTTGACGGCGCTGGCGAGGTCCTTGGGCGTGGTAGGGATGAAGACGCACGTGGGGGTATTGGCTGCCGAGCTGATGTACCGCCCGGTCGAGAGCAAGTAGTTGAAGCCGCCAAAGTATTCGAGGGTGGAGACTGGTGTTGCGGTGCGGTCGATGGCAGCTTCGATGGCTTTGCAGGCATCCAGATTGGTAGCATTGAAGAACCTAGGAGCAACAGTGCGCCTGATGGCCTGATCAGCGATGCCGCCAGAGGCTGTGGGAATGAGTGTAGCGAGCAGGGGGAGGCTGAGAGCTAGAAGCGCCAACAAGGCGGTCAAGCTTCGTGAGGATGTCATCTTGACTGGACTGGACTGGACCGGAGCAGAGCGGACCGTGGCCCAAAGAAAGCGGGAAATGGGGGTAGTGAAGGAGCAAGGGCAGGTCCGAAAAGAGGAGAAGCTTGATTGTATGTTTGCTTAAAAGAGGAAGCCAAAGACGACGTATGGCGGACCGCACCGCTGAATGCAGCGAGGGGACATGCGAGCGAGGCCACTACCGAAAGCTGCAAGTCCCAGCTCCGACGCGGGGAAGGACAGGAGAAGAGCCGCTGAGCATGATTTCATGGATGGGACGGGCAGCCACAGGAGCGGTGGAAGGATAAGGATCACGATTGGGAGCCGGGGCTGCAGGATGCACCACAGTGGGAGGAAGGCCTCGAGATGCGAACCCTTCCTCATGGAGGCAGAGTAGTCACAACAGAAGAGTGATGCGTGAGTCCCAAGCCGAGGTGGCACTTCACTGTCCCGCGCGTGACCATGCTTTTTTGGCCTGCAGCTATGCATTGCATTTGCACCACATCGCTGCTGGCTGCGAGGATTGAGATGGTGGGAGAAGTTCCGCTGCAGGGAAGCTCGGAACCCGCGGAAGTGTTCATTAGTTTTCGACTTGGGCGCACTAATCACAACAGTCGCGGTGCTCCAACGAACGCAGCAGAAGAGAGTGAGGGACGCAACTACGATGGTGTACGCTTTCACTGCTATGCAGATCACCGGCCGGCCATGAAGATCAGGCGTGGAGTCGTGAGTGGATCTGTCGAGTTTGAGTCTGTGCACGACCCCGCCTTGACCTTGTCCTGATGGCAAAGGTGCCGTTACTCGTGACTCGTGTCTGTTTGAAGGTGCGGCCATGCTCAATCTTGAATGTACCAACAGTCACCGAGTCAAGCAGCGCGGCACCTATCGCCGACGCCAGGTACCGAAGGGATGTACATAGGCATCCACTCTAGACCCACGATTGTCCCGTACCTTTTGCGCCAAGTCGCTCCTGAGGTACCCGAGTCTTTGTGTGCCTCGCCAGCAGCAGCCAGCAGCGTGCAGAAAAGCCAATGACGAGCAAAGGTTGCTCGTCTGCTGAGCTCTCCTTGCATGCCTGCAAGAAGAATGAGCGCGCTGTGATTTCGAAAATTGTGTTCACGCGATTCACATTGCAGATCATCCATCCGCATTCAAGATTGCTCTGCAGATCGCGATGACTTTAACTGCAAGTCTGCCACTATATAAATCGTGAATAGTAAATGATGAATAGGCAGCGCCGACCAAGACAGATCGAGCACGCGTGCAGCACTATAGGCAGCCATGGCAGGCCATGATCCATGCACGACTCACACTTATGACTGCTTCCCGGGCCTATGCATGCATGTCGCGGGCAAGCATGGATTGATTGTTCCGAGATGCACTCTTTACTTCGAGCAGTCTGCATCATGCATGGCTACAGCGGCTGGTGCGGGCGCGCTGTGAAGTGAGTCAGACACATGAATCACGCCGGCCGGTCATATATATAGTGTATGTTCTCGAGCGAAGCTGGCCGGTGCACCGCGCACTTGATGCCTGCTACCAGCATGGTTATAAGTCAAGAGTGCTTGCGGTCGCCCGGATAAATGTAAGCATCAAGCACACCCGATTTTTCGTTCGAACGCACGCGGGTTACGGCCGACGCGCATTATATATAAGCATCAGCGTATATCGGCCGCGCCGCTCGCATGCACGCACAGCATAGGATGTTCCGTGCGGAGTCACTCGATCACGGTCACGAGCAGCAGCGGATCAGCAAGTCGCGCTGGTTCATCCGTCCTGCTTGAGCTTGGATCACCGGGCATATGTCCCTCCTTCCAGCCAGCTAACGCGTGAGTGGTCAGCTGGACATGGCCATTAATCCTCCACATCTCTTCAAGCATTTTGCCACATCTCCATCAGTCCACACGCCGATATAAGGGCTGCAGCACCTCATCTACTCACTGCCATCGCCGTCATCGCACCACGCACGCTCTTCCTATTCGCCAACCCTAAGAATCATCCAGATCGTTGCCAACATGTCCCATCCCACATCAGAAGCCCCCAAGGCCGCACCAGTGCCGTACTTTACGCTCAACAATGGGGTCAAGATGCCGGCCGTGCTAATGGGCTGCTGGCAGGGTGACTTTGAGGGCGAAGGCAAGAATCTAGATCTGGCCATCAGCAACGGCTACAGGGGCTTGGATACCGCCACGCAGTACAAGGTACGCATCGACGCAGCAATCTTTTGCCTTTTTGAGGGTTAAGCTGAACAGTCTCCACTGCAGAACGAAGCCATCGTGGGGCAAGTGATTGCCGAGTCGGGACTTTCTCGCGATCAGCTCTTTGTCACGAGTGAGCAGCGTGCTCCAATCTATTGAAGAGAGACGCAATGATCGCTCACTATTTTCGCCACGCTCGTAGCCAAGCTTGCAAATTCAGAGTCAGTGTCGAGTGCTGCGACGAGGCAATGGCTACGGAGGCTAGTGCTCACATCAGGCTTCCATTCTCTCCCCCCCTCTCTCTCTCTCGACTTGCAGACACCACGACGTCGCTGGCGCTCTTTCTCGCTCGCTGGAAAAGCTCGGAGGTCAGATCGATCTGTACCTGATGCACTGGCCACAAGGCGTGGACCAATCCACCGGCGCCCTTTTCTCCGATCAGTCGAGCGGCAATGAGCTCCCAGACTATGTTCGCACATGGAAAGAGATGGAGAAAGCTTACAAAGCGTCAAACGGAAAAGTCAGAGCCATCGGTGTTTCCAACGTGGGTTTGCGCGCCGAGCAAGTTCTGATATTTGGTCTGCGCATCTCACGTTGGGCGCGCTCGCGATAGTTTTCGATCAAGACCTTTACGGAGCTTTTGAAACATGCAGAGGTGGTACCAGCAGTAAATCAGATCGAGTGAGTGAGCAACAGTGCCGCTTAGCATGCGTGGCAGACTCGCTGACGCCTTCCCACTATCGCCAGGGGCCACCCATACCTCCCAGAAGCCGAGCTTGTGCAGTGGAGCAACGAGCGCAAGATTCACACCTCTCTTTACAGCCCGTGAGTACACACTCTGCGGCTTGCTCGAGCTTTTTCTGGCTTTTTCTTGTGGGCTGACGTGAATATGCCCGCGACAGTCTCGGACAGTCTAACTCGCCACTGCTGAAGGATGACCTGCTCAACTCTATAGCCGCCTCGCACAACGCAACGGTAGCTCAAGTCATCTTCGCCTGGGCCATCGCCAACGGCCTCTCAGTCAATCCGCGATCGACCAACCCTGAGCGGCAGGTGCAGAACATCACGCTAATCACGCTCACAGACGAAGAAGTGAAGAGGATCGATACGCTGCACAAGGAAGATGGCAAGCACACACGTCTGTGCAACGTTGCGTGGTCGAAGGAAAATTCTACCGCGGGAGGATGGACACTCCAACAACTTGGCTGGGACATCGGTTTTGAAACGGCTTGAACGAAGACGGTAGCTGGTCGTCACAGCACTAAAAGGAGCGCGTCGCTTCAGGGTCTCTTATGGAGCTTTGGCTTTGGACGGTGCCCAAGGTGGAAGTGCAGCGCCTTTGAAGCTTCCATAAGGGTCTGCAGGGAATTCTGGAGCCTTGTCATCTTCGTAGAGATGTCGATCCTCGATCGAATATCTGAACAAAATACCCAGTTGTTTCTCCGTAGGCAGACGTCCTGGCCGCTTAACACCACGCGGCAGTCGAAAATTGAGGTCGCCCTCCTTCTCTTGAAGCTGAGCGCCATATTCCCTTCTTTCGCGCTTGGGGTTCAATAGAAACTCTTCCGGAGCACCCTTGGAGATCTTGTTGAGCTCGGCGTGGAATTCCATCGCAAAGAGATTGAAGAATCTCTCGGAAGCCCCTGTCACAGTCACAGATAGAGATTGGTCGACATTGATGCGCCGGAAAACGGAGTCGCTGCGCAGGTCCCCACTCACCGAATTCAAAGACGGTCTCGTAGCGAATGGCGCGTAGCTCGCGGAGCTGTGCCAGCTTGACGGGGTCTTTTCCACCATCGCGCTCCAGCTCTGCAGCTCGTTTCAAATCCGGCTCGATATCTTTCATGATCTCTGCCATCACTTGGCGGCGCTTCGCCTCGGGCGTATCGGGCGTCGCGGTAGACGTTTGTTTGAGCTCAGTTTGCATGGCCTGGATGGTCTTCTGCTGAGCCGCCCCGTAGAAACTTGCGACATAGGTGGTAAAGTCAGTCACAACGTCCAGACCGCGCGGGGCTTTCACGTCCCTTTGGTTGACGTGTGCAACGTCGAGCTGCTTGACCAGCCTGACAAGGTTGCAGGCCTGTTTCGAAAGCTGATGCTCGTAGCCGATGCGCAAGCCTGCCCACTTTGCAGCCAGATCGACCAGCCTCGCGAGCTCGTTGATGTAATCTGTCTTCTGGTCGGCAGCCAGTTTGGCGCTCTCGAGCTCAGCTTTGTACGCGCTCAAGGCCGCACCGTCGGCGTTCTTGTCAAACTCGAAATGGGCAAATCTAATGGTACCCTTCGCGTTGGTCACCGTGACAGTTTTGCCTTTCGCAAACCACTGTGACAGGCTATCAAATGGAGCTTGCATCCCGACGTTGGCATTCCAGCTCGCCGCCGTCTCGGCTAGGTATTGAATGATCAGTCCGATGTCTTGGAAGTGCTCCGAGACAGTGGCCGTCTTGTTTCGAGCTGGAGATGTATATGACACCTCCTTCTGCTGTTTCAATGACTGTGCCTGGTTCAAAGCGGTGCGGTAGGCTGATTTTGCAGCTGCGTGTTGCAAATCCAGATCCCAAACCGGTTTGGTGCAATGTTGAGAGAAGTGTGCAAGCTCGTGAATTGTGAGACCGTAGATGAAGTTGGAGACGCAGCCTAGGACGTCAGGATTGACGACGGGCCCGCCAGCGTTGTTCTGCAAAGCTGCGCTAATGCGGTGAGCTAGCACGGGATTATGACCGTCATTGCTCTCCAAGGCCATACCCTGCACCAGCTGACCGACCGCCACGGTGTCGGGGACGATCGGGTAAGTGCTGGTCCTGACGGCATAGCCAGGGCGAGGCGCCCAGTACTCTGTGCCGTCCGGCTCCATGGAGACAAAGGCGATTTCTGTGCCGTACACTCCGCCCACATCTTTGATCCCGTCGATGCTGGATACTTCTTTGCCTTCCAGGCCAAAGTTGCGTATCGCGTCCTGCATGGCAGGATTGAGTGCGCATTGAGCAGCTGCCAATGCCTCGAACGTGTCCGAGTCCCAATCCACCTGTGGTCGACGCGGATCTTTTCTGGTCGCGTCGGTGGGCTCGAGGAACACCATGCCGGTAGCCGCGCTGAATTTGACCATGGAGTCTTTGAGCGAAGCAGCTTGAGCAATAGCCTTGAGGCGGTCGAAATATTTGGAGGATGTGTCGGCGATGTGGTTGCGAATCTGCTCTTGCGTCAGGCTGTCAAATGCCTGGACATCTAATAGGGAAAATCACCAAGCTTGAGCGTCAAGTATCACGACCACGCCGCCATTGTAATTGGCACTCACTCTTCAGCCAGTCCTTGGGATACACACGGCTGACGGGCAGAGGTGGGGGCGTGGGGGCGTTGGAGAGGAAGGCGTCCAAGTCGACGACGCCGTAATCACCCGAGTCGCGATTGAAATCACGCGGCGGCTTGTCATTGAGCTTTGTGGGAGCCCGCGGGCGCTTGTTCGTGGGTTGTGGCTGGCCGGGTTTCCATGTGACAATGTTTGGCAACGCAGCCTGCCTCTGCTGCATGACAAGACCTGCAGCTGGCTTGGGTCTGGGAGGCGGGCTCAGGTTGGTTTGGACGCCGATCGCTGGTGCATCCGCCTTAGGAGGCGCTTTTGGCGTGGTGGCCTTGTTCCATTTGGCCTCACCTGCTGCTGCGTCCGATGTGGCCGAAGTCGGGTTGGGTTTGTTCTCAGCTGCTGGACCCGTGGCTGGCACTGTAGTAGCAGCCGCGGAAGTCGAATTCTGGCTTGCTTTGCCAATCGTGGGTGCGCCCGCCTTGGGAGACTCCGTTGGCCGCGCAGCCTTGTTCCATTGAGGGTCACTTGCTGTTGAACCTGTCGAGTTAGGTGGCTGAGCCGCCGGAGTCTTGGCTGCGACCGTAGTAGTGCTCTTGGTAGCCATCTTTGCGAGCTCTTGGCGTGAGAGGGATAAAGGGAGTACTCGAACGAGGCGAGGATGTAGGTTTGGAGAAAAAGGCGGGCTGTTCTCTCGCTGATACATTCCCGCTTTATAGGCCAGATGCGAGCTCTTTGTGGTATTCTCATCAAGTGCTGGCAAAATTGAGTCGCGTCCATTCGCGGCGCGCTTGCCGTGTTGCGCCCCGTGAGCAATCGGGGAGCTTGCTACGGCTGACAGACACTCACTCTGCCTTCTTCTCTCCTAGACTATCACATGGCGCCAGCCGGGTAGCCATGACAACAACGCGCCTTTCATTGCACGCAGTCGCGGCTCACGATGAGCGGGAATTGGGTGCATAATGGATAGGCGAAGGTGTTGCCTTGGCCATTACTTTCATTGTGGCTTGCCCTTGCCGCTGGTTCCCGACACGCGCCTCTCGGGTGCAAAAGTCACCTCCATTCGCCGAGCTGTTCCTTGATTCCAGAAGCCGCGAATTTGATTGCGGACATGCATGGCAAGCGCATCTGCTGCTGCCTTTTCGACTGCTGCCGAAGACGCAATATTCCAGGGATGAGTCGGTGGTGAGAGGAGGACGCGAAGAGGGACAATGTGAATCAGAATTTGATTACGAAACGCGCTCGCTGCAAAGCGCTCCCGAGGTCTGTGCGTGTGGCTTGCTGCACCCGCACAGACCCTCATCATCAGCCCGCACGGGCGCGACTCATCCATGCAGCAGGCGAGCAGGGACGAAGTTGCGCGGTGTGCTTTGCATGCATCCGCTACGCACAACGCGGGGAGGGAGCTTTCATTCGGCAGAGTTTGAGCTCCGCTTCGTCCTGCCTCCGCGCCCGCTTTGCCGACATTTCTCGGGATCGCATGGGAATGCCAATTGCGCGTCGTCCAACCGTGGATCGTCGTTGGGGATCAACGCTGTCTGCAGTCGGTCAAGTACGAGTGGAAATTGACCCTCACCGTCGGCGTCGGCGTCGGCGTCGTCGGGAGCGATGCTCGAGGCCATGCGGACGAAGATGTAGGAATCTTGTGTCGGCGCATCAGGGGCAAGCGAAGAGACCTTGTTGCTAACGCACGCAGACGCTCAGGTCACGCAAGACCACTCACTGCATTTGCACAGGACTCGACCAGTCACCGTAGTGGGCTCCGAACTCGCTGCTGCTGGGGTCCGACACCACAGTGTCTGAAAGTCGCTCGCAAGCAGCACCTCTCTTCACAGCTTCACTGCTGGACCGTGGCTCGGGAGCTCGCGCCTCAGCTCTGCTGTGACTTCTTCGTCGGAGCTGACTGACCTTGTCCGTCATCACACTGCGGTTGAAGCCGGACGAATTCGCAGAGCGGGGCAAGGCCGTCGACGACGATGCTATTCAAGCGCAAAGAGCAGAAGCCAGAAGAGCGCGCGCTCCCCTGCGAGCTTCGCTCTGCCTCTCTGCCTCTCTCTGACCTTCCAGGAGTCCGGAGGCGCTCGCGATCCGATCGCAGGCTAGCGCACGGTAGCATGCCTATGCGCCCCCCCACGGTCTGCAGTCGTGATGAGGCTTTCATCCACGGCTCAAAGTTGCGTGGAGAGTCGAAAGAAGCGGTCCCCACCATCTTGCGTGTCTGTGCTGCTCACTGCGAGTCAATCTATGGGCTCGGCTCTCTTCCTCAGGAGAATCTAGCTAGCCCTCACCTCCACCTTACCAGTCACGAGTATGCAGCCCTTGAGAGCAGGATTTGCGCGGCTATATATAGTCAAGAGTTCATGGGCCCCTTGCGAGTGGCTAGGCGCGTCCCGGTTCGGCTTCTCTTCTCTTCGGAAAGGGCATGGATAGCAGACAGAAGAGGAGAGCAAGTCTGGAAGCCAGCTAGGGGGTCGACACGCTTGAACCTCAGTCGCGAGTGTGGAACGGCATTCAATCTTGAATATGGAGACCGATGAGACGCGAGAATCACGAATCGAATCACGTGAATGTGAAACGAATCATCAAGCCTGTGCCCGAAACAACAACACGACTCAAGACTCCAACAAGAGGAGGCATCACGTGTTGCGCAAAACATGAAGCATTCGCTAACGCTAGCGTGTGAAGGCGGCCGCCGCCATGCATGCAGTCCGAGGTATATATTAGGGTCTTGCCGAGCTGAGCTTCCGCATCGTCTAGCATCAGCTGCTGCTGGGCCCAGCTTTCAACTCAAAGCATCATCTCAATTCCCGAATCGCAGCATAATGGGCTCAGTTCGAGGGGCACGCCGCTCGGCTGAAAAGCGTAGGTCTGCACAACGCGATCGACGCTACGATGTATAGCGCTGCATACAGTCACGAGTCCATGAGTTGAGTGATTTAGTCGGTCAAGAGTGCAGCCACGCTGCATGCATGCAACTCTTGACTGTCAACAGTTGAGTCAGAGTCACGTACGTCGCGACTCGCGAGTGAGTAGGCAGCAGCGTGAATGCGACGGCGGGTGACCCGGTTGATCGGCTAGCTGATGAAGGCGCATGCGCATTTACCGCTGCAGCGCGCATGTCACCCATGCACCGCTCCTAGCTGGCCTGATCAATCTTCTGAAAGCCAATTCGCGATTCAAGGGCAGGTGCAGGTGCCTCAAAGTCGCGAGTGACAGCAATGACCAGCATGCGGGGTCAGGACTGCACGTTGCTTTGACAAAAGGTAGGCATGCCGCTTCCTCCTCTCTTCATCAACACCACCCTCATCGACTCTTGTCCCAAAACGTGGCAATCCTCGAATCGAATCCTGATCCACCCCACAAGTAAGAGCCACACAGATCCTTTTCCATCATGGCGGACCTCTTTCAACCCGGAGCTACCAACTACAGCCTGCACGCCCTGCCTGCAGCTCTCTTCATCTCGGCGCTGCGTGAGTGGTGTGGTGCTGCAAGGTCATAAGCAATGGCGAGATGCGCAGCGGTTGACAAAAGATCAGATCATCATGACCATCTCCCCCATCCCCCAAATCACAATCTTGAATGCAGCCCACTGGTGGTCCATCTACCAAGTCGAGTCTCGTCGAGGCAAAAAGTCCGCCGACTCTTCCTTTCAAAAGGGTTGGGACAACACCAACCCACGAGCATGGGTCGCGCGTCTGAACGCCCAAGCAGCTTCCGGCAAGCAGCTGACTCCTCTAGAGGGAGCTGTGCTGCGCGCTCAATCTGCTCAGCAAAACGGCTTCGAGTGGTTCGGAGCTTGGGGTCTCGCCATTCTAGCTGGCAATGTCGCCAAGCTGCCAGCTCATGAGCTCAACTCCCTCACCCTCGCTTACCTCGCCCTAAGAGTCATCTACAACTACCTCTACGTCACCACTTCGTCTCGCGGTGGAAGCTTCATCAGGACCGCCGTCTTCCAAGTGAGTTTCCAGAAAAAAAAAAGCAAAGGATCACTCACGTCGATTGGTCCAAGGTCGGATGCTCGCTCGACTGCCCCCACATAGAAGGAGACGCGTTCCTGACAATTTTCCCCCCTCGCCTTTCCTGCTTCAGGGTACCGTGATCATCATGGTGCGCCTCTTCTGGAAGTCTGGACAGGCTCTCAAGTGATGCGGAACATCGTCCTGCACAGACATTCCTCACGCTAGTCAATCACTCGACACTCTTGTCGCATCCATTGCCATCAATTGCTCTTTGAACCTGTATCCTCGTGATTTGAAAGAGCGCACCAGAGCCAGGTCGTTCGTAGCGCCGACAGGAGCCGCAGCTTCACGAACCGTGCCCCGAGAGGTCTGGCACACAGTCAGCGCTCACTGCATTTCATTGGACACCTCAGATCAGTCGGAGGCGCGCACGGGCTCATGAAGACGTCGCATTTCGAGAAAGGAAGGGGGTCATACGACGAGACGGTGTGGGCAGCAGAAGCGAGCGAGATGCTGGCAGGAATACGTGAGATCACATGGAACAGCGCAAAGAAAAGATGTAGGGTGACGACGAGTATAAGGCATTCGATCCGCATCAGCCCACTCGCTTGACCGTTCTTCTTTCGCCACTGCCGGCGATCTTGACGAGGCCCTAGAGATGTGCGCATATGAGAGCAGTGAGGGTTGTCAGCATGAATGCATGCAATTTTTAGCAACGCGCCCCGACTCACCTCGGTCTCGAGAGTCCTCATCAAATCGTACAGCTCGGTGGGGTCGACGGATCCATACGTGCTTTGTTCCGCCAGGGCTTTTGCCAGCTCCGAATACCTGATTGCGCGCGCGGATACGTTTGGGGCGGTCGAGCCATTCGCAGCGTTCGTTCCGCCTCCCATCGAGTCGATGAGGCTAATCACCTCTCGTCTCAGATCGCTTGCGAGCTTTCGGCCTGCAAGACCTCGACCAGTGTTGACGAGGTCCAAGTCGATGAGTCCAGTGGTGGGATCCGTAGCGCTGCTCTTGGTCGCCTCCGCGATCAATCTGGCCGCTTCGTCGACGTCTTGAACCTCCACCGTCTCGCTCCATCGCATGCGCGCATGGGCTTCAGACAATCGGATCATGCTCTCGAGCTGTCTCGTGGTAGCAGTGATGCGCCGCTCTGAGCTTCGCGGATCTTCGCCCGCTTTTCGCAGGGCCACGTAGCGTTCGGCAAGCGCTTCACCAGCTGCTGCCGAGATCACTGGATGAACATTGGCACGCACGTGTCCAATGTACGACGTGAGCGTCTCAATGGGAAGCACGTCAGCTCCGGGGGCGGTGCTAGGTCTATCTTCGAGGTACAATCCCACCAAGTGTCGAGCCAGACGTCGGTCCGACGCTTCATCGACCTTGTCGAGCACGAGGTAGACCAGGTCGAAACGTGAGATCAGCGTTGGTGGAAGGTCGATGTTGCGCGTGATGGGCAATCGGACGTTGTATTTGGAGCCAACGGGGTTGGCGGCGGCCAACACAGATGTCCTGGCATTCAAAGTGGTGATGATGCCCGCCTTTGCGATCGACACCGTTTGTTGTTCCTACGCCACCAGGGAAGCTTTGATTAGTCAAGCGCATCACACTCGAACTCGCGGCAATACTCACCATCACTTCGTGCAAGACGCTGCGAGTTGCGTCGCTCATCTTGTCAAATTCGTCGATGCAGCAGACACCTCCGTCACTGAGCACCAGAGCACCGCTTTCGAGGACCAATTGCTTCGTGTCGGGATCCCTGGTGACGTAGGCCGTGAGACCGACGGCGCTGCTTCCTTTGCCGCTCGCGTACACGCCTCTAGGGGCGATCTTGTGCACGTACATCAGCAGCTGACTTTTACTCGTTCCTGGGTCACCAACCATGAGCACGTTGATGTCGCCTCGATACCTTGGGCCTCCACCCCCGCCGCCGGAAGAGATGGTCTTGTTGGTTCCTCCGAACAGCTGCAGCAGGATGCCCTTTTTGACGTCCTCCATTTCATAGATGCTTGGTGCAAGGCTTCTTGCCAGCAGCTCGTAGCAATCGGGACGGTTCGCAATCGCACGCATCTTTTGCTCAGTCTCGGAGTTGAGGGCTTCAGCGGTGTGCGTTTCACCGTCGTCGTCCGCGTCGTCATCTTCCTCGCCACCAACTCCGAGAGCCTGAGCACGACGGGCGTCACCCTTTTCTGCCACACCGCGGGTGCTGGCGTCCAATCCTAGTCGACGCGTGTCGCCCTGCTTTATGTGAATGACATCCACAAACGTCTTGTACAAGCTCTTTTGGGTGCGCGCACGAGGGTTGACGCGAACCGCCTGACTGCGAAAGATTCCAGTCACCTCGACTCGATCACCTGGCTTCGACACGTCTACCAGCTCATCGTAGGAGCAGAGAGTGACTGTGTGCGGAGTCTGACCATCCGGCACAGCGTCGGGAGTCTCTTGAAGACGAATGACTTGCCTGTCGGCAAACTCGCACCTGTTGTGGATGAGCGAGATGGTGCCCTGCTGGTTGCACATGTCTCGCGGGCAACGGTCTGGCTCGGTGATGCGACCTCGATCGAGCTCGACGGGGATGGTGTGGTTGCAGGCCATGCACCTGAAGAAGGCCTGCTTCATGTCGGGGATGATGGGCGTGCAACGAATGACGAGACCTCGAATGGTGATGAGTTTGTCGATGTCGCTGGGGTTGAGCTGCCTCATGTTGATGGCGTCCAGGCCGAAGGCTCTGACTTTGAAGAGCGACGACTCCAGCCGCTCCATGTCGGCCGATATTTGTTGTTGGCGTTCTGCCTCTTCGACGGCGCCGCCTCCATACCGAGGGGCGTTGGCAGCGTCCCTCTCTGCCAAGTCGATCATCTCATCCTTGAGCACTTGGTCCATGATGGGAACGACTTCATTCGGGTACTTGATGAGGTGATGAGCCAGCTGCTTCGATGGCCCAAAGGCAGCCAGATCCGTTACGCGCAGGTTGAGGTTGGTCTGATCGGTGATGCGCATACGTCGAAGGTAATTCTCGTACACCAACGTCTCTCCCTCGGACACTTTGCGACCTGGCGGGACACGAGCATGACTGTTTGCGCGCCCCTCGCCTTGCTCCTTGGCTTCAGCAGCCCATCTGTATTTGAGCTTGAATGCGCGCAGGAATTCTCTGAACATGGTCATCGTCGAGCCAATGCTGACAGTGGTGCCCCAAATGACCTTTTGGTCTGGGGCGGGCGCACCTGCGTTTGCGAGGCCGTTGCCGTCGGAGGGTACTGCTTGAGACAGACTAAAGTCGGAAAAGGACGAGGCAGCGCCATCCTCGGTGCCTACAGGGGTCTGGTGACGAGCAGCGTAGTTTCTCGCTTGGCGCATTGCAGCAGGCGATACTTGCAATGCACTCGAATGAATCTCACCGCGGCGGGGACGGGGTGTAGAGAGGCTGCTTCGTGGAGAGCTGCCGAACCCCCCCGGGCAATGTGGGTGAGCTATACTGCCGCTGAGAACGAGAGGTGCTCACAACTCACTCGTCGAAGAAGAGTCCACTTCGCTGGTGCGACTGTCGAGCAGTGCTGCCGGGGGTAGCGTTGCGATTCCCATCGTCATGGTTGCTCGTGTGGCCCGCAGCAGCTCGAGGTGTGCCAGCTATGGAGCTCGATGGGAAGCGCAGTGGAGAGGATTCGCCATAGCCGCCTGCGTCCAAGTACAATGAGAGGTTGAGCACGAGTCAGTGATGGCGGGGAGGACAGAAGAACATGCAGCGACTACTCACGAGCAGAGGAAGGGGCGACGCTGGAAGCACCGCGACCATTGCGCATGCTCTTTGGAGTGGCGCCCAGTCCGGGCGCAGGACTGGATGAAGGGAACTGGAGAGGGCTAGAGATGGCGCCTGCTCGACTACCAGGGGTGCGATGAGGCGTGCTGGTGCCGTCGGCCATCTCTGCGTCCGATGGATTGGCGCCGGGCGTAGACATCCTCGCTCACTTCTTGGAGATGGCAGGCGTGCTAATGACAGGTGACAGAGGGTGGGACGCCAAAATAATCTCAGCAGCTGAGCGTGCGGTTGCTGCGGAATGTGGTTGCCTGGAATGAAGATCAGGAGTCAAGGTGGGGGAACGTGTTGGTGCGAACACGGCTACCTGCCTGCTCAATGGCCACATTCGTGTTTCGTGATGCGCATTGCCCAACAGGCGCAACCTACACAGATAACATCGCGCGTACTTCTCGACTCGTCTGTGCGGCAGCCACATCGCGAGCGCCGTACAAAGAGACACGCGCGTCTTCTGCCCCCTCGACGCGTCTCTAGACGCGTTCGCGTAAATTGATGCATGTCGCGTCAAGCAGGTTGCTCTCGCACGAGAGTCATTGGTCAGCCACGTGGCTTGTCGAAGATCTCATCCCAAAAAAGTCGCGCGTCCGAGGAAAGGAAAGGTTTACGCGAGGTATGGATGTGTAGATGGGATTCGAGATGATGCAGGCATCGCATCGCAGCCTCCTGTGCTCGACGTTTTCTTGATCCACCCTTGCAATTCTGAGTTGATCGCTCATTTCAGATGTACAAGTCGTAATCATCCAAACATCTCATCCAAGCCGCAAGTAGCACTTCAAGTCGCTACCTGCCGCGCGCGTCCCTTCATGCTGTTGCAGCATCCGGCTGACCCCCACCACGACTACCGCCGACTGCTTTGAACCGCATCTAGGCAGGAACAGCTCGCTTTTTGTGAACTTCCGGACGAGCACAATCGCCTCTCCCAACTTGCGCCTCCTGAACTATACACACGATGAGCAGTGGCGTCGCAGCGGCTCAGCAGGCCGGCGACTTCGTCATCGCACCCGAGAGCACAGGCTCCAAACTGAGCACTGCAGACTGGCCCTTGCTACTCAAGAATTATGTGAGTCATGGCGCCCGTGCCCGCGCATGCGCGGAGCTGCGCTTCTCACTGACGCTCTCGTCCGTGTGCCTCCTCTCCTTGAACACGCTCGCAGGACAAGTTGCTCGTCAGATCATCCCACTTCACCCCCATTCCCCACGGATGCTCGCCATTGAAGCGCGATCTGAGCAGCTACATCAAATCAGGCGTCATCAACCTCGACAAGCCTTCCAATCCATCATCCCACGAAGTCGTAGCATGGATCCGTCGCATGCTCAGGGTGGAAAAGACGGGTCACAGCGGTACACTGGATCCAAAAGTTACGGGCTGTCTGATCGTGTGCATAGATCGAGCTACCAGGCTGGTCAAGTCGCAACAATCCGCAGGTAAAGAGTATGTCGCTGTGCTCAGGCTGCACGACAAGCTGCAAGACGTCAAGAAGCTGCCCAGAGCCCTCGACACTCTTACCGGCGCCCTCTTTCAACGTCCGCCTCTCATCAGCGCTGTCAAGCGCCAGCTGCGTATCAGAACCATCTACGAGACGAAGCTGCTGGAATTCGATAATGACAGGCATCTCGCAGTCTTCTGGGTCTCTTGCGAAGCGGGAACTTACATCAGAACGCTCTGCGTACATCTTGGCTTGCTTCTTGGTGTCGGCGGTCACATGCAGGAATTGCGGCGTGTGAGGAGCGGTGCGCTGAGCGAAAACGACAACATTGTCACCATGCACGACTTGTTGGATGCTCAGTGGCTGTACGACAATCAGCGCGATGGTGAGTGGTGCGCGTGCATCAGAAGCTGGATCGCGTATTCACTATCCTAGTCTTTTGTCATTCGTCTTCACGCAGAGTCGTATTTGAGAAGAGTGATTCGGCCGTTGGAATCATTGTTGGTAGGATACAAGCGCATCGTGGTGAAAGACAGCGCAGTCAACGCAGTATGCTACGGTGCCAAGCTGATGATTCCCGGTTTGTTGCGGTACGAGTCGGCGATCGAAGTGGCGGAAGAGGTTGTGCTCATGACCACAAAAGGAGAAGCTATTGCCATTGCTATCGCTCAAATGTCCACAGCGGATCTCGCAACGGTGGATCACGGAATCGTAGCCAAAGTCAAGAGGTGCATCATGGAGCGCGACACATATCCGAGGAGATGGGGATTGGGTCCTAAGGCGCAGGAAAAGAAAAAGATGATCAAAGGGGGTCAATTGGACAAGTACGGAAAGGAAAATGAAAAGACTCCCGCGACGTGGAAGGCGGCATACGTGGACTACGCTGCCAATGGTGGAGAGAATGTCGCGAACCCTGCTGCGTCTGGTGCGGCCGCTGCTGCTGCTGGGGCAGCTGCAGGTGCTGTCAGTGCTGCTGAGACACAACCAACGAACATGTCCTCAACTGCTGGCAGCAAGCGCAAGAAGCAGGATGACGAGGCCGTTGGTGATGTGACGATGGAGAGCAGTGCAGGAGCGGATGCTGGAGAGACGGAGGAGGAGCGCAAAAGGAGGAAGAAGGAAAAGAAGGAGAGGAAAGCGGCTGAGGCTGCTGCTGCTGCAGCCGCAGGTGGAGCAGAGGTGAGTATCGACTAAGGGACCTTGACTTGGCGCAACATGCTGGCTCTAGCAGCAGAAAGACACTCGACCTTATACGTGCCCTCTTCGCCGCAGACTTCTAAATCGGAAAAGAAGAAGAGGAAGAAGGACAAGGATAACGAGTAGTTGTGTTTCACGCTGTCCCTCCGGTCGTGTACTGGTAATCATCTCATTTCAGTAGCCCTCCGTCATCTCTCTTTTGGCTCCTCATCTCATCGCGATGCGTCTTTGAAAAGCGCGTGAAAGCATCGCACTGGAAGCACAGTGCAGACTCAGGCGGCGATGCGCGCTGCTGATGGAAAGTTACAGGCCAAAGAAGTGGTCCGGCTGCCACACATGTCACCCAGGGTCTGTGCGCAGGAGCGCCTCACTCGACGTCATGGTCCTCGCCGTGGAAGAATCGCAGAATCGCAGCAGCAACGACGACGCCATCGTGTTCCAGATGAGCCTTTTCCCTAGCTTGTGCAACTTCCATCTTGTCCGACTCGTCGATGCTGCCGGCTTCCTTGCGAAGCTGGATTTGCCGGTGCACCATGGTATCGTCGAATCCAAGATGGCCTTGAGATGTGAAGAGCCTGTCTCTGATATAGACTCCTTGCACTTTGGTGTGTTGGGAAGAAGCCCAAATATGCACCCTCGTGCCGGGCTCTAGCAGCCCATTGGAAGTTTCGGGTGTAGGAGCATCGACGACTTGATCCTGATGCATCTGATGCAGTGCCAGTGTATCTTCATCCGTCCTAAAGAGCTTCTTGCCGATGGGCGTCAGGTTCATCTCCGTATGGCTCAGCTCCCACTTTTGACCCGCATGTTGTCGCACTTGGCATCCCAACATGCGATTGAGCAATTGATGACCAAAGCATACGCCCGAGAATTTGAGCAAAGGTCGACGAGACCAGAGATGTTGGAGGAGCTGCAAGAGCTGCAAGATCCACTCGTCGTCGCCGTGCGCATCGTACATGCTTCCACTGATCAAGATTGCCCCCACATCCTCCCCTATCTCTTCGTACCTCGGCACACGTCCAAATTTGCCCTCACCCGCATCGTCCACCACAAAGTGCATGCTCGTCTCGATCTTGAGCGGATGGGGGGAATGCGAAGATCCGGCGGATTCGAATAGGTCGTGGAAAATTTGACCGAAGGAGCCTCGCTCGGACAAGGTTTTGGGATGCGGATCATCCGTCTCCAAGACGAGCATGCGGAGCGTATCAGAGGATGTTGCAGAGCTGGTCATGATGAAGAATTGGGAAGGGGGGTAAGTGGTGCTATACTTTTGTGAGGTATACGAGCAAGATGAGATGGTATTGGGCGAGGAGACCTGGAGCGGAACAATCAAGAAGTGCTAATTGGCATCAATCGCGGATCTCTTCATATAAGGATCACACGACTGGCCTTTGCTGCCCGGCAGCATCCCCCAAAAGAAACTGGACGGAACAAAGTGTCCTTCCTCACCTTCATCGTGCGCGCCGCTTTGCGACATACCAATCGTGAATTGTCCTCTAGCTTCGCCGCATCGCGCCCTCTTCCAAGACATGCCAAGACCCTTACCAAATCAAACGCGTTCGCGCATACATTCGTGACCGAGACTCACGACTTTGGCATTCAAATTGTCACAAATCCGCGTAGCGTGTGCATGGCTCGCTTGACCACTGCTGACGTCGATCATGCAAGCCTGTCCACACCTCACCACCATAGCCCCGTGCTCAAGCGGGGGGTACACGTGCCCAGTGAATGCGCGAGTACTCTGCGAGTAAGACCACGACGGCGAATTGTTTGCTGTGTGGCAGCAGTCGTGTGTCTCTTCTTGCTGACTTCTGACTTGAACACACGCAAGCCATGCACGTCACTCACGGTTAATTCCGTTTAGAGCCTTGCTGGGCGCGCCGATCGCAGACCACGCATGCATGCATGCGCGCGTTCTTCAGCCAAGCTAGCCTCTTGCGAGCGGTTTCTCCGCGTCGCGGCCGTGTCCGGCCGGGAGATGCATGCCATGAATCAGCACCATGCAATTGCAAGTCTTGAGTCGCAAGTTGTGGTTTCGAAAGTGTCATTTGCGCCTTCTGACGTGAAACGAGCAGGGTCTACAATCACGCTTGCGTAGCGGTGATTGACGCAGTGTCAACAGATAGCTGCTAGGTGGACTGCGGACTGCGCCATATTAAGCGTGGTGCAAGCCGAGTGGGATCACGAAGCGGCTTAATCAAAAGCTAGGCAAACGCGGGGGTATATTCTGATTGACTATCGGGAAGAGGGGGGTGTAGTAGCAGGCTATAGTCCCTGTTGGATTCATGTGGGTTGGCAAGAGCCCAGTGCTTCAAGTTCCTCCAATGGCTTGCCAAATTGCGATCGAATGACCACACGACAGGATTGGACTGCAGGATAGGGCTAGGTCTGAGCATGAAGCCTCGTAGGCAGAGCGATGGCCTTCGAGCGCATGAAAGGACAGCAAGGTGAGATTGAGCCATGCTTCTGCCTCTGTGCTTCTGCCGCTTGCTTTATGTTGTTTGACGGAGATCTGATCACCGAATGATTCCATGGCCGAGCAGATTCGACAGATGGAGATGTGCTCAGCGCGGTGTGAAGTGCCTCATGAGAGGACACAGGCGTGCCAACTCCTCGCCAGCAGGCGTTGAATATGATCAAATGCCTCAGGCTGAGTCGCGGAGAGCGTCTTTGAGAGCATCGCCGGTCTGTGCATCCAGCACCTCATCTTTGCTGGCACTGCTGAGTTCCCGTTCCGTGCTCGTGTTCATCCTATCCACCTCGTCGTTCATCCTATCCAACCACCTCTGCAACAAGTTCGCATTGTCCCTCTTCAGATCCTCGTTTCTAATCTCGATCTGGTTCAATTCCAACGTCAATCCCGTCAACTCGTCTTGAAGCATTTCTACCAATTTGCTCTTTTCCACCATGGCATCTTGAAGATCTTTTTCGCTTCGACGCGATCGATCCAACTCCCTGTTGAGCTGCTCCACCGCCAATGTGGACTCGCCGTAAGAGGCTTCCTTGCTGCTCAGAAGATCTGTGAGGGTCAAGAGGCGCTGAGCGTTGGCGGATTGCGTCTTGTACATCTCTGTTAGCTCTGTGCGCGCTTGTTGCAACTGCTGCGAGAGCCTGAGAGGTAGCGTAGTGCAGCCGCGTCATCTGGCGTCAGCCCCTGGCCAAGGCGGTCCTCACATCCATCCGCTCGCCTTTCGACTCACTCTTCGGCGGAGCCGCGAGCAGCTTCTGCTGCGAAAGGGGATTTGAGAGCGCTGGTGATGGGCGGCTGAGATACTGGCGGCGGGGTAGGGGCAGCGGCCACGGCGATCCCGCTTGTGCCACTCCTTGAAGCTTTGGCTCTGAGACTGGCAGCATAGCGCGACAGCTGTTGAACTGCAACAAAGATTGGATGAGAGGATGAACACGCTGAATGGAAGGCGAGCTGTGTAGAGGAGCAGGACGAGCCTCTATCTCCGCTCGACTCACAATCGGCTACTACACCATCCAGCGCTGATTCTCTGGCATCCCTTTCTTGAAGACGTAGGCCTATCAGCTGACTCCAGGACATGCTGCCGTGCTTGCTCGCCCCAAGCGAGGTTGCTCCTGCTGTAGGTGAGAGAAGGTGAGTAGACATGCGCTCTCGCTGGCTGTGCAGCGCGAGTCTGAAAGGGAGAGGGTGGACGTGAGATCGACAAATGATGGGTGATTAGATGCTTGTATGCGATGGAATATCCGCCGACAGTGATGAGTTGCGAGTAAACGGGCCTTGGTGTCCCAGCGAGTCAAGTGGGCAAAGGTCAGGGGAGGTGAGGAGAGAATGAAAGAGCGAGTGCAGATCTGATCTGGACTCGGCAAGCACAATTGATCAAGAGGTCTGATGAGTCGAGAGTCACGAGTCACGCGTAAGATTAGCACGCGCACCCACAGCAACCACGGCACCTGCAGACTCACGTGATTAAGATCGGGGGCGGGGGGGAGATTCGCGATTCCCACGCACGCGCCTCACATGCATGCGCATCATGGCGTTCGAACCGAGAATAAGCACACCGATACACAACAGACCTTTTCCCCCGGTGCCCATGGGAGGGGCTCGAGGGCAAGTTTCGAACTTTTGAAAGCGCTGCCCTGTCGGTCACGAGTCAAGATCGAGGTCGAGTCGTGAGTCTCATCAGTCGACGTGTGCCGGCACCGCGCGTGCAGACTTGGCTTGCCTCCTCGCTTGCCTAATTGTAACAACGGCGGGCGCGAGCTGAGACATTCTTCAAGATGTGCTCATGGACCTGTCTTGTGAAAGCACAAGCACGCATTCAGCGCGTCGAGAGCGGTGCACAGCAGCCTGCTCGCTCGTCCGCGCCGAGTCCGACCGGCCTCGCCTCGCCTCACCTGTGGCTCTAAATATAAATGAGTCACAAAGATCTTCAAATTCATGTGAATCACAGTAACAAGTCTTGAACATCAACAATCACCAATCTTGAATCGAAAGCTTGAAATGTGGCCCCGCGCTGCATGACCGAGCGCGCACACATGCATCCGCGCACCATCTGCTGCACGCCTTCGAGCTTTCCAACCATCATCAACTTGATCATCAGCTATGCGTCTCTACCTCGATGGGTAAACAAACGCCCACTCCAATACTCACCACGCCTCTCGCGCTCACCCTCACTCTCTCTACACCAGCGAGTAGGCTGCCACGCCGCCCCGCCGCAGTCGATCTTCGAACCCCCGATTTTGTCACCGCTGAAGCCCAATCCGCGTGTGGCGCTTTCAATACGCGCTGTCCAAGCGGCGAGTGCACATTCTTGATTGCACACTCGGCTTAGCTGACAGGGTGCAGCATCTTGAGCAGGCAATTTGACATGCGCAAGGTGACACCTTGAACAGCACACACGATGTCGGGCAACGCAGCGGCACCACCAGAGAGAGGTCGACCTCGCAGTCGAGTCAGCTTCTCTTCCCCGCCACAGCCACAGACGCAGCTCGCTGCTGCATCGCCAGATGCTGAAGGCACCCATGCAGCCTCTGCGCCACCTTCTCCAGCTTCGAGCGTGAGCAGCAGCACCACAATTACACTGGGTAAACCTTTACCGTTTGTGGAGGAGAGAGGGCAGACAGATTCTACTGGGGCGTTGCAAGCGACTGCAGGACATGGTTCAGATCAAGTAGGATCTTCAACATCTTCGTCTACAACTCCATCCACGTCATCCACGCTCACCAGTCGATCGCTAGCGGCCCTGAGTGGCGCCATGTCTCTCGGCCTCGGAAGCTCGGTCTCTAGCACTGCGGGCAAAGGTCACAAAGAAGCAGACCTGACGGGAAGCGACCAGTCGCTGGCAGCCTCGCAAAAGGGCAAGGCACCAGAGGGGCGCCCAAACAACCCTCGGCAAAGATCCAAAGGGCAGATGGAGAGGAGACGGGTTGCTGTTGGAGTCAGCGGCTCGTCGAACCCGATCGCTACGACACTCCAAGCTTCTCCTGCGATCGGCTCAGCTTTTGCTGCGCCCCCACTGCAAAGCGTTGGGTCCAGACACCGTGCACCTGCAACGAGCCATGGCCAAACGCCAGCTGGACCCTCTCGCACAGCTCAAAGGCTAGGACTGGAGAGCGGACAACGCGGCCCGAGGTTGTCCGTGAGATTACCCACGTCCGCAAGCCCTTCTGTACCTCCAACATCATCTTCAAGCTCGACGCGCGACACGCCGAGAAGGAGCGCAGAGGACGAGGAGCTGAAGCGACAGATCCGACTTGTTTTGAGTTCTGCAGGTAATGACGTGCCCAGCCTTGGTGCAGATTCTCGTAGCGCGTGGTCTTCCAGCACGAATCAAGACTCGACAACAAGCGCCAGCGCCCTGACAGCTTCTAGCCCTCCCACCTTCATCGGTGGTCTCTACTTCACAGACTGCATCTTCATCGCTCTAGTGTATGGACTCAACCTGCTCAGAACTTGTTCCATTGCCGAGCTCGGAGACGTTGTCTGCCTCGGCATCGTATATCTTTGTGAGTGTCTTGAGCCAGAAATTTCAGCTGAGGACCCACGCTCAACAGCCTCGCATGCCCCTTGTCTAGTCTTTAAGCTGCCACGAAACTTGGCGCGCAGGCGGACTTTGAATCCCGACGCTGGCGATGCGATACGTCCCGGTGACCGCCCAGCGAAGTTGTCGGCTTTTCACCATACCATGCTGCTGCTTGTCCGATTCATGTGCGGCTGCTTCCCTCACCTCTTTCCTAGGATCTTGTTTGCCGAGCAGACTATCGGACCTTTCGTATACTGGAGGACCGGAGGAGGCAGCGCGGATCTGGTCAGAGCGTTCGATGCTGGGCTGCAATCGTCACCAAGCAAGGCGTCGAGGAATGGGAAAGAGAAGGCGCAGCGAGAGGGAGAAAGTTTCAGCAGTCATAGCCGGAGAAGGCTGGCAGCACCTGGATTCAAAGCTTTTGAATTCTCCACACGACCTCAAGCGAGCAGTCCACAAAAGTTGAACGCGGGCGCATCGCCAACCACACTTTTCTATCTCCACGGCGGCGGCTTCTCCCTAGGCAGCGTGGCATTTTATGCAGAGGCGCTGATACGTCTCAGAAACAAGCTTTCCGCGTTGGAGACAGCTAATTCGACGAGCGATCATGAAGCGAGGGTTGTTGCTGTGGAGTACTCGCTGTCTCCCACGTCGCTCTTTCCCGTTCAACTCCTTCAATGCCTCAGGTGTTACGCTCACCTCATCGAAAAGGAGGGTCAGGACGCGAGCCGGATTTGCATCGCTGGAGATTCTGCGGGAGGCAATTTGGCCATGAGTCTGTTGCTCGTCTTGAGCGGAGCAGTCAAAGAAGAGAGGCTGAATGAGAGAGACTGGACGCAGCTACCTCTGCCCGGCAAGGCGCTGTTGATCAGCCCGTGGACCGACCTTCGTCCCCACTCAAGTCTAGCGCTCTCCGCTGACGTCCAACGTCGACGCCAAGTGAAGGGCTTCCACTGGGACTACGTTACTTCGCACGCCCTGCAACACTTTGCCCAAGTATACACAGGCGCGCTGGACAGACCCAGGAGGGTCGCTGGTCCACTTGGCTACGTTGCGCGACTGTCCACTTTCGGTCAGCGGATTGGACAGCCGACATCTGCACGGCGAACTTCTAGTTCTGGCAGCTCGCCCGACTCCAAGCGAGGCAACGGCGGGGGACATTCAAGAAGGAAAATGCCCAAAAATGGTCCAGCTGCCCAGCACAGCCTCGTCAGCACACTTGCAACGCCCATCGTCGCACTCTCACGCTTGTTGCACACGATGCTGAGTGAGCCTTTGTTCGTGTTGATAGGCGCAGCGAACGGACAGGCACCTCATTCTACCGAGCCGACCATTGGCATCCATGACGATCCAGAGGGCAGCGGACTTGACCCTCTCTTTCCAGCGGATGAGAGGTCTTGCGACATTGTCACGAGTTCGCAGGACCTTTCGCGACGTATGGACGACCCCAAGAGCGCCTTCATACATCCAGAAGCGCGCGATCTCCTCGAAAATAATCCGCTCATCTCTCCTGCCAAGGCCGACTGGACGCTCGTACCGCCTCTGGAGGGAGGCATGTACGTCACGTGGGGCAAACACGAGACGCTGGCTTATGATATCCAGGAGTGGGTATCGAGGGTCCGGGATGGGTATGCGAGCAGTCATGCGGATCAAGCTAGCGTTGTTCCGCAGGCGCCTGACCAGGACAAAGACGAGCTGAGCCCAGTCTTCAAGCAGACTGGACTAGCAGACACTGCGGATTTGGCGCCCGGAAGCGCGATGGACATTGCTCGATTGCAAGCTGAGCGCGCAGTGCAAAGCCACATTGAGCGCGGAGCGGGCGGTGTGCATGCCTGGCCGTTTGTAAACATGTGAGTAGCTTGGCTCTGAACGAGGCCCCTGTGGGACCCGATTGTCTGCGGACCGACGCTGTTCGAAGGACACTCATCCTCATGTCCTCGTCCTTCTGCATAGGTACCTTGCTTCATCTCATGCAGAACGCGAGCGAGGACTCGACCTGCTTGCGCAGTTCATAGCAAACCCGTCGCCAAAGACGCCAGTGGCTCCCGAAGGACAAGGTCTGGCTTTGCACCTAGGAAGTCCAGCATCCAGTCATGAATCAGTGCGGCTAGCTTCATCAGAGAAGCCCAGCTTGGCCCAATCTCTTGCGTCGATGAGTGTGCCAGCTAATACTGATGCTGACGTGGATCTGCAAGCTGCGACGGATGTCGACCCCGTCACTGGCATTCCGTTGTACTCGCCTGGCTCAATGCCCAGCGACACGGGCGAGGGTTTGTTGTACTCTTCGGAGGACAACTCCAACTCCCAGTCGGACGGAGGTCTAGACGAAGACTCAATGGAAGGCGACGACGGGAATGGACACGGAGAGTCTCGCGAGGATGAGGAAGAGGAAGGATCTGACCTTTCTTCCGGGTTGCAGACTGGACCTGGAAGATCTCGCGACGCGGCGCAAGGTGGCTCCGGAGACGTCTATCTCATGCCTGTCCACTTGTCTCGTCCTTCCGACAGCGGCTTAAGGAGCAGTGTAGTGGCCTCTGCTGCTCCTGTCAATGCTTGGATGGCGAGCTCCAGCTCAACAGGCGCCGCTGCCCTCCCCGAAGACCTGAATCCGAGCTACTTTGGTCTGTCCCACTACTCCCAACCGAGAATGCATTCGACCACCTTGGGCCTGCACGATCCCAATAGAGACCCGAGAATGGCGCGCATCACACACCATCCGGTGGAGCCGGAAGGTCTGTCAGACATCGCTGAGGAGGATTCGGTACTGTCGGGAAGCGTGATGAGCGATGGGTTTCAAGGTGGGCCTCCGGCGTCGAGTGCGCAACACTCTCTCTATGCCCCTGCATCGGGCACCACCAATCCTGCTGCGCGTCAAGATCTCAGACTGAATACGCGCGCTGCTACACATGGCAGGACACAGTCCCCGCCCTCGGAAGGAGAGCAAAGCGGAATGGAGGTCGACTCGGCAGAGGAGGTCTTCTCCCCGATCGATAGTCCGGCCGGAGCTTTTAGCGATGAGGAGAGCGAAACGGTTGGACATGCTCGCGGGCCCAGCTCTTCCGCTTCGACGTCGGCATGGAAGAGCAGCGCGGACCTTGCCCAGCCATCGCTTTTGTCCGAGCAGCAAGAGAATGCGCGGTCAGAGGATGCGGTGGAGTTGCAGGGTGAACTTGATGCTTCTACAATTCGCTCTACGCCAAAAAAGAAATCGAAGGCGGATGTTTGGTGGTAAGGGTCTGTGGCTTCCCTTAGCTTTCTCGCTGTAGATCGCAATGTCAACCTTCCCTGCAAAGCAGAAACGCTGCTATTGCTTCTCTTCTGCGCCCATTCTCACGACTCTTTACGTACAGACCCGGACTAGACTCACCTGAACACTGTGCAAGACATTTCCTCTGTTGTTCTTTCTACTACTGCAATTGGTTTCACGATTTGTGTGCAATTCGATATATCGAAAGACTCTTGAATGCCCTTGTCAAGAGAGTCACGAATCTTGTATGTGTGCCAATGACACTCGAATCACGTGATTTGCTTCTGACTCCAGACTGCGCTGCAGGAAAAAGAAACACTCCGACCGACGCCAGGCGGGTGTGGCGCCAAAAGTTGCGCGCGTGCGTGCGCTTGCGTGATCAGCGCGTCTGGACCGCACGATGGCTGTACGGTGTGGATGGCGTGGAGCGCGAGGCTGTGGAAAGAAAGCGCGGTCAGGCCCGGCGCGCGAAAAGGCGCCGAGAGCGCAAGTAGACCTGCTCAAGCTCACGACTCACGACTCTACTTGCACAGTCTTGAGTACCACGCGTGCGTCTCGTCTGGCGCATCCCTTACGTCTCGACTCGCTTCGACATACGCACCGCTTCTACGAAGGGGATCTGCAGCATAGCGCTTGTGCTCGACGTCCGGACGAGATCGCAGGGTGCGAATCGAGGCACTGCTCGCGATTTGGGTTGCTCTTTCTCGCGAGGAGTCAAAGCCGAGTCAAGGGGTGGCTCGATTGTGCCCGTCGGAGGGACATCGCCCGCAGAGCCCCTCTCCACCTTCTTCGTTTCGACCTTCTAGTCGGTCTGCAGCCTTCGTACGCATCGCCCCTTACTTTTGGAGATGTTCCTCATCAACTCGATCCCACATGCGTGCTTGCGGTGCATCAAGGGACACAGGACAAAGACGTGTCAACATACGACGTCGAACGAATTGAGGCAGTTGAAGCCTCGAGGTAGACCTCGTAGTCAGTGCGAGATTTGCAGGCGGAGGAGATTGGAAGGTGGAAGGCATCAGAAATGCGGATGCGTGGAAAGGGGAGGGGCGAAGGAGGAATCAGAAGGAGCGGGGGTGTCACACGTTGCGGAAAGTGTGGGTGAGGGAGCGGCAAGTGGCAAGAAGAGAAGGAAGAGAGGCAGGGCAGAGGAGGAGGCGAGCTTCAGTGAGCGACCTGGCAGCACATCAAAGCAAGTGCAGGCGTCTTGCTGCTCCGCGTCAACCTCCACCGCCGGTCAAGCATCGGCATCGCGCACAGCCACTCTTCCAGTCTCCGCGCCAGCAGCGCCACGCACCATCGCCTCGCTGCTCAACCCTTGCGCCTGTCTTACCGGTGGCATCTGCAAATGCTGCGCTCGATCCAGAGGAACTACAACGACGAGTGCGGACTCTCGATGTAGTCCACGGCAACCGGAGCGGACATCCTTCTCGGCCACATTTGGCAACGTCGATGCGCCGACCGCATCCTGCTGTGCCTCGAAGAGCGACAAGAGGCCCGTGTCGAACGAAGAAGTGGCTGATGGTGACTGCGACGGCAATTGCGCTTGTCTCACTAGTGGATGTGGGCAGCATGGACTCGCAAATACGCAGAAGGAAGATCTCGCCACGCAATGGTCGCCAGCGAGCGAAGGGAACACCCAAAAAACCACACCTTCACCGTCAGTCGAACACCAACCTCACCAACACCAGTTTGGTCGAGCGCGATCCTATGACGCAAAGGGCGAGGTAGCACCTTCCTTTGCGCCTGGAGAGAACGCTGCTACGAGCTATCGGACTGCATCACCAGCTGAGCCAGCAATGTCCACGTGGTCAGCAGTGGCAGCACCAGGAGCAGAAGATCATTGTCTGGCTGCGGGAGGGCTGACCGCTTGTTCGTGCGGACCGCGATGTCAGTGCGTGGGATGCTTGAAATCTCACACAGAATCTGCCAAGGCGTCTCGTTCCGAAGCTCGGCCCGAAGGCTCGAGTGTCCATACGCACTCGCATTTCTCCTCGCTCTCGCCGGACTCTAACACATCAACATCCAGCTCTAGCAAGTCTGTGCGCACACCGACCGAGCGCTCGTCCGATGCCGCTCTCGGCGGTGCGCCTTCTTCCAGCGCCGCTCAGCAGGACGACGCGAAAGCAGCGCAAAAGCAAGAAGATTGCAAGAGGTGCGAAACGTGTCATGGATGCATACATGGACTTTTGGCACCTAGAACAGGAATAGAGGTCGTCGATCTCTGGATGAGCGCTGCTTCTGCAAGCAAACGAGGCTTGGCTGGATGACCCTCATCGCACGTGTCCTTTTCTCGTCTGGCTCTCCAAACGATCTCAAGCAGCATGTACTCCTACTCTACCCGGGCTGTGGCCTGATCTCGTCGATCGTTCGGGATCGGTAGCACTCATCGCTTGTTGTCAATTCTATTCACGCTCGCAATCCAAGTCGATGCAATCCATCGAACACCCATCACTCGTGTCGCACAGCCCACAGCGAAGGCTCTGCTCGCGCATGGAGGACGTCCTTGCGTCTTTGAGGCTGCAAAGCGAAGAAGTAGGGACCAGCCTTTTAGTCGTGTCGCGATGGAATGTCTTGGAGCAGTGCATGGCTATCCGATCATTGTGTGGTGAAGCTACCAAAGGGTGTAGATACAAAAAGGCGGACGCACATGGAGAAGCGGAAAGCAAGCGGGCGGGACGGCCCGATGTACAAGGGAAAAAGTGAGGCACCAAAGCGCGCGGGTCGGCCGTGCGACTAGGCATGAACGAGTGCTATGCTCTGCAAAGGACGATTTGCTGACCTTTGTGTTGTCGCGGCTCACAGCATAGCTGTCCACAAAGGGGAAGAACAAGAGGGAGCCAGCTCGCGAGACCGCGTCTTGCTGGCACGAGAAATCATGTTTGCTAGCTGGTCGCGAGGTGATATATTGGCGACACGGCAGCCAGCAGCTGTAGTTCACGTTGTGCAAGAAGATGGAAAATTGCTGCGCGGAGCGATGAGGCATAGACGTGAGGTCTCATAATCAAGCAGCGCATGCCTAACAATCCTTGGCCTCGTTCCTCATCTGAGCGTGCCGCTTCTTCAAGGGCCAGCCGAGCCGTGCAGGTCAGCCACTGTGTTTGCAAGTGTCTTGATCCAAGCCTCGCGAGAGCTTTTGCTTTGGGTTGTGAAAGCCTTGACCGCTTCAAGGCGCACCCATACTGGACACACAGAAGCACACTGGCCTGGTGCATCGCGACGTCCTCTCCAAGCAGCACTCATTGACTTGCCCTACGTCGAAGAAGAAGCTCAGCAAGCTCATCGAATCGATTTGGTCCTTGGCACACCTCACAGCAGAGACAAGCTCGCTTCTTCAAAAAAGAACGAAAAGGAACGATGTTGCATTGACTCTGAGCACAGCGCTGCGAGCTCAAGGTCTAACATTCTCCGACCCGCGCGCCCTGGGCAGGCCAGCCTGGCCAAGGCCCAACCCAAGACCCATCTTCATATCCTCTGTCTTCTCTGCAGCTTGCCCAACAACGACGGGCGCAGCCTGAGCAGCAAGACTGTTCCAGCTCCTGCTAGCTTTCAACCTCCTCAAGTTGCCGCTCGAAGATCGTGGACTGAGCAGACCTCCAGTGTCCACCTCGCTGGGCAATCGGATGGAAAACGTATCTCCTCCTCGATCCTCTTCTTCGTGCGCGTATGCCGAGTCGACGTCGATGGCGCCCATTCCGCGCAAAGAGGGGGAAGAGGGTAATAGGTACTCCATCTGTTCACCTTCATTGTACCCTGCCGCGTTCGCACCGCCCGCACTCGACGACCAAGCCGGACGCGAACCATCCATAGAGACTCTTCCGCGTTCCGTCGAAGCGCTGCGCGAGCCAGAATGCGGCAAAGATCGAAAGGACGCGAGTGCAGGACTGGTTGGAACTCTTCCAAAGTTGCCCGGATTGGCGTGCGCATTGGTAGGTGTGGAAGGTCTCGATCTGCTCCTTCCCCCTCCAGGTCCTGGTGAAGCTCTCAGATCATTGGAGACCGTGCGGTGTCGCTGCCACTCATCGTTGGACGTCGGGTCGTAGGTCGAGGTGGCGTTGGATGCGCCTACTGCATAGCCTTGAGACTGCGACTGCGACTGCGACTGGGGAAATGCGTGTTGATAGGAGATTGCGCGCCTGAGAGAGTCTGGACGACTCATGTGCGGTCTGCCATTCGTGTGAATCGTGCCGCCAGACGCGTTTCTAAATCCCGTTCGCGCGTCGTTCGCTGGCCCATCGTCCTCTTCCGCCGAGCGTCTTCCTCGAAGCGGGGAGCCTGCATGAGGTGCGTAGCGCTTCGAAGTGGGAGAGAAAGCGCTGCTGTTTCCGGCCGACTTTGGACTGTGAGCGCGCGAGCCGATGGTGTTGGAGCGACCGAGACCTTTCGCCGAGGGCGAGCCGTACGTTTGGATTTCTTCAAAGCCAGCGCCCAGTCCGTTTGCAGCTGCGGAAGGGAGCCTTCGCTCCAGACTGTTGCCGTACGTTGCGCTGCTGCTGTTTCCTTGCAAGTCCAGCGGCTCAGGTCGACCTCGACCTTCCCACCCTTTCCCTTCTTGTGTGCCTGCTCCCTCTGACCCATTGGTGCTTGCGCTTCCTTGCGCCCAACCACCTGCCGCGCCCGAATTGGAAAGCGAGTTCGCCCTATGATCCTCATCATCCACCTTCTTATATAGCGGATGCAATCCCACTGCATTTCTAGCATTGGCAATTCTTCTAAGTTCCCTCTCCCTGGCTGACATATGAGGCGTGTATATTGTGCTGCTGTTTCCGTTCCAGTAGTAAATGTACTGGGCGGCTATGAAGGCGTTGAAGAGGGATGCGAGGGAAAAGCCCCAAAGCAGCAACTTGTCGGATGTCTCTGTCAGAGTCGTGAAGCTGTGCTCATACGAGGCGGAAGAGGGCTGATCGGGTGAGCACATGCGTGATCGACGAAATGGTCCCACGAGTACTCACACCCTAGCAATGGTTCCCGCCAACTGAGCAAAGACGACGAGCGCGCTAAGCTGCCCAGTCCTTTTCCTAAAGTGCAACTCCCGGATCTGCGGCACTTTGCTCAATAGACTGATGGGAATCGAGAAGAGTTGCAGGATGGCCAAGTTGGCATCGGAAATGATGGCGGGGGTAAAGAGGGCGTAGGACAAGAGGAGCATAGATAAAGCTGCCAGGAGCAGTGAACGGGCGTGTGATGTTGAGCGTGTGGACAGCGTTGAGGCGGGCTTGTAGTGCATGATGAGGAGCGTGATGAGCATATCTATCGAGCGGATTTGCAGCAAGTATCGGACGAAGAGCCGGTCAGCATTCATGTGCAAGTCAGATATCAGAAGCAGAGCTCTGCGCTGCCCAATGCCTCTCTGGACTCACTCTGAACTGTCAAGCTAGCATTCTCTCCATAAGTGCTAAACGGTATTCTCCTCCTGACCGCATAAGCCAGGCTGATGTCGTAGGCCAACACCTCGAGCGCATACATTCCCAAGCTGACACCAGCAGCCGACCTGTTCCTCACGATCTTGAAGATTTGTGGGATCTTGAGTATGGAACCAAAGATGACGATGCCGGCTCCCAAGGCTTTGGATATGCCCAGGGAGAGACAATATCGATCTAGAATGTCCCCATTGTACAGCAGCGTAATGTAGCAGTCCTGTGATGGGTGCCAAAGGCGTCGTGTCAGCGTGCGAGAGTGAGTGAGTGTAGTGAAGGTTTCAGGCGCAAGCTAGCTCCGCCAAGATCGCCCTCTGCGAGAATACCCTCTGCGAGCCAAATTCGAGCGCAGCATGATACGCCGAATGGAACGAACAGATCTGACACCCATATATGCAGCCTCTTCGTCCGCCGAAAGGTCACCCCCGCCGTCCATTCGCGGTGTCATGTGCGGCGTTCATGAATCGCGCGGGTGAAGGGGGAGGCCGAGGTGGTGTAGCGTCGTGCTGCTCCGCAGCAGCGAACGTCCTCCGCCTGCACACATCTTTTAAGTTGCATCTCTCCCATCACCGTGCCCGCCAAACACGACTTTGGCTACTCACAAGTCCCAGAATGCCAATGACTGCCTCTCTAAGGAAACCCGGCAACCTTCTGCCTACGAACTGGATGAGGGATTGCATGATGCTGATGACGAGATTGTCGTACGTGGTAGGTGGTGGAAAGGTCAAAGGCGATGAAGATGATGCGATTGTGTGGTGCAGCGACAAGGAGGCTGAGGTTGAGGAGATTGAGGTGGCTGCGGCCAGGGAAGGTGTGGGAGCGCCGCTCAAGGAAAGGGAAAAGAGGGCGCTCGTGGGTTGAAGTGGTAGGACGGGAATGATGGGCGACGCGTTGGGTTGGGTGCCTCTGGACGATTCGAAATTGGTTCGTAGCAGTCTTTAAAGGTCAAGGCGGCGAGATCAGAGTCCGATACGAAGCAGCACGCGAGCGCTTAGAGGTTGACGGATCTCTTTGCGACCTCTGCCGGCTCCCAATGCGAGCGTAGCTGCTGATTACTTGTGAATCTGCTGCGCTGATTCCAGCCGCCTCCTCCCGCCACCTCGCAAGCTCGAGTGAGACTGGAACGGGAAAGTGAGACAATGAATCGCAAGCGCTTGATAGGCAACAGTCAGCAGCAGTGCGAATCGCAATCGATCATACTCAAACTGCGTTGCCGGCGATCGATAGTTGTTTGTGTGTGTGTATGTGTGTGTGTGTGTGAGTATCAAGTCATGCACGCAGCTCAGACTGGTGATTGCATGCATGCATGGCGTGAGCGTACCACGTCGACTTTCCGCATGCGGCCATGCTGCATACACACCACACACACACACACATACACGATCATGTGCAACCCGCGTATATAGCTGTCCGCACGACGCTTTGGAGTGAAGAGTCAGAATTACGAGTCGTGAGTGCGAGTGCTGTAAGCCCCGATACATGTAATCGGGCACGCTCCCATGCAGGGTCCAAGTCAACTCTCTCCTCACACCCATAACCTGTGGTCGCGGCTTGCATCTTCTAGGCCCATTGGACAAGTCCGATGCCTGCTGCTGCACGGTCAGATTGTCCAAGGTCCGCCCTCCCGCCGGATGACATGTCGATCCAGGCCTGTCAGTGTGAGGTCTGGGCCGTTCCTGTCAGGCGTTCGGACATTTGATGCAGCTTCATCCTTCTTGTTTCGTTCACATTCGCCTCCGTTTGTCACTCGTAACTCTGTGAGACTCGACTGCTGTGAGATGCCTCTCACCAGCTCTCTCTCTCGCTTGTCCTTCGTGCGCCCATGAGAGTCTGTCGGAATTTAGTCACGAGTGCGAGTGCCGTGCCAGGGCGCACAAGTCGTGCAACAGGTCGCTGTCGCAATCAAGACTGTATGCATGGATGAATGGGTATATGTACCGCGCGTTTTTTGGTGCATAATATGCTTGGGTTGGTTAGTACAGTGGGATCAAGGTCCGTCTGGAAGTTTAACCTTTGAGCATAGGATCTTCGCTTCCGGTGCATGACGCTTCGCATTGAGTCCTGGCGCATCCCGGAGGGTTGATCTTTTGCACCTGATGAGGGTCAGACGTCCCTTCCCTTTTCTTTTGCAGTCACGAGTCAAGAGTGTAAGTCTTTGTATACGTACCCGCAAGGACCTTACAGCCGCCAGGTAGAGATTAAGCGGAGCCGACAAATCACGACTCTGTATCAAATCTTTCAGATGCTCTCGTCCCTGCCTCTGCGCGGGTTCGATTCATGCGCAGCACAGTCCGATTCCAAGTTCATCCTACGAATACATCATGCCACGTAGTCATGCGGACTCACGAGTCAAAGATTCGAGGGCTATGTGGATGTCGGGTCGAGCAGAGACATGTCTCTTCTGAATCTAGCTTGGCATCATGATGGCGTACGGTGCACGTCTGATGGTCAGACTCGATCGAGAATGCCAGCATGTATCCAGCTCCGCCACTCCGCACCATCTACAATGTGTTTCCTGCAGCACATTCGAGATTCTCGACTCTTTTGATGGCCAACGACAAGCCTCACTCGCTCACACTCGAAATCGTTTAGCAATCTGAGGCGCGGATGGGATCTTTAATGCGATTTCAAGACAAAGGTAGCGTGGCACGCTGGGGATTTGAAAGGGCATGGAGCAAGCTTCGGAGCAAGCACGGCCGGATTCGCTCGATATCTGAAGCAGGCAGAGAGGATGTCGAGCAAGCTAGCTAGCCTTTCTTGCGCAATCAGCGACATCATCATCAGCCACGCTCCGCATCATTTTTGCATCCGCGAATGTGAACATGATCAATCAGCATTGGTCGCTGCCAAATCCGCTCGGAAGTTTGAGAGGGCGATCGTCGTGAGAGCGGGAGCCGAGATGGACGCGTGTAGGTATGAGACGAGCAAGTGACAGCGAGCTACAAGCTTTCAAGCAGTGAGTACGTGTTGGGCATGACGCTAATCTGCCCCCTTCTCCGCCTTTCCCCTTCGCGTCGCCTAGCTTGCTCCCCGTGGAATGTCACGTCCGCCGGTCCGCATGCGGAAAGCAAGGCGGCTGATGGCGATAACTCAAACTCACGACTGGATGGCCTCGATCGATCGATCAACGCGCGCTACCTATATGTAGCTCTGCCTTGCCTAGAACGGGTAACACGTGATTGCAGCAAAGGTGCGTGTGTTGACCTTGTGTCCCGTACGAGACACTCACCACTTGCGCTTCTGCGCCATCGGAGTTTCCAAGTATAGATGCGATAGGTACTCGTGACTGTACAGGCTAGCTTGTACCGGTATAGCGCGACTCGTGCCTTTTGATTATGGACATGGGCCCCATCATATAGCAGTCTATTACCGGGCGTAGGCACAGAAGCCCGTCCCGCCTGGCCCATCCTGCTACCGTTTGGCTTCATGCCCGCATCAGGTGGCATGCACCCTCGCCCCCACCTTCGGCGGCCAACCAGCAGCAAGCCGCGCGCTGATCGAGAATGGCAACTCACGACTGCAAGGCTCGAATTGCCCAAATGAGGTTAGCTTGACGGAAGCTGATCATCAGAGGGGTGAGGTCGATGGTCCTAGGCCTTTTGATCACGGTGACTTTGTTCTTGACACTCGCGACTTGACATTTTGGCTAGATGAGCGATACACGAAATTGCATACGGCACCGTTGCTGTGACACGCATGCGAAGAGGGAAAAGGAAAATGCTTCCGACCGGATCGGACTCGTGACTGTGTTGCAATCCTCTCATCTGCTGAGATCGCACGTGAGGGGCCCGCCATAGCGAAGTCAGAAGAGTGTCGACAAGCAACGACACGGCGGCTGAAATACTACTACCCTCTTTCTGTCTTGCATGCCGACTATCGACTCAAGACTACCGACGGCCTTACTTGCTTGTCCGATACAAGACAGCACCTCTTGACGGCGCCTGGGAAAACAAGTGGCGCAGCTCCATAGCGTGCAAAACGCCACGCGTGACTTTACTCGAGCCGAAAGATGTGATTGTCGATGATGAAGCGTTGTTTTATTGTGCTTTTTGACGCGCTTCGAAGCTTCAAATCAAAGGCAAGGCAAGGTCGGCAACGCGGAGAGCGGGGAGCGCGGTATGCGTGCGCGGTCAACCAAGTATACAGTCTGGTGTGAGTGGTGAGTCTCATCAGCGTGCACATGCTGCATTCACATTCACATTATCGCAGCCCCCGCGCCGGCGGTGCGAGGAGAGGGGCAAGGGGCGCGGCGCATCATCATCAGCAGCACCAAAAGGAGGCGCGGGCTTTATGCACCACGCAGCACACGCTCATGCTGGAGCTTATATCGTCGCGCGTTGCAGCTTGGCAAAGGGACCCCTAAGCTCTCACGAGCGCGTGCCGCTGCTGCTGCTGCTGATGGTTGCTGGTATAGTCGCGATCCCCGCACCGCTACCGCACAGCTGAGGTAGGCATATTTGCTTCCGAACTATCAGACACTCCCCTTCCCTTCTCCAAATACACTTCACTTCACTTCACCTCACCTCACCTCACCTCACCTCACCTCACCTCACCTCACCTTACCTCATCTCTTTCCTCTCCTCGCCCAGCTTTGTCCGACTTGCCATCTTGAGCCATCAGCTACAGATAGCGTTCAATACTAGCGGCACCACACCCACGACCGTTCACGACTCTAGACGCCCACCTCTGCGACTGTGTGACTGCGCGCATTTGAACGCTGCGACCCCTGACCACGCTGCCGAGTATCAGGACGCTATCCGCATTTTAGCTCGACGGCACGGTCAACACCCCAAGTTCACTTTGACTGTCGTCGACTTACTCACTGATCGGCCCATCGACGACCATCAAGGCTTGCACTGCTCGGGCAGGACATACACGCGCTCCACTGACACCCATCCACGGGCTCTTTTCAAACCCTCGCCGAACCCCCAGCTTGCCTCACTCGTCCAAGCGGTGTTCCCATTACGTCACTCTGCAAAGCGCTGGCGCACACTACTCGCTACTCGCTGAGCTCGTTGCTGCTCTCGCTGTCTGAGCGCAACTGTCACACCTCCCAGCTCCACCCTCGCGAAAGACGCCGCACTAAACAGGCCCGACGCATAAGATCACGCCGGCGACTACTCGAGAACTCGGCATCCCAGCCATCCTCACGCTCGGTGTCTCTTCGCTCGATAAGGCAACGGCGACTTGATTTGCAGTCATAGCTCCAAAAGGCCACGAGAGTGTTGCAGAGCGTACTGCTATCAGGCCCGACGCGGCTCGGTAATCCGTGTTCTGCCCGTTTTAGGAAGGTCGACCCCCGAGCTCAGCGGCTTGGCACTTCGACAAACTGCGCGTCTACTGGGAAAGGTGAGGCGACAGACGCAAGGGTGCAGGACTTAAGGTGGACGGATATAAGCTAGACCTGTCGTAGCATCCAATCATCAAGCGATCCACCCACTTCCTCGACCAACTCCGCACATCAGAGGTGTCCCATCAATCATCCGCTTACGACCACTTGACGACCGCTCACGCTCATCTAACGAACTTTACTAAAGTGCCTCGCCATTAGCATCCATCGCCCTCTCAAGATGATTCATTCGCCTCCCACCAGCGCGTCCCCGAACAGCCGTGCTCCAACCGAATTTCCACAACCCTATTCTCCGCAAAGTCGAACGGCTCCTTTGCGCAAACCGACGACGACGGGTTTCAATCCCGGTGGACAAGTACCACATGGCTACTCCTACCTCACCAGAAGTCACAGCCTAGTCACGCCCACCAGGCGTGTTCCCAAGGGCATGCAGCCGGAAGTTGCTCCCGCTGGGTCCCCTACGCTTCAGCATTCTGCTAGTCGCACCTCGCTGGACTCTGACAGAGCCGTCGCATCAAATTTGCCATCGCAGACGGGCCATGCTACCCTCGCACGATCCAACACTGTGCCATCCGCGCTCGTCTCACACACACCAACCCATCATAGAGCTGTCAAGGATATGAAGGAAGTAGCCGAGGAGCTACCAGTGAGTGCATTCACGACTTTTCGATCATGTTTGACCCGGCTCGAGTTTATTGACTCATTCGGTCCCTTTCCTTGCTTCACGCAGTCCAACCCCAAAACGTGGACCTCCTCTCACGTGGCGTACTACCTGACCTCTCTGCTGCATCTCGTGCCTGCACCCATCGTTCAAGACGTGACGCTCTTTGTTCAGCGCTCCTCCATCACTGGACGCATCTTTTTGCGTCTCCGTGAAGAAGATTTGGAATCGTACGGGCTGAATCCTCGCTGGCGCAAGTTGATCCTGGAAGCGGGCAAGAAACTTCGTCGGGATTGTCTCAAAGGACGCTTGTGGAGCGTTCAGGGGCCCATTCCCATCGATTGGCCCAGAGACGAGGAGGCTCACGAAGCTTTTTTGCACAATCAGGAAAAGGAGAATGCGGCAAAGGCAGATGTCAAGGGGAAGCATCTGAACACGCTCAGAAGACTCAAGGACAAGAAGAGGGTCACGAGGATGATCAGGGAATTTGAGAGCGCTAGCGAAGAATCTAGCGCTTCGGCTGCGGAAGATGAGGAGTACGTGGCCCTCGGTCGTCCCAGACGCTCTCGCGAAGGGCATGGGAGTGGCGAAAGATCCTCGAGCGGTTCGTTTGAGCTTCATCCGGACGAGGTGCCCGACTCGCCGAGGGTTCGACTGGCGAGAGCCATCTCCCAAAAGGGCCTCGTAAAGAGACGCATGGAAAGCTTCGATTCGCTCCGAGATGAAGCTGAGCAACAGGTCGCTCGAAGAAGCCCGTCGGATGAGGCGCGATCCACGATCAAGCCGAGACGACAGGAGCATATTGCGGGTGAATCTCATGTGGACGATCACGCTCCACAATCTCTCGGCTTCAATGGGCCGCAGCGAGACGCTCTGGTCGATATCGAGGATGAAAGTGACGAGATGGACGCGCACCAATTGCAGGCCATTTTGGACACGAATCCGCCCAGTTCCCTTTCAGCGGACAGCGAGAGCGAGGCGGAGCAGGGCAAGGAAGGTCAGACTTCGAGCGATCGAGCTTTCTTGGACGCTGTGGCGGATGTCATGAGGGCCTACCAAGCCGAGCAGGCGCTCGAAGCTTATCATCCAGCTCTAGACCACGATGAGGAATCTGCGCAGCATGCGACCCATGCGTACGATCAGAGATCGAGCATGAGGAAAGAAGCATCGGCGGATGGATCTGAATCTACTGCTTTTTCGATCGAATCGGGACTCAGCAAATTCGAGGAGTCGACTAGGAACAGGCAGCTTTCCGAAGAGGCATGGGAAGCTGAAGAGACTTCTGTGCACGTCTCAGCACCCGGGGATGGAGAAAAGGTATTAGACTCAGACACTGTCAAGCCCTTCGCCGCTCCCGCAGAGAGGTTCGGCGCAACTTTGAACGCCCTGTTCCCTGCTCCCGCGCCCGATGGAGCCGCTTCGGAAGGTCCGACAGACTTGCAGGATTCTCTCGACCCAATCGCGACGCTTGCACCTTCTCGACGTGCCCGACCTCAGACCAAAGGTAACCCGTATCGAGCTTCTACCTATGCTCCGGAAGATTACGACGCGCTGGGCTTTGAGGCTGACGGCAACGCGCATGGTAGCGTGAGGCAGAGCAGTGTCAATCTCACAGGTTCTGTCAGATTTGGCACCGCAAGAAGGAGCAGACCTCCTCCTCCTCCTTTGCCAGTGCCAGAGCCGATGCCAGCGCCCCCACTCGCGCACGCTTGTGACACCCCCGCTGCGGACGATGTGGACGCGTTGAAAGCGCAAGACGAGGTAACATCGTCTGCTCCGCTTCCCTCTGGTTACTGGACCTCATCCGGATCGACAGCGATGGATGTTGCCTCTCCTGTCTTCCCGGTGGGCTCTCAAGCTCCGCAGGAACAGACGCGCAGAAGGTCCACATCTGCAGCGGACATCATCGGTCGCGGAACACTAGGACGGAAGAGCGCGTTGAGCTTGAGCAAGGTGGCTAGCAAGGACGCTCCGCTCGCTGCCGCTGCTTCGGGCATGGGTCTGGGCTTCGGCAGTTTGGCCATCAGCAAGCCCGAGGTGAAGGGTAAAGGAATGCTTAGGGGTCTGTTTGACGAGCAATCGCCCCTAAACACGGAAGTGTCCGAAGTTAGCGAGGAAGCTGAAAAGGCGGAAGACCCAAAAGCGACGGCGGGGCAAGTCGCTAGTCCGGCCGAAGAGACTACGCACGCACGCGAAACCTCTGCATGCAACAAAGAGCCCTTGATCCGCGTGCCTCTGACCACGCTCGACTTGGCTGACGATGGCAAGGGATCCATTAAGAAGCGATCCGTGGTGCTGGTCGAGAGGCGCAAATTCGAGACGCTGGCCAAGCAGATGGGCTTTGAGGAGTCCGATTTGCAGAATATTCAAGATGTACCGACTCTATCCTCGAGCAGTGCTCAGCGAGAGGAGGAAGAGGCTTTGGTCGGCACGACCAACATCTCCACGCTCTGTATTGATGAAAAGCGAACGGAGGAGGAAGGTACGAGCGGGAGCAAGCCTGCGAGCGCTAGTGCGACGCTCAAGAGCCTCTTTGACACTCCTACAGAGGAAGAAAAGAAGGAGTTGGAGAGGACGAACAAAGAAGCAGTGGATGCCGATTTGCAGCAAGCGCGTACTTCCCCACCATCCACTCCGTCCACGCGACGAGAGCTGGATGAGGTCTACGCTTATCCTTACTCGCCCGCCGCGCTGCTGAAACGGCGAAGGGACATGAACATCAGCACGCGCTTCGACACGGCCCAGAGAAAGGCTGGAGATGTGGTCGGAGAGTTGCAGGAGACATATGTCCCTGCGGAAGAGAGGAATGCGGAATTGGAACGATTGAGCAAGGCTGTCGAGCCTGAGCCCGTGCTGCATGCTCCCGAAAGCGAAGACGATGTGCCGATCGAAAGCTCAAAGGGATGGCTGGAAAGCATGCTGGGGCTCGGCGCTATTCCTAGCTACGCTCTCGGCTTGGGAGCTGGAATCGGCTTCGTGCTCGTCTCTGAAGTGGTACAGAGAGCAGCGAGGGCGGGCCGGTGATGTATCTCAAACACCTGCACGTTATGGACACTATGGACTTTTCTCGTCTCCAACTTTTGCGCCTTGTACTGACGATGCCCCCTTTCATGACCCTTTTACGACCCCATTTACGAACTCCCTAACGACTCGAAAAATGCACGCGCACTCGATTCTGTGCTTCGGACCGCTCGGTCATGCGCATCTATCGAACGCACTTCGCGCGCCCAAAGTCTCGCACGTTGTTGTTGTTCCGTCATGTACCATCATCACACTTCCACTGAGCAATGTGCACCGATCGATCTGTCTAAGCTGCTGCTGCTGCTGCGTGCGTGCGTGCGTGCGTGCGGTTTTGCTACCCTCCCCCCACAACATCTGCACCTTGCTTGAGCCATCTGCCGGTGATGCTCAGCCTGACCTGTCTAGGTATGTACGAGCAAGAGCGCTGACGGTCCGAAAAGCGTTCGTCGCTGTGCTTGATCCGAACGCGTCGCTCCTCTGCTCCTTGCGACAGCGGCTCCGTGCAAAGGTCGCCGTCGCCGTCGAAATTCGGATCGGACGCTGCTGCCATCCCGTGCGAGTGCGCACGTTGATCAGACACCCAATCTCCCGGACGTGCTTCGATGCCGTGCGCGTATTGCCACCTCGCTTTGCCTGTGAGTACGAGCAGACTTCTAGGAGGTAACCAGATGCTCAATCTATCCGATTGGGATCCCGCTTTCGGTTCCGCTTTCGACTCGTGCATGATCCTTGATCTGACCTTGGGTCTACTCTTGCTCTTGAACTCCCGCGTCCCTGTGGCCGTCTGGACAGGCTGAAGATCGCTGCGCGCAAAAGACATGACTACGCCGCTGCCTAGACTTAGACAAAAGATGCCATCGTCGAAGCGATGAGCTAGGTCAATGTGCGATGCGATACCCGCGCCAGGTTCGTACAGGTTTAGGATGAGCTGACGAGCTCGACGATAGGCACATGTGGACGACATTGTCAATGTTGATGCTGGAGTTGAAGGTTTGCTTGGCGAGGAAAGGGCAGATGGTGCAAGGCTGTCGGACGAGGCGTCGTTGTTGGATGCGAAGAGAGTAGAGGTATGGTGGAGTGCGCTAGACTTGAACTTTCTGTGGTGGTGGTGGTGCAGGGACCCGAACTCGAGCTCGTCGGCTGTGTCGAGCATGTTGCCTTCATCAGCAGGCGTGTGTTGCTCTGCTTTGCGTTTCTGTCCACGTGCTTCATGATCAGCGCCGACCTCCTCAACAATCACCGGCCCGTCCGACACCGCCTGGCAGTGGTCGGTGTCTTGACGCGCCCGTTCACCTTTGCTACTCCCATCCGAGTCAAGCGTCGCACCGCGTTTGACCGGATCGAACAGCACCGCACAAGTCTCCTTCGGTAGTGCATGCTCGCATTTCTCCTGCAACGCCTTCAAAAGGCTTTGAGCCCAACGAGGTATTCCCGAGCATGTTTTCCGTTCCCTCTGCACATCTTCCACGTCCAGATCTGTGCTCGTTGAGGATCCTTGCTGCTGCTGCTGCTCCTTGTTCGGACCCGAAGGAAGATCTGTACCTCCTCTGCCGAAGAGCATCACTTGATTTCTGCCCGCCCGGTCTGCTTGGTCGGAAGAGAAGTAATTTTGCTCGGCAATGTCTTGCAGCAGAGACGAAGCTTGATGAGATGTGAGAATGTCGTGTAAAAGGTGTAGACCTGGTACTTGATGCGCATACACCCATCGCTGAGCTATGTCTGATGGGTCTGGATCAATGTCTACAGCTTCTCGATGTTCGCTCGCTTGTCCCATCTCATCGCCTTCAAGAAGTTGTAGCTCCTCATCGCTGTTGAACAAAGAGTCTTGACCTGAATCGCTCTCCTCCTCCTCCTCCTCCTCCTCCTCCTCCTCGGCGTATGAACCCTCGCGCGCTTTTCGCGAGATATTTGCATCATCAACAACATCCACGTCTTGACTCTCATTTACAGCATCCGCACGTGCATCATCGCCCTTCTCTTTCCCTTCTTGATCGCGCCAAACCTCCATGTTTCCGTCCACTTCAACACTTGAACTTTTGCTACCATCCAGTTCGCCCATCATGGGGAAGCAAGCGGACCTAACTATCTCCGTACCATCTTTTCGCCCCGTTGATGATCTACTTGAAGGCTTCGTGAGTACAACGAGTAGAGTAGAAGTCTTGCGTGGTGTCTCTTGAAAAAAGAGAGAGAGAGCATTCGATTGCAGGGGATCTGCAATTTTCAACCGAGGTGGTGCCGAGTCACGTTCACGTCTTCGGCGCGGCTTCAGAGAGAGGTGCATTCTTGATTCACATTCAAGATTCACATTCGTTTGTGATTGAAATCCATTTTCAGCATTCAAACCCACCATTCTTGATTGAATCATTCACACAATGTGAATCTGGAATTGCAACTTAATTGCAAAGGAGGTGTGCACGACGCTTGCTTGTTGTGGAGGTGCATCTTTGATGATAGCAAGCGTGCACGGATAAAAAAGGCCCGCCCGTGCTGCATGCGTCTCGCACAGTCTTCCGTTGAGTCACGTCAATTGAATCTTGAATCAAGAATCACGAATCAAGAATCAAGAATCTTCAATAAATCTGATGAACATCTTGAGTCGAGATGCAAATCACAGATTGGATTCCTGCCCACTTCGCATCCATTGCGTGGCATTCAAGATTTGATGAGTGAGCTTGCTCTGAGATGACGTAAGAAGCAGCGTCGACTTCAGCGTGAAAGCAGAAACAAGAAACAAGAATCAAGCTTCGTAGTCTTTGATTTTTGGATTTAGTATTTGGTTGGTGGAAAACGTCTTTTCAAGCTAGAGTCCCAGTGGTGAGCACATACACTCAACTCCCAAGTACGAGAGCCGGAGGTCTGTCATGGATCTTACTACTTTGACGCTACGCCGCATCGTACACGTCCGTATGCACATCGGCTCATTGTCTCCTAGTACAAAATATTGGCTTTGACGATGTGGGTGTTACGGATGAGCAGATGCTGCATCCTCTGCAGCCTCGTATGGTTCTGTCTCAGTCTCCTTTCCAACCTCCCATCCTTCTTCTCGCTCAACTCGCCTCTTGTCTCTCCTTGCAACAGTGCTTCCTCCTCCTGATCCTCTCCCCACCACTCCTCTCCCGCCTCTTCCTCTTCTGCCTCGATATATTCCTCAAAACTCCTTTCCAGTCGCTGTCTGCGCCGTTCCACGAGGTTCTGTTTTCTCTGAAACGCCGACTTGGACTGCTCGTCTTCTCTCGAGTCCAATGTCCTGTGCCTGTCCCCGGATTTCTTGGACGTTGCGAGTGAGGGATCGGCGAAGCGAGGAGCAGTGTCAATGACTTCCCCTAGCTTGTGCTCCCACACCCTTCCATCCCACTCGTGCACTAATCGATTTGCCTCGGGCACAGTCTGTAGACGGATCAGGAAGGACGCTCGAGGAGATTCGGACTGCTCCTTTGATCTGTACACCAGTCCATAGAGACAGAAAGGTCGATCAGCGCCCAATGCAAGCAAGATCGGTACATATGCTCCACATGCTCACATCAATTTGATCACGCCACATTCTCTCCATACTGGACCAACCTCCCCCGACACATTCTCGATTTTGCCTTGCCTGATCTCGTACCTGCCAGCAGCGCTCGTCGCGCCCTCGCCGGGACCGCCATAACCCTTGAGAATCCTCTCCAGATGCAAAGCTGTCAGATTAGCCGGCAAGCCCTGCAAATGCACCAGCTTGCCCGATTCTGTTTGGATCAGACGGGAGAGCAGAGCAGAGGAGCTAACAGGTAGAGGTATTGGGAGAGAGAACTGCAAGACATGTGGCGTGTCAGATTAAAGTGAGGGAAAGGGGACAGGGAGACGAGCGGAAAGATCATATGCGTACCACTCACCGGTGTCACCTTGAGCATCTGTCCAGCTAGAATACTCCCATCCACCTCCTTGATCCACTTGTCCGCCGCATCTCTTGCACGTCCAAGCACACTTCCTCGCATCCCGATCGCCTCTTTCCAGATCTCTTTTCCCTTCTCGTCGAGCGGGTAGGCAGGTTCACAACTCCTGATGGTGCTGGGATCAAAAGAGAGGTAGACTCGACCTGCTTTCGAGAGATCTTTGGAGCGTAGACGGAAACGGAAGGCGGTAATGTGACGGGAAATGGGAGAGAGTCGATAGATGTCGTGTGGCGTTGCGCCATGCGGCACATTGTCTATTCTCACGTTGGCAAGACGGATCTGAGGGCTGACAGGTATGGATGGGCGGGACGATGAGGGGTCTGTGCTGGACTCGTTCCAAAGAGCATCGCCTCCGGTGCGCCGCTCATTCCGCTTCGGCACATCGTAGCCTCTTGAAGCAGAAGCATCGCGTGTATGCGTCTCCCAGCGGGAGCCATCAAACGTGATTGAAGAGGTGTGTAGACCTCCGCGGTGAGAGCGCCCGTGGGCAAAGGCCGCTGCACGCTCCCTCCATTGCGCTTCAACCAGGTGCGCAGGTGCTGATACGCTTGTCATGCGAGGACAAGGTGGAGTGCCATGTCTGAGTCGAGCAAAGAGCCCATGTCCCCGTGCAGAAGCGGACATGTAGGCGCGTATCGGATGTGCCGAAGGCACGTGGAGGGTACAGCTGACTTGTGCCTGCGCAAGTGGGTACCTGCTAGGCAAGTGGACGATGAGGAGCGAGATGGGCGTCGAGGTTATGCAGACATCTTGTTTGAGAAGTGTGCCTTCACCTCCTGTCCTTGAGAGTCGCAAGAAGCGAGAAGTCCAGTCGAAGCATGCGTTGCGACTCGAGTTGTAAAGTCAAGTCGCGAGTGTTGCAGCGGGGAGTCTGATAATTCGAAATACCCACGACCTGAGTCGCGAATGAAATTTGAGAAGAGATCGCGAACTTAGAGTCGGTCACCAACCAATCCTTGAGCTTTTGAGTACCGGTACAGAAGAGTCACGAAGTTGAGTCAAAAGTCATGAGTATGAGTGTGAGTCACAACAAGTCGTGAGTCAAAAAAAGTAGCACGCGCGCAAAGACGCAACTTTGTGTATCACGTGATTGACCTCTTCGACTGGGCGCGAGAGGCCCAAAAACTCAAGACTCGTTAGATGAGACTTTCGACTCACACTCGTGACTTGTGCGGCGTCCATGGCGGCGGATACGAATTCTTGATTGAGACTCATCAACCACCACTCACGACTCCTGTTGACCGCAGCACGAGTCACTGACTTTGGACTGCATCACCAATCGTCCATTCGTGATGATATCTGCGATCATAGACAAAAAGCTCTGGATCACAAGCACTTGACGTGCATAGAGAAGTTCGGGGAACGCGTAACTCAACATTCACCATTGGTGACCGCAAGCTCTTGACCTACTGATCCTCTGCTCCACAACGCCGCGCACTTCACACATGCTGAGTCGGAAGCTCCACATCGTAATTGCTTGCCGGGCGCAGTCTCGCACGCATACAAGACCCAAATTTCCAAATCCGACTTTGTAAGTGATCTGCACGTGCGTGTGGCAGCAATTCTCTTGCACGCGAACGGAAAGGGAGTGCTTCAGAAACCAGTGGAGAAGTGTACAAGGCAGAAGGAGAGAGCGAGGGGACAGGCAGTGCTGTGCGGGTCGCTCACGATGGAAGTGGTGGGCTAGAATGCGAACACGTCTCTAATCGAACGTCTTTAAAATATGCACGTGGCCGTTTAGCCGCTGTCGACCAATTGACGTCGTTCTCCGAAAGGAAAAAGAGTTCGTCTTCCAAAAGCCACTGGAGGACCTTAGGTACATCTGCCTGGCGAGACGCATATCTGACGACCAAACTGAGATGGTACAGGTGAAGTAGTACGCGGAAGAAGTGAATCTCCTCTTGTGTCGGGCTGTGCTCCGACTTGCCAGAAGAGGGCGATGCCTCCGTGTTGCTAGTGGATGGAGGCCATGGCAAGAGAGATTCTGGGGCTGCATTCCCTGCTGTTTCCATGTAAGCCTTTTTGTAAGGGACAAGGAAGACAGGGACGGGATCATATACACCTGAGACGTTCAACGAGGTGTCGCCAAACAAGTGTCTCGAAATGGCTGCAAAACGGACGAGTGGTCCGAGGCAGTACGTGCTCCGCGCGACGGCACCCGGAGATTTGTGATCCAGGTTGCAAAGATACTGGACCTTGGTCTTGCCATTGACTGCCTCAAATCCAACTTTGGTAGGATCGACTTCCAATATTGCGAAGACCATATTCAGGTTGCGCTGCTTGCCAGCATACACTCGTGTGATATCTTGCGCTCTGCACCGCAAATCTTCCAACGAGATGTACCATTTCTTGGCATCGAACCACGCTTGTATTCCGCTCAGTGTGTGATGCCGACGTTGTGTGGAGGTCATTTCCAGCGTCTCAAAGCGCTGAAGATGGCGCATCAGACGAGCGCAATCTCGACTGATCATTTCCCAGGGCATGTTCTTGCTTGCGCGCCTTGCTCCGGACGATGTGGAATTACGCGCATGCAGTTGGCCCATTTTGGCTGCTATGAGGCGTAGCTGGTCTTGAGTACTCCCAGCACTACCATCCACGCTCACTCCAAACTGTGTGCCTGTCGTTTGTCGCCGCTGTTCCAGCGTCGCGAAGCCAACGCTGGTCATCTTATCCGATAGCTCCTGAGATGTGCATCGAGCATGGAGGCTGTTCGATCTGATCGCCTCAATCAATTGTCGGATGGCAAGGTCCTTCTTGTTCTCCCGAGCTGCCGTGGGCTCTCTAGAGCTCGCGGTATCTGGGCTCGGGCTGTCAATTCTTCTGCGCTTGCCCTTCTCTCTCGAACGTGCAAGGCCTTGAGCTGTTCTGGTCGACGAAGACTGGCCGCGCGATGTTGACATGGATTCCAACCTCAGCTCTTCATTCGTTGAGGTGCTAGAGACGTCATCCATAGCCTGGAGAGCTGTCGCGTGGACCGCGGCCTCAGTGGTCCTGGAGCTGGGCGTTCCTCGAGTCTGGACAGCGCCTCCATTTGTTACACTGGGGGACCAGCAAACGATCTGAGTAGCAGCTACGCAAGTTCTTTCATGATTTGGATCCGATTCTTGGCAAGCCCAGCGCAAACGAGATGATCTCAATTGAGCAAAGGTAGGACCATCATCGTCGTACCGCAAGAGGTCCCCTGAGTCGGCATCGTGAAAGGTCACGACGTAAATACTTCGTTGAACACAACAGATGAAGCAGATGCACGTGCAACAGCGTCAGCCATTTCAATGATGCGCCCAGACGAATAAGAAGCGCTTCATACGCACTACTGCCCACTTCTGTCGCCCTCATTGGAGCAGGGGGGATCTTCGGGGTCTTTGCCCCGCCAGGAAAGCTTCCAGTCTTTGATGCTGTTGTCTTCCTTGATCCGCCGCAATATCTCATCACTCTCTGTATCGTCATGTTTGATTCCGACGTGGTGCAGGCTCTGTATCTTCTTCAAAGGTCGCTCCGCAGTTCTGGAGCAAATGCCCTCCCATTGAAATGGTAAGTTTGCAGCTTGACGATGGAATGTGTGGATGAGCATCTTGCAACTCGTCGGTGGAGGCGCCGGAGAACCATCTAAGCCACTGGATATTGCGACTGATGGATGATTGCATTCACGTAGGTGAAGGACAGCGTTGCCATGCATCATCAGCCTTGAGCCTTCGGCAACGTCTTGCAAAGACAGGACTGCCTGTCTACGCACTCAGCTTTGCGTCGTGTGGCACTAAGCTCGTAAATACCATAGCCGCATAGTCATCCTTCACATCGAATTCGCACCCATCGCGCAGGTTCGTTGTATGTTTGGGCTGAGTTCCTGGCGATGGTCTAATATCTATACAGCATGACTGATGGCATTTGGTTTTGTGCACGCGGACCGAAAATCCCCCCCTGGCGATTTGCTGTTTGCTCTCGAACTTGCCTAGGAGACGCGCAGCGGTGTTCGTTTCAGCGGTGCTCTACGTCTCAACAGCTTTGCAGAACGACGAGCTCACCTTGCTTTCGTTGATTGAGATTCTTAGAGCCTGAAAGATTGACGGATTGAATGCAATGCTCAGTCACTGGTGCATTCGGGTCGGGCTCTACGTCCTCGGTGTGCAGCGCAGCGCCGTCAAGCGTCTGCAAGCATCGGAGAAACTTGAGAGCGCAGCGAAGTGCGTTGTTGCGGGCGGTGTCTTTCATTCTGGTCGATCCGAGCACTGCTGTCGATTGCGGCGGTGCCAGCGGCCGTCAAGATGATTGAACCAACAAGAAGCAGAAAAGTGTTGGGTGAGCGCGGTCCCAAGGTGCTAGAACGCATCCAACTGTCCTTTTAGGGACAAGTGCAGCTCCTTTCTAATGCCTTGTACGGTGCAGTCCTTGCTGCTGGATACTTCTATCATGGAGTACTGTATCTAAAGAGCGTATCAGCACACTGGCAGATCGGCAGCCTTTGGCCTTGTGGCGAATCTTGTAGCATCCCTTTATGGCTGAAAGATCCACGTTGGCCAGAGGATCAGTGCTTCTGTCAGCCTCAGAATTGTTTGCTTTTCGCATCGTGTCCTGGTGCTCGACAACGAAAGCTCCTTCAGGATTGGATCGATTCCGAGTGATAAGAGTCGTACGTTTCCCTCGTCATTCGTAACTCGTAGTACTAAATCTTAATCCTTGATCTGAAGACGCACGTCGCCGGTAGGTACCCCGGTACGTGGTTGGCTAACCCGCGCCACACCGTGACTACAGACGGACCGGTCCTGCTTCCCGCGCGGATGCAGCAGGGCCTAGATCGCATGGCTGTATAATTCTGAATCGTGAATCACGAATAAGCTATGTGATAGGAACGGCCGGCCATCAGAGTCTGCGCATATATGTGCTGCATGCAGCGGCGGGATTGCGTGTGGCTTGAGACGCGTCCGACACGCGTTATTCAGGATTCAATGATTGTGCTGATGCGTAGGTCTCGGCGGTGAACTACGACGCTACATACACACAGGAGAGGCGTGAGCCTCACACTTAAACTACTGTCGTCGTGTAGTCATGCATGCACCAACGCGAATCAGAATCACCATCAACAATCTTTCCCTTACCTTTCACGAATCGCATCGGCGTGATCACTGATCGCAAGTTTTGTGCAGAGGATGATGGGCTGGACTCCTTGGATTTTGGCCACGTTCGCCTAAGCACACGGCGATCATCACGATCAATTTGCCCTCAGGCAAGCTCCGAACGCTCAAATCCTTGCAGCACATGCAGGCGTCTATCCTTGATTAGAGCGGCCAGACAGACGCACGTCCGGACTGGGCGCAGCGGCCACTCACCACTCGCGATTTCGAGTCTTCACAGTGTGAATGCCATTACATATCATCGGGAGAGCTATTCAAGTCACCGAGGCCAAGTCTGGGCCGCTCTGACGAGACGGATTCCGATCTGGCAAAATGGTCTGGAATCGTGAATCAATCGGAATTAAAGCTGCTGCAAGGGTACCGTGCCGACGATCACCTCGGCGTCGCAAGAATGCACAAAGACTGCTCCCGAAGCTTGACCTCCTTCATGACTTCGCAACTTGCGCAAACGCAATTCGTGACTGATACCAAGCTGGCACTGACGGGCGACCTATCTTCCTGATCATGGATAAGATTGCGGAGGCTTCCTGCAGATTCTTGCAGGGTTCATAAGAGACGTCCACGCTCTCTTGATCACAATTTTCTGCCTCGCTCACTTTGCAGTCACGACGTAACGGCAACCGCGACCACACAGACTTGGTAGTGCCTTTATCCCCTTTTGGCACAAGATGGCCACTGCGGTCTTCAGCTCTCTTCCTCCTCATCTGACTCGGCACACTTCCTCCACGAGTGCAGCCAGCTTTGCTTCCGAGCAGCACAGCAGCGTCAGCCGCATCTCTGCGTCGTCCGGCCCTACATGCGCTGACTACGAATTGAGCTCGCTGCGCCCAGGGCTGCTGGGTGAGACGAGACGGACGCATAGTGACACCACTGTCTTCAGCGTCACGCAAGAGTCCAGTCTGGGCAATGCTACTTCAAATTTCTCCCGATCCACCTGTGGCGAAGCCGAACTGCATCAGCAAGACCCAGCAGCTACGACAGCGAGCATGTCTTCCGTGGAAAGCGCCCTAGTTGGTTCTGACACCTCATCGCCTGATTGGCGTCAAGTTGCGACTCCCAGGAGGCTCATAAGACCGGAACCGGCAAGAATTTGCGTGAATGCCGGGACTCCTACGCAGGTCACACACGACATCGACACTGTGAAGACTCGTGTCAAAGCTTTCGGCGAAGTTCCAACTTGCTCTTGCCCCATGCCGAAGGCGCACCAAGTCAGGGAAGAAGACCAATTCACCGACGAGTACCGATTCACCCTCATTGATTTAAAAGCCCAGTCACGCTCGCTGTCCCCATGCTTATTTAGCGGACAGTGCCACGGCGGCTGCACAGCATGGTCATCTCAGGAAGCGCCGAACGTGGACTACACGTGCGGACACGGACTATACGAGTTTGCTCTACTCGTCGTGCTCGCTGCCTCCGACATGGCGAATTTACTACGAGGACGTCTACAAGACCGCGACTGCAAGGAGTTCACGGACGCCTTTACGAACGGACATTGGTCTCAAGAGTTGGCAAAACTGCCAGAGACGTGGCAGAATGGTGCCGTCATGTGCCTGCTCTACTTCTTCGCCCTAGGCCGCTCGTTTCAGTCTGTTGATATTAATGACAACAGGGCAGTTCTGCGACTAGCATCATGCATCGGGGTATGCTTGGAGCAGACTCTAAACAACCCTGCCTCTTTCGACCTGAAGACGACCTTTCAGAACACCTCCATCGAGTGGTCCCATCTCTCAGCGATGGCTTCGAAATTAGCTGCCGACATTATTTGGTATACTGGATACGACGCAGCCAGCCCTCGAATGACGGGCCGCTTTGCTAGCCTGATGACGCGGAGCGTGCGAGATGCCAGCGACCCCTCGATTGTGTGGCATGCAATCAATCGCGCCACAGACGTCGGTGAAGCTATACCCGCAATGCAGAAGGACATCGATGCATGGCTACAGACACTACAGCCCCGGACCTCCCATGATCGCGACCTCAGGTACCTCGAGGAAGTGATCACGCCGTTCGCGGTGGGCAAACAGCCATTCTTACCGCTCGAGTGGATGTGTTACGCCGCACTTGAAAGTAAAGGTCGGTGTTGGGCTCCGGTGCTTGCCCCAGCAGAAGCGATCGAGGGAGACACGGAGAGCGAAGCGGAGTCCAAAGAAAGTCTGACATTCTTGGAGCTTTTCTCGAGTATCTTTGCGGTGGGTTATACAGTCAACGTCATTAGCGATCGAGAGTTCCTCAAGGCGATGGGTCCGCAGTTAGCTCCTCTCGTTGCTCACGAAGTCTTCGAAATGAATCTCCAGCACGCTTGCGGAGCAGCAGACGGGCGGGTCGGCAATTGTTTCGTGCTGCTGGTGCCTCACCAGTCAGGTGAAAACATTCGTGCAGCAGTCACACCCTCTTGCCATCGTGATTGTGCAGTTTGAGATGCTTCGCTCCCACATGAGCTCTTTTTCCACTCCAAGAGGCCTGTTTTGTTGCACAGGTGCACACATGTCACATTAGAATATCATCTTCATGCCCTTGAAAAAAGATCGCGGTTCACAGCGAGGCCTTGAGCCCTGATTCGCAAGACACAGCCCCGTTGCAGCCCCAGAAAATCTCTCATTGTCGTCTTGCACCCGAGTCACGTCCATGCGAAAGCACAGGGAAGTGATCAGGATGTCTTGGGAGTGTCCTTACTGAGCACTTTGAACGCTACGATTCGGAGACGCCCCTATCTGTAATCTCGCGCTTCAGGGGCAATGCAAGTCCAGGGATGGGGGTCTCAGCCGTCCAAATGAGCCTCTCTGAACTCGCAAATCTACCACGCAAGACAAGCCGTGAGTCTGTGTCAACAGTCGAGACATCAAATAGCACCGTATATCAAAAATTTGGGAGTTTTGAAACGTGAGTCCAAAGAGAGGGGATCTACACAGCTCAATTCACGTGGTTCAAAAGTGGTAGCGGTGAATGAGCAACAGTCACGTGAGTCAAGAGTAATAATCTTGCACATGAACATTCTTGATTCTTGACTCAAGACTGAAGGATGACCTAGCCGTCCAAATCCATGTTGGAGCCGAGGCACGTGTCTAATCCAAAATTCTGAACCTTGAAATCGAGTGTCAAGTCTTGAGCTTACTTGCGAGATGGTCAATTAAGCCTCGAATTCAAATGACAGTGGTAGCTTGAATTCGATTCTACAGGCACTTGGATCAGATCGTGAAATTTGAAATTTGGATTTCAATCACATCAAAATTTTCAATCAAGGGTCTTGAGTCAAAAGTTTAGCCACGTGAATCAAGAATTGCTGCCGATGACTCAATCTTGAATTTGAATCAAAATCAAAATCAACAGCGAAATCAACTCACGTGACTTGAGATTTACCTACAAGAATCAACAATCAGAATTATTAAATTTGAATTTTGAATTATGGATCAGAAGAATACTGAATGACTTTTGACTTGACTGTCTCTCGCGCGAAATAACGCGCGTCAGCAATTTCATCACGTGAAGGGTAGGTTTTCGTTTTCAGATTCAAGATTCATTGATTTCAGGTTTCAGGTTTTAGGAAAGGCGTAAACCTGATGGGTGAGCATGTGCGTCACTCAAGACTGAGTCCCACACTCACGACTCTCGCGTCGCCGCCACCGTCCCCAGTCAGCTGAAACTTGCCAGTCTGTGGTTTCGCGCTTGCTGCCGTCTTTGACATTGGTGATTCCTGGATTCACCATTCTGATTGTCCGAGCCAGTACCTTGTGCTGCTTAGTGGCAAGCCGCTAAACGGTATTCGTCGGAGCCTCAAGCTAGCAAAGCGGACTTCAGGTTTGAGGTTTGAGGTTTTGGGTTTTGGGTTTTGGGTTTTGCAATTTGCGATTTGCTGTCACTCCAATGCGCTAGGAATGCTCTTGACACATACGCATCGGCGCAGAGGGCATCCACGCAGTCTGGTAGCAGTTTGTCGTGTTGAGCACCTCGCGTTGTGACGGAGCTCTACGTAGTCAAAGATGAGAGCCCAAAAGGTTTAAATAGGACGTCTGGAAGGTTGATGAGACTCCCTCATTGACAAAACTTCACTCTCCTCACCTCCAATCCAGCCACCACTCCGTGCGCACCTACAGAGATGACCTCTACGGGTCCCAAGCTTTCTCCACAATACCTCGAGCTCTCGAGTTCCGACGATACCGATGAGACTGAGCTGGCTCGACGCGAACTCACGTTGGCGGGCGCGTCTACTGTGAGCCTTCTAGCTTACGCCGATTGCAGCTCTTCTCAAGCCCTGCAAGGCATCTTTGGCTCGGAAGCATTCAGTACTGCGCGGAAGATGAATGCTATTTCGGAGTTGTACTTACTTCCTCCAGTCTCTGTGGAAACGTCGAAGCTGCCCCCTTTAGTATTGGCTTGGTCAAATCGCTTGCAGACTTGGTTCATTGGCTTCTGCGGCACCCGTACGCTGGCGGATCTCAAGGTGGACATCAACGTAAATCACACACCCGATCCTGATCTGGCTTCGTGCTTTCACAGCGGTTTTTACAAGCGTGCGATGCTTTACAAAGATTTCGTGCGACGCCTGAGCCTCGATGCGCGGGTGGTGCTATGCGGTCATAGCTTGGGGTACGTACACTTCTCATGAAACTCTGCGCCGTCACGAACTGACGTCCTGACCTCGCGGCTTTGCAGAGGCGCCATTGCAGCTATTGTTGGGTACTGCGTACTCGCCGGGCTGGGTTCAAATAAGGTCCTCAAGAACACCTGGACCTCAGCTCATCCCGATACCACAACCACTTGCTTATCAGTCGTGACTTTTGGTGCTCCTGCCACGATGGTCACGGAAATCAAATCCAACACTGCCCGACCCCACTTACGTCTGCGTGGCTTAATTCACCATATCATCAATCGCGAGGACAAGATTCCTTTCCTGCTCGCGAGAAGCTACTGGGGAATGTTCAGCAGTGTCTATCAAACCGGGCTCTTTGGGATTGGCGCTGTGGTACCAGAGGCTGTGCCCGCCTTGGAAGGCCTCAAATGGGTTTTGCAGACATGGTTCAACGAAAGAGGCCATTTCGCGCACTTTGGGACGCTATACTTGCTAGGCTATGAGCCTAACAGACCTGACCCAACCTGCTGCAGGGTGACGTCTGAGGATGGTCTTCCTACTTTGCCCAACATCAACGTCGCAGATGTGGAGAGATTTCACTCGATGAGGCACTACAACGACTGCGTCGAGCGAGCATTCCGTCTAAAGGACAAGCATGGGTTGCTAGGAAGCCCTTCACAAGCGAACGGTCATCTTGATGCCCTGCAATTGCCTGCAAGACCATTCAGCGCGAATATCACTGTCTACGACGATCGCATATCGATGGCGTTGGAAATCTCCAATCAATTTCTACCATTCACAGTGCACAGCATTATCTACCAGGTAGATGGCCACAACGTCATGCCAGATTTCTCATCGTTTGGTGAAGTACGCAGCAACGGTTTGGTGAGCACAAAACGCTAGGCTGGCCCGAATGTTCAGGTACTCACTCCTCGCAATTCATCATGCTATATTCTACAGATCTCTGTAGCCGTGCTTGTCCATTTGCGCAAGGACGGGTCTGGTTCTGTCCGCGAAATTCTGGACAAGCTGCTTGGCCTTCGGACATCTGTCACCCTGCTGGACGCTTTTGACCGAGCCCTGACTGTGACGGTCAGCGACGAAGACGTCCATCTTGCTGATCTTCGCGATCTCAGCATGTCCTCCACGTTCCGTTCCCTCCGACGAGCCATGATTGTGGCTTTTGCACAACAAAGTGGACATGTGCTGCGTATCAAAGCTTCAGAAGATGCGAACACAACACCAGCGCAGCGTGTTCACAATCGACAGGAAGCTAGGACGCTTTGTCCGGAGGCCAGCACATTTGCGACGCGAATCGACAGGCTGTGCTCCCAAGCACAACCTTCTGTCTTAATCTCACAGCTACCTCATGCTATGATGCTTATTTCGGAGTTTTGGTATGAGGGCGAGACAACGACCCGAGACGGCCAGCAGCGTGCAGCTCAAGTCGATCTCGACACATTGGATGCCGAGGGTTTAACTCGCGAGCAGCAGCTTCTCGCACTGATACCGCAAGCTTGTTCGCCAGGCGTCAAAATTCTGCTACATCAAATCCTCATCAATATCGACGCGAAGTCGACTGCGTATTGCAAGCCTCGCGATATAAGCCAAGATGTAGACATGACCACCACCCTCGGTCAGGTCGACGCTGGCACAGCAACACGATTTCGTCTCGCGCTGGAGGTGTTCAGCGAGGAGCTGTACGAGCGCGGTACCGACCCCGATGAAGCAATCAAGCAAGCAAAGGTTCAGACTCGCAAGCTTCTGGACATCATGAAGCTTAGTCATGCCATCATCCTTAGCCAGCTAGATGCTTCACCAGACTGCTTCGTATGTCAAACCGACGCGTACGCCGCTCTAGCTGGCGCGGCAGGGGCCATCTTGCCTGCATACTGGGCTGGCAGGAGCTCCATTGCCTGGATAGGTGCTCTACTGGGAGCTCAAAACAATGCAGGCATCTTTTTTGGTGCATTGACGCTCTCTGTGCACGGACTCAGCCTGTTCTTCACTAGCGTCGCCATGCACCTCATTGTCAACACCTTGCACGCTCGTCGTGCTCGCGACGCCCTTTTAGAATCGGAGTACAACTCCATGCTCGGCGTCTCGAGAGCCGCTTTGGACCTTCAGTCGGAGCCTTTCGATATGATACGAGAAGAGGCGTTGAAAGACAAAATCTCAAGGAGCGATTCACGCATCCTGAGTCCAGCAACGATCGATCACTGGAAGAAAGCGATACAAGAAGGTCTACACCGCGTCTCAGGCTCTCCGATCGCACTTCAGTACCACAGACCGTCAAGCTTCTGGGCTAAGTGGCTGTTCGACGTGTGCCAAGTGGCGTGCATTCGAGCAGACCTGGCTCGACGGGTCTATGTAGGCTACGAAGGTCCCACGGAAGTCGGCAAGACAAGCACCTTAGCCATGGTCACCGCTGCTGATCCTAGAGTCTTTGCATCCGGCGATGCCCTAAGAAATCGCACGACCGAGATACAGCTCTGGGCGCGTGACTCGAGCCGTAGTGCAGCAGTGTACTGCGATTTTCCGGGCTCGGACGACCGAGACCAAGAGCTCCGCGAGGTCGCTGGTCTTTGCCGCGACATTCTCGATGTGATCATTTTTGTGGTGCCCATTACAGCTCAGCGTGGTCAAGGGAGGAAAAAAGTCATTCGAGAAATTGCAGACTACCTTCTTCAGCGCGAGAAAAGCAAAGATTTTCGTCCTTTTCTTATTCTGGCAGCGAAGGTCGATCAGCTCAGCTTCAATCGTAGCAAGAAAGAGGCCTTCGACGAGAATCTCGAAGCAAGCCGACAACAATTGGTAGCTCAACTCAAAGAAGAGATCCGGGGTCGCAATACCGAAGCTCTACCAGCCACGGTTGAAGAGAGCATTCTGACTTGGGAGGCTTCTCGAATTCAGAGCGGCAAGTCTCCAAGTCTTATCCACATCGTCAAGACGACGCTTGAAGACTCAGTCAAGCCTTACACGAACTGGGCTCAGATGAATTACAGCAGCGACGCGCCACTGGCTGATTGCCCCGAAGGCACTGATTACAAGATCGTAGAGACCGCCCTCCAGCATCATCTCTACACGCTCGCCGAGCAAGGAGTCATCTGGGACATCGTCTCTCTCAGAACTTGGCTTGCTACCTTAGCCCCGGGTAGCGTTCCCGGCACAGGCCTTGGTCGACGCTCGAAGCGCCTACATCCCCCAACCTCCACCGAAGAAGACTAGCTTTTCCCTTCAGTTGCCTGGTCTCGTGACTGTGAACACATCGGCTCGCGCTCGCTCTACTGTATATCGTGCTCTCTCCTGTCTCCTGTCCTTCCGCGTTGTGTCTCGCCTGATTTCCATCACATGTACCTACCATCTCAATCCTGTAGATTCTTGGAATTGATGTCTTCGACTGCAAATTTGGATGACATGCAAAATTGCGAGCGGATGGCGCCATGAGTTGAATCAAGGATGCGAGCCGATTTCAAAACGCGATACGCAGGTGGACACCAATCACAAACGCCTAGGACGCCCAAAGCCGCAGATCCATCCTTATGCTCCAGTGGTGAATGCCGATGCGCAACGCGAGACGCGCAGTGTGAGTGTAAAGACGGGAGTGTTGATTGCGGTCAGGGAGATTGTGCAGTCAAGAAGTGGCAGTTCTGCGCCTCGTCCTCGAACGCGTTCGCTCCAGCAGAGCCATGCAGCGTGGAGCGCGGGTCCAGCAGCGCGTGGCTTGGGACGCAGGCTTTGCTGCAGGCCGGCGCACCTCCCCGCGTTTGCGCAGTTGAGTGGCTTCAAGCTGCAGCTGGCCGAGCGGACCGACATGTCCCGCTTCCCAACCGTCACAAGGACCCGCAAAGCATGGAGCCTGCTGTGCTCTCACAGAGAGTTCGATCTCCGACTGGATGACTACATCTTTTGGGTCAGTGCTTCCCCGAGGATGTGAATGGGAAAGAGTAGAATGGGCCCGGGGGCAAGGGACGCGGGAAGATGGAGCCCTGCTTCGAAGAGAGCGAGGATCACGCGTTCGGATGGTGGAGTCTTAACAAGGTGTATAGAGCCTTCAGAGCTTGGACCATCGCTGCCATGGACATTCCAAACCTCCATCCTGGCTACCGAAGCGAGCTATCGGATCTTGACCCATCATCACCTTGCTCGCAAAGCCCTCACTGTGATAGCGTACGGTGCTGCCAATTCCACATCCAAACCGAAGCTCATCTGGCAGTGCCGCCGAGCTTCTGCCCATCATGAGTCTTCTATTAGCACCGTAGTGAGTCTGAGGAGGAGTAAAGGTGGAATGGCTGCCATAGCCAATCTATTCAAGCTGCGTGGAGGACAGAATTCAGCAGGAGGCCAGGTCTGAGACAGGATCACTAACTCGCCTTCACTCACTCTTTTGTTGATGGCAGCAACAATGCCATGCGCCTAGGTCAGGGGTGAGTCTTTTCCCAGCTTTCTTTGAAAGCAGCGAGCCATAACGCTAACCTCCAAGGTATTGAATCTTCCAGTTTCAACTCCTTCACGCAACGAATATGCATCGACTCGGCTGTGGTAGTGAGCCCTCATCGGGCGGAAAATTTTCTCACCAACGACGGCATGACGATGCGCACACTGGCAGAGGCAAGTGGTATGCCCAGTCTTTGGACCACGACGGAAGAAGTGCTTCTGGACGAGTCGCGTCAAGCTGAGGCCGAGGCGGTGCGAGCTGAGCAAGTCAGAGTGAACAACGACGAAGAAGAGAAGATGCTGCCTGGCATGGAGCATTTCACCTCAGAGGAAAGGCTTCCACGCGAAGAGCTCATCCGCGCTCGAGCCAGACGAGAGGCTTCCAAATCCGATGTTGGAGTCTTTCCTCCTCCGCCACCATACGAAGCGCATCAAGCGAGCCTTGACCGAGACGCCAAAGCTCGTGCGGCCATGAAATCTTGGAGCGTGAATAACGTGGGGGGTCCGAGTCAGACGGTCACCTTCACAAGTCGCTTCGTCGACAATATGAGTCAGGTAGTCAAAGATATGGGCATATCTGCTAGCTTGTCCATCAAGTGCGGAACCATTTCTGGCTCGGGACGTGGATCGTTCATCCAATCCGACACCTTTGCTCAGTCTGATCTCAATTACTACATCTCGGTCAAGTGCGAAAACACGTCGATCAACTTCAAGGATCCGCTCGAATTTGCTCCTCTACCGCGCAGCGTCGTTCCGGACTCGGACTTTGCGGAAACGTACGGTGCGTAGCGCAGCGCTCGACCAGGCTTGTTCCACGACGCCTGAACCTTTTCTTGTTGGCCCCTTGCCCACCAGGCGATTCCTACATTTCTGGCTTCCTCGAGGGAGGTATCTTCGAGGCCATCGTGTCTTTCAAAGTGCTCAATACTGCCAAGATGCTAGACATCAAAGCGGCAGCCAGCGTGGCTTTCAGCAGTGGAGCACTCGACGTCAAAGCAGAAGCCTCGTTCGCCATGGCCAAAGCGAATCTGGCTCTGAACACCGAGACGTCGATTACAGCAAGATGGAGCGGAGGCGGGGTGATCAAACCACCAGATGAGCCTTGGACTATCGAGACGCTGATGAGAGCGGCAGTGCGATTCCCTCAGAATGTCGCCCAGTGTCCGCAGAGGACTTACGCTATCTTGACCAAGTATGACCATCTCAGGAGCTACTTGGCGGACAAACCCGTCGAGCTCAGCAAACAGTCTTACGAAAACCTCACTTCCTACTCGGACGAACTGCTCGAGATGTTCATGGAGTACAAAGCTATGCTGGCTCGTTGCCAAGCTGATATCAGAGCCATTCTTGAAGGTACAAAACGTTTCAAGACCGCTCAAGTCTTTGCAGACGACGTCAAAGATCCCTTTCCAGCCTCAATTGATGGGCTCGAGGCTGCATGCACCGAGATGCGACCACAGCTTGGAGCAATAGCTGCACGCATAGATGAGCTCTCTCACGACGCTTCTCTGCTCAGCTCTCCAGAGAACTTCACGAGTCCCATTGCATTTTGGCAGCGTTTGCCCGTTGTGGAAGATCCGGCTACTGCTGGAAAGCTCTCTTCTGCTCCTCTGACCGGCAAGAGGATTGGTAGCGCACCGCCTCAGCGCAGCCAGCCGACTGCGGATCCTGCACTTTCCGAATTGTGCGAAGAGCAGCCAGAAGAGCTGGGCTTGACCAAAGAGGAGGAAGTCGCGATGCTGGATGCCATGTCCAGCGGCGCACTCAGAAACGCCGAGGATGGGACAACAGCTACGATAAAGATGAGCCGGCCTGTCGGCTCAAGAGAAGATGGCGTTCCCTTCTTTGGTTTTACGTTTGCTCGGAAGCACTTGGTTGTGCAGTCCATTGAGGCACACATAGGTGGCGGGGCGCTTCAGAGCTTGCTCGTGACCTACTCGAACGGTCTACAGTGGCGCAAGGGAGCACCTATCACCACCTCACACATCAGACACGTGCTGGACGACTTCAGAGAATCAGAAGTCATCATTTCGGGATGGATCGAGTATGGCGCACCTGCGGACAAGTCAACCTCCGCTACCGTCACTGCTCTTGGTCTGCGGACGAGTGCTGGGCGAACATTGAACGCCGAAGCGGTCGACCAGCTGCGCTGCGGATACAGATCGAGACAGCTTGACGGCAAGCTTTTCACGGATCTGAAAAGATTCGAATTTGTCGCTCCTAGTGACGACGCTGCGCTTGTAGCCTTCTATGGCACCAGCCGTGAAGTGCACGAGAGCGAGAAATTCGAAGAGATGGTGGAAGTCACCGACAAAGCGTCTGCCGACAATGTGACTCCGGTTGCAAATGACAGCAAAGAGGGCGCCAAGGCGGATGCGGCCACCAAGCAACAGAAAGTGGAACGTGTGATCAACAGACCTACAGGGATCCACCGCCTCGGCTTTGTGTGGAGCGAGCCAGGCGCACATGAGACCCGGTGCAAATACGCAATGAGCAAGACGCATCTTGTGGACGCATTGACCGACGCTGATCCAGTCGAGCCGGCTGCTATGGCCAGCCTCTTGCCACAAGAGCGCAGAGCCCTGCTCACGCTGGCAGCACGCAGTTTGTACAAAGGCAAGCTAGTAGGAAGATCACTGATCTCTCGTGCTCTTCCCGGCGCACAAGGCAAGATCTTCAGTGACGTGGAGCTACTTCGCACCACCGCTTCGCAAGTGTATTGGCCTACCAAAATCACCTTTTTCTTTTCGACCTCGCATCTGTGTGGACTTGAGATGGGCTTTGGAAAAATGAAGATTGCCCGTGGAGAATGCGAGGGACAGAATGTTCTGCCTTTCGAAGTCAAGCTTGAGAAGACGGAGAGGGTGTCCGAGATACGTGTCCAGCGAGGGCCCGACGGCGTTCCTTCTGGGCTACTTATGCTTACCTCTGCAGGAAAGGCAACTCCAATCAATTGGACGGGAGAGGACAAGGGAGGCCAGCTAAACAATCCTGACTCTCTTCGAGCACCGCAAGACCTCTTCTTGCAAGGCTTTTTCGGCATCGAGATCGAAGACCAAATTCTCAACCTTCGCCCTATCTGGGCTTGACGTGCACTTGTTGCGACGAAGATGTTTGGCCCTCACTTCCGTAATTCATGACTTTCCGTTGATCTTTCAATACCTGTCATGATCAGCAGACATGCTTGGCATGCGTAGTGATCACATTCTCGCTCATTGGACACGAGAATGAGACATGCTTTATTTTTGTCATTGCATCGAAACACATCGAGAAGAAGAGGGGAAAATTTGACAAAGACACGCTTTGCAGACTACACTGCGTACGGGTGATGAAGAACCTTAGAGAGCAGCGATGAAGACGACTCCGACGGTGAGGCCCTTCTGTTCCGCCTCAAAGTCGAGCTTGACAGTATCGTTGGACACGGCTGTAGCGTTGCAAGCTCGGAATGTCGGGCCAGACGCGGAGCCATGGATCTCGTTGAAAGCCACAAAAGTCTTGCGCGGCTTGCGAACGAACTTGGCAGGCATGACTAGCTCCAGAGATTGCTTGGCGCTGGTCAATTGCACCTGCTTCGAGTGCGAATAAAAGAGCGCATTGGTCGTTTTGTATGAGTCTTTGACCTTTGCTTCTTGCTTCTCTGTTGGCTTCTGCTCAGCAGGCTTGGCCCCTGCTGCATCAGCTCTCTCTGCGCTGGTTGCACCAGCAGAAGTCGAGGCTGGCTGAGCAGCGGCATCCTTTGACTGCTCTTTTGGTTGTACTGGCTCTTCTTTCACGCCGCCTTCATCGTGTGCTAGCCAGCCAATGGTCATGGACTTGAAGCTCGAGCTCGCAGTGTCAGTGCCAGCGGAGAGTCTGAAACTCGAGGCGGACTCTTCGGAGGCAAACGCCTTAAGGGTGTAGTCTGTTGATGTCGCAGCGTAGTCGATGATCCAACAAACGATCTTTGGCTTGCTACCGGCTTTGAAGGGAAGCTCGAACTTGACAGTCTTGGAGGCAATAGGGGATTGGATGTCTTCAGCCTCGAAATGGACACTTCCTGCCTGGATGTGCATTACGTCGATTTCTGGCAAGACCATCCAGCTAGCAGCTGATGATTTCGTAGCGGCTGTGCCTGTAGGTTGAGCGTTATGATCCAGCGTGAAGCCGTCTACGCCAGCTTTGGCCGACAGGTTGAAGGAAGGAGGGCTCTCGGCCCCTAGTGCTAACGTCGAAGGAGCGTAGATCAATTGAGGGATGCCAGGGAGGTGACGATCGAATTTGACAAGCTTTGAGGTCTTTGCATTCAGCGCAATCGGCATCGACTCCCCGTTGACACTGCTACTCAGGCATGGTATGGTGTTCTCTTCATCGAAGACTGTGCTCTTCGAAATGGCTTGAGTCCAAACTAGTCCGAGTCGGTCAATGCCAGAAGCGCAGTTGCCTTGCGTCTCTGTGGACCGGCCCCAGAAGCCAGAGACGTATCCATCGCAGATCGGCTTTTCGAACTGCTGCATGTCGTATAGACTACTCCTTTCGCCGGTGTACGCCCACTGAATGGATCGACCCTTATTGGTAACCAGATAAAGACCTACGACGCTTTGCACGGTCTCTCCATGGTCGGCGTCCACTTCGATGCGTGCAGAAGTGATCAACTCTCCGTAGCCGAGGCCTTTGAGCACCTTGCGCCATGGCTTTTCGGCTTTCGCGGCATCGCGTCTCTTGAGGTAGTCTTCTTCCGACTCCCCGTCTTCAATAGTTGTCTCCTGTTGATGAGGAGGCTCGCCGTCTTTCGAAATAGGATAATCTTCGATATCGCCACCGATATTGACTGTCAGTCCGTCGAGATAGGTACACGAGAGGCACTGTAGGCAATCGCCAAGGATACCAATGGACACCTCGGTGATGATGGGCTCAGGTAGGTCGTAATCGAGGGTGCAGAAGGGCTGCCCGTCCGTAGTGCTGCCAACTGGTGCAGTGAGTCTAGTTGTCTCCGCAAGCTCGACATTGTCACGCTCAAGATCGGCAACCTTGATCTCTTCGGAATTGGACAGAATGAGTTGCGTCTTGCTCTGATCGAAGAGACGAGGAGTGATGTCGGCGCTGCCGAGCGCCGCCTTGGTACCATCCTCCGTAACTTTATCGTTAATCAGCTCTCCTGAGAGAGGATTAGAACGCAATTTGCGAACTTTGTACTCGACCGCCGGAATGAGAGCGGCAAACGAAGCGGGCCCAACGAAGCTCGGAGGCCTTTCTTTAGTAGCAGCAGCCGGATCCCTAGTTATCAGATCAACCTCTTTGACGATGGCGCCCATTTGAGCGCGCATTTGAGTCTTCGCTTCTTCCAAACCTTCAAGGCTGTCCACGAATGGTTGCAAGTTGAGCAGTTCGACTGCTTTAGAAAGTGCTGGAGCGTTCTCCTGGCTTTTGGGCTCCTTGAATCTCTTGCGGCCTGCTTGTACATCCAGAATGGCAGTCCCAATGCGCTTGTACAGCGTCTTGTACTCAAGGTAGCAGTCCATGAGCGTGCCAGTGTACACGGCAGCATTCTCGTAGCCTATCTTGGAGACGGTCTTAGGACGCATGGCTACATAAGAACGTAAATTTTCATAGCGAGTCAGGATCGCGTGCGTCCTTTGCGGGAATTGAGAAGCCAGGTATGGAAAGCGTTGGGCTGCAGCGAGCAGCGAGTCAATGGTCCACTCCTCATCGTAGGGCTTGATGGAAGCACCGCCTGCCCAGCTGACCTGTATCGACGTCTCCGTGTTCATAGCAATGTTGCGCTTGGCAAGAGCAAGATTGCCGTTCGCCTCAGCGTCAATTCCTGTAGTCAGGACGACCTTGGCTTCGGCAAGAATATCGCTCTTCTTGACGTCGTTGAGCACCTTGATGAGGACGACAGCGTTAAGCTCGCCGCCTTCAAGGAAGCCGGAGATGAAGCTGTCACCAAAACATTCCAGGTGCTCTTTGGTGCCTTCTTGAATGGAGGAAATCGGGTTGTACGCAAGAGCGTCCTTAAAATTCACGCTCGAGTTGACCACCTGCGGGCAGATTCGGAAGATGAGCGAATTGCAAGTGTTGAGTGACGGTCACTAGGACTCACCTTGACACTCAGGTAGAATTTGATGTCGGAATTGTGAAACTTGTCCGTGTTGACAAATGATCCACGCCCAGAGAGTCCAAAACTATCCGTCTTGACGCTCAGAGCTGCACTGACATTCATATCGTCTGCCACTTCACTCAGTTTGTTGATGAATTGAGCACGATAGCTGACGATCTGGCTTGTTCCTCTGCTCTTCTCAACGGACCAGGCTTTGCCGGCAGGCCCCGAGTCGTCCCGCAACAGACCTCCATCTCGGCCCTTTTGGACCTTGTCGAATGCCTCGGCCTTTTTTCGGAGCTCTCCATCCGGCTTGAGGGTAGATGATGTCATCGCTTTTCCGGTTGCGGTGATATCCTTCGCGAGCTGCTTGTTGCGCTCCGCTTGTCTCGCTCGAGCCTCTGCCGTGCTCGCATCCTTTTGGGTTTGCACATCAGCAGCTGTGAGTGGCTCGCTGGAGGCATCAGGGACCGCGCTCTCAGCAGAAGCTTCAGCTGCCGTCTCGCCAGCCGGGAGTGTGGCCACAGCCGACTCCTCAGCCGTTCCATCGGAAGCAGGCAAAGTGTCACTAGATTCAACCGGCTCTTGCGCAGGGACGTCCTCCGGTACCTCGTAATTTTGAGGCTGTGGAATCTCTTCATCGGCAGCAGGCTCCGTGCTTATCTCTGTCGGTGTACCGTCTTCGACGTACTCTCTCATTTGACGCCAGACGCTCGCCTTGTGCATACGCTGCGCAAGCATTCGCATGGTCGTTCCATCATTTGAGAGGACATTCTCGGCGCGTGAGGGATCAATGAGGACCGCATCGTCTACGCAGATAGAGTGCGTGTACGAGTTGAAGCTGCGAGCAAGTCTGCGAGTGAGCGCCAACCCTTCACGGACCCTTACTTACTTTCCGCGGCCCATGCCAGGAATCGTTACACTCACCCTTGACCAAGGCGCATTCCATTGTTGCTGCACACACGATTCCAGATTGCGTTTATCAGCGGATGATCGAACCTCAAGAGGTAGTGAGTATACTCACTAAGGTGCTAAAAGCATCGACATGGTGTCCAAGCTGATGGGCGCAAGAGATCCGCCGAAGTGATGGAGACAGGGACGATTGAAGGAAAGGATCGAGGAGAGGATCCATACCGGAATGTGTCTTTCCTTAAGCCTCAGACTCCAGTGGTTGCTTGTCGAATTCGTTGTCGAGACGAGTCGCACGTCTGCGTCTTACCAAGGTCACGCATTGAAGCGCAGTCGGGCGCCCCAGTCATGGCGATCCCACTGGGAAACCAGACTTGCACACCCGCCGTACATGGTGCTGCGCGTTAAGGAGACGAGGGCATTATCTGGCTGCTCGTCACGCGTCGGCCCGAAGCCACATTTCCACCATCTGTGGCTTTCAGATCCGATTGGCCGAGGTGCCTTTTTCGGAAGCAAAGCATGCTTGCAGGAAGCAGACTTCCCGCTGAATGTTGGTAAGCCAGGGGAACGTGCGTGGATGCACGACCGCGGGAAAGACGCGCAAGCCAGGCCTCGACGAGAGCCCAGATGGGCAGAATTTTGGCGTGAGGTCGAGTGCGGATGAGGCCTGTGTGGTCTGTGGTGTCGAGCGGAGAACAAGTGATCCAAGTGAAACAGCCAGAAAGTTGCAATTTCGGGAGCGTCGTCTTCTCGCGGCGGACAATAAAGACGTGCTGCACCCACGGCCACGGGAAGATCTGCATGCACGCACAGACCCTTTGCACCGTGCATGTAAAGTTCAGAGTCCGATGCTGCAAGTCGGTCCCGCGAAAGGGGCGGTGGCTTGAAGTCGAGTCTGTGTGAGTGCCGCTAGTCACGAGTCGAGGCGATGAGAGGCTGGCTGTGGCGGTCACGGGTCTCGACGACCATTTGTGATTATGGATCTCCTCTCTGACCGAGAAGCTGAGTCAATCTGCCTTACAGCACGACCCGACCTCCACGATAAGCGATACACTTTTCGACGTCGGCTTCACATGCAACAAAGCCCCACACCTCCCCGTGCCGGGTATGCGCCACACCTGCGAACCTTGTGTTCCCGAGCGGAGCATGCCGCCGCTGCTGCCCGAGGAACGGGGTTCGGAGGGAGTCCCACCTTGTAAGCCGAAGGGATCGAGCTCCTCGCTCTCGGGGTGGATCAAGCATGCTAGCTAGGAAAGAATGGCCGTGGCTACCGAGCTGGAGAGGTAGTCGTACAACGATACACCCCGACCGGTCGCAAGGTCGGAAAATTTCGCACTGGTGGTGCCAGATGGCCTGGGACGCAGCATTGTCACACACAGTGTGAGAAGAAAACGCGACGCCATGGCTTGCGTTGCTACTTCAACGGCGCTCCATCAATCGAAGTTCCAAGTCCTCCTACCACCATCAGTCTTTGCATCCCCTTCCCACCTCTCCTGCTGGCAGACCTTGCCCAGCACCGGTCTCTTGAGCAACGATGGGTCTCCTGCTAGCACCCTAGTGAGTGATGTTGTTGACTTCATCGTGGATGAATACCGCGCACTAAGTTCCCACCGCGTTTTACGCTTAGCAACAATGCTATGCGACTTGGACAAGGGTGCGTAAGGACGTAACTTTCTAGCTGCGTGCTTGTCTCTGATTCGGCCATTGTCCCATGCGTCTCTCACAGGTTCAATTCGTATACGCACGAGATTTGCATCGATGACGCCGTGACCACCAGTCCTCTACAGTCCGAGAATGTCCTGACTAACGATGGCACGACGATGCGTCTTGCGGCGATGGTCCTCGGCAGATCCAGCGCTTGGACGAAACAGGATCAGATTCTGCTAGATGTCAGTCGTCTCGCCTCAGCTCAGCAAGAACGTCTTGACAAGGAAAGAACTCCGCATGTGGAAGCTGTTGATGCTGCGAAGCCGACTGAGAGCAAATCAAACGAAGAGGCAGCAGAAGTCCTTGCCGACTTGGACGGCGTTCCAGCTGCACCAGTTGAGCCAGAGCTAACTGCGACGGCTACCACAGAGTCTGCGTCGGATGAGCCCCTTGCAGCTCCCGAAGCTGCGCAAGCTGCAGCAGAGCTTGATGCCCCTCCTCCCACCGTGGAAGACACCACCTCTGATGAAGTTCGAGCTGCACCAGCAGGGGACGCAACAGATTCCGCGGCAGAGCCACTTGCCGATGCTGCCCCTGGCGGTAGCCCTGACGGTCTGGGAAGCGAATCCTTTGACGCAATCCACAAGTCAGAAGCCGGCGACGCAGCGCCATCCACCGCAGAAGGCACAGCCTTGATTGAGCCATCCCATGCAGCTGGTGCTAAGCTAGGAAGCACTGCTGAAGAGAAGGCAGCAGAAGGTGAGCAAATTTACGCTATCCACACTCACCATCGTCCAGATTTTAAGTGAGGTAACTTCACCACTGACGCGTCTGCATCCATCTAGCTGCGCCCACCGCGGTAGGCGCGGAAGGCGAGGATGTCAAGCCAGACACCACCTCAAAGAAGGTCGGAACGGGAGCGGCTGAGGTTGGCGAGCTGTCACCAGGCGGTGAGAATGGCAGGCCATGCTAGCGCGCGAATAGCGTAACCACTGACCAAAATTTCTATTCATAACGGTGCTGCGACTGGCCCTCAAATTGTTGCTGCAGGCGTCGGTACTACTACAGCAGCCACGACTGGAGACAAGACAAGCGCCGCAGCAGCCGCGAAGAAGGGCGCAGCGCCACCAGCAGAAGACCCAGTAGCCAAAGCGAAGCGCGAAGCGGCGCAGCAAGCTGCTCTCAAGAAACAAATTGCTGCGGACCAAGATAAAGCAATCAGGCGCAAGGAACGCGACCCTGCCATGGCCGATGCAGCCGACAAATTCAAGAACACGCTTGACCTCAAAGCAATGATTGAAGCTCACAAAAAGCTCATTTTGGAAGCTGAGAAGTCACGAGAAAAGATGAACACGGCGCTTTTGAACAAGGGCAGGAAGACTATGATCTTCGACATTAAGAGCTCCAGAGGCGTGAGCCAGACCGTCATCTACCGGGCCGAATTCATCGACAAGCTCAGCGAGATCACCAATGATCTCGGTATCAGCGCCGCACTTTCAATCCAGAAAGGCTCCATCGGCGGCTCCGGGAAGGGATCCTTCATCGACACGGACAAATTCAAATCGTCTGACCTCAACTTTTACATCAGCGTCAAGGTAGTCAATCAGTCTATCAACTTTCGCGATTGCCTTGAGTACAACCCATGCGGCGATGGCATCGATGAGAGCAACTTTCGCAAGGTGTTCGGTGAGTCTTTCACCTGCTGCCCCGTTCCGACAAAGGCTTGGTTGTCACTTCGCCTAGCGGACCCAGCTAACGCAAAGGCGGCCCCCCACTAGGCGACTCATTCATCAGTGGATTTCTCGAGGGCGGTGAGCTGACCGCTTTGGTCACTATGAAGGTTTTGAACACAAGCAAAGCGAGAGATATCAGCGTTGAAGGTGCCATCACCGTTGGAACTTCCAGCTTCGACGTCTCCGGCCAAGTAGCTTACAAGAGTGCTAAAGCCAACCTCGAGCTCAACACCGAGACCACCATCCAGGTCAACTGGCTTGGTGGAGGTGTCATCAAGCCTCCCAACGAGCCTTGGACCGTCGAGTCCCTTACTCGTGCTGCGGCGCGCTTCCCAGATCACGTAGCTGAGACGCCTCAACGGACCTACGCTATCCTCACTAAGTACGAGTCATTGCGAAGTTTCCAAGCTCTGAAGCCGCCCAAACTCATCCCGGTAGCCTACGAAAATGCGGCATTGTACACAAACGAGCTGCTGGATGTCTTTATGAGCTACAAGGCCCTCTACAGTCGACTGTCTGTACAGATTGCCGAGATTCAAAATAACACCTCGAAATTCAGGAAGGCAGAGCTCGCTGGACAGCAGAAAGACTTAGATGATGGGATCAAGAAGCTGCGCGAGCAGGCTAAAAATGGCATTCAAGGTGCTAAGCTGATTCTTGACGGCACAGGAAATTGGAGTACTCTGTCACCGCTTCACAAGAAGCAGCGCATCGGCCTCTTTCCCCCTACTCTTGATGGGCTGGACGCTGCTCGTCAAGCCGTCCGTCTTCAAATGAACTTCGTCATCAATCGCGTTGAAGATGTTACAAAGAGGCCCGATCACGTGCTGTCGCAACCGGCAGAGGAGTTCTTATCGCCTTTCGCCTTTGAAACCCTTTTGCCTGCTCTGGAGCCAGCTCAGCGCTCCACCAAACGCACTTCACCCCTCACCGGAGAGAGAATGTATGTCAGCTCGCAAGAAGCCGAGAAGCAGCAAAGCGACAGTAAGAAGACGTCTCAGGATGTGAACGGTTCTTACGGAGATTTGTCAGAATGCTCTAAGCTGTGCTTCATCAAGCAGCCGACGAAAGGCGAGACGCTTGACTACCAGCTGCAACTCTTCAAAGACGAAGTCAAGGGTCTAGAGACATTCCTTGCCGCGCGCGGAGATGGTATCGAGGAGAGCATTCGCCTAACTCCACTCATCGGAAATCAGGAGACCGTTCCTGCGCCAGGTTCCTTGTTTAGCAGCTTGGATTTCGTCAAGCCTGGATTCTTGCTTAAGTCTTTGACCGTAAAGATGAACGAAGGCGTCGTCTGCGGTCTCATTTGCAAATACACAAATGGGCTTTCTTGGAGGCGAGGCAAGACCGACGTGCCTAACGTGCAAGGCGCAACGACTTCCATTTCCCTCAAGCCAGATGAGCGCATCACGTCCATCGTTCTGGTGTCCGGCACAGAGGCGATTGATCGAGGAATCGACTCGATCTTGTCCCTCAAATGGTGTACGAATCACGGTCACTCTGGCGTTGCGGAGAGCGCGGAGACCAGAAGAGCGGGCTTTGGTCGAAGGATCATCAACGGCAGACCCTTTCACAAGATTCGAACAATCACCTTTGACTCTCCTCTAGAGCGCGGATACGTTGTCGGCTTCTGGGGACGCAGTGAGCAGACCGAAGATGACGCTGCCCTGTGGCGTCTCGGCATGGTCTGGGCGAATCAAAATCCAAGCGATGCTAAGAAAGATCCAGCACGGGATCAGAAGCAAGCTCTGGCACGTGCCATCGACGAAAAGAACGAGACGCGTCTCGAAGACGCACTGGCAGTGAAGAGAGCTTGGGATGACGACAAGCGCAAATCGAAGGTTGAGTCTGACGCAGCAGAGAAGAAAATCTTAGCCCTTAACAGGGAACTTGCTCAAGCCAAAAAAGACGCTGCCACTGCTGCGCGCGAAGCTCTCGACCGCGAAGCCAAGGCTGCAGAGGCCGCCGCGGCTGCGCGAACGACCGACCAGACAGAAGCAGACAGAAAACTCAAGGAAGAGGTTGAGCACAAGCGTGCAGAGCTTCAAAAACGCATCGACGAGCTTGAAAGCGTGAAAACGCAGCTCGAAAATGACAAGACGGATCTCGGAAAACAGCGCGAAGCTGCTGTAGAGCGTGGCAACAACGATGTTCGCACGAAGGTGGAAGAGAAGAGGGTTGAGCTGCAAAGACAGATTGACAACCTTACATCTGAAAAGAACTCTGCAGAGCAATCATCGAGGAGCGCTTCTCAGAGGAACCGAGAGCTCAATGATCAGACTGAATTACTCAGGTACGTCCATGAAGCCGCATTCAGCCTCTTCGTGATTGCTGACTCTACATTTGGCTTTACCTCCCGTGACTCGTGTGTAGAATGATGAGATATGGAGCAAATTGTTGGCTGGTCATCGGCCCATGCTGGGTTTTCGACTGGCACGTGGGTATCAACAGACTCACAATCCACTCTGTTCATAGAGGGGCCAACCAACGCTGGCTTCTGCAGCCCGTCAGTGATGACGCTTACTGGATCAGGAGCTATGAAAATTGGAATGGCAGGGTGTGGTACCTTGCTACGGAAGGCAGCGACAATTATCGCGGCGAGTGCGCTCTAGCTTTGCGAGAAAATAACGGAGACGAATGGATCTGCCGCAAATCACCTCACAAGACTAACGCTGTCGAGTGAGTGCACGGGCGCACGTTTGTTGCCACGCCGCTGCAACGACTCACACACTCGCCTGACCGTACGCTATTCCTTACTCCTGACTCTCACCTACCTTTCAGATTTGTGCTCAAGCGAGACCAAAGATACACAATCAGGTGGCCTTCCAACAGCCGCGAAGAGAGCGCCCAGGTCTACGCGTACAGTGGCAGCGACAAATGCGAGAGAGACGGTGTTGAGGTACATTACCCATTCTAGGCAGCTCTCCTGCCGCAAAGCTGTTCTTCCGCACCGTGGCTCATTTTGAAAGCAAATGCTCGTTCGCTGGTGCCTCTTGCGTGAATCGTCAATGTCGGACCAAGACCTGCCACGACGAACCGCGCTGTGACGCCCCGCCAAATTTGGTTGCAATGGGCGCGAAGCGTGTCTGTGAAACGCGTCAAAGAGCATTATGCTGAAGGCGAACGTCATGAATTGGGTGTACGTGTCACATGCAAACTGAGTACATCAAATGGCCAGAATCCAGGTAAGCCCAAGAGCCTTGACGCCTGAGCCTAAATTTCCGTACTCGAGTTGGAGCTCTGTGTTGGACGTGCCAGGTAGGAAAGCAGAAGTGAAGCTGATGGGTCTATCGGGCAACGTGCGCAGCTCATTGACGCCCACAAAGTTGACCGTGGGCTTGCTCTCCAGACTAGGCTCCAGTTTTCGAATGCAGCGAGAGCTGCTGAAATCTTCGAAGCGCTCTTCGCCGCTGACAATGCTTGCGTTGGCCTTGTCTGTCGAGTGCGTATGTGCCAGCCAGCCAATGACCACTTTGCGGAAGATGACTGTTCCATCCGACGGCTCGAGAACCACGCGGAAGCTTTCGCTGGTGACCGAGTCCTTGACGATGGAGGCCCGAACATAAAGTTCTTTTCCGGGGGGCGATTGGTCGGGATTGACCTCGGCAGAAATGCTGCTGAACCAACACCTCACATCTGGCTTGACATCTTTCCCGTAAGCTTTGGGGAATCTGATCGGCTCTGCGCTGGGCTGCGTAGTGATCGAGCCACAGTGGACGTCGACCGTCTCAATTTCGGGCGGGACCATCCAGTTGACGAAGAGGGCATCCTGCTCCACGCGGGTCATGGTACCAAGCCTGAAGCCTAGCCGATCCACTTGGTCAATCTCGCCACCCATCACGAGTCCCTTCAAGTCGGTCTTGGCCTTCTCGGAAGACTTGAGATAGTGTGGGCCATGTATGAGCTGTTGTGGTACACCGAGCAGCTGCCCAATGGGATACTTGATCTTGCGAGGCGTTTTGCTGTTCACCCATTCAGACTTGGAAGTACCGAGCATACGATCAGACTGCGGACCCGCTTTCTTGTCTCCACTGACATTCCGCTGCCATGCCAAGAAGCAATGAATCAGCCCAGCACTAATCTTGTCTCATCTCGCGACATGACTTACCTGGACGGCTCTGCTCCAAATTGGTGCGAGGCGATGCAATCCGTTAGATTCATCGCATCTTCCCCAAAAGCCTGCTAGAGCACCTCCACGGAAGAGAGTCCTATACTCGTATGAAGTTAGCTTTTGTCCATCGAGAAGAATGGAAGACGGGGCCAGCAGGCTGAGTTTCTTGTCGTCCGAGACCAGTATCTCGATGCCAACGATCTGTGAGCTGCCATCGCTGGGTGTTTCGAGAGACTGGACATTGATCGAGCCGACCGTCTGCTTTTGCGCATCAATAGAACGGATGCAGTGGGACTCGGGGCAACGAGATACTTGTGCCGAGGTAGCTTCTTTGCCGTAGGTGCAGGTGAGACCGTTGTCGAAAGCTATGACTAGCGATGCCAATCTGTCTTTATCGTCAGCTATAGCCCACACATCAGTCACGGTCGTCTCCGCTTGGGCAAAGTCGAGAGTTGTGAAGAGCTGACCAGCACTGGGATCGCCAATTGGCACATCACACTGATATTGTTGGGCAATGCCTTCGATAGCATACTCCAGCTCTTGCAGCTTCAGTTGCTCTTCGTGACTCAAAGCACCGAAGCGACTATTCTTGCTTGAGCGGCACAGCGAATCCTCCCCGACGGCTTGCTCGGCCTCAGCAGAAGGAGCGCTGGTCACATCTTGGACGTTGTTGATGCGCGGCAAGTCGAGAGGAGCCGCAGTCTTGCGTCGACGACCATCCTTCACGTCGACGTCAGGAACCAGGCTCGCAAATGATGCGGGCCCAACAAAAGGCTGCTGATGCTTAGGATCGACTGCTAGTTGAGGCTGAACGACCAGCGCCTCGACCTCTTGCGAGATCGCGTTCATCTGCTTCCTTATTCCGGCACGAGCGCTGTCTAGCCCGCTGAGAGTAGCAGGGAAGTACGTCAGACCAGCTCGCTTCAGTGATGAGGACAGCGGGGCACGTGTGTTGACGTCTGTCTCCACGATGACCTTTAAGCCAGCTTGCACGTCGGCCAAGTCGCCAGTGATGCGCTTGGCGAGCGATTTATACTCCATGTATGCGTCAGCTAGCATGTTGGTGTAAAGATGCGCGAGTTCGTACTGGAGAGGGCTCAAAGCACGAGGCTTGAGTTCCTTGTACGATCTCAACAATTCGTACTTTGTCAAGATGGCGTACGTGCGCTGGGGATACAAGCCCACCAGTGCAGGAAATCTGGCGGCAGTCGCCAGGACAGACTCCACCGTCCATTCATCGTCATATGCCTTGACGTTACCTCCTCCGCACCAACGGACAAATATCGTGGTGGAGACGTTGTTGGTCACGTTTTCTTCAGCCAGCTTGACATTGCCTTGCGCGGACACCTCGACAGGGCCAGCAGTCAAGGCCACTTTGGCTTCAGCCTTGATGTCCCGTTTCTTCGCTTTGTTATGTACCTTCATGCAAATGACTGCATTGAACTCGCCACCCTCGAGGAAGCCGGAAATGAACGAGTCTCCGAAGACCTCGTTGAAAAGCTTTTCGTTGGTCATGCAAGAGCGCAAAGGATTGAAAGACAGGCAGTCTTTGTAGGCCAGAGTCGAGTTGGTGACGCGACAAGAGACGTAGTACACCAGGTCAGAATCGTAAAAAGTCTCGGCGTCGAAAAAGGAGCCCGAGCCTGACCCTCCGATGGCGTTGTAGCGGATGGACAAGGAGCCTGAGATCGACATGTCGTCGGTAATCTCACTTAACTTGTTCACAAACTTGGCTTGATATTCCACATTTTGAGCTGCACCGCGAGCCTGCTCAGGCGTCCAGGGCAGCTCTTTCTCGCCATCTTGCATTTTCACGCCCATCGTCCCAGCGGCAACTTTGGCATCGTTGTTCGCGTGGATCTCGTCAAGCGTCGATTTGATCTCCTCGTGGCTCATCGCTTCCGCATTCTTCTTGGCGGCATCTGTGCCGCTTTTGCCGGCTGGTTCGGGCTCGGCTCTGGACTTTCGAAAAGCGGGTGGCGGAGTAGGCCCAATGACCTTCTTCTTGGCAGCGTTCTGGGGATGTGTTGGCAGTGGCTGGCTGACATCGTTCTTGGGCGTGGGAAGCTGAGAGGCGCCTCCATCCATAAGACCTCGCAAGCGCGGCAGGGCGCTGGTGCTCTTGCTATGCTCTGCGAGCATCTTCATCGTCACGCCCGCATTGTTGATGACATTCTCCGGTCGCTTAGGATCCACTACTACGGCATCGTCGATGCATATCTGCTGTGTGTACGAATTGAAACTGAAGGCATCAGCGGCCGTAGCAGTCAGCATCTCATCTGATAGTGCTTCGAGCGTCGCCAAAAGTTGCCTCACCCTTGTCCAATGCGCATGGCATTGTTGCTGCGAGTATGAAAGGCCAACGTCAAGGATTGATGAGCGACTGTGTAGATGCGTTCCTGCTTCGCAGTGGAGAGCTTCGACTCACTATGGAGCAAGTAGCAGCGACATTGCGCTTCAACGTCAAATGACAGCGATCCAAGACGGTGTAGCTGCGATTCTGGAGGGGCAGAGGTAATGAGTGCTGGTGAAGGTGGGCAATGTTCAGGATCAAAGTGGATGCTTGTCAAAAGAGCAACGCGCAACTCTTTGCGTGGCTCGAGAGGGCGCTAGCGACCATTGTTCAACTGCTCGACCCAAAGGAAAAGGCAAGAAGCATTATGCCTACATATTGATTTGCCGTGGGAAGCTCAAGGAGGAACTTGCAGTGGCTGGCTCGTGCGAACGTTCGGCTCTCATGGTAGTCTCATCGGAGCGAGAGAAGTAAGGTTCGCGGAGTCGTGAGTCTGGAATCGGCGGGGAGCACGCACGCATGCACGCACCAACTTCGGGAGCGCAACGGGATGCATTGTGGCGAGGCGGATGCAATCTGCGCGTTTTGGTTCCTGCATGACGCTAGCGGGACCGTGACTCAAGACGTGCAGAGAGGAGCAAGCCCATCTGCATCTTGGCCGAGCGGGCCGAGAAGGGCGAGCAAGGTGTGGCTTGCGGAGACCTCCTCTGTAGCTGCCTGGGAGTCCGACCATGCGGCGTTGGCTGCCAAACTTACCAGTCTTGCCCTCTTTCGCTGACGACTCGCAAGCTCGACTCCCTGGTGTGATCACTCAGCAAGTCCCACCTCGCGAACGGTGACAAATTCTGACTTGATCTTCGCGACTGGTTCCGACATTGCGTCCAGGACTTCGCGGACGGTGGGTGCCCTCGTGAAGCTAACAACCACCCTCACATAGTGAAGCGCCTCTGAGGCCAACACTCGACACGATGGATCTCGCCATCCAAGAAGCCCAGAGTGAAGCCGCTTTCGAGTCCAGAAAGCCCTCGCTGGCCGAATTGGCCAGCAAAAGACTTCCAATCACGGTGCCCTGGAGCTCAGATCATCTGCTCTTTCCTGGTCAAACCTTTCACTCGAGTCTGTACAAGACGGCGGATCCTTGGTCCAAAGCTTCGCCTTTTGAAGATTGGACTGCGACTGAGCTCACAAATGACAGCGATGTTGGTCAAATGATGTACCTCTGCGCTGATGGCGGCACCACTGGCACTTTCAAATCCGCAAAGACCCAGTCGACTGTGCTCAAAGAGGACCACGAGAGCTTTGGCTTTACCGCCACTGTCGATCTTGGCTTTTGCACGGCTTCCGGTTCGCTTCAGTACGATAGGAACATCTCGACAAACGATGATGTGAGTCTTGACGAGATGTTGCGCCTCATTAGGAAAAATGCGGCGTCCTTTGACGGTCCTCTCTGTTGCACTTTGTAGAACATCAAGACTTCTGTTCGAGCGAGCTACCGATGCGGCTCCATCATCCTCCGCAGGCCCCCTGAGCTGAGCCAGGAATCTTCTCTGGCCCTCAAGTACGGCGAAGGCTTGACAGAATTTGAGGCCAAGTATGGAGACTACTTCATCTACGGCTACAATCTAGGGGCCGATAATGCGATGCTGGTGTCGACCAACGCATCTTCCCTGAGCACTCAAGAGCGCAAGACCCTCACCGTCAAAGCGGAATGTTTCCTCTTCGATGTCGAGTTCACAGAACATTTCGACTCTGCTTCATACTCTGCTTCGGCCGCTCTCAACATCACGGGATATGATACCCTGTCGGGCTCCATGCTCGACGAGCACACAAAATGGCAAGCTTCCACCTCCGTCGAATTTGACGCGGTTCAGCGAAGGAGTAGAACTTTGCGCCTTTTGGGCGACCAGCTTCCAAGTCGCGTGGAGGACGCCTGTGAGGAGCTAGGGCTGCGGTTAGGCCAAGGCAAAGCGAATCGTGCAGAATCGGCTAGGACCGGCCTCATGCAGGACTTTGCCCCCGTCGCGGGACTCGAGAAGCCGGTGGACCGAGCAACGTGCAGACGACTGATGGAGAGCAACGTGATCGTTGAGGTAGTCTTGATGCCAGTCAAATCATTGCGGAGTGTGCAGGAGTGGATGTACTCAGACGACATCATTTGATTTCAGAACGCGAGAATTGAGCTCGAGTGTACAAAACGGAATTCGTATGCGATCTTGAGAGCTCTGGTCTCTCCGCCGCTTGTGTGACCCAGCATGTCGCTTGCACGTTCTGTGCACTGTCGTGGAGCTCCGATAGACGTCTGACACCTCAAGGAAGCGCGTTGCGATTCAGGATACGCAACGAAGGCGAGTCGTAGCTCTGAGTGCACGCTCTGCTCGATGGGACCGCGCTCTAATAGTCGTCGTCGTCGTAGTCGTCGTCGTAGTCGTCGTCGTAGTCGTCAAAGTCTCCGCCGGAGTCTGCCCCTTCCGACCATGCAGAGTCGTCTTGGAAGCCGTCAGATTCTTCTTTGGGCTCGTCGTCGTTTGGCTCTGTCTCCAGCTCTTCTTCTGTTGATTCGTGCTCATCCTCCGTCTGCTGTTCGGACTGAGAAAAGGAACTTGCGCTCGATTGCTCCTCTGCTGCTCCAAACTCTCCTTGCACGCCTTCTTCTGACCAAATCTCATTTTGATCCTCTCTTTCCCTGCCTGTCTCCTCCAATTCCTCGTCTAGTCCCCTGTGCATCCATTCGTTCTGACCCTGCGTTTCTTGCTCCTCCTCTACCTTCGACATTTGGTTCGCCTCTGCTTCCCATATCTCGCGCTCATCGCCAGCGTCATTCTCAGAAACTGCCTTCGACTCTTCCCCGCTGGCTGCCTCTGCCTCTTCGTGAGATCCGAGCTCGGAATCATCTCCCATCGAGTCGGGCGACTGCTCCTCCACAAATTCCTCCAGCTCTTCGTGCGATTCCTGCTCGGACTCTTCGGAGTCCACTTCTAGCTCTTCGTGCGCCTCTTCTTCGGACTCTTCGGAACCACTTTCGGACTCTTCCTCGGATGAGTCGGGTTCGAGAATGTGAATGTATTCATAGTGATCTGCGGCGACGAAGCTGTAGCGTAAGCGAAGCCTACCTTGTCTACCCTCGCCAGGAAGACAACAGACTCACGATCAAAGGGCTCGCCTTTGCGCTCCATGCCATGGACGCCCAAAAAGCGTCCTCGAAGCTGCTCGAGCCAGAGTCTACCGGGTGGACTCTCTTCTCTTATCTCCTTCAGGTATTCCTCTTCTTCTTCACGGGTTTGCGGCATTGGTCGCGCTCTCAACCCGTCTTTACATATCTGCCTTTGCAAGGCGACCCACTCGTTGTAAATGGATTCGATCCTTGGCACGAATCTGTTACGGCAATGGAGCACAAGGACAGCGTGCACCCCGGTCGAAAGTTGAGCACATAGGGCCCAGTCCGCGTTAGGTTGCCGGCACTCACTCGTCATGCACCTCCCTCGCTACCCTAGCAGCTTCTTCGATGTCGATTCTATCTTCGGGCTTCTCCGCCATCATAGCAAGAATTGCATCCGCCAGCCTGCGCGGAAAAGCTGCAAACTCGTCTTCTGGCAAGGCATAAGGGTTCGCTTCGCCTGACCAATACCCAATCGAATCTGGTCCTTCTTGAGGCAGCTGTGGCAGCTCTGCAACCGGTGTCTCCAATGTCTTGTCGAAACGCTGATGGCGAAGCGAGAAAAGGATCGGGGCTCAACACAGACTAGGGTCTCGTTGCGTCGGTCCAAGGTCGTGACAGCGCACCTCTGATCCTTTGCAGCTCATTAAGACTGATCGAATCTCATCCAGTTCAGTGAAAGACATCTTCTCGTTCAACAATCTTCGAGCGACGTAGTTTCCCATAGCGTACACATCCCGCTTGAACCTGTCGAAAGGCACTTCCTCGTGGTGCTCATCTCGCATGCTATCTGGCATGTTGAAGAGATTGGATTCGGGATTGGCCGTCAAGTATGCTGCGTTCTCGGGTGTAGTGCACCATAGAGGCAGAACGCTCTTATCATAGCGGTGTGACACCTCAATTTGTGGCATAATTACCGGGCCCGCTGGGTGCACAATTTTGACTTTGCTTGTGAAGCTGGCGTAAGCAAGATTCGCGAACCACTGATTCCGAGCGCCGTTAAGAAGCAATATGATTATATTCGGAACTGTGTCTTAGATCAGCTTCTGTTGATTCTCTGCACTCACAAGCTTGGGTTCAGGTACTCGCGGATCGCCGATGGCCATTCTACTGCACCATGGCAGCCCGCATCTCGCTCGTTCGTCTGCCCGTTCGCCTGTTTCCGTGAGCCACTCTGCCCCGTGGGGAAACGCTTCGTTAGGCTCCAGAGGTAGCTCCTCTACGATCAGCGGCCGCTTGCTAGACGCAGCGGAATGAGGTGGAGCAGGCGTCTGATGCGTCTTGTCGATGTACATGTATAAGAAGGTCATGTCTTCTCCAAAAACGTTCAGAGAGATGCGATTCCGATGAAACCATGCCAGACCACAAATCGCGTCTTTGACTAGCTCCAACCTTCTGCGCATGTGGAGACTGGGAGGCAAAGGCAAGTGGATGCTCCGCTCGTCAGCCCACGGAATTGGGTGTATTAGGAGTGACGTATTGCATCCATAGTCCAAGAAATTGACGAGCGGAATCAAGGGGCAATCAGGATCAAGTAGAAGATCTCTTCTGCGTTTCCACAGGTGTCTGAACAGACGCATCTGCTGCGAGTCCTCCTTTCCGACGCGCACGACATGGCGGTGTAGCTCCGGGCCGTCCAACTTGGTCGTCTTACTCTCCAGAGGGCGTGTCCAGCAGGAGCTGTCATAGCCGCGCCGCTCAGGGGCGGTCTCTTCTACCGAGACGATCGCATCGATTAAATCAGCTTCAAACTGCAAGCCGCTCCGCTGCGCAGGTCTCTGCTCAAAGAGGCTGCCCTCGTCGGGGTAGCCGTTGACCCAGCGCTGTAAGGTCGTAGTGGGGAAATAGCCTGCGGTGTCGACGCTTCCGAGGGGGGCTAGACGCATCCCATCAAGCGTCATCAGCGTACGCGTCATTCTTTGGCGGACACTTGCGAGCGTCACCGAGAGGCCAGCTTGCGTGAGCCATGCCCTACTTACCGGTCCCGCCAAGTTCTCCTGCCATCGGCCACCAGCCGGTCAGAGATGGAGGATTCGACCACGCGTAATGCAATTCGAAGGCCAGTTCGCGACTTTTCCTCGTGAATCGCTCCAAGATGAATGCTGACCTGTAGCCATGCACTTGCAAGAATGGCTGAAGTGAGCGCAGGATGTCTTCTTTTGCGCTGTCCAACTCTTTGCCAACCAACAACGAAGGCCACAGATCCGGTTCGGGCTGAGGAACTCTGGCCATCCATTGCGTGTAGTGCTCTTCGAAGATGCGCTCCCGAAGCTCAGCAATGGCGAAGGTACGCCCCGCCGCGCTTACGTGCAGGGCGCTTTCAACCATTCTGCTAATTTTGGTATCCCTTTCGCAGGGCGGTGCAGACGAGGGCCAACGGGTCGATCGCCTCGACTCAACCAGCGCACATGACCAACATCAACGTTCACGCTCTTGCATGGTCGTCGTAATGATGCTCAGGGTGGTGTGTGGGAGCAAGGCAGGCAAGTCGCTGCGTAGTCGCGATCTTCAGCTTCGCTTCATCGCTGCATGCATGCTGGATGGCGGACACGCACCGCTGCGCCCTGCTGCAGCTTCGAGCGGAATCGCTTTCGAGTGCGCCGTGCGGGCCGCCTGTCGTAGACCTAGTCGCGAGTGAATGGCTTCAACCCCCTACTACTTAGGTTTTAATCCTACTGTTGGGGCCGTCATGGGGTCAATATCCTGCGACTATGGGGATGCTGGTTTGACCGCAAATGGCGCTCATGACACGTCGGTCCACCTTGGGCTGACCGGGGGAATGACACTCAAACTCGGAAAAATGTTAGTGAGCCTCTTGACCGCACGCTACAGTTGAGGGCAACGCGACCCGCTCGTCCTCCCGCCAAAGTACAAGCAAGCCACCATGCAGTCGCGGGGAGCGAGCGCGCCATGCACGCGTCCGTCTGATCACGATTGCTGTGAATGGTAGTTGCCAAGGTCCACTGGTGGACCCACTCTGGAACGCAAGCAGTACATTGCTTGCCATTCGAGTCCTCCAGTTCATACCTAGTCTGAACTTGCTGGATGTTCGGACGCGGGTGCAGCCCATGCGAATGCGACGAGCGTATAGGCTTCGCAGGCAGCTCCCGCTCGGGTCAGCGCAGTGGACTCGAGACCTCTGCGCCTCGGCCAGCATTCCAAAATGATCACCTGGGCGGATCCACTCCGCTCTCGAACAAGCGCTTCACCTCCAAGCTCTCAGGGATACAGGGTGATTTGTCTTGCGTTGAGCTTGGATCTGGGGTACGTAGCATGAGTCCGGTGTGGCTTGAACTTTATTTGTCACTGTGGGAACTACCAAGTGATATTTGCACCGTGTCATCAATCAGCGCATACGCCGACTCACTGCTCGTGGCTGCGAGGCAAGCATTCCACTCTAGGCTGCTCCCGGAAAATGCTACCTGCATTAGACGCTGGTGTTCCCAGGCTCGGCCCGAAAGTGGCCATAGCTACGTCGCACCATTCATATCATGCCATCTGTACTGGGCTAGCACCACTGCAGCTGAGTATGCCGACTTTTGAGGGAACCCATCCACCTCCCGCACATGCTGCAGTCGAGGCCCACCAAGCGATTCGTGCCTTTCGATGAAAACAAGCAAATCACGCTTGCTGACTGACGCACGCTCGTAGCCGATATCAACTGAGCTCCTCAAGTGGCTTTTGCGGCTGGGCGGGAGACAGTCGGTGGCTGTTCTCGTGGCTGTGGCTGCTTCCCGACAAGAGAGCGACAGACGATACGTGGAAAATACGTAACAGCGCTCGAACAAATTGGGCCTCATCACTTGCTTCCTGACTGTTATTCATCCGCAAGCAGGATGGATGGCTTAGAGCCCCTCGCAGCTGATACGCGCCCATGCTTCCTCCGGAAGGCTCATTGCCTGAAGGTATAAAATGACCACCGGGAACGTCTAGTCGTCATTGTGTGATGACAACACCTTCACCGCCCCAGATACAACAACCCCTCCCTCTCTAGCCATCTCGACAGCTCCCCTCCTCTGGTTCCCGCCCACCGCGTTCACCATGCCCGTCGCTAATACTGGCTCTGAACAGGTTGTCACGCCGGCACAGGAAAAGGCCGCCGAGCTCGTCTGGAAGAAGCTCAAAGCCCTACACGGCACTTTCTACCGGGCAGACCTGGGTCTGGGCCAAGCTGTCCTCAGCAACGGCAAGGTCCAGGTCAGGTCCATCAGCGATCTCACCTCGAAGTATGTTCAGCTCGACCAGACGTGTCACGTGCGCATGTCGCTACCCGAAGCTCTGAGGGCTTTAGGGGATGTCAGAAGAGCGTGGACCGACTTTGACAATGGAGTTGATAGTCGCCACAAAAAGCTCATCAACGAGATTGCGACCTGTGCGAAGCTGGATCGCCAGACGAAAAAGGACTTGGAGCTCCAACTGCAAATCTTGACGCACGAGTTCAGGTCCAATCTGGCACTTGCTGAAGCGGCCTTCCAGGAGGCGGGCCCGAACGCTCCTCAGAATCTCATCAAGCGCATGTGGCTCACAAACGCCGATGGAACTGCTGTGAAAGATCTGGGTTCTCCGATGGGCTACAAACCTAACCCCGACTACAAAAGCTGGGGGCTGTGACCTTCTTGGACAGTGAAATCCATTCGCGTGAGTGCTGAGTCTCGATGTTGCATCGCTGGCGCAAGTTGCGCAAGCTGATCTCTTGTATTCCAAATTGAACGCAACGGTCTGGCAGGCTCTTGGCTAGCGATGCTGAGACAGTAAAGCACCAAAGACAGTCTTGCGCGTGAGGGTGTATTGCTGTTAAAGTGGCCTTACGTACCGGCGCTTGTACCGATCTCTTGGCTTGTATCTGAGGAATCGAAGACTGCAGAAATGCCAAGTTCGTCTCTCTCTGCTTCAGGATGTAAGTTGGTAGTAGCTGGCCGACTAGGACAGTCTGCGGGCTTTTGTTTGGCTTGCGAGCAGGACGTCCACCCGAGGCGTGAACGGCCAAGCGAGATACAATAATTCTGAAAGTGCAGGCGTGCTCTGAGCGTCAAGTGATTGATATTGAGAGGATGTGCTTTCTCGAGGAGTGCCTGAACCGATGTCAGACTCGCCATGCCAACAGGAGAGGTAGAGGTGTTGCGAATGTGGTCGTGTCATGTGTATTCGTCATACGTGAACAAGTACTGATCGCCGTTCATTGGACGATGAGACTACCTACATGGTACTCTAGCGCGTTTAGCGATTTGCAGATCTGAAAGATGTCGACCCTTCTGAGCACATGACCTAGCTTACGACACGAAATCCTATCCACACTTTGACTCCCTGATCGATCCGAGGCCCAGGGATGACGAGTGTAGTCCTCGACGTAGTAAACAGGAGCGTCAGGGTCTGCATAGAGGTAAGGCTGAATCTCGAAAACTTCGAAGACAGACTGTTCGTCTGATAGATTGGCACCCGGGAAGTCGCCAGGACCGGCAAGACACGTCGAGCTCCAGCCTAGACCATCCGAATCTACACCGATACTTGTTCTCCCTCGTCGCTGTCGTATTCGTCATTGTTAGAGATGTCTTTGCGCAGAAGGCGGCGGCAGATAAGCACCGAGCATTTGCTGCATAAATGTCGCCATAGCGGCGCACTCACAGCGTACATACTCATCGACCGCCGCTGCAACAGAAGAGTCAATCACGTCAAGATACTGCCCACGAAAATGCTCCAGCCACAGTCTGTATGGAGGCTCTTCCTCTCGGATGGTCTTAGCATACGCCGCCTGCTCTTCAGCCGTGCTCGGCATTGGCGCGGCCTTCTGGGCCTCTTTGGCTTCGACAGTCTGCAGCTTGATCCAGTCTTCATATATCGAGACGATCTTTGGAATCAGGCTGGTGCGATCGATCCGAGCGATGATGTTCACGCCCAGAACCAAGCGCTCTGGTAAGCGGACGCAGTATTGTAGAACAAAAGGTTCGCGTCCATCACAACGACTTACTCGTCATGCGCTTCCATTACTATCTTTGCGGCATCTTGAATCGATATTCGGTTTTTGGGATCCTCCTCTAGCATCGAGAGCGCCATATCCGCTAGCCTTCTCGGGAAAGCAGCGAAATCGTCATCGTCATCGGCGATTACTCCTCTACTGATCTCCCTTTTCAGCCCCCAACATCCGGTAGCATCTGGCCCAGGCTGGGGCAGCTGAGGCAGTTCATTGACGGGTGTGCGTAGTACTCTTTCGAACCGCTGCTCGTCGAGGCAATGAGGCGTCGATGTGATGTCAGTACTGTATTGGCATTCACTGGCCAGAGGAAAGGGACGCGGTGGCCTTTTGCGCACCTCGGAATGCTGAGAATCGAGCAGACCCTTTTTGATGTCCTCTAGACTGCGCACCCGTGGCCCGCAATTCAACAATAGTCGGCCGACCAGGTCTCCCATAATATAGACATCCCTACCAAACCTGTCAAAAGGCATTGGCTCTTCAAGCGTTGATCGAAGGGACTCAGGGAGCTCAAATAGATTCGCACCTGGATGCGCATACAGGTAGGCTCGGTCTTCAGGCGTGGAGCATGCTTTCGGTATCACGACCAGGCCCGGATATTTCCCCTCGTACGGCATGACTTTTCGGCCTCCTGGATGAGCGTCTTTGACTTTGTCGGTAAGACTGGCGTATGGCATGTTGGCGAACCACTACATGAGGCGTGAGAAGGAAGAGGCCACATCAGCTATGAAAAGGGCCGTCGCTTTCCGCAATTTACTCGACAAGCCTCACCAGCCTAGGACCGGGCACACGCGGATCTGCCGCTGCTGTGGGAGTGCACCATGGCAAGCCAGCTTTTCCGTGGTAGATGTCCCAGCCTGGCGTCAGCATCACCCATCCGGGACCAAATGGGAAGGGCTCGCTAGGCTCGATTGGTAGTGCCTCTAAAACTTGTTGGCTCTCTACTGGCGCCCCAGTGAAGCGACGTGAAGGGCGGCCCTTGCAAGCATACATCCACGTAAAAGTCAGGTCACTACCGAACACGTTCAACGAGATACCCGCTCGGTGTAGCCAGGCAAGGCCACACACTGCATCCCTGATCATCTCAATCCGTCTGCGCATGTGAAGGTCGTGGCGAGTCGGCAGACGGTGATCGGGGCCGTACGCCTGGGGGACTGGGTGAATGAGAATGGTGCTTGCCAGTCCGTAGTCGAGAAAATCCACGAGCGGCACAATTGGGCATTCTGGGTCAGCGAGCAGATCTCGCCTGCCATGCAGCAAGTGCCTAAACAACGACAGCTGCTGAGAACCACGCGAATTTAGACGAAGGACCAGGAGTGGCTTGTCAGGTGACTCCGAGGCGCCGTGAACATTCGGACTATCGTCGCCCGGCTCTGATTGCCTTCGGGTAGATGTATCGCTGCTTGGTCTGGGATACTGAGTCGAGATGACAGCATCAAGCAAGTCCGCTTGAAATTGCAGCCCTCCAACCGACGTAAGACAGCGCTGCCCGAACAATTTGCGTTCGTTGGCATGACTTCCGAGGTGTCGACGATCAAGATCGGTCGGTTGTTGATTCTCGAAGTCAAGATTGCGAGGTGGTCCTGCACCGGATTTAAGAGATGTCTACGTTAGTGAAGCTCGACTCCATTGTAGAAGGACCGCTTCTCAGCCTCCATGGTGGCAGGCCCCTCACAACACGAGAATGTTGTAGAACCGGGGCTCTATGCTCCTAGACTTTACCAACATGGGCTCACGCATGAAACGCACTCACGTGGCAGTCAAGCATCCCGATATTGCGGCCGTTGAAGCAGGTCATGCGAAAGGTGTAGCTGGAATTTGAGGTCTTGGGGTCTTGCGATGTACCTATCAAGGAGGCAAGCTGCTCTATAGCCATGCACTTCGAGGAAAGCCCCCAAAGCTGCAAGACTTGCTTCTCTCTCCTCTACTAATTTGTCCGTGACCGAGAGCAACGGAAGCGTGTGTGGCTCGGGTTGCGGGATGCTGCGTAAAAAGAGGTCGTGATGCGCTCGGAAGATCTCGCTGCGAAGCTCAGCCAATGCAAAGGTGCGCGATGCAGCGCTTTGCTCATTGTCAGGTTCCGTGGCCGAAGCCTTTTGTATGCTGAAAGGCGGCATTCGGAAAAGCTAAGAAATGGATGGCACCGAGCCGTGACGATAGCCTTTCAGCTTTGTCGAGGACTTGCGCTTCTAGACTGAGCCGGGCTAGATGGAAGAGCTGAAGTAGAATCTGGATGCCATGCATATATGCTAGTTTGTTGCGCCCAAGATTGGCAAGCGGGCGAGGCTTGTGGTCCTTCTACTTCGCCCTAGGAGCATCTTCTCTTCGCGCCGGAGCCTGCAAAAGAATGAGTTCTGCACGCCGAGCGCTTTCTTGGGTATGCACTACATCCAGACGATGCTGTTCACGATTGCAGCCTGACGACCGCCTTCCCATCCAAAAGTAGAGCCCTGCTGGTAATCACTTGATCGGAGCGTCCATGCTGGCGGCTTAATTCTGGTGTAGGTACAGGAGTAGGTGGTGAGAGGCTGAAGCATGCATGCATGGCTGAACGGCCCGTGCGCAATGAGGTGATCTCGCCCTTTGTCTACATGCATGAACGAAGTGCGTGAGTGATGAACGAAACATGTCCTTACCTCCAACTTCCAGAACATTCTGCATGCAGGAGCGTCATATTTGGAGTCCATCCAACATGCGCGCAATTCTGATTGACACGCCACTTTAAATATTCTCCTCTCTCATATATTAGATCAATCCTGATTATTCAGTATTGATACACCTCGTCGTCTCCCTCTTCAAGCTTGCCTTTATTCTTGAGCTCATCAAGAACGCTCTTTATCCTCGCCGATACTTCCTGACCATACTTTTCCTTGTCGAGCGGACCTTCTCTAGGCTTCTCGAGGGGCGCATGCTGCAACCATGCAATCTTCCGAGCATTCTGCTGGGATGTCGCAAAAGACTTGATTGACTGAATATTGTCGTCGTTGAACGCACCGCCAAAGATGACTGCTCTGATGCGTTCCGCAAGGCTAATCGAATCATCCGTCAGAGCCTTCTGGATGCCCGTCTGTGCGTCCTGTTGGTCTGTGAACACTTGCACGACTGTATGGTGAGTGGTTCCAGACATGTCAGCTATCGACAGCGAGCGTTGGCAAGGTGGCAGACTTACCCTCGTATTGTGGGCGCAGAGCTGCTCGCACACCGTCAGCGATTTTAGCCGTCTTGCCGCACAGAATCACAGGAACGGTGCGGGTGGTAGCACTCATGCTGGCTGATCCTTCTGCTTGGCAATTCCCAAAGAAATCAAGATCGCTGAAATAAACGAACTACTGCCGTGTGCTGCTCGAATCCCTAGTCTAATTGCGCTCGCGGATGCGTCTATGCTCATCAGTCGCAAGGTGATGGTGGTGGTCGAATAGAGGATACAAAACCGCGACTCCGCCTCCACCTGCATCTGCTCATCGGGCAAATTGAATCGAAGGTGAGTCTGGTGCTTGCGCGGGCGCCTCTTGCGAGAGTCACGTGAAACTATTATTCAGCTTCGCTGACATCAATAAGCACCCTCAAAACCTGGGACTCATTCAAAAGAATCGGACGACGCCAAATTGCATCTATAGCTATTCCATTCACAATTTTCGTTGATAGACAAGGTCTTGGAATGCTCCACAGTCAATCTCATAGGCGCGCCGCGCAGACCGCAAGGTAGTTGCGTAACGGAAGCCTACCGCACAGAGACAGAGTCGCTGTACTTTCGGACCAGATTATTGAGCGCACTGCCCGCTCCCAGCGCCACAAGCGTCGAGGAAAATATGCTGACGACGAGAGAGAAGCGCATGAGCCGACTGAGCATCGTGAACCGAGCGCTAGAGTCGCTGACTCACATGCTGAAAAGCAAAGAAAGGGTGGTCAACGAACACAAAAGGAGCGATCAGCACGACTTGGGCAGCGGTAGATGCGTACAAGCTGCAGCAGAAATGGATACTTACACGCTGCAGAGGCATAGAGAGATGTGAGCACGGCGTCAGCTGCTGCATGTGGGCAATGGAACGAAAGGCTTCGACTCACTTGTAAGGCTGTCATTCGGCAACGTGGCCGGAGCAAAGAAAGCATAAACGTCAGCATCGAGAAGCGGTCCTTGACAAAGTAGCACCAAACTTACCATCTGTCGCGTAGGAGACGCAACAACACGAGGCGCGAGGAGAGGCGAACCAAGTGATGAATATCAGCGCGCTTCGACGGCTAGCCCCAGCTTCCACTCACAGAAAAATCGGGCACAGCAACTTCGAGCAGAGCTGGCGCAGTGTACCACCTCCTTCCCCACACCTCGTTGCCATCGTTAGGATTGCGCACACGCTCCACTATGACAGCGGGCGGCAAGTCAAATCCTCTATGCGCGTCGGGCGGGTGCTCCTCATATCTCATAAACGCCTTGTCGTAGTCGTACGTCAAGAGCAAGGTGCTAGCAGGAGGAACTCGGAGGAAAGCCTCAATACGCGACGGTCGTTCGCGCGTCGATGCCGCGCTGTAGGAGAGCGATAGTAAAGGATTCAACGTCTCTTCATCGGCAAAACGCACAATGTCCGAGGCTGACTCGTCTGCAAACATTGCGCAGTGAGCTCAGGTCAGCTGTGCTAGGGTAATAGCCTGATCTTGAACCTCGGTGCACGACTCACCCCATTCGTCTAGCTCCAAAGTGGTGTTGAGCGAGTGCAGATACGGTCTAACAAACCAGGGCAACACGTCGTAATAGAGCACGTTCCTCTCCCTTTTGGGATCGATATTTCTGAGCGTGAGCTGCACCCGTCCTCTTTCCTGACCCGCGCCGACGAAAGATCGTGATACAGAGAGCTCGGGCAGCGGTACGTTGTGCGCTAAGAAGCAAAAGAAATCAAGAATCGCGTCAGACTCTACCTCATCTATTCTCATACGATGGCAGACTCACGATGCGCGAAACTAGTCTCATCTCTCCAACGCATCTCCAGCTCAAAAGGCATGTCCAAAGCATTTAAATCGTACTCAAGCTTCTCTCCCCTCATGTATGCTTCTTTCGCTTCGCTCTTCGTCTCTTCTTGATCGTCTTGGCCACTTGCAGTCACAGGCCCCAAAGGCATCGGCTCAACGACAAATGCAGGTGGAGCCACGTCGCCGTCCTCGTTGAGTTCCACAGGTGCGTCAGCCGGTCGATGCACATGCAAAGTAGAGCTGCTAGCAAGCGGACAGCTCCTCTGCAAGGATCTTGAGAAGAGCTTCGTCAAGCTCCAATCTGAGGCGTTCGCAAAAAAAGGCATCAGCGCTATTGTCGCAACCTCTTGAAAGGGCCAAAGTTGAGCACTCACTTCTTCTCCCTTCGAATAGACCCGTGTGCGGGCTAAAAACGACATTGACAGCGATGTTTAACTGCCAAGCTCCCTTGCCATCCTGGCCTCCCCAGTGCTCATCTCGGGCAAGTCGAACGGTCATTCCGCTGAAATCCGCCGCAGCAACAGCGTGTGGTTCGAGCAGGCTGGCGAGCCCAGCGTGGGCCGCGCAAGGCAAAAGTCCAAGCAGTGGCGAAAGGTTCTCTGTGCAGATGTTCTCGGAAGGTAAAAACGAGTGAAGTAATTTGGTTGACCGCTGCCCATCGGACGAGGTGGGGTGGCCCGGTGAAGATGATTGTGTTCGTGAGTGGATGAGGGGCGACACTATGGGGAGGTGGGAAGGAGAGACTGTCGTTCGTGTGTCGAGAGCATTGAGGGTGGTGCAGAAAAGGCCGGCTAGTGAAGCGGTGAGCCTTTTCCAGCCTACCATAATTTGCTCAGATGGTTGAGCGGCGGATTCCGTGGTCTCGTTGCTATCGTAGCCATGAAACGCGCTTTCGCATGAGTGGTGAGAATCTCGACGCATCTGTCTCGCAACAAGCAGAGCTTAAGCTCACCTCATTCCTCTCAAGCGAGCCCAAAGTTCCGCCCCACTGCCGACCATTCCCACATCTCCATGCACATGCATAGGGTGACCCCACTTGCCATAATCCCACGTTCCTCGGTTGATAGACAGCGCAATCTCCTCCGCTCTTCCAGCCTGCGCAGTATGCATAAGCGCTCGAGGAAGGAGGTTGTAGTGATTTGTGCTCCAGATGTCTTTGTAAACCTGGGATTCAAGGTCCGCTTCTCGAACGTTGAAAGAGAAGTGCGTGTGTACCCGGCCGTCTATCAAGGGCCGGATGGATAAGTGCTCGGCGTAGGCACCCTTTTCCTCCACATCACGCGACTGCACCACTCCGAGTAATATCGTGATCAGGAAAAATCTCCACAGACCTCTGTGACGATGGCCACGAGAAGTTGACCGGCCAGCAGAGCTGGGATTCGTGGCGTCCACTTCTTCCTGCTTCTGCTCCGTCTGCTCCCGGACTCCACTTTGCACTGTAGCAATGTTGTCTCGACGCACTTCACCAGGCAAGACGGCCCCAAGCAAAAGCGCAGCGGCCACAGTGCCAGCCATGACACCGATGACAATTTTCCAGGTCTTCTCGTAATTCTGACGTGCCTGGCTCGGATCGTTGACCAATATATAACCACTGGCGATATTTCCTGCACAATAGCCTGTAAAGATGGATCCTGTGGCAATGGCTTGTTGAGTCTTGCCTCTGATTTCCGAGGAAGCTATGCCAAGAAGCATGACGAAGGGCGCACCAAAGATGGGCAGCAGGAGGTACCCTGCGTATGGCACTGCCCGATCAGTCCAGTCCGAGAGCCAGATCATCAAGGCGCCTGCTATCACTGGTAGACAGGAGAGGATGAGCAACAAGAGTCGAGTGCCTTGATACCGACGTGAAATGAATATGACTAGGTAGATCGAGATTGCCGTGACTGCTCCGCCAGGAGCTGAAATAAAAGAAGGATCGATGAGATACAAAAAGCATGACTCGGCATGCGCACATGGTGGCTCACCTTGGAGAGCAAGTGCTTCTGCTCCGCCGGATCGGAACACAGCCCGGACAAGGATGGGGCCAAAGACGGTCACGCTTCCATTCACAACTATTGAGAGAATGAGTGCAATGGTTCAGTATGTCCTGCTGCTCCCCTTGCATGAGAATTAGTCAAGCTGCTCACCGTAGATGAGAGTAGCTATAGCAAGAAATAGCCACATTTTGGGGTCTCTAGCCGCCCTTCTGATTTCTCTCACCGACCAATCGTCCTTCCAGTCCAGCTCCCCCGCACAATTTCTGAGCGGGTCTCCTTTCTCCGGTTCTAAGCGCTTGCTGAGCAGCTCCCTCTGACCCTCGCTGAAGCTATTATATCCCGGTATAGCAAGAATGGGCTGTGTGTCTGGCGAAGGTGGTAAGAGCAGCGCAAAAAGCACGCCGAGCGCAATGGTGAATGCGCCGGGAACCAGAAAGAGGATCATCCAGCTTTGAGGAAGTGATGTGCGCGTATGACCCAAGCCGTAGTTTGTCAGACCTGAGACGATTGAGAAAACACCTGTCGCTGAGCTGCAGATTGTAGCACGCGAGGTAAAGAGGTGGAGCGTAGGTTCAGGCAGAGTCATGAACTACATTCGGAGCTGGAGGAGAGACTGCACATGCGCATCGCACTCACTACCAGAGGCCAAGTCGCACAGTCTGCTCTTCTCGCGTGTACCATCGACGTGTGACAGCGACGAAGCCAGGCGAGACTGAAGACTCCACAAAGCTGTGAGACGTAGCAGACGCAGCAAGCATGAGCGTCCTCTTCCTCTTTTTCCCGCTCTTAGCGCATCGAACCTACCCAAGGAAGAACCGCTGGGCGACCAATCCTCCAAAGTTCTGAATTGCTGGAGTGAGGAGCAGGATTCCACCCCAGACGACGATGCAGCTACCCAGCCAGACGTTGATGCGTTTGAAATGATTGGCGGCGAGAGACATGGGAAAAGCGCCGACTAGGTATCCCCAGTAGAATGCGCCGGAGGAAGTGCCATATTTGGTTCCGCCAAGACCCAAAGAAGGAATGAGATTGAACAGTGTTGCTGAGCCGAGCACGGCTTTGTCCTTCGGGGCGCGATTTGTGCATCAGAGGTCATGAGACGTGTTGAACAGGCGCATACATCCACCCAAATCTCGGCTGAGGAGGCAGCAACGCGCTCAAGACTCACCCAAAATTGTAGGCCGTATGCGACAAATAGCAACGGCACAAGAAGCAAGTCTACGCGCAGCAAAAGAGTCCGAGGTGTACCTTGCACGTCATCCGCGGAGACCTTTTTGCTCGCTCGCTCCGTGCTCGCCCAAGCTGCTCCATCTTCGCTCTTGCCCGTGCTGGGTCGCGTACCGATTTGTTGGCCCATCTGTGACCAGGAGAGGCGTCGCTTATGGGAGCTCTCTACGAGCGTTGAAGCTGGAGCTGAAGCTGAGTCATGAGCAAGGGACCTTGCCGCTTTCCCCGTTGCGAAGATTTCCGCGATAGCCTCTTGAAGCGCGAGGGTGAGCTGGCTGCAAGGATCTGCAACGATCAAGTGGGAGGATTGGAGACTGAGGGCGCTGGATAATGACGAGGGATGCTTTCAAGAGCGCCCAGAAGCGAGACTGTGGTCGGACGAGACGAGGCCGAGGATCGAGGGTCAAAAGCGATCCCAATCGTGAATAAACAGTCGATCGATCGAGCTTTCTCATCGTGATCGATACCCGACCGTATCAAATCTCCGCGGACTCCGCGGGCACGCCGTCAAACCCAGAAGAGAATTCTTGCTCCGGACGCGCACGGACGCGCTGATATCACGTGAATGCCGCCCGCGGGGCTGTGCAGGAAGTACGTGTACCTTTCTGATATGAGCTACAGGCAGGTTGAACGAACGTAAGCGCTCCATTCACGATTGCAAGCAATGAGTGAGAGCACAGGCGACTCATCCTGCTTTGCAACTACAAGGAGTTCTTGGGTGAACCACTGTGTCAGCGCACATACAAATTGTGCAAAGCGTCCCATCCGTCCTCTTTCCTCTCCTTCAGAGCACGCCATCCGACAACCATTCCAAACCTCACGCCTGATCTCAGAGTAGTCACCCTCCAGCAGGCCTGAAATCATGTCCACCACATCCGATATGGTCTCTTGGCCAGTGATGCTTTATGTCTATGACCTCTCGAATGGTATGGCTGCTTCCCTATCTCAGCAATTGACAGGTCGCTATTTTCCAGCCATCTATCACACGTCTATAGTCGTTCATTCTCGCGAAATCTTCTTTGGTCAAGGTATCGATATCGCAAGGCCGGGTCAGACACATGTGAGTGGACGTGTGACGTGCATGTATGCGCTATTTCGACTTGCACTAAGTTCAATGGGGATGTTCGCTTCCCGGAAAGCAGCATGGCGCACCACTGGAGACACACTTGCTGGGAGAGACATCTGTGGACGAGCATACGCTGATGGAATTGGTGGATAGCATGAAGGAACGGTATTCCGCCCAAGCCTATCATCTTCTAAATTTCAACTGCAACAACTTCTCGGACGAGTTGGCAGAAATCTTGACGGGGCGAGGAATTCCGAGTCACATTACCAGTGAGTCGCACAGCCTCCTCGTGACGTCTGTGTATGCGCTTGGTACGCCATCTCAGCTGAATTGTTCGACTACTTCTGTAAATGTTCGGGTTCCCTCTTCTTCAGGTCTGCCTTCAGACTTCCTGTCCACGCCGTTTGGTCAGATGATGGCACCGCAAATAGACAGCATGTTCCGCGGACCGGCGCAGCGCTCCTCCTTCCCTCCTTCTCCAGCCAATCCCACGTCCAACAGCGCCCCACCGTTAGCCCAACAGCTACTACAGAATGTCGCGAATCAAGCAACAAGCGATCAAGCTGCACCTACATCTGCGTTGACGCATGTGGGCAGTGCAGAGGGCTTGAGGGAAGTTCAAGGCGTGGATGACGCTGGGCGGTTGGTTCGGACCAACGAATGCGCTGTGCTCTACTTCACAAGTGACGTGAGTGGGTCGTGCAACTCACATGGCGTGCTGCCTGTACTGGTCGACTGGTCTACATTGACCAAGCATCACGCGCGCTATAGACATGTCCACCCTGCGCCTTGGTCAAGCCGGTCATCGCTCGTGCAGCAGAGCAATACTCAGCTGCATCCTCTGATCCTCGGCAAATCTCTTTCGGTCTCGTCAATGCCTCTCGTGCTTCCGGCTCTTCCGTATTTCAGACGTACGGAGTGAGCGTTACGCCCACCACTCTATTCTTCCTGAATGGCAACCGACGAGCAGAAGTCAAGGGAGCGGACGTTAGCGAGGTGCAGAGTCAGACGGATTTGCTGGCCTTCGAGGTGTGGCAAGGTGAGCCGCTATGCACAGTGTTCCGGATCTGCTTCTTCGCCTCAGCTAATTGAAGACGTCGCCTGTCATGCCATGATACCGCCGCCATCTGCGACGACCTGTCATAGCTCATCCTCACACGCAGATAAGGAATTTGGCTCCTTTGCCGGTTCCTGGCTCGCCAATCCAATTTAGCACCAAACCAAAGTTGGACGCACTTCTTACCAAGCTGGACTCCTTCGTTTCTGCGAGACTTCTGGAAGAGCTGGCCAGCGACGAAAAGACTACGCTATCAGCGGCACGGAAGAGCGTCAGAGAGCAAGTTGCTGCTTGGTTATCCAAGGTTGAATCAAAGCCTGCTCTGCCGCCAGGTCTGCTCGAGGGCTGGTCCGACGCGCACACCACCTTGCTCGCCCTGCTTCAGCCAGCGCAGATCTTTCCTCTACTGGATCTGCTCCGACTAGCGCTGCTCGATGCCCAATTTCTCTCCTCACTCAGCCGACCTGCGTCAAGACCTCACGCGGATCAATTGCTCGTGCGAACGTTTGAGCGCGTGTCTTCATTCACACAGGAAGATATCGCTTCGCCAAGCGTAAGAGCTACCATGCTAACCTCGCTAAGACTGCTCTGCAACACATTAGCAGCGTTGGGGGACGAACCTGCTTTGGCAAGCATGCTCCTGGACAATCCAGCATGCACTAGCCTCACCGCCCTACTCTCTGCTGGCCTTCTTTACGAAACTTCGAGCCCGAATTCGGACGCAAGCAAAGAAGCGGATCCCGTGGCTGGCATGCGAGCGGATCAAGGCATTGCGCTATCTGCCTCTTCTGCCGCCTTTAACTTGTTTTTGATCCTTTCTCGCACAAACGCCAGAGCAGGCTGGCTCAGAAGAGACGAAAAACCAATTCCTCACCGTTTCATCCTCCATTCCGGGCAGAATGGAGCGGTAGAGAAAGAGCAGACAGTTGCGAGAGAGTGTGTACTGGATGGAGAATGGGAAGGCGAAATGCTGACGGCGCTTTTGCATGCTGTGGTCAAGGCTTGCGAAACGTGCGAGGCAGAGAAAGAAGGCAACAGTTCGACTTTGACTGCATGGGCGGACGTGCGTGAGTAGGTTGGACGTTTGCCGTTCGCTCGGACGATCTCTCCGTTCGCGGAACACTATCTGATCCGACTTGACGATTCGAAACCTTTGGACTGACCCTCACGAGCGTCTCATCCTTTACGTTTTCAAAGTGCACCGACAGATTTCAGCCCTCCTCTTGCTGTTGCATAAATCGCAGCACTGCGTTGAATCGCTCGACCCGCTGGCGCAAGTGTTGGAGGCAAAAGGTACGATCAGGCGTGTGGAGAGCTTGGCCAAGGGCTCCATTGGACGAGCGAATGTGGACAAGGAAGAGAAGAAGAGGTGGGAGAGCGTACGTGTTGGATGTGAGAAGTTGGGATTGATCCTTTGAATTGACATGCGCTCCTGTTCAAAGCGTGGAGAGTGAGGAATTGTCATCACACCAAAGTCAGAGACACCAAGTTGAATGCTCGTTTGTGAGGTACGCTCTTCGTGTGAGAGGGCAAAGAGTGGGAGGCTTTGTTTGCACGCAACTCACGACCGTGACTGCCAGACTAATCACAAGCGCCGGTGCACACACGCGGGACGTGCCGCGCGCAAGTCTGGCGCGCCGCGCGTGATTGTTCACGATGGCCGACGCGCACGGTCCAGCAGAGGTCTCAAATTGCAAAGTCCGAGCCATCTCGACTCGCGAATGGAGCCTCTCACCACTCGTGACCCTCTAAGTCACGCGTCGTTACTCACCACATCTGCTCCTCGATCCGCTCTTTCGACAAGTCACTAGACCAGGGACGGAACAAAAGCCACATGCATCCGCGCAAAAGCATCGCCTTGTTGCAGAGCGTTCACCTCATCGCAAACGCAAGTCGCGCGACCTTCAACAACGACCTTAGCCGCTCGAGCGCGCGCACGATCACAGCGTCGGCGACAAGGCTCTCTAATACTGGCGCTATTCGTTTGACATCGTGCCACACGGGCTGCAACTCTGCCACACGCCATTCGTCCGACAACGTCCAGCGAATTTCAAGTCGCTCCTTGGCGCTGTTTGGGCGACGCCTTAGCAGTGGTGCCTTGACACGCAAAGACCCTCCTCGACCGCACCACATTGACTCTGCTCCTTCCTGGACAAGTAGACGCATTTCTGCAGAAAGGACGATGGCAGAAGAGGCCGAGGTGCAAGAGGGACAAGGTGGAAAGAGGCGCAGTGGACGAAGCGCAGTGAAAGCTATACAGAGTCAGAGTGGCCCAAAAGGGAAAAGAAAGGCTGCGAGCGAGGCTGATGCGAAAGTAAAAGCGAACCAGCTTGCCGCTTCTGATTCTGCGAGTGGACAGGACAGGAGAAGGAAGTCTAAGAAAGTGGATGAGAGCGAGAAGGGTGAAGCAGAGGAAGATAGCGAGCTTAGCAGCGCCGAAGAGGTGGCGCCAGTTCGCAAGAAAGCAAAGGTGTCCCAGAGCAAAGGCAAAGAGAATGGCGCCGTCGATGGAAAAGTCTCTCAAAAAGCCCGCGGCAAAGTTGCCTACGCTTGGCACCCTTCCGCTCCGCAAGGAGGGACAGCTTTGGATACTTTGGCGGACGAATCTTTGCCCAAGAATATGAGCTTGCCGGATGATTTGAAGTTGGACAGGGCGAGAAAGGAACTGCCGGAAGAGCAAAAGAGGATTGTGGTTTGGAACATCACTAGTCTGAACAGTGCGGAGAAGAAGGGAATGACGAGGTATCTGAACGAAGAGGATGCTGATTTGGTCTTTTTAAGCGAGACGAAGGTCAGTGGTTTACATTGAGGCTCGAGACCTGGGAGCGCAATGACGTGGCACTGACTTGCATGGAGCGCTTCGTTGCGAACTTTTGATTTCCCTCTGAGTCATCCGCAGTGCAACGAGATTCCCACATTCAACTCGTTCAAGACGTTGTATCCTCATCAAACCTGGAGCGTCTCTTCAACAAAAGGTTACGCTGGCGTAGCTCTTCTGAGCAAGATGAAGCCTCTCAGCACCTCGACGACGCTCAAGCTTCCTCTAATAGACTCGTCCGAAGCACGCGCGGTGCATGAACACTTTGGCAGCGGTTTGCTTCAAGAGGTACCCGATGACGAAAAGATCGAAGAGGAAGATGTGTTTGCTTTTGCCAAGAATGCAAAAGAGGCACAGGCTTTTGAGAAGGATGTGGCAAAAGGAAGAATTGTCACTGCTGAATTCGAGAATTGGATAGTGGTTGGGACGTACGCTGTCAATGCTGGCGAAGGTGAGTCAGAACCTGGCAAGGTACCTCGCTGCTCGAGGGGCGGCATCCCTTCATCACTCGTGACCGTCGCGCCTTTTCCTCCTTCTTCGCACCCACATCCTTGCCTCCTTCCCTCGTACGCACCCACGTAGGTCTCAAATCCCTCACAACAAAGCGCAAATGGTCAGCTGCGCTCTCTTCACACCTGCAGGCATGTCAAGCGCGAAAACGCACCATATGGTGCGGAGATTTGAACGTGGTGATGGATGCGAGAGATCTGAGCGCGGCTAGCAAAAAATGGAACAAATCGCCTGGATATACGGTTTGGGAATGCGAGGCGCATAGGCGGCTTCTCGGTAGGTCCGTAACGTCGACGAACATTGAGGCCAGCAAGAATGGTGATGCGGAGAAGGAGAATGCAGGAGAGGAGAAGAAGAAGGTTGCTTGGACGGACGTTTGGAGAGATTTGGTCAGTCTGAGCGGTATGGAGCAGATGATGAAGGCCATCGCTGATTGCCCAAATCCTCGTACTCTTTTCACAATTGCTACCTGCGCTCTTTTCAGCATCCCAACGACGTCGGTCATTACAGTGAGTCTGTTCCTTCTGATCAGGCTAAGCAGATGCGAATTTCTGATAGCCTCCCCGGTCCATGCTTGGCAGCGTTCTATGGCTTCAGAGGAGCTTGCAGGGTCAAAGGAATAGGTTGGAGATTGGATTCCTTCATACTGTCTCCCGGCGCAAAGGATAAAGTCAAGGCGTGCGAGATTCGTCACGAGGTGCGTTCCGTCGTCGTTCCTCTTGTCGCCGCAGCCTGGACTCGGATCAGGAGACTTTGCTCATCAAATCGCCCCGTGTGCTTTGCTAACTTTCAACATGCTTCACCACAAAATCCATCGCCCCGACGCCGATGCCGACGCCGATGCCGACCTTTCTGCTCAACGCCACACAATGCACGCATCGCCCAACTCGGACATCGTGCACTCTACCAGATCTATGGTGAGTGACGAGCATCTTTGCACGGCTCTGCGAGCTCAGCCTACGCTGGTGTATGTCACTGACGCTGCGCTTTCGATGTCCGATCGATCCGCAACACCTTACTGCGGCAGGTGCGTCCGATCATCTACCCATCTTTCTCGACGTGGAATGGTAAAACACGGCAAGCCTGGCCGTCTTCGCACTAGTCCAGGCCTGCTCTCGCGAGCCGTCGAGTCTTGTGATGCAACACATCCTCAAACCTCGCTACGCCATGACGTTGTGCCCTCGTGTTCGCATCTACACGATCTGCGCATTTGCGCGTGAGGATACGTTTTGGGCCACAGCTGCCCCCCCTGTCGTCTAGCCAAGCTTTGTTGTGCGAGCGCAAGCTGATAGAAGTCATGGTGCAAAGTGTGGTATAGATTGCGAAAATCAAATGCGAAAAAAAAAAGGTAAAGTGCTATCAAGCTACTACAGTAGCCTGGCCGATCGTCGCGTAGCAGAGGGCAGAAGGCCAAAAGCTGCAACGCACACTTGCCCTCTGCACGGGCCGGCCTACACACTTCTTGCCTCCGCACCAGCATCCAAATCGTACCTCTCCTCCAATCCCAACTCCTCGCTAGTCTTGGGTCTAAGACTCAATTCCCTGTTGTGTCCAGCCGCGCCATTCGCCACATTTGCAGAGTTTTGTCTACTTGCGCCCGCATTGTTGCCGCTGCTGCTGCTCCTGCTCCCACCACCACCGCTCGAAGAGGAGCTGCGCGCTTCGTCGGCATTCTCGTCCGACTCCGAATTGACGGGCGCAAAATAGTCGGCTAGGAAGATGGTGGATATCACGATGAGGGCTATGCCAAATGCCAAACCTGTGAGGTGAAGAGTGGCGTTTCGTCAGCAACCATTCTCCGGCTTCTGCATGCTTGTCGCTCGGAGATGTAGTATTGCAAAAGATTCAAACGGGCAGCTCACCCAAAGCTCGTCTTGTAGCTCCCCATCGGATACTCTCTTCGATTTCCACCCTCAAATCTCCCAAGGAGATGGTGAATCTGTTTTGCAGATCCTGAATCTCTTGCTCGAGCGCATTCGTATCCTGTTGCGACTCGGATTTCCTGTTGTTCATGTCCACCGCAATGCTGTAAAAAAAACCTCAGGTCAATCAGTCATGGGCGTGACTTGGGCGTAGACGGCAGCGAGCAAGGCGCGCGCTCACTCGTGTTTCAACGTGTTGATCTCTTCTGTCATGCGCTGAGAAAGGCCATCCACTTCTCGTTGCAGTAGCGTGGTGATGCTTCGTAAAGCAGCAGCGTCCGATCGAGCCCTGACTTGCAGCTCCGTCCGAAGCTCAGCCAGCGCAGCGTTAAACAAGTACGCTTCCTTTCCGCGTAGCGGGGAAGAAAACAAATCATTGTCAACCCGTCGCTCAAGAAGACAAGAACGATGCCCGATTACTCCGCGTATTTCGAATTTCCTGCTCTGCCTGTCGCAGCCATCGCGTCTCCGCTCTCTTTCCCATGCCGGGCCCGTGTGATCCAACTCCGACTCACATTTTCAACCATGGTTTTGTTCAGGTTCCTCCTCAGCACCACTTCGCTTCGAGAATTGAGGAGAAATCGGGTAGCTTCCATGATAGCTTCCGCCGGATCATGAGGCCTTTGAACTTCATTCGAAGGCAATTGCTGTCTTTCCCCTTCTGACGAAGCCTGTTCCAGACCTTGAGCACTCGATGCGTGATCCAAGCTCTCTGATGCCGGATGATGATCTGGCATAGACGAACGACGCTTGACCCACCCTGCACTCATCAATCTCTGCACGAAGGCATGGCTATCGAAAGGATGCACGAGGGTTCGAGGTTCGTGAGGATCCAATGCGACCGGTCTTTCCTCATCGTCCGCTTGTGATCTATTCAACTCTGAGCCCTTTTCGTTGATTGATTGACTGGCTTGACCTGTTGCCGCTGATTTGCCGAGCGAAGTCCCGCTAGATTGACCGTCGCGAGAGGTCCCGCTCGCGCCTCCCGTCCTAAATATCCTCGATCCTCCCGAAGACATGCCCACTCCCATTCCGAGACCTGCAACTGTATCCTCATTCGCTCCTTCGCCTTGTGTCTGCGTTGAGCCAGCATCAGACCTCGAGCCTGCCTTGAGTCCGCCTGACTTGGCGACGTCGGACAGAGCAGACGAGAAAGGTGAGCCGACAGGTTCGCCTGTTTTGAACGAGCTCGACTCGGCGCCACGACTAGAAGCATGATCGGTCCTGTTGAGCATGACGCCGTCTACTGCGGGTATTGATGAAGAAGCGTCCTTCGACCCTTGGCTCTGGCTTTGCTGAGGGGGTACAGCGGAGCTGCTTGGAGATGCTTGGGCTGCAGATGGCGACGTTTGCGCTGCGGAACTAGAAGTCGTAGGAGCAGGGGCAGGAGAAGAGGCGGAATGTCTTTCCAGTCTTTCTTGGGCCATCCTCATCCTTCTCTTGAGCAGCTCTTCCGTGCTCAGCAGGCTGTCCGGGGCGGGTGTTGACATGGGAGAAGGCCCCGCAGTGGAGCTCTGCGCGCTCCCTGCGCTGACATTTGAGGACTGCGGAGCCTGTCCAGACTCGCTCCCTGCCGCTTCCGCCGAGCTCGACTTGCCGCTCTCCCGATAGCTCGCCATGGATGGATCTCTTTTGTCAGTGATCCTCACACCTGACGAGGTTGAACTCTCAGCTTCCCCTTGTGTCTGTGGTCCAGTGTCCTGCTCTTGCTTCGCTTCATCTTTTCGCTTCACATTTTCCCTATCCGCCAGCTTCTGCGCTGACCCTGCACGCTGCAGCCAAGAGGCACTTGTATAGAAAGTTCTCCTCGGGCCGATGTGAGAGCGATCGACCGTGCTCCTTGCCTCGTCCAAGCGCTTGGTGCTTACATTCGCCCTAGCAGCTGGCGATCGAGTAGGAAAGCGTGGCGCGGAAGCGCAATTGGACACATGCATGTGCCTCTTTTCCTTGGTGACAAAAGGTTGTCGTGTGCACGCTTTTGCCAAGCGTCGGGAGGCACTGCGTCCAGCGAACATGGCGCCTTAAGGCAAGGCTCTAAGTCGGACTGCGCCTGCTCGAGGGCAACGCTAGCGATGAGCTGCGAGGTGATGAACTGCGTCACCTCTGAGGGCTTGCGATCAGAACCGCGACCGATTGAGGATCACGGCGCAGTCTACTCCATTCGTGCGTGCAGCGCTTTATGAGCATGAAGTTGGTGTGGGAAGATGAGATCAACTTGGCAGGAGCTCAGTACAAGGCTCTTCGCATTCTTGATTGCTTCAACTCGCGACTCTGCTTAGCGCCCCTCATACATCATGGTTGGTGCGCTTTAGACGGAAAGCCTCACACGCGACACGTGACAAGATCTTGCCTGCGCGCCGAAGACGTCCCGTCCCAAATTGGGTTGGGCGGCCGTCATCGGCGACGGCTTCCGACTCGAAAGCACGAGCTATCCAGCATGCCCAAGAGGCACGCAAAGCAATGCAGCTCTCTGCTCGATCCTCGTGGTCCCCAAACGAAACCAGCTGACAAGTTTAGATGTGGCGCAACATTCTTGATGGGACGTATATATAACCAGATCGAGAAAGACGATTATACGGACTGACCAGAGGCGGATGTGGAGACGCGCTTCAACGGAGAAAGCACGAACGAGAATCAAATGCGATCGCGAGGTGAAAATGGGTGATTGTGTTCGAGGAGGCAGAGCGTCTTTGCGATTCAATTGCTGTATCACGGGATGAGGTCGAATGACAGAAGCTGACCATCAACGTGTCATGACCGGTGTCGCGTCGCTCTGAAAAAAAAAAAAAAAAAAAAAAAAAAAAACACACACACACACACACCATGGCGAATCTCATGCCCGCCTGCGCGCGCAATGAGAGGTGGAATGAGCATTCGGCAGTCGTGAGTACCACATGGAGCGCGCACACAGAGTCGTTGCGGACCGATCGTGAATCATGAATGAGCAGGTGGCAACAGGCATCCCAAAGACTTTCATCCGCAGGTAGCGCCATATCCGGAGACCTTCATCAAGGTCCCTCCTTGCGCCATACTCAGCCATCCTGAGACCTTTGCGGTCAATTAAGCGATCAGCCTCGAGCTTGATGCTTGATGGATCTATTTTTGCCACCGCAGGCCCTTGCGCGGGAAGAGCTTCATACCCAATTGCACGAATCGGTGGCCTCACACTCTGTCGAACCTCTTCATTGACTGCGATATAAGGCTAAAGTCGCGAGTCTAAAGACAGCCTTACCCCGGACTGCATTCGTGATTGTATCGTCTTTCTTGCTCACACCTCTCTGATCCCATCTGGTCAAGCTTGAGCCCTCAGACAAGACGAGCTGAATGTTTCCCTGAATGTTTCCCTCTTCATGTTGCAAGTTCATCATCCTGTGTGCTCTGCTGCACAGCAGAGCAACCTGTCTTGCCATCCGCTCAGCCGTCCAAGTCTCGACTTTCACTCAACGCGCGCCGAGCATTGCTCGCCGAGGTGTGGGCAACGAAGCAGATGCTGTTCTTGGCGAGCATCTTGATCACAAGATTCATGGGCTCGTCTCACAATCCGACGACAAAAGGCATGCTCCTCTCTCGTATGCCCCCACTCCAACTTTGGGCGAACTCGACGATGCTCGAAAGCATACGCTGTTAGTGAGCGATACCGGTATGCCGGTCTACAGTTGGTCGAGGGACCACCAAGACGAGAATGTTGGTATTCTAGCTCGGTCTGTTGGTGAGAGTACCGCAAGGCCTAGAACTGACCCGCGCTCAAATCGTCCCTCGTGATGCGCAACTCTGCTAGCATGCCGAGCATCCTAATCTTCACAAAGTGTCGGTGCTAGCGGATAGTGCGGAGCCAAAAGATGGACTGATGGCGTACCAGGCGCATACCGATCCGACCGACCTCGTAGGCAGCATGACTCGTGAGCTCGGCGGGGATGCCGAGATCTACAGATCTCACATCGACGATTGGAGAGCGCATCAGCCCGCCGTGGGTGTGCAATTGCCCGCAGGCAGGAAACTTCGTCCCACCCTCTTTTCCAAAGCGTTCGACCCACCAGAGATGGGCCGCTATCGACAGACGGAGGTCGAGTTGTACAAGGAGAAATGGATGAGACCTGAAAAACTGATGCAGGACAAAGGGCGCATCCAGAAGAAACTTTGGCCGGATGAAGAGGTCATCAGCCAAGCTCACGCTAGTCGACGTCTCAAAGATGCGCAACAGCTTGAACGGATCAGGTCGGAAGACCCGGAAACAGTAGCGGTCGTTCATGATCGGCACCTTTCGACGGTTCAAGCTCGTCCTGTACACATAGAGCACGCACACGCTCGAATTTCCAAACCCCAAAAGTCTTCGCCGACCAATCAAGCACAGGAAAAAGGCGTCTTGAAGCATCATCCCACCACGAAGCAGGACGACTCCGCGCAAGTGATCCGCCCAGCTCTGAGCACTTTTCGGGACGAGACGACGCGCTCGGAAGAGATCGCCCAGATGCACGAGTCCGAATCGAAGAAGCCGCGCAAGTGGCAATGGTACCACGGCGAATGGATGGTCAACGAGTCTGCCATGTGTCCACATTGCAAGCAGTGGCCTTTGCACGAGAGGAGAACTTGACTTCCAACGCACCCTTGCAGACGTCGTGACTGTGAATGCGGCAAAGGGACTTCACCAAGGGCAAATGCGCGGCTATCTGGACTGTGCGACAACTTACAATACGCAATGTTGGGCAGCGTCCACACAGGACCGAGTGTACGACTCGTGATCATCTCTTCGCCAAAATTCTCTGTTCTCTCCGTCTTCTTGTCAAATATCGAATTTCCATACACTCTTCTACTCTAAATGCTCGCTCCTCCCGCACCCCAAGAATTTCCAGAGTGCTCCAGGATCCTTGAAATCGTGATGAATGACGGTGACGAGCCACTTGTTGTCGCCGATGGATTTCAGCAATCGCTGTGTTGGCGAGCCTTGCGGAAACAGCAATTCCCACTCTGCCCATATCTCGAAGGCTTCGTCCTTCAAGCACGCACAGAAGCAGTCGTCGAGGCGGGCGGATGAGGTGTGAGCATGTAACACTCGACTAAACAGAAATTCGAGGGAAAGCCGACGACAATACCCACACGCCAGGCTTTGAACGACTCTTCCTCGATAATCGTACTCTGCGCAATTTCTTGACCCGGGAAAACGCCCCACGTGACGGCATTCACAGCGTTGGCCTCGAGTGTCGTCTTGAAATTGCCCTTTGGGATGATTGCGGATTCAAGGTTAGGAAAGCAGGAAAACTTTCCTCCGATATTCCCATCAAAAGTGGGCTAGGCTCACCTTTTTATTGCCCGCTAGCAAGCCAACGAGCCCATCAGACTCCTCCTCCACTCGTCGACACAACGCCAGCATGTGCTCCTCGTCTACAAAAAATTCTACGAATGCCTTTTGAAAGATGTAGCCTCCTTTAGGTCCAAAGCCGAATGTAGGCTCCAACGAGTCGACACCATCAATAGCGGGTTGGGAGCCTACAGTCCACCATCCCTTTCCAATAGTTGAATGATCACCCTCTCCTAAAGAAGCTGATGGAGCTCTGTTGAGACCCAAGAGCTCTTCTCGGATCGCTTGCGTCTCGTTCAAGATTGGGATGTCACACCAAGGAATAGCTTGAATCTCTCCCGAGAGGTAGGCCACGAACAGCGCTGAAATATCGCCTTCCGTCACCGGTGTACGCCACACCCTCAGCGCATCGGCAGGCTGTGATTGGATCAGGACACGGGCAGGGAGAGTGACAAAGAGATGCACGTCAGCATGGACGCAGCGGAGATTGAAGAACATTGAGCCAAGTTTTCGCTGCTCTGACTCTACTCGCGGTCCTCGTCGCTCTGTGCCAACACAGTTCGAAAACTCGAAAACTCACCGGCACCTTCAAGCTGACGCCATAGCCATCTATTTCCCCAAAAGCCGGACTTCTGCTATCGCCATAGCGCCCATTAGTGAATTCGTCCCACAAGGCTGCAGGAGCAGAGACACTGAGGGAATCATTGAGGGTGGCATGAAGTTTTGGCACGCTAGTCGCGGAACCAGAATCGGCTGCGTTGGTCCCATTCGTGCCCGACGTGTCCTCTGCGAAGGCCGCTTCCTGGGTCTGAATTACCAGCAGCGCCATACAACAAGGCGACATTAGTAATTTTTCAAGGTTTGCATCGCAGCGCAAAAGTCTCCACAAGACTTACAGATGCTTTGTTGGTCGTTTGCGAAGGTCCAGCCCAGCTAAGGTCGTGCAAGATTCTTGTGACGCTCTTTTCTAGATTGAGCGTACACATGTGGAAAGCCGTATGATTTGGATTCAAGGTTTCCTCCACTGCACCTCTCTCCTCTCTTGACTTGACGCTCTCCCTCCACATCTGCCGGCACATTTCCCTGCTCCATTCTATTCCAACCTCTTTGACTCTGGCGTCGTCGTTCCTGACATTAATCTTATCCCTCTGCTCCTTTCCTTGAAATGCTGCTGCACCACTGCTTTGAGCACTCGCAATCTCTTCAGGTGTAGGATCCTCCAGTCTCCTTCTTAGTTCCTGCGGCACTTGGATCTTGCACAGACCGGTGATGCGCCTGAAGGAGGTGTAATTCTGGATTGGCATGACACCCGGGATGATCGGAATAGTGATGCCAGCAGCACGAGCCTTGGCGAGCCAGGAGTGGTAGAGAAAAACATCGTAAAACAGTTGCGTCACTATAAACGATGCGCCAGCTCGCTGCTTGGAAAGCAAAACTGGAATTTCGGCCTCTCCCGAAGGCGTCAAAGAGTCTGTGTGACCCTCGGGGTAGCCTGTGGTGCAGAAGCTGCGCGGTTGGAAGCCAGGTAGCTGGCAGTGCTCGTGCTAAAGGGACCACTCACCCGCCACCCCAATCGAGAACCAGTCTCCATGCCCAGATCGTATGTACCGGACTAGGTCTTCGGCATGTTGAAATCGATTGTCGGAAGGAGTCCAGTACTCTGAGCCTCGTGGAGGATCTTGTTTTCGCCGTCCATACAGGGAAAATTCTCAGGCACACTGGTGCACGTCCATGTCTCAACAATTTCCTAACGCCACTCACCTCCTCTTAAAGCTAGCAGGTTCCGGATACCGATCGCTCTCGCTTGCTAAAGGTGAAAGGCAGGACGACAGGGGCGGTCAGCCGGTGGATTTGACGTCAGGCCTGCCACCGCTCGACGTTCCTCCCTTGAGTCGCCGAAGAAGCGTACCCCATAGGCGCAACGTGGATGTGGGATTTCTCTTGACCACGCATCCATGCCGCCACTCACCTTTAAGGTGACATCCAGCGCTTCTCTGCTGACGTTGGTGCACGTAAGATGCAGACAGCATTCTGTTGCCAATTCATCGTTGGCAGGAGCTTCAATGATAGCTTGAATCTCCCTTTCTTCTAGCGTCCTATTCCTGCTTTCTGCTTCCGAAGACGGACTTTCCCACCTTGTCCAGTCCAAATCAGCGGGTCTGAGCAGTCCCTTGTGTACTCTGCCAGCAAGCACCATGCTGATATTTTGCGTGCTTCCGCCTGCTCCCCAAGTCACTTGCATCCAAGAAGGTCCGCATTGAGTTTTCATTCTCAATATCCGAGCATACAAGTTCTGTAGACCTGAAGATGTCTTGGGCGGGAAGAATTCGAGCGAGATGGCGGGTCGAGTAGAGGAGTGATGTGATAGAATGCTTGGAATGTGAGAAGGATGCGGGGAAGGAATTGATTTGGTAGCGGAGGACGTGCCACTGTCGCTGTGAAGTGCCCCATTGCTGCTCCCAACGTGCGCTGGGATGGTTTGGGACCCCGTAGCGCTGCTCGTACCCGCCGACATTTTCAAAGTGGTTTCTCTCAGAGGTGTAGGCGATCACGATGCGTGCGATGCGCGCCAAGACCAAGCAAGCCTGAACGGGGGTGAGTGGGTGAGCGATGAGCTTGCGAACGTGATTCGATCTGATGTGTCGGCGGCAAGGGAGGTCATGAAAGCGTAGTATTGTCAACACTCCAGAGTTGGGAGTCAACCCTGCGGTGTGTCTTCTTGGTCCACCTTTTCACACGTCCTTCTGCTTCTGCCGTTTACGGTATTCGATGCGCATTCAGCAAGCGTGCTGATGTACTCAAGACTGTAGGTGGGGCGCTAGGCAAGCCACTCTTCTTCTTGCACGCCTGATGCATGCAGCAGCAGCTGCGAAAGTCCAAAAAAAAGCTCATCAACATCGTGTGACCCAAGAAAGCTAACCGAGGCGATCTGATCACGTGATGAACTTGCTCTTCTCTCACGATCCTTGATCGATGCACGACTCATCAAGTCGACTCTTCAACCTCTTGTCCCACGCTCTTGAGATCACCAATCGCGACGCAAGATTCACGAATGGTCCGAATGAAGCGTGAGTGAACGCCGAAGAATTTCGAGTCCAGGTAGGAGATCAAGGGCCCTCTCTGGCCTTCGAGAAGCATTTGGGTTATCCTCCAACTCTTCGGTAGGTCATCATTGTCAACAACAGACACCTTCTACGGAGATTGCCAGACTCGGTCGATCATACATTAGACAGAATGGAGATATCTAAGGAGACCCTATACGCTCAGCAAGACCAGTGCCGAACATGTATGTGTGTTCGGACTTGGTTCAGACTTGGTAGGATTTGTGCGCCTGGTGGCTTTGCGTGGATGGTGAGGGAGCGAGCACACAAAGATTGATCTCGTGCCGAAGTACTTGCTGCTTTCTCGTTGATTAGGCCGGATCCTCCTTCAACGCGACGGAAAGGTGGCCATGCGAATCTTTTACGTCAATGACGACGAGTGACCGCATGATGTGAGCAGGTACTCAGCGGTTAATAGCTCGAAGAGCGTCAACATCCACTTACACGGTTAGGTTGTAGATCGCAGTGATGGTCGGTCGTGTTCAGTCATGAGCTTCGACTTGATCGGTCGAACGGCGTTGCAAGGCATCGACTTGACTTCCGACGTTCTCCAAGGGGTCATCTCGAGCTTCATGCCGGTCCTCAGTACCCGATCCATGTAGTCGGCGAGACTCCAAGACTTCTGGTGCTTGCAAGCCACGCCTGACGTGGCGCATGCTAGAAAGCAGAGCAGTGATGTGGCTGCCAAGGCTTCTTGGTACCTCTTTGCGTGCTGGAACGCTGTCGCCAATGACTGCTCTTCGCCAATTCTGGATGGCTGAGGCTTTCGTGTACTGAATAGCGCCAATCTCGGACGGCCTGCCACTCTTGGTAGGGGTGATCTTAACCAGCTCGGTCGTCTCCTCGCGTTGGACGAGAGCAACGTCACGCTTGGCGTGATGCTCGATTTCGTGGCCAGAATGGTGGCCAAATCGCAGAGGCACGCCGTAGGGAGCGGCTTGGACCTGCGTCAGAGACGCCAACGTGGCCACAATGGCCAGGCTAGCTGTGACAATCAGCTTGAGTGTAGCAGGCATGTTGGTGGAGACTGCAAAGTGGGACTGCTTGGTAGACCGTCGATATGCCGCAAGAGGCTCAAATGTGCAACGAGGAGATGGCGGGATACAGCGATGAGATACCGCTCAGGATTGCAGATCGAAGCCAAGGGATGTGGAAGAGACGCAGTGAGCTTGAGCGTGCGCAAATCGTATAGTAGATGAAAGCGCAGGAGGAGCTTGTTGAGGGTGTTGTGGGATCATTGCGAGGGGCGTCGATTTCAGGGGCGCTATATAGCACGCAGCCTAGGTTCTGATCGCCTTCACCGCAGGCGTGTTTGATCATACCTGGACGCATTGGCGCATTTGAGTGCCTGAATCATGCCACGAGGACACGGGCTTCGAGTCACGTAAAGGGTACCATGACGAAGAAAGCCTGTGGCATTGCAACCATAAGTCTGCTCAACCGGGGTGAGCTCATCCCATATGAGTAAAAGACTGTCTGTTGGCACTTTGTACCTCAGCCTGTCGGGCCAAAGGTAAGTAACTCCATTGCCCTTCCTCGACTCTCGCAGTCCTTGCTAGGAGTTGGACAGGGACAGTGTGGTGGCTGACAAAGAGTGTTACTTCGGCGTCGTATTGCTACTAGTCCTGCTTGAGTGGTGACGACGGCACGCAATACCGAAAAAGGACCCAGATCCTTTTCTATTGCGTCGCAAGGCCCTTCGTGGCAGAAGACTTCTGCAATCAGCTCGGAGCGCTCGGAGATGGAAGGCAGAAGGTGTAGACGTGGCAGGGGCTTTGACGCGATACCAGTCAGGACGGATGTAGGATGTTGTCCTGATCATGATCTCACGCGGCTGCATCGTGTCACTCGCTCGTTGAGAATGAGGCACAGGATGACGGCGGCGTTTGTGGCAGCGCAAATGGCGCTGTCTGCGCTCGTGAGCTCGGTCCTTCTCGTCTCTGACCCATACCCATCTTCAGGACGCCAATGACGATGTACTGCGAACTGCCGCTTGTTGCGACTCGATAAACCGAAAAGCTCACAATCCGAGCTGATGCCGAAGGCGCTGCATCACTGATCGCGAATCCGCGTCGCCAATCGAGGAGATCGCACCCATCGCGTCGTAGAGTGGCCGCTGCAAGGTTACAATGGCGTCAGTGGAAGGGCCGACGAGCAGGACAGTCGATAATCATTTGCGCGCGCTGGCGCATTGTCGGAAGTGGGCAAATTCCTTGCCTCGTTCTTGCGACGCCCAGTGGTCAATGTGCGCTGGCCGTGTGACCCGCTTGCAATGTGTTACGACCAGATAAAGCTAAGCAAAAGCCACCTTTGTGATTGCATTGTAAGCATCTGATTCCGAACCGTTGCGGGGCGACGTGTAAATGCAGCAGCCGGACGCGTGCAATGCCTCGTCCAATCTGGACACAATCAAGGAGCACTTAGCGAATTTCGGCTCCAGGTGTTGATTCGGGCGTACGCCTGATTCTCCAGACGCCGGAAAGGTGCGTGCTTTGGGGATACGAGCCGATAGCGCAGCATAAAATCTGGGTATGCGACTCGAGACTATAATCCCAGTCGTCGAGTCGGTACCGGAGGCGGTCACCCGAAGCGCTTGCCGTGACATGGAGACCAGCTACGAAGGGCGCTGTTGGCGTGAGGTCACCGAGCACCTGTGACCGTACCGCACGGGACGCGTTAAAGGTATGCTCGTTGATCCGAGATGGTGCAAAAGAACGCTAGCATTTTCAGGGCGTAGCACTGATCTGCGGCTGCAGGTGCCACGTTAGCTTCAGATGTTCGACCAATTGGCGCGTCTTGGCCCTACATCTTTCTATAGGTTCATCTGCCCACGCAGTCTCCAACAAGAGCTCTTCCACCTGCTCCATCGTTTCGGCTTCCGTCCCATCCTCGTCCTGTGTAGATGAAATGTCCACCTCTTGTAGAACACCGAAGAGCATTTCAGCAGTGGAGGTTCTAAGCGTGGGTATGCCCTCGGATGCCAGAAAGAGGTGCATCTTGTCTAGAATTTGCGTGCGCAATGCAGGTACTCGTAGAAGGTTGACGTTGAGCTGCATGCATGCTACTACCCTTTGCCGAGCTTTGATTCGATCAACGTTGCGTTGCACAAGGTTTAAGGTCTTGCGGAGTTGCTCGTTCGCCTCTGACGCCCTCGCAGAGCTGGGTAAGCTCTCATCTTGGGATCGCGGTATCGCTTCGTGACTGCCTATCGCCTGGCCAAAACGGGCTTCGTAAATTCCCGCTGCGAGAAGCGTGCTGATTGCTTGCAATGCCGGCACAAATGTCTGATTTGCCGCGTAATTCTTCACAGCTAGCTGATGAAGATCTTTCAATAGCTGCAGCGGAGTGTAAGGCTCAAAGCCCTCTACCTCGATCTTGTCACTGTGTGAGGTGGTTGATAGGGCGAATGTGGCAAGCGAAGACGCCACATCGCGATACTGCGACGACCATCGCATGGATAAGCTGCCGAGGCGCGGGGTGCAATATGCAGCAAGCACTCACCGCCATCTCAGTCTTTGAGCCGAGACTCAGCACCAAGCCGTGCAAGAGCTCTCCGCGATATCGAGGAATGACAAGTAGCTCGGTCGCTCTCGGAAATAACCATGATGGCTGAGCTAGCTCTGCTGTAGTATCTCTGCACGCGTTCAATTTGAAGATTGGATGGTCAGTGCGTACATAACCAAACTTACAACCACCTCAGCTAACCTCGGGAAATGCCGGTCTATTATCGCCATTCCTTCGGGCGTGTGCATGCCCCTGCTTTTCGCACGGTGATCATCGCTAGCATCTCGGCACATGCTCAGCAAGTGGGAGCCGGCCTCGGCGCGCACACTATCGATGCGCTCGACAGTCTGTTTGAGCAAGCCTGCAACGATGTCGTGGAAAGTCTGCAGGGGCAACCACGCCTCAAACGATCTCTCCGCGATGAGGTGTTCAATGGATGTCCTGTGCAGGTCCACCAGCGTCCGTAGACCTGCTACACAGGCCAGGCGCACCCACGAGCCCACGTCTCCTCTTTGATCGGTCGTATAGTCGTTCAGACCTCTCAAGAGGGCCTTGAACACTTCTTGACCCAATTCTGGAGAACACACTAGGAAGCGCACCACTAGGTTTGAGTGATTGTTAGGGCAGACGAATCCTGTAGAGAAGACTCACAGTTGCCGAAAGTGGAGGCCAAATTCTGAATTGCTTGGACTAGAGCAGCGCAAGCGTTCTGCCTCGTCTCAATGACGGGGCTATAGCTCGTGCTCTGCAAAAGTACTTCAAATCAGAATCGAAGTGCGAGCGATTCCCACCGCAGTTACCCACCTGTTCATCCAGCAGGCTGAGCAAAAAGTGCATCGTTTCCTCGAATGCCTCGGGAAACTCTCGGAAGCAGTACATTCCCAGCGCTCTTGTTTGCCCTTGCTGTTCCGCCGCAGGGATACCTCTCCATCGCTCGATCGTGCTCTTGATGCGTGAGGTGCAATCTTGAAATTGGCTGGCTTCTGATAGCGCTTCTGCCGCCGCAATCTGTACTGAAGTGTCTGATCGAGCAATGGCGGCATTGACAATGACTGACCAGCTGGCCTCGGTGGCCTCTGTAGCGGCAGCACTCGACAACGAGACTTCGTTCGCGCTTGACGCAATCAGCTTGCAGGCTGCAAAAAGGACCAGATTTGCGCCCATGGAGCGGAAGACACTCCTGGGTACAAGCTCGAGAGCTTTGAAAGCCTGAGACCGAGTCGACCAAGCCAAATCGGACTTCAGCATTCATTCTCATAACAAGACTCGCTGTGTCGCTCACCTCGATCTTGATGGACTGTTCAAGCTCTTGCTCAAGCTCGTGCGAAGCCTTGCAGAGCTCGCTGAGCGTCAGAAGGCTACCATGCAGCTGGGTTGCCTGTCCTGTGGAGCATCTCGTGCACTGAGAGTCGTCGTGACGTCAGAACGATTTCGTTCGTTGGTAACAACCTGCTCACTCACAAAACCTTTGACTAAGGGGGGTGCGAGATTACGGAAATCAACGGTCGCGATATTAGCAACTGCTTGAGCACCCAGCTCCCGCATATTGGGATCCCAATGGTTGAGCGTGATGTCTTGGAGATGTGTCAATAGACTCTGTCGGTAGACATCGTGAACAGCTACCCGATGTGCGCATGCCAAGAAGGCGTGCTTCCGAATGCTGACCGCGTAAAAGTCCGTTTTGCGGATGACGTCAATGCCGTGCGGAAAGATGTTCTGCGTTGCACGTGAGGAAAGCCATGGCAAGGCGAACGAGATACGTCAATCCAAGTAGGTGACCTTTGATGGTCCTATGTACTACTCACAAGTCTGCCTACACATTCCTGAAAGGCCGCACTCGCAGCTCTTCGAATTGACACATCTCTATCGAGACAAGCCACATTGACCAGCCTTTGAGCCAAAGAAATGGCATGTGACCGGAGAGCATTGGCATCGTGCGCACGAGCTAGGGCCCAGAGCACGTAGCAAGCAGCGTCGCGCACGCCCGTGCCAACGGAATGAGCGCCTCTGCGGACATCGAACAGTAGCGCCTTTTTGAGAACGAGGCGGAGGATTAATACCATGACAGTGTAGCAACACCCGACGCGTGCCGGCTGAGAGGTTCACCGCTGGCTCTATGCAGCACTTACCTTGCTGACCCAAAGCAGCTTCTCATCCAGCTCTTCTGGGTTGAGCAAGCCTCGCCTCGCCAGCTCGGCAATAGCCAGACAAGCGCCGTGCCATGTGTACTCGCTGACGTTGCTGAGATCCTCTGCTTCTCCCAGAATGTCGACGACGTTAATTCTGAAGAGGTCTACAATCGCATCTGCTACCTGATCCGAGAAGGAGTTTGGCAGGCGTCCGCATATTCGTGCAAGGCCTTTGGCTGCCGAGTAGCGCACGACAGTGTCCTAAGGTGCGAGCTAATCAATGTCAGCGCCAGCAGCATAGTCAGCAATGAAGATGAGCTCGACTCGCCTTATCTTGAAGGGAATTGAGTATCCGAGCGATACATCCATCAACCTCCTCCGGGACTTCATCGCCATCTTGCTCTATTTCTTCCTGGTCGATTGCGTTTGAAGCAGCGGTGCGCGAGGCTTCGAAGTTACTCGTCCTTGGCAGAGGTTGTGCTAAGGCATAACCGTGGACTCCGTGAGTCCATCTTTCCTGCGTTGCTTAGTCAGCCCACCTCTCTCTCACCTCTCTGCACTCTTCTTCGTTTTTTGGGCTTGAGCAGCTTGAGTCCCAGTCTCGAGGTCAATTTGGTCCTGTATTTAGTCAGTAAGCTGTTTCCAAGGAGACCCTCTCTGTTTCTGTCTTCAAGCACTTGCGGCACATCCGTTGGACCTCCCGCTGGCGGAGAGTAAATGTCTAGGATGCTATGGATTGCACCAAGGTCATCGCCTAGCGCCGATGCATCCGACACCTTGACAATCTCGCAGAGAGAGTGCATGATCCCTGTCGCCTAAAAAGAACGAAAGGGTCAAAAGGGGTCTAACATTGCACTCGGATAGCAGCTGCCTGCTCACCAAGAGTGCAGAGGGTTGAGCGGGTGGGAGCAGTGTTGCATAGCACCAGCTTAGGTATGTAGGGAGATGGCTAGAGGCCGCATCGCGCCTAATCAAGGGAAGAAATGGAAAGTAGAAGCGTGAGAATTGGACTCGAGAAAGCAGGTCTCCATCTCCGCGCTCACCTCTGAAACAGCTTGCCCAGCAGTACGGCAGCTGCTTCGCGCTCTTTACCAGGAGCGCTAATGAAGGCTGTGCTTACGTCCACGAGCCTTGAAACAATACCAGCTCTCTCTGAAGCTCCCTCGATGCCGCCTGAGGGGTTCTTGTTGCTCGTGGCCCCTTGATCGAACTTTTGCAAATCAAATGGAATCATGCAGACCAAGCTAAGCCAAAGCAACAGCGCGTACCTCAGCTCCCAAGAGGCGCCTGTACGTGGAGGTTCAGCTTGTGACAATGTTTTGCTGGCATCTCCAGAGATGTCAGTCTCGCCTTCCAAGAATTGCAGGGCAGGATGCAGGTCTTGAACGGAGTGAGGAAAGAAGCGGACTGAAAGGGCAGCACGGCGTCAGCGCTGCAACCACAGCGACGATACCATCATCTAACGCAGGCGTGAAGAGCCGGACTGGCATCGGTTTCGTCTCGTCCATGCGCCATCGAGCCCTTGATCAGCGCGTCATCCGCCCACCACAGGCCTCATCTCCGCTTTCGACTGCGAGCGTATCGCGCCCTTTTGTATATCGTCCCGCCCACCAATCTTATGACGCTTTGCTCAAGCGACTCACCTATGGTCTTGTAACCTCGAATTTTGGTGAAGATATACAACAGCTTCGAGACTTCGTCTAGACGTTTGACGTCTTCAGCAAGCCCATCCTGGAAAGTGTCCGCATCGTAGCGCCTCCTCACGAGGCTCTGAAATTGGTGGACCGTTGGCGTCACAATCCGGTCCAGGTACGGGTCGAGGAGGTATGATTGTTCTTGATATTGCTCAAGCTGCGGGTTTGAGGCGAAACGTCCCTTAGCCTAGCTGTTCTCCTCCTACCAGGCATCTTGTCGACAACTAAGCAGGTTGCGCACAAACGTCCCCAGACCTGGACCGGTGCTCCAATCCCTTGCCTCAGATGCTAAGTCGATCGACAGCGCCAGCAGGTACTCGGCGCCTCCTTTGACTCGTGCCTGCTATCCATCATGGTGCCGTTCGCCCATCATCATGATGAACGCACGCACGCAACTTTGCCCCACGACTTCGTGATGCGGACATGACCAACGTATGACTCACGATAGCGACCAGCCTACTCAAATTCTCTTCCCCTCCGCTCGCCTTCGCTCCAGTCACAGATCTTGACGCCTTCTCGTTCTGACTCAAAAAGTCAGAGAGCACGCTAAAGAACTGATCGGCAGATTCGAAGCTGTGCAATTGCACTTCATCTTCCGCTCCCAATTTTGCTCCGCCGAGCGTCGGATCGAACATGAGGTGTGCTGCGTCAGTCGCGCTTCCAGGACGTGGGGCCTAAATATGTGCCGACGGAAAGCGGCTGCGGGGCAGAAGTCAAAGGCGCTGGCTTTGCTTGACCGACTCTGGTCGATGCTCCTCGTATCCATACTTTGTGATTGAGGCACACCATCGAGAGCCATCGTGCTGCAATCACTCAATTTTTGATTTGAATGTGAATCAAGCATCATGCACCCACCCACTTCCCATCCAACACTTTTGGCTCACTCACGACTTGACCACGACTCACGACTTCCAGCAGCCCCCGCCTCACAAATCTTGAATCCGCGCGCTTGACGCGCACCAGCACAAGCACGTGATCTTTTGAAATTGTAATCACGTGGTAGCTGAATCCTCAACTCCAACTCAAGACTCTTGACTCCTCCTCAGCTCCCCAACCATCAACGATCGTGCAGTCGTGAGAGTCAAGAGTAGTGGGGCCTCCTTAATAAAAGGCAGAAGAGAGGAACGTATCACCATCATCCATGCGGAGCATAAGCGTTGACACTCCGCAATCTCTACCGTTCTGGAGCTCTTGGACGGATCAAGAGCGAAAAAGTGCTTGGCAGTCTCTTGACATTGGTCGCTCTAGTGAGAGAAACTCGGATTGTGACTGCCAAGACAACGACGAGCAAGTGGGTGCTTGGGGTCATTTGAGAACTCGCATCAAAAATTCCGCGGTACATTCTCCGTACCCGCGGTGGCGGCGTATGTAGAAAGAGGCTCACCGCGCTTTGACCTCGACATGCATTGGGGCTTTGTCATTCCGCATTCGTGATTCGAATGTCACACCGGGCCGTCTCATTACTTGGGGGCGAACAAAGATAATGCGCAGGCGAAGACACATATAGTCAAGGTGCTCTCATAGCGGTACCCTCGACCCATTGCCCCCGGGCCGCATACAGGTACCTACTCCGAAGGCGGTCTCCTACATTTCCCGTGCCTTCAATCAATGGACAGTCCCAAGCGAGATGGTCACCACAGTAGCCATGATTCAGTACTCACGAACGTTATGATTGCAAGGGTGTAGAGGGCGAGGTGACCGGCTGTGTGCTGCGAGGGAATAGAAAGTAGCATGTGGAAATGGATCTCGTCAGCTCGTCCAATCCTGCTCGAGTCCGACTTTATCCCTGATCAGTACAGCGCCGCGCCGCGCCGCGCGACAAGATCGTTTATCGATTGACTGCAACGGTCACGAATGGCTGCATACCACTTCTACAATTTGGAAACCCTTCTCCTCCTCGTAGAGGGCAGACATAGTGGCATGAGAAGGCTCGGCTCCCGCCACAAGACACTCTTTCGACCTTCCAGCGTGCCGTTCTTACCCTGCGTCGGACATGGAAGCCGCGGACCACTCAATCATCTCACCGTCCCATGGCCATCCGAAAGATCACTCTCCCTAGTCATACAGATTCTACCCCAATCATAGAGGACTCGAAAGGGCACCACATATCTCATCCAGGCCAAGCAGGCCATAAGTCTCACAAATCAGGCGCAGATAGAAGTCGCCAAGGTACATCGCTTAGGGCAGAATCCTCAAGCTATGGAGACATGACAATCCGATAAGAGTCAAGAGGAAATGAAAGGCGAATAACGTCGTTCAGTCGGGCCTCGTCGCGTCTAGAATCACGAGTCGAGGAATCAACACGCCGAAGCCTCCCTTTCCCTTTCCGCATTACATCGGGCCCCTGACTGAAACACATGTGCAAAGATACGTGACCCGTTCCCTCGAAAGCCAAAGGGTGATCATCACCCTTTGCTCGTCGACCACCCGAGCCTCTTGGGTTGCTCGAGTCGGAGCCCTGCATTCCTGCCAAGACCCGCACGCAAAAAGAAGCTTGACCACCATCAGCGCCAATTGCAGCGATCAAGATTTTCTGTTGCAAACTTGAAAAATGTCCCTGGCACGCATCAAGCGATTCCCCAACATAGCGTTGCGGAATGTCTTGATCCTCTTCCAAAGACCTGCACAAACTCAAGCCGAGGATGAGAGCCGCGACGCTTCCCTCAAAGCACGCAATCCGATCACAATCCTGGCATCGTTGACCTTTCAGCAATGGGGGTTCTACACAGTCGCTTGGGGAGGTTGGATCTTCGATTCCGTCAGTTCAGTGCCATTGTGCAGCAGCCGACACAAGGTGGTAGGATGATGGGAGAGGATTTCGCAACTTCATGAAGTAGGGCTTGAGCACTGAAGAAGCCTTCTTATGCGCTCAGTACGACTTCAATGTTCTCGCGATACAAACCACCAAACTGTCAAGATATTATCATGTAGGTCACGTCTCGAGCATGACTCGTCGGCGCGAAGAACCCTGACTTTACCAATGTTCGATTGAAGGTGGACAAGACCCGCATCGCAGACGCGATCACTTTCACATTACTTTTCAGGCTCATCGGCGCCCTCATCTTTGGTAAGGGCTTCCTTCTGAAACGTGGCCATGCTGCGTCGGTATTTTGGGCTGAAGCCAAAGCGCAATCGGGTGTTGCGTATCGGCCAGGCATAGTCGGCGACTATTACGGGCGAAAATGGCCATTCGTGAGACCTGCTCGTCCGTAGGATTTTTCCTTCGACTATCCGCTCACTCGCCGAACGCGCTGCTCACAGGCCATCAACATGTGGCTCTTGGGCATCTTGCAAGTGAGCCATTTTGTGATTCGATCCGAAGGCATCAAGCATCCGCTGATGATGTAGCTCGACAGATCGCGACGGTCTATGCGGAATCTTACGGGACCTTTGTAGCAGTGCGAAGCTTGTTTGGGGTAGCTATGTGAGAGTGGCAACCGTCTACATTATCACAAGAGCGCGGCACCTGACCATCCTCGGTGGAACTTGCAGGGGCGGTGTCTTTGGCGGAGCTTGCGCTATGGCGCTGGAGAACATGCCAATCGAAGCCAGAGGCTTACTAGGTGGTGTCTTTCAAGAGGGCTATTCGGTCGGGTGCGTTCTTCCACACTCTCGTGAGGCTAAAATGCACGACACACGCGTCTATGACTTACAACAAAAGATTTCATATTGATACGCACTTGTACGGCCAAGATACATCATTGCCGCCGTGGGAAACCTGATCGTGGGAGGGGCAACAAATTCGTGGAAGTCGCTCTTTTGGTTCGGTGAGTTGCCGACTTGACACATTGGCTGTTCAATGCCCTGCCATGCCGAGAGATTGTCTCATTCTAGCTATGCTCTCGCGCCGGTCCAGGTGCGGGTGGATCGTTCCTGTTTGGCACACTTCGCCTAGCGTTGCCCGAATCGCGACAATTCCTCGAAGCCAGGTCGGCAGGAAGAGGAGGCCAATCGACGCGCGACTTCGGGAAAGACACGGTGGCCATGCTCAAGGCACATTGGCCCGTCGCTATTTACTGCGGTGTGAGCAGCGCGATTTCCCATTTCGCGAGACAGCATCGTATACGCTCTGAAGTGATGTCTCGCGACTTCATACAGATCTTTATGACCATCGTCAATTTTTGGGGCCATACGTGTGCAGACTCGTACACCGTAAGTGTAGTTCCAAACTTGTCTAGCCCAGTACTGAGCTCTCTGAGTACTGAATGACCTCTTGTTGTTCGCAATAGACTTTCATGCTTGCAGGAAACCAGCTCAAGAATGGGCCTGCGTCCCGTGCATCAATCTGGATGAAGACTGGAGCCTTGTTTGGCGGAACAGTGATGGGTTACTGCTCGCAATGGCTGGGTAGAAGGCGCGCCATCGTGCTCTCGGCTCTTGTATGCGGCTTGATGATTCCTGCTTGGATCCTGCCGGACACCGTGGCAGGTCTCGTCGCCGGCGGATTTTTCCTTCAGTTCGTGAGTCCGTCAATCTTTGAAAAACAGCGCAAGCTCTTTCGGCGAGAAATGAATCAGGAAAACGTTTAAAGTCTTTCGCTTTGATTCATGTGAATCAAACCAGTTTCTTGGTGGCGCGGTCGGCATTGTGCCTGCCCATCTTCAAGAGCTATCGCCTCCTCAATTCCGCGCCGTCTTTGTGGTGAGTTAGCATGCTTGGCCTCTTGGCAAGAGTAACGCTTGGGAGCGAACTGAGAATGATACATTCTCTCCAATGTGCGCATGCCTCAGGGCATGGCGTATCAGCTCGGTAATGCCATCGTCAGTCTTTCGTACATTCAGAGACACTTTACCATGGTGCATGACCCTGACGCTGTTGTTCCATTCACTTTAGGCTTCGCCCGCCACCCAGATCGTTAGCGATTTGGCCGAGCACCACTTCAAGAGTACTGGCCCGGATGGGCGCTCAGTAGACGGGTGAGTTCCAGCGCATCCGCCATGCCCATGCTCCAGCTCCGAATCGAATCGCAGGCGCACAACATCTTCCAGTCGATCTGATCGCCCATCATCGTCTTTCAATCTCTCCTCTTTCTACCTGCCATCCTGCAACTCGTTGCGCGCAGCTATGGACCAGTCATGGGCGTAGCTACGGCAATCTTCGCAAGTCTGATGGTCCTATGGACCTCGATCGGTCCTGAAAATGCCGGTTCGCACTTTGAGCGTGCAAGGGTAGCAGGAGCCATTGGCGTGTCCAAGGAGCTCCCTTCTTACGAGAGCGACCCGTCCAACACGCCCGCAGTAGAGGCGCAACATGCGGACATTCTTATTCCTGTACAGCCAGCTGCTCAGGATGGCTCCGAAGGCTCAAGTCGAGAATGAGATCGATTGCAAACCAGCCTTCTGGCAAGCTCGCACAGAGTTGCCCTTCAGATATACACGTGAGCGTTGTGAGCCACGACAACGACGTTCCTCGGGGCCAGAAGCATGTATTCGGAAGCATGACAGACCATGTAAAACGATCTTGAGAAGAATAGACCATCTGCCAGACGAACGGAAGAGGAGGTGTATGGTTCGGAAGCGGGAGTCTGGAGAGCATTCGTACATCTGGCGTGACGGCATCACAAGCAAGCCTAGTGCAGTTTGGACGGGCCAGCTTTGCTACTACTAGGGGCATACCTACTCTGGCCAACTAATTCATTAGCCAATTTGCTGGAAGGTCTTTCCTTGCCCTGCATCGATCCGTTGCTCTGCGCTGGCAATTTTCTCTTCTTGCTCCGCTGCGCGTTGCTATCGTTGGGACTTCTCTGAATCCTAACGCCACTGCTCTTGATGCCCATCATCCGATTATACCTATCGATTTCTTCCTGTCCCAGCAGATCGTTCCTATTCCACGTTCCCGAGCTAGTTCGCGGTCTCCTGATCCTTTCCAGCTTCGTAGCTTCCTTCGCAGGCGTAGCTCCCGTATCCGTCTCGAACCAATTCTCCAGGGGCACGCTAGCCTTTGGTATACCAAACAATCCATCCGGATCCACATTAGCCTGAGCTCTGAGCGCTTCTTCCAAAGCTGCTCTCTCCCAAGGTTTCTCTCCCGCCCTCTTTTCTTGCACATCCTCATCCTCCGACTGGGAGTATGCCGAATCGGGATCGGACAGCGATTGACCCGCTTCTTCCTCTTCGTCCTCTTCCTCCTCCTCTTCTTCAGCTCCGGCCTCATCAGCAGACGATACGGCTTCTTCCCAAGCTCCAGACTCGTCCGAAACCTCGGGCGTCGCATTTTTCGCCATCGAAACGTGTTGAGCTGCTATGCTTTCCATCTTCGAGCTCGTAGCAGAACCACTCGCAGGGGGTCTCACGCCCTTGGCTTGCTGAAACACGTTGCCGTTCGGCTTGACAGAAGTCGAACTAGCATTCACAGCGATCCAATTTGCTCCGGCGTTCTTATTGACGCTCTGCGAAGAGTTGGATGTCGTCGGTCCGCCAAATCGGATAGATTGAGCAGAAGCATTGAAGCCGCTCGGTGGTCGAACGGCGAGGGAAGAGCCAGGTCTAGCAGGTTGCGCCTGCACGTTGGCTGGTCGATTGGCCTTGATGCCGTGCGTACTAGGCGCAGGTCTGACAATATTGCTAGGCGCTTTCACCTTGGCAGCAGCAGCAGCAGCATTGGCTCTTTCCTTCTCCCGTTCCACAAGAGCAGCTTTCCTCCTCTCCTCGACCTGTTTCTTTTTCAGGTCATCTTCCTTCTTGGATGCTGCGGCGGCAGCGGCAGCAGCAGCAGCTGCTGGCGCCTTGCCCTTGCCCGTCGGTCCATTCTGAGAAGAGACAGATGCATTCAGAGCGTTGCTTGGCGCACCAGGTGCAGCCCCGCTGACATTCGAGTCGGTTCGTGTCCTCGGCGGCGTTGCAGCGCCAGCAGCCTTGTTGGCCATAGCCAGAACAGAGCCGGGTCTCGCTGGTACAAAAGCGCCACCGTTTGAAGCCGCAGGAGCGGAGGCTGGAGTATGCGCGTTAGTAGGATGCGCACCTGCGGAGGACGTTGCATTTTGAGCGTTGAGTCCAACAAACCCTTTGACCTTGTCGAAAAAGTTCCATCCTTGTCTGATCTCGTTCGGATCGCGCCCAGTCGAAGGTCCACTCGTCGAGGGCTGCGCAGCACTGGATGTAGAAGCAGACGCTGGCGTTGCGCGATTTTTGGATGTCGCGCTGGCGGCCGTGCCGGGCTTGGCCATGCTCTTGCCCATGAGATTGACGCTGACCTTTGGCATCTGCGAAATAGGTTTAGGCGGAGGCTGGGTGTTGGACGGTACTCTGACCTGCTCTCGAGCGCCGGCTTGAGGTACAGTGCTTTCCTTTTTCTGCATTAGAGGAGCCTTGGCAACCGATACTTGTGCTTGTGCCGGCTGAGTCGACGCAGGGTTGATGTTTTTGAGCTGCTCATCTGCCGTTCTGCCAGCCGAGCCGAGCTCTCCAAGCGTCATGTCAGCATCTTTAGTGTTCACGGCCAGAGTAGCCTGCTTGCCAGCACCTATGCCCGACTCTTTGTCCAGCTCCTCTTCATCATACGCAGACATCACTTCGTCTTCCAGCCCCTTCTCGTCCTCTTTTCGGAGCGGGCGACCTTGCAGCGTGAGTACCGGAGAGGCGCTCGGTGTAGTCGATGCGGCTGCAGGTTTCGAGCTCGTGATAGGAGCAGTAGGAGCATCCTTCGCCGCATCGTTGTGCGAGGCAATCTGAGAGCGTTGATGCTCAAAGGTCTTGCTGTGAGCAATGTTGCCGAGACCGACTGCGGTCATGCTCCGAGGATTGGCTGCAGATATGGCTGTACTAGCAGCATGAGCTGACTTCGTCGTAGAGGAAGGCATGAAGGCGCTGGACGATGCAGAAGGAAGTGCAGCATGCACATTCATATCGCTAGCTCTTTTAACTTTTTCTAGCCTGCTCAGCACGGACGTCGGCGCTCTGTGACTTGCAGCTTGTTGCTGCGCCTGCAGCTGTTGGCCGTTGACGCTACTTGCCGGCTTGCTGGACTTGGGCGGCGCGACTACATTCTTGGACAAGACGCTGGTCGCGTTCATTTTGGTGTTCGCCATCATCTCTTCGTCGCTGCCGTCCTCCTCTTCCTTCTCCTGGCGTGCCTGGTTGTCATCCTTCCTCACGCTTCTGAACAGACTGCTCCGGAATATAGAGGTGGCAGGAGCTGCAGGGGTCGTAGCATTCTGCGACTGAGCAGCGCCGAGGATGGTCTGATCCTTCTCCTTGTCTGTCGACGCCGTCCCGACCGCAGCGATGGATTTCTTTGGTCCGACGTTATCACCCAGCGTTCTCTTTGGCGCTTTCGGTCTAGACACCGGATCGGCACGCGATTGAATTTGCCCACGAGTTTCCGAGATCGTTTGGGCTGCAACATCAACTTCCTTGGCGTGTGCAGTGGACCACGCCTCTTCATCCGCCTCTCCATCCTCCGTGTATGCGGTCCCATCGTCAGCCAGACTGATGTGCAGACTATCCTCCGCCTCCGCAGCTGCTGCAAGTGTGCGTCCAGAGTTGGAGCGTGGCAGCGCGTCGGGAGGAGGCGTGGAAGCCTCTGGATGTTCGCCGTCTTGCATCTCTACATCCTCGTCCGCACGGCTCATCGATACATCCCTCGAGATGGACGCATGGCGCATGTCCTCCTTTCGAGGTTGGATCTCAACAATCGGATCTGTAGCGGCTTGCGACGTCGACGGTGGTGCCTCATCTTCTGCTTCCATGGCAGCCTTTGTCGCGCGAGTGCTCCTCTTGAGCGGTGCAGTTGATGCCTCTGCATCTCGTTGTTGCAGCTTGTGTTCCTTCTTGGTTGCTTTGCTTCTCTTGCTCGGCTGCTTTTCTGTGGGCGCCTTGGATGTCGGATCAAGCTCGTGGTCCGACAGCTCGGCCTCATCAGACGACCGTTTCTTCCTCGAGCTGCTGGTGGACTTGGCAGACGGTGCCGCGCCTGAAGACGCGCTACTTGCGGCTACGGGGTCAGAGGAAGCAGGTATTGAAGGCTGTTTTGACTCCTGGTGAGCCTTCTTGGACTTGCTCTGTTGAGACACTGCGCGAGGCTTCTTCTCGCCCCTGCCGCTCTGAAAAGGATTTGGCAGTTTTGGCTGAGCAGACTTGTCCGATCTGCTGCGTGTGGTAGGCAAAGCAGCCTTCTTGGGCGACGCGACGAGCTGCTCTTCTTGCTCGTCTGCTTCAACATCTCCAGCAGCGTGGTGCATGTTGGGCCGCGTCGCATGTCGAGGCGTGTTCTCCTTGTCTTCACCAAACGCTCCACTCCTGAGCAGCGATGCGGATCCGCGCACAGGAGAGCTCACACCGCTCTCACCCGTCGAGCTGGAAGAGAATGGGAAGCGAAAGGAGCTGACGGAAGCTTTCTTCTTTGGCGACTTGAGCATTTCGCCCGCCAATGCCAACGCAGCAGTCTGAGCCCTCAGAGACTGACTCGAGCTCTTCTTCGTCTTGTTCTTGGCATGCTCGTTTCTGTGGCAGATGGAGCAACCGAGAGACCAGATCAAAAGCTGACACGCATACAGCACGGGATACGTTCTCACTAGCCCACTCACTTGTACTGCTCAAACACGTCTCTGGCATGCTCGACCATCAACTCGGCCCATCCAAATCCATTCTCTAGACTCTTGTCGAAAGAGTGCAGATCGCAAGTTGATCGCAGCTCGTTGATGTGCTGCAACAATCTGCTCTCTGTCGATGCGTCCATCTTCGTCGTCGAATGCTCGTGGGAAAGTCCGGTCTTGACGCTACGTTGTGTCCTCTACCAGCGCACGTGAAGCTTGGCGCGTGGATGATGGCTCAGAGTGTGTCGGTACTGTGTGCCGGCGCTTCGGAGGATGGAGATGACGCAAGCCAAGTCAAGGTGACATTCATCAAAACGAGCTCGACTGGCAAAGACCGTGAGTGTCAGTGGTAAGTTGTGAGCAAGGAAAGCCGTGCCGCAACAGCAGAGCCCACCTGAGATGCGGATGTGCTGGTGGTAAATGAAACTCTGGTAGTCTGACCATAGCTGGTGACTGCATGGCGCTGCAGCAACCGCAACCAACGCAAGCATGCGAGCGAAGCACGCGTCGCGCGCACGCCGGAACACGAGCGGCAGGTGTTGGGTCATCCACCATCGACGCGCAGCAACACGTGATGCTGCTCAGCGGTCACGTGAGCTCATTTCTACATGCAAAAGCGGCTGTGCTACCCTCGCGGTGGGTTTTCTCGACTCGCTTGCCTGGCCCCGGGAATACTTCCTTGCTTCCATCACCATGTTGCTCGTACGCATACGATGAAGAGGCTCAACGAACGAATTTCGAGTCAGTAATCAAGCTTGGCGGTGTGTGGGCAAAATTTCTGAGCAGCTAGTCGAGACAAGAAGAGCTGCGGGCTATCTGGAATTTCACAGAGCCGCTTACGAAGCAGTGGAGCGACCATCTGGCCCAGGCATCATCCCGTGGGAACATGTAGCTCCGTCTTTTCTTCAAGCGCACATCGGCTACGCCACATCATGTCTCGCTGGATCGGTCCGTCAAGCCGGGGCGAGGCAAATGTAGCTACGTGGTTCAGTCAACCTACGCCGGCTCAAAGCGACGCTTCAACGTCCGAGGCGTACGTGTCGGGCGCCTCTTCATCCGCTCCATCGCAGGATGCGACCTCGACTTCGGAAGCGGAAAAGGTGCCCAATTTGTCTCCTGCTGCACTTCAAGAGCTGAACACGCTTCGGCGTGCCGGCCACGTGTATCAAGACGCGCTGCGAAGGAACAAAGACGTGCAAGATTTGCTCAATAGAGCTCTTGTAGCTTCTGATTTGGACATTAAAGAACTGCAAGATCTCGAGGTGGGTCGTCAAACTATACCAGCCAAGTGATCTGACCGAGTGACTACGAGCTGATGGAGGTGTTGCGTGGTATGTATGCGTCTCTTTGCAGACATCGCTTGACTTTGCTACAAATCTTGCGGAAGAGGGCACAAAGAAGAGGGTCGTCGAGCAATCAAATCCTCCGCTCTTGCCCCTATTCGACGAGCTTGACGCCGAGGTGAGTGCAGATGCATCGTTGTGAACAACAGGCCTTACTCAGCCATGCCATGGTAAGTCAGTGAGATGCTCACGCCTTTTCCTTTTGACCCAGATACCGCTTCTGCGGAAGGACTGTCAGGATCAGATGGATCTTCGAGATTTCGTCCTGTCGAACCCATGTGAGCTATTTCGAAAGCGCGCGAGGCATGCATGCACCTCAGACTGACGCACCTTCTTGCATGGCAGGGTCAGAGGCGGAGTCTTTGAGATTGAAAGAGGTGACGCTAAAGGAATGTCAGCGCGCCACGTCTAGAGTTCTGCTGTCCCGATATAGAGACAGGGTGTGGTCTCAAGTCTCTTCCAAAAGTGCATCCGACGTGGTACAAGTCTCTTTACCCGCCTGGGCTCGCACGCACAAGACCTTTCTCAATACTGGCCGATCTGGGCTACGTGAGGACGTGGAGACGGATGAAGAGGAGGACGACGGATTTGATTGGGAGCATGTCTCCAACCAGATGGGCTTGGCCAAGACGCCAGAAGAATGCAGGACTAGATGGATCATGAACGACAGACCCGGAATAAGCTCCGATCCTTGGAAAGATGAAGAGGTGATGCGCTTAATTGGGATTGTGCAAAGGCTGCAGGGAGCGGAGGAGGACTGGGACTGGGAACAAGTGGCTAAGGAGCTGGGAGTGAGTGTGCAGGTGCCATGAGCTGAGTCGCCCTACCAGCGCCCATCGTGAAGCTGATCTTTCGCTGCGCTCGCCCCTATACACCAGACCAATAGGTTAGGCTCGGAATGTCTCATGACGTATGCCTGCAACGACGCTAATCCCGCGAATGACAGCCTCGACTACACCAAGGAAGAAGACCTCAGGATCCTTCAGCAAGCTCAAATTTGGAGCGAGTCGTCCTCTCTCGGTGAGCTTGTCTTGGCCGTGTTTCCTATTCCTTTCTAAGGTGGATTCATCGGCTGATCGAGCCCTTTGCGTCTTGGCGGGTCCTGGCTCCAGTGGCAGAAAGATCTTGTCCGCACAGATTACCTGTCAATTTGTCCCTGCACTACGCTCATAAGCTGCGAGCGGCCGCAAAGGAGACCTTACCCGTAAGGTGGGAGGACGGGAGCAGACACGAAATAGTTCTTCAATGCGTCAAAGTCCAACTAGAAGCGTACAACTCTACGGTCAAAGGCTCTAACGATCTGCTCGGGTTATCAATTCCAGCGGCAGCTGTCGAGAACCTGACCGGCAATCGCGCGATCCGTCAGCGGATCAGGAATCACTATGCCGCCTTGGCTGAAAAGCTCAACTGGCACGAGGTGGCTAGACAGGTGGACGGCATGAGTTGGAAAAGGTGCAAGAGGCATTGGATCGCCCATTTCGTCGAAGTGGGCATCACGCAGATGTGTCAGGACGTGGAAGCCCAAGGGGACGTGTATGGGCCGCAGCGCGAGGCGAAGAGGAAGAGAGAGGAGGGGCAAGACGACGCTCCAACCCCTGGAATGGAGGGGCGACCGGAGGTGGAACCTTCGGTTCCAGTCCTCCAAACGGACAGACCTTGGGCCCCTCAAGTACGTATGCGCATCCTCAACCCGCTTTGGCAGCACGCGCGAAGAAAAGCTCAGACCTGACCTTGAGCACCTCTTCTTTGTCTTACGACGATCGCGACGCAGGAAGACGCAATGATACACAAGTACAGACCAGGCAAGCGGTCCAATGCCGCAATCGCGAAGATGATGCGGACAGGTCGGAGCGGGGCCGAAGTGAGTCTTGCTACTTCTTGTTTCTTGGTTCACATGGCGTCATTTGCACCCTCTTCTCACCGGCATAGCTTCTCCTGGATCGTGCAATAGGTGGCGGCGAGGTGGGAAGTACTCAAAGCTCGGGCGCGCGATGCAAGTGCAAGACAGCTGGAGAGCGCCCCGAGTGATCAAACAAGCTAGGTAGGAGTGACCGCGAACCGCAATTTCTCAGCTATTCCCTCTGCTCCAAATGCTAGGCCTGCCGGTATGCCGCATGCTTTGCAGGCTTGACCAACGCAGGCCAAGTCGATTGCGCCCTTGAGCAGAGCTCAAGAAGAGAACAAGGCCCGCAAGTGACATTGCAAACGATCTGGGATGGCGACTGCAGAGGATCTCGACGATGGGTAAACAAGACTCCTCTTGCATTCAGGGTTGCGCCACACCACGTCGGGCTGCTCCACCGCCTACTTCAGTAGATTCTCCGGAGTCTCGGAAACACGCCAGTCGCGCCGAGTGCAAGTGGTGTTCTGTATGTCATTTGAGGTGCAACGCATTGACATCAGATTGAGCGAGTGCACCGTAGCGGAAGGAAACAGCTGGATCAAAGCAGCACGAGCATTGGGCTTTCTGGAGCAACAGGAGAGGATATAATGGGAGGCAAATGGAAGAGAGAGAAGGAAGAAAGAACAGCTTCAAGAAAGATTTGACATGCGAGCTCGGCCGCGCCTAGGCACTCTTGGCCTTTCGGGTGAACGTCTTTCCATCCCAGCTGCTTTGGTCCCATTCGACGCTCTGCAGAGCTCCAGCAGTGGAATTCCGACCTCCGTTGATGGGTCTGGTCAGCTTGTTTGCTCCCTTCTTGACCTCGAATGTGGCCAAGAGAGTCTCGGGCGAAGCGCCATTATTGTTGTCGTTGATGGCCCAGTATTTGGCCGTAGTGGCTTTGGGAGTAATGTGCAGGGTAAAGTAACCTCTGTGTTCGCCTTCAGCAAACTGTGCGCGCAATGCAAGAAATCCAACATCAGCACCGGTACGGAAGGGGAGGGCAATTAGTCAAAGCGGTCATTGTGATGCATGCGAAACTGACCTGCAAGTTCTTGTTGGCCTGCGTGAGCTTTTGCGCGCGATCGGCGTATCCGGCCTTGCTCAGACTTCCGTAGCTGCTGGAGCTGCTAACGGCGGTGCCGGCAAACTCGACTGCGATTGCACCTTTGCCAGTCACTGGATCGTAGATTTGCTCATGGTACGGATCCTCGGTGTCAAAGACCCACGCTGCGTGCGAATCGCCTGCAAGGATGATCACATTGTCCGTCTTTCTGATGGCATCGTAAAAGCGACCTCGGTTTGCCGTGTATCCGTCCCAAGCATCGTAATTCAGATCGTTCTGTACGATCGGGACGGGATTCTTGAATGAATTAGCAATGGGAGAGGGATTATGACGATCCACACAAAGAGGGATCAATGACCCACCTTGGTAAGCTTGAGTTTGCTCAATTGATGTACCTGGCTGGTAATGATTTGTTGACCAATGATCTGCAGGTCGCGACAATGTCCCAAAGTCAGTCGACTGGTGCTGGCCTACCGTCGCGAACTCTTTGCTTACCTTCCAGGTGGAGCGAGAAGCAGCGAGCTTGTCGTAGAGCCAATTCTCTTGCTTTCCGCCCATCAAGCTTCGAGCGGTGTCGTTCGAGATGCTCTCGATGTAAGCCGTGTTGTAGTACAAGTCAGTAACATCACGATCGTATTGTCTAGTGTCGATCATGTTGAGATCGGCCAATGTTCCGACCTTGAATTGCCTCCAAATGCGCAGAGTGTCGGAAGTGTCGACTTGACGAATAGGCATGTTCTCAAAGTAAGCCTTGACTGCATTCTTCTTGCGCTCCGTGAACCTGACGCCACGGACTGGGAATGTGTCGTTGCCATCAGCAGTTCCAGCCTTGTAAGCTTGATCCGCTACCTCGTGATCGTCCCAGACGGGCAACCAAGCATTGCTGGCTCTGAGGCTTCTCAGGCCTGCGTCGATTCTGTGATAGGCCTTGTAGCGTGTGCGATAGTCGTCCAGTGTAACAATCTCATGGTCGGGCTCCATTTGTCTACCGGGAGGAGCAGATGCTCTAGCTCCAGACTCGTAGATGTAGTCTCCGACGTGGAGCACGTAGTCCAGCGAAGATGCCTTATCGTAAGCCCGCGCGTAGGACGCAAAAGAGCCAACGGGAAGGTTCGAGCAGCTGAACACTGCCAAGTCGAGGGAAGCAACGTTCGAGTCCGTCGGTGTGGGCATCGTCTTGAAGTTTCCCACGGGTGAAATGGATGCATTGCCAGCGGGCTTATCAGAGCTCAAGAAGCGATAGGCGTAGGTTGTCCGTGCTCTGAGCTTCTTTGCTTCCACCTTGACGCTACGGAATGGAGTTGCGATTCAGATCAAAGCTTGAAACCTCATCATCATTGCACATGACTCGGCGCGTTTCTCACTCACGCCCAATCCACATCTTTGGTGGTGCAAACGTTGCCCTGTTGGATGATGTCGGTCTTTGTCCAAGTAGGCTTCTTGGCGTTGCTGCTCACTTGCCACTTGAGGCAAATCGGCAGATCTTGAGCCTTTCCATCCGCAGGCTCTGGGTGAGTCCAGAGGATCACGCTGTCGTCGAGGGGATCGCCAGAAGCGATGCCGTAAGGAAAGGCTAGAGCAGCAGTGTAAGTCCCATTCGTGCCGACAGAAGTAGGATTATCGACGCCAGTGCCCGAAGCTCTCTTGACAAAGTCTCTGCGACGCAACAAGTCGGCCGCCTCCCGACGAACGATGGCATCGATATCATGAGCGAGGCCCGATGTACCGATGGTGAGAGAGGGGGACCTGTATGCAATGTTGGACAGCAAATAATTGTCCTCAATGCCTGGTACGACGGATGTGCTGGCACGGTCCGCGCCTAGGGCGAAGACCGTGAGACTTGCCAGAACGGCAAGGAACTTCATCTTGTGTGGTAAGAACAAAATTCCACTCACGACTTGGCAGACAAGATTAACGGTAGAATGTCTGCCCAGAAGCACAACATGTAGCGGTCTTATATATACTTGTTCAGGGCTGCAGCCTTTAGCCAGTCACGAAGCTTCAATTGGAGAGCATGTGAGCCGTAGCACTCTCTCGCCCGTCACCTTGTGTTCCTAGGTCCGTGCAATGCGTCCACGAGTCACCAATCAAATGTTCTTGTACCTGCTTGGTCATGTGCATTTGATGGGCCGAGCACCACACTGCGACTGTTTCTTTCATCACTTTCCATCCATCGCGAGCCACAGAGCATGACGAGGGAGGTCAGTGGCTGCTGACAGCAGCAGAGCCGTTCGCCCGCTGCGACAGAAAGCTGCTAGCGCCCCCAGCAGCATCGGCCAGATGTCCGTTTGGCAACGTGCGCCCTGCGTGAAGTAGAGGCTAGCGAAGGCGAGTGGACTTTGGTACACTACCTACCTAAGCCGGTCAGCATCGTCGCGCAAAGGGCTCATTTGGCCTTGAGCCATTCGAAATCGCTGATATTGATCACGAGCCAGCCAGAGTTGCAGCGAAGATGGGTGAAATAAGTGATTTGAGACTGCTCCCCTCCTCAGGCTCGTGCACGAGGCAACGCTTGTGACGCCATGCTTCAACTTTCGGTCGTTTGAGGCACGAGGTGCCGCACGCATGCTCAATCACGAGTGCGCACACAGCGCGCGAATGCACACATAGCTTAATAGTTGCAGGTAACTGCTAGCTTTGAGCTCCAGCACTTTCAGGGTCTTCCTGCGGACCTCGCTCGGAAGTAGTGAGCCCGTTTGTATATGCGAATCACATCTTGGCGATTTGAAATTGGTCCACTGTGACTCCACGTCACAGAGGAGCCATGTCCAGCGCACGTTCTGATGAGATCAAACTTTGATCAGTCTTGCATCCTGTTGCGAATCGCCATGCTCGCAGGGCACTGCCGTACCGTGACGACGCGGGCGCCGTGGGTTAGTATCTTGAGCAGAGACAGCGCAGCGCTGCATTCCATCGAGGCTGACATTGCAGAAGCTCGAGTGCACTGATGCACCCTGAATGTGCGACTCGATGGCCTTCGACAACGTCACAGGAGAGGAAATCGCCTCGAGGCTTTCGTGATGTGATAACATTCATGAAACATGAACGCTGCACTTCGGTGGTACCTTGCTTGACCCAAGCACGCTTCTCTACGTGCCTACGTGGGTGCGTCAGAGAACGTGCCCTTGAACAACCCCGCATACCGGCGATCCGCGCTAGCGAGCAGCTGTTGACTCGGACCTACCGGACCCAGCGCACAGTCAAAGAGTCATAAGTCACGAGCCTGTGAGTCAAAAAGCAATGAATTTGGAACATTCCCAACGGAGCGCACGCAACCTTCTCGAAAGCCTGTTTGGATCAGTAATTCCAAGTTCATGTGACAAAAATAACTTCGGTTCGTCGTGACTCTGACTTGATAGCCAGCTTTGTGGAGGATGGCACAGGTAGAGAGGACTTGACATGAATATGAACCATGTCAAGAAGTCTGCTCTCAGGGCAAATGCAGGCACAGCCAAGCCACTCGCGGTCCGGAGCCAAGTGGTGTGACCTCAACCTGACGAAAGCTTTGAAGAATCTTTCCCATCTACCTCCGCAACGGGGTGGCTCATCCACACATGCACACGGACTAGACGCAGATAATGCGCACAGCTTGGAGTGTCCATTAATATTGCGATCCGGACATACGAGCAAACACAAGACGTTCGAAAGGAGCGTCGAACATGAACAAGATGAGCAGGAAAAGTCTTGTGAAGGAAAGCACATCGATGTAGAATGTTCGGGCACACGTATTAAAAATATGGCACGAGAAGCAGGGCGCGGGCAAGGCGTAAAGCGCGAGTAAAGAACCTGCCGCCAAAAACATGTCGGTGGGCTCAGAAAGAAGGCAGACCGTGCGCATCGACGATAGTCCTCCTTCCAAACCCATTCGAGTCGAAATGAAGTACCGTGAACTTGTCCTTGCTGCTTCTCGGCTGCTGTTGTTGAGAATCGTCCGATTCTCTGATGCCAAACCCTCCAAACGGGCTGGGCATAGCTTTCTTTCTCCTGTATATAGGTCTAGGAGTACCCTCAAGCGAAAGCGGGTCGAAATCCGGCACCGCCCATTCGTACTCTTCCTCTTTCGCATCTTCGTCTGCTCTCAAATCCAATTCTTCCTGCTCTTGCTCGCTCTCGCTGGATTGTTCCGTCGAGCCGAATATTCGAATCGGTCCGAGGGGATTTCGGTCCGCTGCCGAAGCAGAAGAAGAAGAGTGGGAGGGGGAAGAAGACCAGCCAAACGTGCTTCCGAGCACCCAACCAGCTCCTTTGGAAACGCCTTCCCATGCGGAATACATTCCGTCCGTCACGCCGCTCAGTAGCGTCTTGGCCAAGCCCTCATCGAGCGTGCCAGTCTTGTAAAGCGTCCTACTAAGCTCTTGCACGCTCGGCGACGTTTCGTCGCTGAGCGCGTTCGGCTTGTTGATCGGTTTGGTCCGTGTGGTCGACGCATCGTCGGGCGTGATGCCCAACCACCAGAGGAAATGTTTGGGCAGCACGGGTATGTAAGCCATCGCTCCCTTTCTCAAAGGAGCTTCTTCGTCCGACGGTAGTTGTAGGATGTTCGTGACGTCAGATAGCCCAGCGCTGGGCACGTGCGGAACTAGACTAGCTCCCACTTTGCTCCCTGCCAAGAACTGAATCAATACCGTTCCTCCCTGCAGCACACCATCCATCGCTCCCGCACTGTTCGCTGCGGCCACCTCGCGTGTCGCTTGCTGCTCTTCGCTCGCGTCCGAAGTGCCATGCGCGGCTAGATGAGTGTAATGGCCCTGCACAGGCAGGCTTCCCGTCTCTAGCGCATCTTTCCACACCTCATCCTCCACCTCCCACACTTTTTCCGTCCTCATCAAAGCGCGCGGTAAATGTCCATGAAGCGCCAATTGTTTGCGCTGCAGCTTGACCGTGCCCGACTCTGGAGCTATGAGGTGGACTTGCTCAGAAGCGTCTTGAGTGGATTCTTCAGCTTCTTCTTCTGCGTCTAACTTGGAGATAGAAGGGGCGCTCAGGGGATCCAGCCTAGATAAGGGTCTCCTAGTAGGTTCGCTAAATCTGGAGGGCATAGGCGTAGGCTCTCCTTGCTCTGTGTCTCCATCCAGGGCTTCCAGTGCCACGTCGAGATCTTGCTCTGCTTCTTCATGCAGCTCAACGTCCGCATCACCCTCGTATCCCGAGATGGCCGTGACGGCTTTACTAGTCCTATCGCTAGCTTCGCTTTCCTCCCTTCTCTTTCTCCTTCCTTCCGCACGAGGCAACCCTCTAGCCTTTCTCCAGACTCTCACCGCAGGTCCCCCAATCGTGCTTCCACTCGCATCCGATTCGTAGTCCTCTTCATTTTGCTCCCCGCTACGCATCCGATGTGCATCCCTGAGCAGATCGGGCCTCGTCACTTCTCCATGTTTCACGTGCTCGTACGTGCCTCGCGCTCCAGCCTGCGTTTCCGTTTCCGTTTCGGTCTCGTTCTCAGTCTCCCCCTCGACAGCAGAGAAGAATTGAGCGTCCGCCATCGAGTCGCGAGTTGACTGGCTCCAATCCTCTTTGGTTGGCACGGGCGGTGGGGCAAAGGTCTCCTCCCTCAGCACGCTCGGCGGTCGAGATTGCACCCTGCCTTCATCCACATACTTGCTGACGGGTCTGATCGCTTTTGCTTCCTGCTGTGGCAATGCCGATCCTGCAAGACAGTCGGGCGGGGCATCTTGACCAAGATACACATCCCTAGCCAGCACCCCGATGACCGTTCCCGTCTCGTTGTCGATAGCAACCAGGCTGTTTCTGTAGTCTGCTCGCAAAGTGGCTTGTTCTGCGGTTGCTGCTGAGGCACCTGCGGAGCCTGGAGGACGTGGCCGACGTCTTGGTAGGTTCTTGAGCACCGAGGCGGGTCTCGCATCCTCAGCAGAGGTGATCGCTTCTTGGAACTTAGCCTCGTGCGGAAAGGTCATGCGACTCTCGAGAGGCGGGTCGACGGCGGTCAGCTGCTCGATCGAGTCGTCTGCTGCCTGTGATTGGGTCGATCTAGAAACGGCAGGACTTGGCACGTCGACAGGCTCAGCCAGCGACGGAGATTCATACGGACTGAGGTCGATACTCTCCGTTTGCTGTACGTCATGCCGGCTCTCGGAGCTCTCGGAGCTCGCCTCGCTCAGCTGTCGCTCATCAGTCTCGGTGTTCGATCGATCAGCCATCGCATTCGGATCTTCCATCGCATCCAAGCTCCGCAACACACCGGATCGAACGGAAGGCGTCGTCGGTGAAAGTGGAGGGCTCTTGAGGCTGTCAGGTTTAGGTGGGAGAGCCGGTCTGATTCGTCCAATTGTCGGTGTAGACTTTGTCTGCAAGTTCTGAGCAATTGGGAACTGCGCATCAGCGACTCCAAGGCGGATGGTCGTGTCTACGGTCGTGTTGACGCTGGTGATGTTGGCCAGAACCCTTGGGCTGCTACCTGCGTTCGCAAGTAACTCAGCCTGAGTCAAGCCGCTGCTGTCATCAGGCTTCGCAGCAGACTCAACCATCGTAGGCGCGGACGCGAAGAGCGGATCTTGAGGAGGCCGCATGGGTTGGATCGACAAGTAATTGTCCCTCCACGGCCAGGTGATTTGCGGATTGAGCCAGGGTGGAAGTGGAGGTTGAGCTGATGGGTAAGTGATGAGCAGCGTTCGAAGAGAAGTTACTAGCGGAGCTGGTGCTCTGTGCGCGCGTGTGTGCGGATGTATGCGGCAGCAAGCGACGACTCGTAAGCAAAAGCAAGCATGTACACGACGCATTGAGCAAGAACACCCAGACAGCCGCGTCACTCACCCTATGAGCCAGATCTCGCAGATGATTCCCTGTCCGCCCACATTAAGCGGATCGAGGTGAAACCAAAGACTACCTCCGTCTCGTCCATGCGTCCCAGCTCCCAATCCCTCGAAAAGCTCTCTATCACCTTGCCTCTCGCTACTTCTATCGATCAACTTCCAAGGCAATATCATCCTCTCCTGTTGTCCCTGCGAGCCAGGTCCAGCTCCAAGCTCAGGATCTAAAAGGATCAATAGAGTTTCCCAAGCTGGTCCTCGAGCCGGATCAGGCACTGCGCAGATCTGCAGCGCTCCCGAGACATCTTTGAGAATGGCCGTCTGCGAGAGGTCGACGCCTTTCGCACCAGGGTTGATCAGCCCGTCAAAAGGTCGTGGACAGGGCGAGTAGCCTGATCGTCGCGCATTTGATGGCGCTTGGGGTACGTATTGAAGGATGCGAGCGCGAGGAAAGGCGAAAAGAGCCCCGTTCGTATGCGCCATTGTGGATGTGAGACTTGCGTGCAAGACTTTTTACGATTTGAAGGTCGTCACAAGGGCCTCCGGTCGAGTGAGTCGATAGTTGTTCGTAATTGTCGTGTCAGCTTTTCTCATCCAGTCGTACTTCGGTCGTGTCGTGTCGGGTCGTGTCGTGTCGTGTCGTGTCGTGTCGTGTCGTGTTGTAAGGTGGGCTCGGAGCAGGCTTTGATCTTCCAATCGATCTCTGCAACTTTCGATTCGTGAGTGAAGTCCAGAGGGTCGTTTCGACTTCACAAGACCGACGCATACAGTCATAGCATGAGTGGAACTCGTGACTATTGTTACGAATCTTGCACCTGACAATTGGCTCGGCTTGGCCTGGCCTGGCCCACTCGTGACTTTTGACTCTTGACTTGCGACTCGCGACTCACGACTCTGTGACTTGGAGATGCAGGAGCGTGCGTGCGCGTGCGTGCGCCTTGTCGAACGCGTTTAGGGGCCTCCGTCTAGCAGCGGACTTCCTCTAGCGCGGATTCCTTGCCTCGTGACTTGCTGTGTACTATGTAGACGCGCAAGCTCTCGCACGAGACGTCGCACGTGATTCGGCTGCTGCTCATGACGTTCGGTAGGGACACGCTCCTTTGAACTCACACTCGCGACTTAGTTTGAGTGACTCAAGAATCTGAACGCACACCGTTTTCCGTCATTCCCACCCCACCAGCGCCGAGCTCGAGTCAAGCTGCACGCTCCTGACTGGAGCTGAGGTGATACGGCTTGTCAAATACTCTCGCTTGACGACTTGTTTCGCAAGGCTCTTGCACCCTCTTGTTGTGCTCCCACTTTGCCCCTTGCAGCAACACAGGCGAGCATGTCGAGCGATCCGACAGCTGCTGCATCGGAGACAGGCAATGGTGCTTCGATCGAGCAACGGAAAGACGAAGTGCCCAATGTCACAGCCACGTCCGCGCAGTCCACCTCCAGCGCAGCGACAAAAGGAGGTGCGGACGAGGATGAGGATGGTGATGAAGAAGAAGTAGAAGAAGAAGGGGAGGTCGGGAACAAAACGGTCTCTGGATCCAAGGCCAAGAAGAAAAAGAAGAGGAGCAAAACAGCGGCCAAATTGCGTAAAAAACTTGGGCTTGGGAATGACTCGAATGTCAGGGGAGCGGACCCCGCTTCCTCCACAATCGTGGCAGCTTCTTCAAGCAACGCTGCTGGTTCCAGCTCGACTCCAGATCTGCCCGAAGAAGTCGTTTCGCAAATCAAAGCTTCCGTTTCGGCTCAGCACGGCACCCAAGCAGCTTCCAAAGTGGATCGCAAGACGTTGGCCGAGATTATGAGTCGTTTAAACTTGGAAAGAGATAGTCTGCTGAAGAACCAGGAGAGCAAACAAAAGGGCAGCAAAGCGATTGCGGACCACAAGTTTTGGAAGACTCAACCAGTTGCTAGACCTGGTGAGTCTGTGCGGTCTAGGCATTGCGTGAGCGAGCGAGGAATGGGGAAGCCGGTATGAGCATGTATGCGTTGCGCTCTTCTGCTGATGTAAGTCACTCTTCCCTCCTGCATGACACGCATCAGACGATGCTCCCCTCCTTTCGTCCTCTCAAGAAGGACCGATACAGCCAGCTCAGCCTCCTCACGAAGTCAAACAGGATGCGTATCCCCTACCCAAGGATTTTGAGTGGGTCACCGTCGACATAGATGACGAGGAAGAGTGCAAAGAGGTGTACGAGTTGTTGTCGGCCAACTATGTCGAAGATGATGATGCTAGTCTCAGATTCGACTATGCGCCAGAATTCTTGAAGTGGTGAGCAGCGTTCACGAGAAGGGCGAGGAAGGAGGTAATGCTTTCATGGAAAGTGTGATGGTTGCATGGCTGCTCATGATCCTCTTGGTACGCAGGGTCCTTAAACATCCCGGATACAAGAAGACTTGGCATGTCGGAGTGCGCGTCAGCTCCACGAAGAAGCTCGTAGCATTTATATCTGGCATTCCACACGAATTGCGCGTAAGGGAAAAGTGAGGATCACCACTTCCTTCTGAAGTGTAGAAAACCCGTTCAGCGGTAGCTGACATGCCCAGTGACTCTGCTACGCCTCCATAGCGCCTTTCAAACTACCGAGATCAACTTCCTTTGTGTGCACAAGAAGCTGCGAAGCAAGAGGCTGGCACCCGTGCTCATCAAGGAGGTCACACGTCAGTGTCACCTGACGGGCATCTTCCAAGCCATTTACACCGTTGGTGTCGTACTGCCCACACCCGTCTCTTGTTCAAGGTGAGTAGCATTTCGCACTCGCACTGAGCGTCTCTGAACTCACCCCTCGTCCGGCTCTCATGACGATGCGCGATCAGGTATTATCACCGTACGCTAAACGCTCCCAAGCTGCTCGACATTGGATTCGCAGCAGTGCCCTCTGGACTGTCGCGAGAGAAATACGTTCAAAGATTCGCACTGCCGGATGAGCCCAAGCTGAAGGGCGAGGGGTTGAGGGAGATGGAAGAGCGGGATGTGGAGCAGGTGGGCAAATTGTTGAGGAAGTACATGAGGAGGTTCGATATGGCGCCTAGATTTGGAGACGAGGAGGTCAAACATGTGCTCCTGAGCGGTAGAGGAACCGAAAAGGATGGAAAGAGGTTGGGCCAGGTCACTTGGACTTACGTCATCGAGGTGAGCGACGCGCGTATCGGACAGTGCTGCTCGAATCTGCCCTTGATTGACTCGTTTGCCATCCGACCACAGGACCCGAACACCAAACGCATCACGGACATGTTCTCCTTCTATAGCCTGCCCTCTTCGGTTCTTGACTCTGCAAAGCACGGCACGCTGGAAGCAGCGTACCTCTTTTACTACGCCACCGACGTTCCCTTCCGTCATGCCTCATCATCGTCCCCCTCAAGCTCCCCCAACACCCTAGCCGTAGCCGCAGAACCCTCTGCATCTGGTTCGTCGGCGCAAGCAGCATTGGAGCCCTGGCAAAGGACAAATGTGACGCGTCTGACGCCACAAGAGATGGAAGATGAGGCCAACATTACGAGATGGGACGAAGAAAGCGCAGAAGTAAAGAGCGCTTTGAAAGCAAGGCTCAATCAGCTCGTCGGTGATTTGCTCATCATTGCAAAGCAGGTGGGTACTGCGCAATCCTTGGTGGCAGGTAGAGAGGGAAACGCTGGACTAGGCGCATAGCTGATACCGCCACGCCCGACTCGCGCGCACCATCTGCAGAACAAATTCGACGTAGTCAATTGTCTGACGGTCATGGACAATCCCTTGATTCTGAGCGATCAGCTCTTTGGTCCTGGTGATGGACTGCTCAGATGTGAGTACGACTGCAGCTGCATCTTCATCGTAGCAGAACTTGTATGTGCGGCGGAGAGGTGCTGCCTTGGCTGCTGACCACCGCCACAACGCTACTGCGCCTGACTTTCTTGCGCTTGCAGGGTATCTCTTCGTGAGTACGATGACGACCCTGATAGCCGCTCAGTCTCCCTCGAACGTTCTACAGCTATCTGACCCGCGTCAAGTCTTGATCTATCGTGCACCGCAGAATTGGCGCGTTCAACCCATCGCAGGCGGTATGGGATTGCGCCCGGGAGAAGCGGATCAAGATCCAGTAGTAGCTCACATGAAAGCAGCTTTCAAAGCTGGCGCTAACCCCGCTTCCTCTGCTTCGGGACCCTCTTCGAATACGCCAGTTGGCAACTCCTCCGAGGCAGAACTCATCAGATATTTGCAAACTAGACCTGGTCCGGAAAAGGGAAGCGGGGTGGGAGTCGTCATGGTCTAGGCCGAGAGGACCCGGACGACGAGTCTTGCGGTGGTGTGAGGAGCGCAGGTCATGTGCCTCTTGCAGAAAGATGCCCGCATTCCCACCGCACAAGGACAATACGATCTACGGAAGCGCTGGCGCTGGCGCAAGAATGAGTCTGCTGAAATTTCTTGCAGTGTCACGTGCGAAGGTGTGGACCTCGATGTTGTGCCGCTCGCATACATGTAGCACTTCACAGAGAAGCCTTGTTGACTCGTAGCTCGCGCTCGAACATGCATGCGCAGCAACGAGCTCTCGAACAAACACGTCATCCGCTTTGGCAATGGTGTCATCCTGCCCCGTGTCATCCGAGCTTCTGCTCTAAAAGCCTCTCGATGGTGAATGGGGCAAAAGAGAAGGCTATACGTTAGCTATAGCACTTTATCCGTGCCCACGGAAATGAGCATCTTGCTTGGGGCAATCCGGGCCGCCGTGCTCTTCGTGCGTCCGAATCGAGATCCCGATATGAGGTTCAAGATACCGACCGGGCGGGCTTTAACGATTCCTTTTTTCTGCAATCGTCGATTTTGGCGGGGCGGCGGAGGCGGCGGCGGCTGTTGACACGCGCGGGGAGGAGGGGCGCATTCCCCGCACAGCCACATTTCTCGCACTGCATGATGATGAGTGGAGTATTGGGATGATGCTGTGTTGCGAGTCGTGCGACGGTGTGATGGAGAGCGCAGAGAGCTTCAAAGAGCTGGCTAGCCATGCATTCGCACGATCGGACCGCTCTGGGCTGGATGTGCCTCTTTTTGAGATGTGCTGGTGGCGTTATTGCAAAGAGCGAATAGACCAAAGGTAAATCGGCAGTGACACCATTTACAGCGATTGCGACGGCGCGAGGTCGATGGAGAAAGTGTGGGCCGCACGGGGTAAGATGAAGGCGGGAGAGGGAAGGTCCCCGCTACAGATTTTTTCTTTTTTGGTTTCGTCGCTCGGCACGTGCCGGTGATTGTTCGAGCCAGGACATTCGCGATTGTAGCTAGTGCTTTATACCATTGAGCAGAATGTTTGCGTACTCGCAAAAATTGAGAAAGCGGGGAGCATGGCAAACGGGAGAGTGCACGTATCAAGCCATCCGTCCTACTCTCTTCCTCGCATCGTTGCGCGACACTGGCAGTGGTGTGATCGGCGATGCGCAACGCAGATGTCCGTCGACTCACCACCCACCATCATTGCGTGATTGCGAATGAGCAAGCTTGACAACGAATACTGGTCGACTCTTGAAAATGTGTCGCGCGGTTTAGGGCGCTGATGCTGTGCGCGATGATGAGCGCCATGACACGATAAAGCCTTTTCGCAGCCTCGTCGACATGCCAAGCCCCCGTGTCACGACCTGAAAGTGCATGGGCAGCGGCGAGGGGACAGGACAAGCGCGGCGGGCGGCGCCAGCGTCGACCGCCGTCGAGGCGGGATTTGAAAGTGAGTCGAGCGGCGGCAAGTAGAGGATGATGAGGTGCGAGACCCCTCTCACTTTGGCGGCTCAGAAGATCCGATCGAGGGGAGAACATACCTATAGCAGTCACGAGCACCGCGCACCTCCATGAATCACAATGCATTTACGCGCGGGGGCGCATGTTCGGCGATTCGACGGTGGCGTCGTCAATCAATTAAGCGCCATCGATGTCAACATATGCTTGAGCGAGCGAGTCACAGTCTGAGTGTGCTTCGATCGAGGGCTGTGGCTATGTGTGCCAAAGTGATGTGGTCTCAATGTTTGACATACAACTTCCTTCACTCGCATGCCACGGATGCACATGCTCGTCTCGCGATGAGACCTTGACGGCCCGAGATTTGGGGTCGAAAGCCATGCGCCGCGTGATGAGATTGCTACCTATAGCGGTGCTCGATCGTCGCCTTTGCGTCTGTGATCGTGGCTGCTGAGTCGTGAGTATGGGTGCACCGTGGTGCGGACAAGTGCGGCAAAGCTCGGCGCGCCGACAGCGATCGAGTGCCGACGCCGCCTTATTTGTTCGCACCCTTCTCCTCCATCACTCTTCTCTTCCCTCTCATTCCTTCCCCTTTTTCCTGCTGAAACGTTTTCGCGCTTGCTTTTCCATCCCAGTCGCCAGCGCTGTTGCCGAGTCTTTGGCCGCTTGACTCAACAAAGGCACGTTGCATCGCTGACAGTGCTTGCTTCCTCAATCCTCATTCGACCAGTTAAGCAGGTTCGCTTTGCCACCATTTTCCATCTTGGCTTTCGCGCTGGTCGCGAACTCAGGATCCCCTTTTCCTTTCATCTTTTCCCTGTTATTCACCCTCTCCAATTTCGCTTCGTCATCGGTCGCACATCTGCCGCACCAGCAAGAGATCCCGCCAGCATCCTCTGTCTGGGCTGCAAGCAAGCTGGATTTCGACAGGACTTGCAACGTGCACTGTCCTTTGATGACGCGTACCTTTTCCCCCCCGGCGCTTCTGCCCGCCCACCATCAGCGGCAACAAAAGCAAAATGGTCTCCGCGCCATATTGGCCGGTCGTGTGACGATTGCAGCGTTGGCACTCCTGTGTATGGTGTGCGCGCTGATAGTGACCAGCACGAAAGCATCGTTGCTGCACACCACTTCCACCAGCACCAGCAAAGCTCCTACCGATGTGCCCGACTCTAGCCTTTTGTGGAGGAGACGGCCGCTTTCCAGCAAAGTGCTTCTCAAGACGGCACGAAAGATGCTGCTCAGCAAGTCAGAGCGCCCGTCTGGACGGCCGACGAGACCACCCACTGCAGAAGAGTTCTTCCATCGACCAGATCCGCTCGCCACGCCAGACTTTCGTTCCGCAGCCTCTGGTAGGACCTCTTTCAGCGCTGCGAGCTCCTCATCCCGCTTCTCCAGTCGTCGACCACTGCTCAAGACAGTAGCGGAGAAGCTCAAACCAAAGCCAATCGGTAGGGGATGGGCAAAAGGTGTGATGGAGTCGTCATATGTGAAACGTGAGAGGTGCACTCTGAGTCTCCCTGCCAAGAAGGACGCGATGAGCTGATGCGCAGTTTGCTTCCTAACGACGCGAAACGCGACCAGAGGCCAACGTGTGAGTGCGAGAGCCGATGAATTGCCTGCGCGGTGCAAGTGACTGACTCGATGCTTCAATGAATGTTGTTTTTACGACCCGGCAGCGGCGGCATGCTTCTCACGACGCTAGCGATTCCCTTGTACGCAACCGCCAACTCGATCAACTCCACCAAACTTCCTCATCGCAGACGAAGCCTGCTGGAGGCATCCACACCGAAGCGACGCGCAGCGCCTCCAAATCGCGGCACCGTAGCATCTGATCGGGAGCACCGCCGTCCTGTGGGCGCCGGCAGATTAGCTCCTCGCGGCTTGGAAGGGCTAGGTCGCCTGGCTGGCGAGGTATCGGGGCTTGAGAAAGCAAAGGGGGCAGCGCAAGCAGGTCTCAGATCCAACAAGCGACTTCGAGAGGTGTGGGAGAGCGAAGCGTCGCCGAGCAGCACGTTATCCGATCGACCGGGCACGCCGCACATCGCTTCTCGTCCAGGAGCCTCCAGCAAGGAGAGGACGACGAAAGCTTCGGCGCCGAATCTTGGCGCATCTCGAATCAAGCCCACGAATCAGGGTCGTCCACGCCTTGCTAGAAGTGTGAGCGGCAAGTCGGATATCTGGGGTGTAGGATCGACGCCAAGAGGTAAGAAGGCGCGTGGAGGGGGAGGTCGAAATGCGGATTACAATCAGCAAGCCTACGACGATCTGATGCGCAATGTCCGGGCCGATCCACGGGCAAAGATACCCTACGTAAAGGACCTCCCGCCAGGCGTGCCTCAGCCATCTACGCGCGCCGCAAATCGACCGCCATTCTCCTTGCCCGAGCTAGGCATCAAGAGGGACCGAAAAGGCAACGTGATCAACGCGAAAGATCCCAATGGCAAGGAAGCGGCAAAGTGGGGTTCCGCAAAGCATTTCCTCGCCACGACTACGCTCATCGCAGGTGCTTCCGGCCTTTATCTGGGAGTGCATGCTGTGATCAACGCATCGCACATCCCCAAAGCGTCAAATAATTCGTTGTACGCTGTCCCAAAGGGAACTCCTTCGCACCCTCGGTGAAATCAGGATCGTGCCTCTGGCAATGCGATGCATGTGCGGTGTTCGTGGGAATCGGTCTGCACGAAGCAAGCAGAAGATGACTGTAGCATTGATGTGCTCCAAAAAAAATAAAGGTGACTGGGATCCTGTAGAGACATCGCAATAGGCAAAAGGGTAGTGAACAATCGGGCTGGGTCGGTGCTATGCAGTTGTGCTGCATCTGTGCGACAGATGGAATGGAAGCTAGACGTCGCCATCCTCGATCCATCTCGCAATTCGATCCCAAGTATCTTCACGATCCTTTCCCCACCACGAAACTGTGGAAGAGAGCGAGTGAGCAAGACAAAGGAACAGGTCTCTCTCGGCGCTGACCGAGACGCCAAAGACTGGGAGAAAGGCGCTCACAGAGAAGATAATCGTGAACCGCATCTCGACATTCGTCGAGCCAAACAGTCCTCTCCTCGCCCAATTGTATCGCTCCGGGTTTTTCACGTCTGCCTGCCCTAGATTTTTGAGCCTCTTGGTCCTTCTCCGTCTGTTCTACATGTTTTCCGTTGCTTGTGGTATGAAAATTCTCGGTGACATCAGTGTGTTCTTCAAATTGCTGCTCAAAGTGATTTTGATGTTGGTGCAAGCTCCAAGCGGGCGTGAACCTGTCCGGGAACTGCACGTCTAGATTGACAAGGGGTGTGCCCCTTGCGACGGCCTGTGCCGACTCTTGAGGTCTGGGGTATTTCAATCTAGCAGCCAGTTCAAAAGGATCTTGGTCCTTGCTCAACGCATGTCCTACGTATTTGGGTATGCCCCGCCTTGTGCCGCTCGCTAGACGGTGTGCCAGCGTTTGATGTTGGTCATAAGATACTTCTGCATCTCCAGAACATATATAGATGCGCTTCGGAAAGCCTTCGTATCCCCAATGCGGACCGTGCACGTCTAGCTGTAGCGAGCAAGATGACAAGTAGCCGTTGCGATACGCTTCAGATGCTGGCAAGTCACCCAAAAGGGCCGACACTGCCGTATTCCGAAAGCCGACAGCCGTGGGTATAATGTCGCTGTTCTTGTTTGTGAAAGAGGACGACATTTTGTTGGGTGCTGTCAGCGGACCTGCGTGGGATCTAGAAGTGTCGACCCATGGTGAAAGAAGCAGCAAGCTGTGCAATCGAGCAGAGGCATTGTCAGCCACGAGCTGCGAGAGCGGTGGAAGCATGCGCCCATGCAAACTCACCTCCCTGGCATCTCGTCGATCTTCTCGTCCCTCAAATACCGGCAAATGGCTAGGGCCAGGTTGCCACCTGCAGAGTCTCCCGCGATGATGATGTTTTCAGGCTTAAATTCGCACTCTCTGACGAGGTATCGGTAGCCAGCAAGGCCATCTAGCAAAGCTGCAGGATACGAGCCCTTGGACGGTTGGCCAGGCACAGCCAATCTGTAGTCCAGCGAAAAGGTCCTAGTCAGCTTTGCTTGAGCTGCTTCGGATGCTGTGGATGTAGCCCTCGAAGCGCTAGGCCTCTGGCTCTCTCCATCTCGCTGCTTCGCCGCCGCAGATCCATGAAACGGATTGCCAAATTTAGCAGCTCTGAAGCTGCGCATGGCTCGCTTGCGATTGCTTGCGTCTCGTGGCTTGCCAGGTGTCCATGGCGTATCTGTAGGCACGCCCCGCGAGTCTCTCAGATGGAAAAGCTTGCTCAAGACCTTCTTGTTGACCGCTGCGCTCACATCGTCTTCGTGAGCAGTGCCGATCCAATAAGCTCCTCCGTGCAGATGATAGACGACCTGCTCATCCGGCTTCGCTTTTCTTCCTGTCGCGTACTCCACCTTTCTGTCCGGCATATCGGGCGCATCGCCGTACCAGAAGCCGCAGGTTCTGACAGCTTCGACTTTCTGGATCTCCATCGCTCTCCGGATCTCCCCCTTGATGTGATCATCAGGCAGAGGATCCACCCACACGAATTTCGAGTGAATGGTCCGATTGTGCGGTACCTCCTTGGAAAGATCTCGAGCGAAGTTGGTATGCGTGCGAAAGGTCAGCCTGGTAGAGTGTCCAAAGAGCTCCACCATTGTGCTCTGCTTCCAAGACCATCCCGGTCTTTCGCGCTTGGATCGAGGGATGGACTTGAGGGCAAAGTACGGCAAATAGACGAAGCCTACCGAAAGACCAAAATAAGTATAGTAGAGCGCCTTCCAAGGATACTTTGCCCAGATGGGATCGCTCTGAAAATACTCGCTGCCCTTGCCAGTGCCTTGCAGTGGGAATGGGATGGTGGGTATGAGGGGTCTGGGGAGGTGCGCAAAGGGTAAAGAGGGTCTCTTGCCGTCCGTCACGAAGGGGATGAAAGGAAACCGGCTATGTCCTTGATCCTCTTCACTGGCATCCGATCTGCGAGGGGACATCGCCCCTTCGTTCCGCGTTTCTGCATTAGCAGACGACGCCTCCGCATCGCTTCGAGGCGAGACCGTGCCCGGCACCTCCACACCAGTCGCAGCTCGTGTCGCCTCGTCTGGAGCATTCCAAGCGGCCGCTTCGGCTTCAATCGTCTGGTTCCGCGATCGGCGCGCTGTCTCCTCCAACTTGCTCCGCGCACGTGATGCACCTATCGAAGGAAGTCCACTTCTCGTCTTTGCCCCAGGGCCTCTTTGCTGCTCGGAGTCGAGCTTGACATGTATGCTCTGAGTCCCATCAGCATCGCCAGCATCAGGCGCGACTGCCTTGGCGCCCGCTGACGAGGATCCCGTGGATGACGCAGCTGTATGCTCGCCATTCTCCTCGACCTCGCTCGTCATGCTCTTCCTTGACTCTCCAATCCGCAGTCTGAACGGATTAGCGATAGTTTTGAGCAAAGCACCAGGCTGACGTGATGAGCTAGCGTCGCTGCTCCTACGATCATCACGAGCTTCATCGAGCGTATTCCTATGGGCTGCATCCTCCTCTCGAGCCCTAGCCATGATGCTAGGATGCACAGACACCTCTACAGGTATTTCCCTACCAGTATTTGGATCCTGCACTGTGACGTGTGTCGAGGCTGAGCTTTGCGTACCGAGAGATGCAGCTGCAGAAGTTCTAGAAGTCGTGCTGCCCGCATTACTGAAGTCTCTCTGCATAGGGTTGAGGGATAATCTAGCAGGAGCACCAGGCCTGCGCTTGGTCGAGGATGAGGGCGTGTCAGTCCGACCTTTCGCAGCTGCCTCATGAGTACTGCCCTGCTTCGATGTAGGTGGATGACTGACGGAGGCATGGTTCTGACCCTCTGTGGTGGATGTATGCGCCTCTGGCGGCTCAGAGGGTGCATCCATCTTGTCCCTTGCGGTGATTTCATGATCTTCGGCGGCGGCCTGCTCGGTCCGAGAAGCCGAGCCCAGTTCGACCTCGGAATGCAGGCTTAATATCTCTTCTCGACTCATCTAGGAAGCTCGATGAGGGGAGAAGACCCCTGTCACCTGATGTCGGTACTGTGCGGGTAGAGTGGGGACGGTGACTACAGCGATCGCTGTTTGTCTTTGTCTACCTCGGCTGCAAGGTGCTAGTAAGCACCGCGTAGGTCGTTTTGTGGCCACGTTACGTGTGATCGTGTGACCTTAGTTTGTATCTGGACGTCAGCAAGGGATCAGTGAATCTGAATCCGCGAATTAGAGTGCGTTTTTCTCAAATTCAAGATGTTGATTGTCTATATAGAGCCCGCACGATTCCCCGGAAATGCCGTTCTGCACAGAAGTGCCTTACGTACTTCACAACTCTCACAACACGCGCGTGCGCGGCTCATCACCGTTCACGCATCACGATACAAGATAGCAACACGTGACCCATCACGAGCACGCTTTCTCGATCACCCTCATCTCGACTCGTGACTTTTTGCCCAACGGCGGGCCTGGTGCCATCATCGTGCATGTTCGAGCATGTCGAAGCAGCGCAACCGAAAAGCGACTCCATGCATGCATGCATGCAAGGCGTCTCAGCCACAGCCCACAGCAGCGCATACGTGCGTGCACAACTATACAGCTAGCACGAAGCGCACGATGATGATGATGACGATGATGACGATGATGAGCAGAGGAAGCTGATGATGAGGGAGTAGGATACGGGATCAGACACACATTGTGGTTAACGATTTGACTCATCGTCAACATGATGGGATGTGTGGGATCGCCTCACTCGACTCGTGACTTGACTCCAAGCTAGCTGAAACACACAGCGTGCGTGGCTTTGTACGTGCTGGCTACAATCAAGAATATGCAGCGCCCGACGAGGACCCATGCAAGCGAGCATGATCCCAATCGCGGATCAGGAACAAAAAAGGAGAGTTGAACGCGAATCACGAATATAAACTTGCAGATTTGTGAATTTGAATGCCATGCGCCGGCGGTCTTTGCCAAGCTGCGCTCACAACTGTGATGACGGCGACGGCGACGGTTGTAAGCAGGGCGTCAGTCAATAAATGAGCGGGAAGAAGATCCCGGCGGGTAATAATAACAAGGTCCGCATCAGCATCAGCATCAGCATCAGCATCAGCATCAGCATCAGCATCAGCATCATCATGCACCGCGCACAGCTACAGCGTGGATACGCCGAGTCGCCGAGTCACCTACCTATAGCTCCTGGCGCAAGTCCTGCGCGATTCGTTGGTCAAACATCTTAATTGGCACACGCTCATGCACTCATCACGACCCTTCGTGGGATTCATCCCGCAATTCGATTCAGATTGATCACGCGCGCTAGGATTCGAATCCTCTCTGCTTGCATGGCTGCATGCTCTTAATTTAAAGCAGAGGTCGCGGAACATGCATGCCAATCGTGAATCAGAATCACAAATCAGCACAAGAATCGCAGCAGATCGCAGTCAGCAGCTTGGATGGCATGGCAATTAAGGTCCGTCGTGACGTGCATGCGCATACATGTGCAGCCATGCACGCCTGACTGCAGTACTGCACCGCCGTACCCACCCGGATGAAACCTGCCGAGGCAGGCAGGGTCGCGCGCGAGTCGTCATCTATATGCTCCGCGCGATCTCTATCGGACGATGCTGGTGGTGCTGCTACTTGTACTCGCACCGTGACTCACGACTCAAGACTTGCATGTCAGCAGGACCGCAGGCTAAGCGGGCGCGGGCGAGTGAGTCGTGAGTCAGTGAGTGGCGTACGTGATGCATGCACGGCGACATCTCCGATGACGCAGCTCATGCAGCTACACGGAGCAACGAAGCTGTTTTTCGTTGCTGCATGGCGAGGATCGAGTGGTGAGTGAGGAGTGAGGAGTGAGGAGTGAGGAGTGAGGAGTGTGGAGTGTGGAGTGTGCAGGGTCTTCGTGATGTCTGACGGTGCAATGCCAGTCACAGTCACGCAGTCAGAAGCCAGAGCACCGGTTGCTGTGCAAGTGTACGGCGCCGAGTCTTTTTTCCTCGCGGAGATCGCCATCCATCCACTCACGACTGATGAGTGACCCATCAGACTCATCAGACTGTGACTTGTCAAAGAAATGACTTTTCGTCTGCTTGTGTTTCCACGGCTTGATCGCATCTACGAGCATCTGCTTCTCCCTTTAGAGCGCGACCCTTCTTGCTGCGTGGAAGGACCCAAACCGTGTTTGCACCAAGCGAGCCGTTCCTCCTTCCCTGCGCGCTTCTGCGAAAGTACACGAGCAGATAGGATCGCCATCGCGCGGACCTCGACAGCCTCTTCAAAATGGTCTCTGTCAGTCAAAGCGCTCCTGGATCGGGCACATCCACTCCCACGATGAGCGGCACGCATATACCTAGAAAGTCGGGCACAGAGACCAGCGAAGGCTTTACAGCTTCATCGCCACCCTCTCGTCAACTCTCTCTGCGCGACAAATTGGCTCGCTTTGCTCCTATCGGCAAGCGCAATCGCAAATCAGGAGGAGGCGTGGGAGGGGAGAATGGACATGGGAGTCGAGCTGCTTCTGCGGATGAAGCTTACGATCGACAGGATACCAAAGGGAGCAGCGTCAGCGGCACGGACAAATCCGTCGTCAAGGCTGCTCGTGCGGCGGAACAGGAACAGCTGAGAAGGGCTGTGCTGGTCAGACGTCAAGAGAGCGACCTGAGAGCCAGCCAAATTGAAACGCCGGAGCAGCGCGGCAAGTATGGTCAAGGCATCCCACCTTCAGGTTGGGCAGACGATGAGGCGAGCATGCTCAAGCTGCAAGATGTCAAGCCCGAACAAGTCGACAGCGGCTCCTTGTACAAGAAGCAGGTGGTGCTCAGGGCCAGGGTGCACGCCAAACGCGCAATCTCGCCGCATTTGGGTTTCCTCGTCCTGAGACAACAGCACACCACGCTGCAAGCTGTCATTGCAGAGGAAGCTGGCTCAAAGCAAGGAGTGACGCAGCACATGGTCAGGTGGGCAGAGAGACTGCACCAGGAAAGCATCGTGTTCGTCAGAGGCGACATCGTCAAGCCCAAGGTCAAGGTCATTGGCGCCAGCATACACGAGGCGGAGTTGCACGTGACGGATCTCTTTCTCGTTGCCGCTCCCACCGTCGAGCTGCCTTTTAGCGTGTACGAAGCTGATAGGCCTCCTGCTGAGCTCGTAGAGCAGCGAGAAGGACTTCGACGCCAACAGCTCAAGGTGGCGAATGGTAATGCCGATAGCGATGAGGAATCTGATCCCGAACGCGACGTCTCCGAGAGCGAAGAGGAGCGCATAGAGGGCTCCGATGCAATCGCTGCGCTGCCCAGCCATGCTCATCAGCACGTCAACGCAAAGGGCGCGTCCTCCTCGAGGTCACCACCGGCTCTGACCAAACGCGTTCGATTGACCAATCGAGTTTTGGACCTGCGTTCGCCCGCCTCGCAAAGCATCTTTCGCATTCAATCGCTCGTCTCGACCATCTTTAGGACTTCGCTGCTGATGCAAGGCTTCCTGGAGATCCATACCCCAAAGCTCCAAGCCGGTTCTTCCGAGTCTGGCTCGAGCGTCTTTCAGCTGGACTACTTTGGCCGCCCGGCCTTTTTGGCGCAATCTCCTCAGCTCTACAAGCAGCTGGCCATCTCGAGCGACTTGCAGAGGGTGTTTGAAGTCGGACCCGTCTTTAGAGCAGAGAACAGCAATACGTCCAGACATTTGACCGAATACACCGGTCTGGATGTGGAGATGCAAATCATACGAACTTATCACGAGGCGATCAAGGTCATCGATGCGATGCTCAAGGACGTCTTTGGTGCGATCCGCAAAAACATGCCGCGCGAGGAGCAAATCGTTCGAGATCACTTTGGCGGTGGAGAGTGCGTCTGGATCGAAGAGACGCCAATTTTGACTTTTCAGGAGGGAATCAGGATGCTGCGCGAGTCGGGATGGAAAGAAGAGGATGGCAGCGACCCGAGCGAGGATGAAGACTTGGCCACTCGCACCGAGCACCGTTTGTGCGAATTGGTCAAGGAAAAGTACGGCACGGATTACTTTATCCTCGACAAGTTTCCCGTCTCTGCTAGGCCTTTCTACACCATGCCCGATCCCGAATTGCCTGGCTTCACCAACAGCTTTGACATTTTCTTGAGAGGCACGGAAATCTCTTCGGGCGGCCAGCGCATTCACGATGCGAAGGAGCTAGAAGATAACATAAGGCATATGGGACTGGACACGAGAGCGCTGCAAGAATATCTCGACGGTTTCAGGTACGGCATGAGTCCTCACGCCGGTTGCGGCTTTGGTCTAGAGCGCATCGTGACCACCTTCCTTGGACTTGGTGATGTCCGTTGGGCAAGTCTGTTCCACAGAGATCCGAGAAGTCTGCCTGCGGACAATCGACCTCCGCCCTTGCGCCACGCCGACGCCGATACGGTCGCCATTGCAGCCCAGCTAGCTTCTTCGGCAGGAGCGAGCAACGGAGCAGTTGTGCGCGAAGCGCCCAAGCTCGAGCTTGCCAAGCTGGTGGCGAATTACGGAGCAAGTTCAAACACCTCTTGGCTAGATGAGAGGTTCTCGCACTGGCAAGACCCCTTGACGGGCGCCGTTGTGGGATATGTCAAGCGTGGGAAATTTGCCATCATCGTTGGGGACCCACTCTGCGATGTCAGCCAGAGCAGGCAGGTCATCGAAGGCTTTTTGAATCACCTCAAGACTCCGCAGATCAAGTTGAACCCGCTATGGCTCTTGATCAAAGAATCTACAGAAGAGGTCCTGGCCAGCCGCTTCAACTGGAGCTCCGTCTCGTGCATCGTGGAGCAGCGCGTGCCAAAGGAAGGTAGACAAGCCGCGCTGGCTGCTGGGGATATGGAGCGCAAGCTGCGCAAAGCGGAAAAGGAAGGGCTAAAGATCGAAGAGATTGAGCTAAAGGAAAGGGTGCCTGATGCGATCAAGAAGGAGGTGCAGGAGAAGATCGAAGAGTGGAAGAAGAGTCGAGAGGGCAAAAAGCAGCTGCATTTGACAGAGGTGGATCCGTTTCAGGATGAGCTTCATCGAGTCTACTTCATCTCCAGGACCAAAGAGGCAGGTCTGCAAGCCATGGTGGTTTTGGCCCAGCTTGCGCCTCAAAACGGCTGGCAGATCAAATGGTCCTTGGACTTTCCAAACGCCATCAATGGAGCCATCGAGTCGACGATTGTACGAGCTCTGGAGACCTACTCTACCGACCCCTTTACCTTTGGTGCAGCGGCGGGTCACGATTTCGAAGCGGTGCACGGCGTGGGCACGCTCTCTGCCAAGGCGCTCAGCAAGACTTTCAAAACGGTCGTCGGAGCTGCTGGGTTGCATCGAAAGAACGAGTTCAGATACAAGATTGGCGCAAAGGATGAAAAGCTTTACATTACATTTCCCAGACATGGGCTCAGAGGAGGAGGAATCAGGGTGAGTCCTTCCATCGCGTATGGCGGCTTTCCTTGTGCGCGCGCGCTTCGATGCTGATGCCGAGCCGAGCTCGCGTTGCCTTTTTCCCTTTCCCAGGCACTGCTGCAATTCTTCGAAGAATAGCGCAGCGAGGTCCGGCTTTTGTAGTGAGCGAACGCCGCCCCCTCAGCATAGATCCGAGCGCGTGATGGAGGACCCGAGCCCGACATTCCACATACCCTACCCTGCGCTCTTTGTCCGATTTTCGCTTCTATGCCAACCTTTCGTTCAGCAAAACCTCTTACACGTCGCAACTTGGCAGAGCAATACAATCCTTTTCCTCCCTCTTGGGAAAGGGGTCGCGCAGGAAGTCAGGCAAGTCTGGTCGAGAAGACGCAGACTCCGCTGGTGTGACCATGCTCGTGAACGCAAAGGCGAGGCGATGCACTCTCACCATCACGATCACGATCAGCGCTGATGCCGCGCGCATCAATCTTCTCCATGCTCACTTTCGCATGGCTGGAGAGAGGAGGTGCGCGATGAATCGAGTTTCGGCAAGTCAATCGTCTGCGCATGGTGACGTAGTCTGACAACCACGCTATGATTGTGACTGCGCCAAAGATACGAACCGGCCCCCCTGGGGGAGATGCGCAGAAATGAGGGTGCACATTAGTTGGGGCATGTCTGCCAGTTGACCGGCTTCTCGTTCGAGCAAGGGGTCGCAGCGAAGCCTCATCATTCGATTTTTTTTTTTTTGGGGGGGTGGGGGGGGGGGGGGGGGGGGCCTCCAAACAAGCAGCAAGAGTTGACTTGTGCACGGAAATGCGTCAAGGTACGTGGGGGTCTGAAAGTCAGAGTGGAGCTCGATAACGCCTCCACGAACGGGGTAGGAATTGATTCGGTCCCTTTTGCGAGCGGTCACCGCGCAACGCCCACCATCCCGTGTCGCAAGCACTTTGCGAGGTATAGTGCTGAGACGGGACGGCCACATAGTGCCGATTGTCCACGACGTTGAGGGTACTTTACCTTGTGCGCGAGAGTCCTCTTGCCCCTAAGTTCATGCTCGCGTATGTCACGATCGCTGCCTCATGATAGCTTCAAGAGCTTTGTGTGGATCCGACTACAAAATCACAGCCATCATCATGCTCGCATTCTCCCTCGCTCCAACATACCTGATCCAATCCGATTAGTGATCCAACCGGCCCAAATATTGAACTGCAAACCTCTCTCGACATGCGCCTGCAAGTACTTGTGTTGCTCTCGCTCTGGACAAGCTGCGCCATGGTCTTTGGATACCTGACTGGCCAGCAATGCTTCGATCAGGACTGTCCCGTCGGTCTCTGTAACTGCTACTCTGGCTGTACTTGCGCTGGGGGCGAGGGACCAGGCGGACCACCCAGCGGATTCAAGAGGGTGAGTAAAGACCGAGTGCGGCTGCGATGCAGCGATGCCAAAGTTGGCGCAGACCCAGCTGACCAAGGGCTTCGTTTTTCTTTTCTTTTCTTTTCTTTTGTTTTGTTTTTTTTTTTTTTTTTTCCAATTTCCACACACAACCAGAGTATACCGGACTCCAACTCACTGGCTACACCTTTGCTTCAACGTCAAGACCCCTCGTCCTCCATCCACGGCTTGGATAGTCCTGCGCTAAGCACCAGAGATCAGACCCTAGGTGCCTGTGGCAGTATCGGTGCCGGGGGGGAACGATACTGTCCTCCAGTATGCCACGGCGCTTCTGGCTGTCCGCCTTGAGCGAAGCCGAGGGAAGCCATCCCAGCCCTTCGAAGGCGTCAAACTTGAGCAATGGACCACGTTGCTCGCTGGAGTGAGGGTCAATCGCGCGCTCCACACGGCAATTTCCGTGCGCCTCATACTGAAGAGGCTCGACGGCAACAAAGCAGTCAAAGTCGGCACACTGCTCGCCTCGTGACCTTCACAGCACCTCGGAAAACCCCCTTCAAACATGATTCCCAGCCAACAATCTTCATTAACTGAGAATGTGAACCCATTCGATCCGTCCGGCGCCAGACTATCCTTCGATCCGGCCGCTTTTTGTAGACACAAGTCGCGATCGCGCGAGCCGGAGGCCCTATACTCCTAGTCATCACCTCTTTCACTTGTCGTTCCGCACTACGTCCCACGAATTCGGAACTTCTCTCTCCTCCCCACCCCAGACATCCTTGGCTCAGTCAGAATGCCACGTATTTCAATTCGAATTATTTTTTTTGCTCACGACGAGATAATTTGTCGGAAGGCTGCCTAGCGCGGAGTGCTCGACGACACGCACTAAAGTCTACTTACTGCCCTTGCAAATCTGAAGAGCAGAGTGCCAGCAGGCGCCGTACTCTTCCTTTCACGTTTGCGGCTTTTCGTGTTCCAACGGTAGCACAATCAAGAACCACTGTGAATGCGAATGTTGTGACGCACTGCGACTGCTCGCGACTCACGCTGCGGATATCACAACACCTTCACGGTCAAGAGTGATGCTTTGTGCCCAATCGAAGTGATTCATTGAACGTGGCGTTCACGAAGCGGTCCACTCCTCCACACAATGGGGGCACCCACTACCGCACACATCCTTTCTGAGGGTCCGGGGTGCATAACTGGCATGGGGCGCTGTACATTGGCGAGTGCGATGAATTTCTGAAGCTCGGAGTACACTACGGTCCAAGGTTTTCAGAGAAATGCCATATGGTGATGCGTGCAGACATCCAATGTCGTACAACGCCAGCCGCGGATATGTTCGTGGCACGACAATCTTCCCGAGCTGGTGCGCGAAGCCCGTCTTATCCGTTTTAAGCACAGCGCACCGCGCAGCCCGGAGACCAGGGCGGAGAAGACTTTTTTTCATTGATCACGAACGGGCTTGTCTATCGGCATCCGCCTCTTCTCGTGCCTCAGCGCCAACCAGCACAATCAAGGCTGCCCATCTGACTCGATTTAAATTCATAAGGATTAATTTCACAGGTAGGTGGAGCAGACCGGAGCGTATGTCAGACGTCGCAGTCTCTCGAAGCATATCAATCAGTCAGCGAAGACAACCTTCCGGGTGATAATCAAACCAGAATTTCGTGTTCGTGGTAACTTTTCAAGGGGATCAAAGTCGACAAATCCCGTCTGACTTACTGCTCTCACCCGATTGCCAATCAAACCGCGATGAACAACACGTTGCAGTCATAGAAGATTTTGAGGACTGCTATCTATACATGCTACGCTGCATTGAGGCATTGGCGCCGGGTAGGTAAGGCGTAAAAGCTGCCTATGGCCTTGCATGAGTCCTCGTTGCTCATCAACCGAAGAAGTGCTATGCTATCTCGCACTATCGGCTGGTGCTGTTGAGAAAAGCCCGCCTCTCGACTTCGCGTGTGTGTCTCTGACTCGACAACCTCGTGTCGCTGCCCCTCGTTGTGTCTTCGATTGAGCAGAAGCAAGATTCTATAAATTTAACGCAATCCTCAAGCTTTCGTCCCCCAATGCTCGTTGCTCCTCCTCAGCACAAAGAGCTCCCGGGACAAGCCTTACATATCCTTCCAAATTGCACCCACTTGAGCGTCTCTGCCCTTTACTGGGGTCAGCTCAGCATGCGCTTGATTCCCTTCATACTGCTCCTCACGGTAAGCATTGCATCCACCGGTGTCTTTGCTCCGAAGCCGACACCGCCGCAATGCCAAGCGGCTGGCTGTCCGCTGGATCCTTGCAACTGCATAGGAGAATGCCCCTGTTTTGAAATCGGTGGCCCTGGTGATCCAGGCGGCCCCACTGAGCTAGACCTTCTTCAAAAACGCTTGAACAGTGTAAGTCAAGAAGCGCGAACGATACTTTGGAATGGACGTCCAATCTGATCTCTCGTTCTCGCTTCACTTGCAGGGAGGGCCGAGTGCTCTTGCAAAGAGAAAACTCACAGAGGACCAATGCGACCTCATCGCGTGTCAGGATCCGTCATGTAACTGCGTGGGCAGCTGCCCCTGCTTCCCAGTAAGTCTGCATTCCAGCAACCGATGGACATAGACATCTGACCAATAAATGAATCCGCCCATGCTTGGGAGCAGGGACCTCCACACCATGATCACCCAAAGCCAGGACATCCGGGCAAAAGGTCGACCGTCGCCTTGCCGGGAGATGGTCAGCTTTGGGCAGGAGCTCTTACGAAAAGGAAATCAGTGGATGCATGCAGTGGCATTGGCTGTCAGGACCCGGAATGCAACTGCACGGCCTCCTGCCCTTGCATTGTGAGTTTACATCCAAGCAACCCTGGGGACCAAATACAGAACTCCACCCTCAACGTGCCTGTTTGATTCACCATCAGGGCGACCCTAACGACCCTGGGGATCCAGGGAACCCAGGCTCTGGCAAAAGACAAGTTGGTGCACCTTCTGACATTTTCGACACGTCGCTCAATCGCCGAGAGGTCTTGCAAGAGCGCGCTTTGACGCTTGATGGAGCGCAGCTGCTCAGGAACAGGGAGAACGCGGGTGTAGATGCGGCTTGCGGCACGATGGTCTGGTCGCATCCATACTGCCCACCGTACTGCGCCGGAAAGGGCGGTTGTCCGTCTTTTGCTTCTCCAGTTCATCCTCCGAAGCGGAGCAACCTCGTTGCGGGCACGAGCGAGACGGTGCCATCGGTACTTGATCGGCGCGTCAACAAACTCGAGGTTAGACAGGCCCACCAGGGAGAGACGCCTTGCGGCTATAAAAGCCCATATTTGAAAGAGACCTATTGTCCAGCGCATTGCGCCGGCCAAGGGGGCTGTCCTGGCCACGGCAAGCGGAGCGCTCTGCCTACTGGCACAGGCGAGACGATGCCTTCGGTACTCGACCGGCGCGCCAACAACCTCGAGGGCAGACAGGCCAGCCAGGGAGAGGTGGCTTGCGGCTTTGTGTATTGGGGCAAACCCTATTGTCCATCGCATTGCGCCGGCCAAGGGGGCTGCCCTGGCCACGCCAAGCGGAGTGCTCTCCCTACTGGCACAAGCGAGACGATACGATTGGTACTCGATCGGCGCGTCAACGAGATGAGACAGGCCAGCCAGGGAGAGGTGGCTTGCGGCTCTGTAGGCGGGCTCTACAACCAGCCTTATTGCCCACCGCAGTGCGCCGGCCAAGGTGGCTGTCCTGGCCACGGCAAGCGAAGTGCTCTGCCGGGCGAAGAACAGGCGCCACCCATCGAACGCGCTGACCAGCTTGAGCGTAGGATCAAGAAACCGGAGGAGCCGTCCTGCGGATATGCTTTCTCCAAAGGCCCATACTGTCCACCACATTGCCACGGCCAGGGCGGTTGTCCACCTCACGGAGGCAACGTTCCATCGGTGCAGTCCAGAGACCAGGCGCTTATCGTCGAACCTCGCAAGTATAAAATACCGGTGGAGGAACCTTGCGGGGGTGGTATTGGATATTGCCCACCGGAGTGCGCTGGAAAGGGCGGCTGTCCACCTCACCACAAGCGCAGCATTCCATCGGTCGAGTCCAGGGACCAGTCGCTGGTCATCGATGGTCCCGATCGCTTAGCGCGCAGGGACAACGACAATCCCTCGCAGCCACCGCCCTGCGGCTTTCCTCTCTCCGGTGGGCCCTATTGCCCTGGTCACTGTGCCGGACAGGGCGGCTGTCCTAATCACGGCAAGCGAAGCGCTCTATCTTCGACCCTAAATGTTCGGTACTTAGTCCCGAGAGGAAGCGAGCTTGTTCCGTCGAAACAGAGCGCGAGGCTAGATCGCAGGCAGGCGCCGGCGGGGTGCGACGGATGCGAGGAATGTTGCTGCTACCCCATTCGTTGCTCATGCTGCTGAGAATGGACAAGTGCCTACCTTTGCGCCTCATGCGAGGTTCTACACCAGCCAGGACCGAAGACCTGACACAGCTCAGACGATCACAGCGACGGAATGACCATCAAATGCGGTTCAACTGATGAATGAAGAATTCCAGATTGACTGCCAATCCTGCTGTCGCCCACCCACCTTCAGCCACTAATCCCCACCGAGACTCCACTCGCCTTCAGTCACGCGTCCCAAAACCATGTGTCCGCTTTCACGATACTTGATAGCTATCTTGATGCCATGATTGAGCTTGAGCGACTTGCAGAAGTTTTCCAAATCGTGAGTGTGGCACCCGCGATGTACGGCTGGCTCACTGAGTATTCCATTTCAAGATTTTGAGTGCAAACTTCAAAATGCGAGGCGGGACGATGATAATCTTGAGTGAAGGATCTCAGACGTGATTCGGATCCTTGAGCGAAGATCGCATTCACTCTGCTCAAATCGTGAATCAAGAATGATGATCGATGATTTCGATCATGAATTCATTAGAAAGTCTCAGTCTTGAGTTCGCCTCATAATAATTGTCATCTTGACTTTTTGACTCAATTTTGAATCAACGTTCTGATTGGAAATTTCGTTATCGCTAGACATAGCAGGCCGGATGTCGCGGTACCTGTGCGCATGCAGCAGGGCACAATTATAAGCGCAGGCTGCACGCTGCACGCGCGCATCTAAACGCGCGGCCCCACACGAGTCTGATTTGCGATTGATCTGAGTCAAGGAGTTAATTATCGTAGCCTCCGCGTTATCCAACGGTGAGTCGATCCAGCTTCTGCACCACCAACACCACGGCAGCCATAAAAATTGCTGGCCTCAAGAATGACTAAGAAGTGATGACAAGGAGAGATGGGCAAGCATAATTGGCTATCGAGGGCGAGGGAAGCTGTGTATCGCGACGTGAGACGGACAAATCGACCACAAATATGGCTAGCAAGAGTGGCGGGCAGCCGTGATTGCGACCTGAGATAGGCAAGTCAATGGCGAGTATGACCAGCACGAGTGTAGGACTCTTCACCGAGCTTGGGTAGCCGGTATCGGCAGCTCTCAGGTGAGATCCAGGAGCCAGAAAGTGCAAGAGGCGCAAATTGTCACGCCGGTTCAAATGCAAGTTCTCGGGACGTTTGATAGACTTACTGCGCGCTCGATTGGATGGCTCTCGCACTCTTCCAGCTCGCATATGGGTACAGCTCAAGTGATCATCCGGCGCCACGTCTGCCCCGCGCCAGCAGCGATGCAAGAGTCATCGAAATCGCCCGCAACCTTCTTCCATCCGGGCACTCGAGGCACTTTGATCTTCCAAAAGGCCATTCCGTCACGAAGATGCAACCGCAAAGGTCCTCCTATCATCTGTGCCTATATTGGTGAGAGGTCGACGGAAGCGTTCTTCCGAGTCGATAGCATGCTCCAATGCTGCGTGCTCGATGGGGTGCCACTGCACGTAGGTGGTGCTTTGCCGTTGAAGACAATGTGAGAAGGGAGAGAGAGACGCGCCAAGGTCACAGGAGGTGATTGTGGGTATGCAGAAGCCATGTCGCTCACACGTCAAGCTGCGCATCCGCAGCCTGATTAGCTTATGCGATATTTGGTACTCGGAAGGGTACATAAGGAGCGCATTCCGGCTTTTTCACCTTCGTCCGTCTGCTCGTCGAGGTTTGTAAGGCTCTTGATCTGGCCGCCACTTCCCTCTTCCTCTTCCACCTTTCAACTCCTCCCCCCTTCTCTTGGGCTTCTTTCTCTCGTCCTCAACCTCGATTCTCAGCAACCCTTCTGTTTCCAAGGGGCTGTGCTGTGCTTTACTCATCATCAAGCGACTCGCCGCAGCTCGACCCTTCATCATGCGGCCTATCTGCTTCCTCTATCTGCTCGCCTTCTGCCTGATCATCAGACCAGTCACTTCTGGAAGCATTGGCATTGGCGCTTGCATCACTCTCAACTGCGCCCCTGCAGAGTGCAAGTGCACAAAAAATTGTCCCTGTCCTCCGCTAGAGGCCGAGCGGAGGGGCTTCACAGTCGTGGACCCTATAGCTCTCGCAAGCGAGCCTGATGTCTTGGACGTCTCCATACAAGAACGCGCAAGTGTGCCCACCAACCGCCGGACAACGGAAGGCGATGGCGGCGCAACGGTGGTGCTGCCGGCGCTGGTCACGCGCCAAAAGCCTACCGACGAAGCCCTTGCGAAACGCCGAGTCAACGTGGCTTACTGCCACTATCCCGGATATTGTCCCGAGATCTGTGCTGGCAAAGGCGGCTGCCCATCAAATCCCACTCAGTGCCATTTTCCGACGCATTGCCCCGTGGGGTGTGAAGCGAAAGGCGGCTGTCCTTCCACCCTTGCGAAACGTCAAGTCAACATGTCTTATTGCCACTATCCCGTATGGTGTCCCGAGATATGTGCAGGCTTAGGTGGCTGCCCATCGAACCCCACTCAGTGCCATTTCCCCACGCATTGCCCTGAGGGATGTGAAGCGAAAGGCGGCTGTCCTCCCAAAATTGCCAGGGTACCCGCAGCGGCAAAATTGCTCAAACGGTCACTTGCTTGTGCTTGGCCAGATTTGTGTCCACAAGGCTGCGAAGGGCAGGAGGGCTGTCCTGGGCAATTTTCAGGCACTATGATCCAGCGCAAGAGCGAGGATGACTCTCACACTTCTCAAAGCGAACACCTATCCCGTGACGTATCAGCAGCGACCGTCGACATCAGCGGCAAAATCCCTTTTCCGGAAAATGACTGCAGCTATCCGCATTGTCCTGCAGGATGCGACGGAATAGGCGGCTGCTCTGGCGGCCCTTGGGTCGTTGCTAGGAGCAAAAGCGTGGCTGTCACAAGCGCGATCGAGCAGAGAGGTGTGGGTTCGACATCCTCGACTTTATTGAGCTCTGATCAGGCGTCGATTCCCATCAGCCGACGTGGGTACCAGGATGACTTCATGGAGATTAGAAGTAAGAGAGAGCCGGCCAACCTCATATCTTCTAGCCTGACACGGCGACAGGATCCAACGCAGTGCTTTCCACCCTGCCCGAACTGGTGCTTGGGGCTGGGTAAATGTGCAGCCGGAGACAGCGCGGCATCGCAAAGCTCTTTACATGAAGAAACGCGCCAAGATGAATCTCTTGGACTCAGGAGGCTTCAGCTACCGACTGTCAACGGGCTTTCAAATCTGATACAGCGGGAGGAAGGGGCGCCTACCTGTCTGATGCCCAATTGTCCTAAGATATGTGCCGGACTCGGAGATTGCCCGGGTCTCGCTGGCGCGCCATCGAATCTGATTGCGCGGCAGACAGTGGGTCGCCAGACCGGTTTGCCATGTGAGTCCCTCCCTACGTTGGTGGCCGTAGATTGCGTCGATTTTGGATTCGCCATGATTCTAACTTGAGCCCTGCAACTTTCTCAATGCAGCAAATTACGAGGCAACCTTGACTCGTAGAACGACGCTCGGTGTCACAAGCTCTCCTGTTCAAAACGAAGTGCTCAGCAGAAACATCGACACAGACCCATCGTCGAATGAACTAGACTATATCCTGGACTGTCCTCCGGATTGCCCAAATTTCTGCGAGAGTCCCACGGTCTGCCTGGCAAAAGCGGAAATAGTGCAAGATCGAAGCGCAGAGGACGACACCTCGTCTGAGGAACTCGCAAAAATCAAGCGCTCGAGCGACTCCAACGAGGTTGCAAGGATTGACGCGCTCTCCAGACACATCGAAACAAACCCATCGTTGACAGAGCAAGATGCTTTGACTGACTGTCCTCCAGAATGCCACAAATTCTGCACCCCTTCTGGGATATGTCTGGCAGAAGGGGAGACAGTGCAAGGTCAAAGCGTTAAGGATGGCGCCTCATCTGAAGAATTCGCGAACATCAAGCGTCAACACGTCTTTGCTTGCCCTGCGGAATGCTTCTACACTTGCGACAAGAACAACGGGAAATGTCCGGATCCACCGGCCGGTACGCTTGAGCGTAGCATTGAAGACATTACGGAAATGGCAGGATCCGAAGCTGTAACCCAAAGTGATCAGGATTGTCCTGCAGAGTGCCCCAAAACCTGCTTATCAGCTTTTGAGTGCCCACTCAAATCCACCAGCACGGTGACGGTCAGGCGTATGGTGGACGGGACCGCGAATGCGGCAGCCTCTGTGTCGCTGACGAAGCGCGTCCACACCTACGTATGTCCGCCCGAATGCCTCCACGATTGCGACCGATATGGAAATTGCCCATCTCCGCCTGCTTTCACCATCAATCATTCCATCGACGAGACGCCAGCTAGTGAGCTCACGGCCTTCGTCAAGCGTAAAGACGTACCCACGTGCCCTGAAGAGTGCCCGAACAACTGCCTCCGGGATGGCGAGTGTCCGACTGTGGCAGATGTCGTCCAGCTCCGCATGGCGCCTGGAACATCCGACGCGGCGGGCCTTGCACCAAATTTCGTGAAGCGTCAAGGCGTCAACGGCGATTGTCCGGAGGAGTGTCCAGACAGTTGCAATCCCGCCGGAGAGTGTCCGCCTACCGCCTCTCTGACTAAGCGCGCCCGAGCCGATGAATGTCCACCGGATTGTCCCAAGGGATGCGACCATCAAGGGATCTGTATCATCTACTCATGCCCTGCACGATGTCCCAACGATTGCGACGAGACAGGGGATTGTCTCAAGCCACCGCCTGGCGTACAGACTCACAATCTACAGACCGGCCAAACGCCCGACGCAGCAGACGCCAGTGCTGCATCGCGTCGTAGTTCTGCGACGAATCCTGCGGCACCAACCGATGCCTTGGGACTAGTTCAGTCTCGCAGCGAACCCGCCGGCCGAGCAACCACACCAACCATCACAAGCTTGACCACTCGAAGTCCCACGGACGCATCTCCGTCAACTTTCATGCCGCTGCTTCTAGCGGAGCGTCAGGACGCTACCGCCTGCATTCCCAAAAGTTGTGGACCAGGTTGCGTGCTACCTTGCAAGCCGACCATGGGGGTGACCATCTGCATTCCTCCATCTCATTGCGGACCTAGCTGTGCCGGAGTCAATGGTTGCCCCAAAACTGCGCTCAGACCCCGGCATATAGCAGCCAGTACAGAGCTTGCAGAACGAGAGGACGCTACCGACTGCATTCCTAAAAGCTGTGGACCAGGTTGCGTGCTACCTTGCCAACCGACTCCGGTGGTGACCAATTGCGTTCCTCCAGCTCACTGCGGACCTAGCTGTGCCGGGATCAATGGCTGCCCCAAAGTTGCGCTAAGACCCCGGCACATAGCAGCAAGTAAAGACCTTGCAAAACGAGAGGACGCTACCGCCTGCATTCCTAAAAGCTGTGGAGCAGGTTGCGTGATACCTTGCCACCCAACTCCAGGCGTAACCATCTGCATCCCTCCATCTCACTGCGGACCTAGCTGTGCCGGTGTCAACGGCTGCCCCAAAATTGCGCTACGTGACCTTGCTCGAATTTCGGCATCCCCAACACTTGCACGACTGGCCGAGCGACAGCCACTGGGTCCCACGTACTGCAATGCACCAGACTGCGGACCAGGATGCGAGGGTGTGGGTGGCTGCCCCGAATCTGTGCTCAGGCCCCGTGACCTTGAGAGTCCGGCATCCCCCGCACTGTCCCAACTGGCCAAACGACAGCCACTGCAGGGTCCCACGTACTGCTCTGAACCAAATTGCGGACCAGGGTGCGAGGGTGTGGGTGGTTGCACGGCCGACGCCATTCAAGCCAGACAAAAACCTTCTTGGACGTTGAACTGCCACTACCCTAACAATTGCCTCATCGGATGTGCTGGGCTCATGGGGTGCCCGAAGTCAGTATCCGATCGAGTGCTACACCTCAAAGGGCGCTCCTGGGCTATAGGCAACGCACGCCAAGTTGCCCCGAATGCTCAAGGCACGTCCAGTAGTCCTGACCGCCGAACAGCCGGGTGTGTAGGATCTGATGGATGCCTTCCGAGTCCCGCGGCTTTTCAGCGTAGAGCAGTGCCACCATTCTGTCATGGCGCTTCGCAATATTGCCCAAATGGCTGCGCGAATGTAGCAGGGTGTCCTCCAATAGCACGTCGATCGGACCTACTACCTTCTTCCCGCCGTGACGGAGTGGGCGAAAAGGCGCTCGTCAAGCGCTCTTCTGTATTCGACGATCTCAACGCCACCAAGCCGCCGGAGGAGCCGCGAGGGAAGAGGGACGCATCCGCGCCGTTCTCTCTGGACGAGACTCTCAAAGGCCGAGAGCCTGCGGGCAGTCCTTGTCAACATCAAGGTCTGCTCGGACGCGAATGCCTCGAAGTGAACAGGCGAGCCGGCGGCGACTCCGCCATTCATGATGCCCAGCTTCCTGCGGTTGGGGTCCCCGTGACAGGCAAGGATGAGATCTCCATGCGAAAGAGGGTGCCTGCATAGAGACGAGAAGTTACTGCTAAAAGGCGTCGACCAGCAGCTCCCTCGACGTCTGCTCTCCCATCGAAAATCTTGAATGCGTCCCATAAAACGATTCGACCTCGCCGTGACCCCTGTTGCCCGACACTCACTCTCAACGAACCAAAATCCCAACAGCACCACTTGGCGATCCCATTCGCGTCCGCCTTGATAGCTGCTGTCCATCCAGCCCGCGTTCTTCCTCGCCAAATCCATGAACGCAGCGACCTGTCCGCAGAAAGCAGTGTCGTGTCATCCACCCCACCCAACGCGAATGATGGTCCCCTCCTTTCTTCAATTTGCTCTCAGATCACACACCGGTCGTCGACCAAGCAAGCTGCATCTTTTCCCGAAACACATCACACACCACGCACGTCAGCTCCCACGTGACTTTCTCTCCACACACGCGTCAAACTCCTCTACCTTTTCGAAAACTCTTCCTTGATTCAATTGTACCTGCGAGCTTTTCAATATCTTTCTTATCGAACTCGCGACGCGATGCTTTTGAGACGTGCTTGCGCGGTGCGCATCGCTTGCGTAGAGAGGGGCATGGGGAAGGTCCGAGTGACCCCTTACGAGTTAAGCTTTGCTGAAGCTTGTGCTTGAGCGACAAGAGCTCTGGGAGCTGTACGTGGGGATAAAAAGAAAGCAAAATCAGCCAGCGCTCGGAAGCGCACATTGGCAAGCAAAACAAGGAAAGAGGATCGCGTGCATGCGTGCGTGCGTGCGTGCGGCTGCTCTACTCACCATCGCCTCGGCGCATAAAGATCTCTACCAATTGCAAGCGCTACGAATTTTGGGGGGTGGGTTGAATAAAGAGAGGGACGCAAAAGAAGAGCACTTAGAAAAAGTCCGGGAGCAAAAGGAGCTTTTGCGATTCCTTTGCTTTTTGCTTGCGGCTTGGCTGGTACATCGTCTACCCCCCACGCTCGACGCTCGCGTGCATTCGACATTCGGTGGGGGCAGCCAAAACTCACCTTGCAACTAGCAAACTCCTCATCCTTCAGCAAGTCGTCGAGTTCCTTTTTGCTCTTGACCGCAAAGTATCTGGGCACAGGCACCTCCTTGTCGTGCGCATGGCTCCTTTGCGCTTCCTTCTCCTTTCCGCCCATGCTCTGCCTAACGCTGGGATCGTACAGCGCCTGCAACAATTTCTCATTGTTCCAACTAGGCACATTGTTGTAAGCCTGATCCGGACCTTCGATCTGCCTCTCTATCTCGTAGCCATCGTTGCGCAAAACGAAGAGGATGGGATGCAAGTCCAATCGGATCATGGTGCTGATCTCTGTCGCTGTCAGCTGCAGCGAACCGTCGCCGATGAAGAGCAGCGTGCGACCGAGGTGAAGCTCCCTCGCAGCTAAGGATACGCCAAGCGTGGCGGGCAGAGACCAGCCTATGGAGCCCCACAAGACCTGCCAACGGTCAAAAGAAAAGAAGAAGAAACGCAAAAAGAAAGGTCACGTCGGGTCAATTCTCTGATGCAGAGAAAGGGAGGCGCAGGGTGGCAGACGCATGGCTCGGTGTGCGCAGAGGGAGGGGTTCAACGATGGGCTGGCCACTCACCTGACTGTGAAGTCGCGTACGCCCACCAGGCAAGTGCGTATCCAGAATGCCAAAGCTGCTAGTTCCCGTCTCTGCAACGACTTGATCCGCCTCCTTCAAAAAGGAACCGATGCGTTTCCAAAGCCACATTTGGCTTATATTCTCTCCCTCCTGTCCGGCCATTTCGCCTTCTTGCAGTTTGGTAGGAAGCCTATTGCTAGGTCTCTCCTGCTCCGATAGACCGTACAACCCGCGCAATTCGTTGGCTCGAGCAGATAGATGATCGGCTAGACGAGGGAGCAGGGCGTGCATGGATATGCCCGGATACACTGCATGTCCCAGCACCGTCCTATTGCTGTGCAGCTCGATCGTCTTGGCTTGATCCGTCAAGCTGTTGAAGGAGCTGGCCGTATTAAAGTCGCTTCTGAGCGCACCCACGAACAAGTAGCAGTCCGATTTCTGCACCCTTTGGAGCAGAGCGGGTTCAGAGTTGGGTCCTATAAACGTGCCGGCGTACTGAGGCGATGATTCTGGCAAGGCGGATTTGCCCATGGGCGTGCTGACAAAGGTGCAGCCGCTGCGATGCACCAGGTCCAGCGTGGCGTTGATGGCCGCATGACGTATGGTGCAAGCGTCCACAATGATCAAAGGGTTCCTGCTCTCATCCAACCTCTTGAAGATTTCTCGCAACACTTCCGCTTCCACGCTCTCCTCGTTGGGCGCGTGGGATGTGTGGAGGGGTGCGCGAAGAAGAGAGGTGGGGATGGGCAGATGCACCAGGTCGGTGGGTAGGGCCAAGTAACCCGGTCTGGCTTCCCTCACCACCCTGGCCAACAACGCATCCACCTCCTTTGCAAGCATCTTGCCTCTGCTGCTGCTCTCCTCATCCCCCTCCTCCTCTATCTGTCCCTCTCCAACAAGCAGCTCGCCCAAATGCACCACGGCGCAAGATACGTGTTTGGACATTTGCGAAAAAGCTGCGAAATCGCCATCGCCCAGCGTGTGGTGCAGGAGCGCCTTGTTGGACTGGGCTTGCGTGGAGGGTACGCCGACGATGTGCAGCACGGGCAACCTCTCGGCGTAGGAACCGGCAATGCCGTTCAGCGCCGACAATTCGCCCACGCCAAACGTGGTGCACAGCGCCGCAATCTTGCTTCCGCGCGGTCTCCTGTTCGGACTCTTTTTTCGTCCGCCGCCGCTGCCGCTCTGCTCCGAAGATGTCCATGTTGGCGCTCTCAACTTGCTAACGTTCTCCTCCTCCTCCTCCTGCTCGACACCTCCCCCTCCTCCTAGTGCTGCTGCCTGCCCCTCGTCGCTACATCTCGACTCGATCTGAGCACACCTAGCATATCCATCCGCACTATAAGCAGCATTCAATTCGTTCGTATTGCCAACCCACTCGAAAGAAGCATGCTGCGAAACGGCATCCAAAAAGGGCATGCTAAAGTCGCCCGGCACTCCTTGTATCGAGCTGCATCCTAGAGAGCTGACTGTGCGTCGTGGGGGGGAGAGGGGAGAGAAATGGGAAGGAGTGCGAGCAAGTGAGCGAAAGAGGGGAAACACCAAAGGGCTCGCTTCTCGCTTCCCGCCCGACGTGTAGGAACTCACGGCGCTCTAGGATGTAGTCGGCTAGCGTCAGGGTGCTGCTCGCCGCATCATCATGTTTGGATTTGGCAGGGGTTGCGCTGCTCATGATTGCGCTCGAGAGCGTGAGGGGGTGCAGCTAGGCGTGGGTGGAGGGAGCGAGGGAGCAGGTAGGGCGGCGCGGGAGTGTGCTGGCTGGGCTTTTGCGGGGTGTGTTTCGGGGGGTTGCGTGATGATGGTTGCGTCTGGGCAGACCAAAGAGCTGTCATTCCAACCGAGATGGCCCCAGCAATTCAAATCATGCCTCAAGAATTGGCAACGAGAAGGGTCTGAGCCCGTGCGCGGTGGGCGTGGAGCACCCTACGCAGCAGCAGCGATTCAGCTATAGCTAGGCACGCTTATCCGAGCTTGTTGCCTGTCGGCTATTCAAATTGATTCGCATTTGACTCGAGATTCCAATTTGAATTCAAATTCGAACTCAAATTCACGTCCACCCTTTATTGTGCTTGATCCCTGATCCACGTTCTTGATTAACAATGCGTGATTCGTGAATTGTGATTTCTTAATTGCCGCCGGCTCTGCTGCTGCTGGCGCGTCATTTGTCGCACCACTTCGATTCAAGCGTTGGATGTGGAGGTCGCTCGTCGCTCGGCCATGCACCACAAGGGATGTGCACCGTGCACTCATCAGACTCTCGCAAGGGTTCACCCAGCATGCAACCGCCAGCCTAGCAGCCTGCCTGCCTGCCTGCCTGCCTACCCATGCAGCATAAATGCAGCGTGTGCATTGCCCGCCCGCTGTGCATGCTAAGTGCCGATCGGCGTGATTCTCATTCATTTACGCGCAAAGCGCAAAGCTGAGGCGCGTCACGTGGTGGCCATTCAACTCTCTCCATCCCTCACGCTCACCTAATTGCTGCGGGGCCTCTTCCTTGTCGCTTGCTGCTGCTTTCGCGAGCGCGCAGGCAGCAACTCGCTCGAGATACTGCGCAAAACAAGTTCAAGGTACTCAAGACTGCGAACCGTACGCGGCATGCAAATTCATGGTCACGAGTACAGTAGTAGTAGTAGAGCAAAGTCTTGAGATGTCGCCGAGACTCAATTGCACCTGACGTCTCCCGCCACCGCTTGCGCACCTCGATCCCTGCTGCTGCACGCCTGCTGCTTTGCTCGCTCGCCTCCACCGCGGCAAGCGCGCCAGCCGCGCCGATCACATCATGCGCACAAGCCATGCAGCCAGCAACACGCACACGCACACGCACACGCACACGCACACGCATGCAGTGCAGGCAGACCCTAGCTGTGACGCCATATCCCCCGGCTCATACGCGTGCGCCGATCTCGTCAGAAGAAGACCTCAGAGGTTGCGTACGTACGTTGCGTCAACACTCACGACTCGAATCGCGACTCAAACTTTTGACTCCAAACTCACGACTTTGCATACGCGTGTGCGCTGCTTGTGCTCGCTGCTGAACACTCACGACTGGTGACTCTTCTTGACCACCATCCATCATCGAATACACGTAGCATCCCCACCCTCACGTCGTATCTCGTACACTTCAAGCTCCATCTCCATCTCCACCTCACTCACTCGTGCTTCATCACCCTTTCTCTGCCTTAATTGCTAGACATCATGTCGTTCGGTCAGGTGAGCGTTTCTTGACGAGGCACTTGCCAGCGATGTGGGACCAGTCACGCAGTCCGCGCGCGCGCGCGCTGACACTTTTGTCTCTCCGCATCTCACCCTTCCTGCGTCGATAGACTGCCACTGTGAGTCGAGTGTGCGGGAGACCAGACCGAGAGGCGCACGTGGACGCGCATGTGCATGTGCATGGAGCTCACGCTCACGTCCCATGCTCCACTTATTCCCCCCCCCCCCCCCCCCCC